AGACATAGTAAGACACATGAGGACTCATCTGATGAAGAGAACATCAATTAGCTCGACCACATGCATCAGGCTGAAGGAATGTCAGGAAAACCAGCACCGCAGGAGCAGGAGGAGGAGCAGGAGGAGGAGGAGGAGGAGGAGCAGGAGGAGGAGGAGCAGGAAGAGGAGGTTTGAGACATGAAATGACGCAAAAGACTTTTATTAATGTCTTAAATGATTCAGTTTTATTTTATGTAGGTCTCTCCCTCTCTGTCTGTCTGTCTGTCTCAATCTGTAATCTGAGTTTAATGTGAACGTTTCCCGGGAGACTCAAACACGTTTGTTTGATTAGAAACAGATTACAGATTTAGACGGTTGTTTCAGGACGACCCTGATGACGTACTGACGGAGCAGCAGATAGAGAGCTGAGCAGAAGCTCCTGGACTCCTCGCCTTGTTTTGGAAACAAACATCATGATCAGCTTCCTGCTCGGCGTGCTGGAGAAGAGCTGGCATGATTATTCCTCCCTCTAAGTCCTCCCATCTGTCCCCGTTTTCTGCCGGTCTGAGCTTCTTTCAGGGCGACTGACAGGAGCCTGCAGCCACAAACACAGAGCTGGTGGGGGGGCCAAGGCTCAGAGCCCCGCTGGCCCCCACCGCCTCACATTGTGTCCCTGCACACCAAAGCACTTCTCTATAGCTTTTTGATTGGCTTTCAATCCCCACGCCACTGACAAGGCTCTGTATGCGACTGTGTGTGTGGTGGGCTTAGTAAGAAGATTTAGTTGAGGGGGGGCACAGAGGTAATTTTTTAGGGGGAGGAAGAGGAAAGTAAAAACTGGGACAGATGGGGCCGATTGTTGCTCTCTACGCAAATTAAGGAGCAGACATCTGCAGAGGGGGGGGGGGGAGACTGCATGATATTAACGTTGATGCAGAGATTCAGTCGTACTCACATTACAATGGAAACGTGTTTTTACGATCACACTGCTTTTCTTTTTTGCCACAGCGACATAAAATGCTGTTTTCTGATTGGCTGCTGCAGCATCAGCATGTGAGGCACAACGTTCTTCATCATATTACCTCGATGACATAACGAGGTTCTCAGACGTTAACATATCAGAAAGGATCAACATCCCTTCATTAAGAAAGTTTGGTTCTTTAATACTAAATAAAATTCACGGTATTACCTACATTATTTTAATAATATTAAAAGAGATCACTATTGGGACGCTAATCAGGTCGGCAGAACACAGGTGACATTTGTAGATAATGTAACATGGAGACACCTGTAGAAGATCCAACATGGAGACACTTGTAGACAACGTCTGAGACCAACGCATCGATGTCCAGTGAGTTGAGACTCAAACGAATAAATGAGCAGAAGAAGAAGGAGAAAAGGAGGAGGGGAGGGGCTCATCATCACACATCTCCTTCTCTGCAGGGGTCAGAGGTCACGGTATAGACAAGCAGTGTGCTGGAGGTAATGCGAGCACGCACACACATACACACACTCGCTTACACTCTCAGAGACAAAGCGAGGTCACCAGCAGGATTATTCCTGTCCAACGCTGCTGTTGTTACTCTGCAGAAGGAGGAAACGAGGAATGGAGCTACAACCAGAAACAGAAACCACAACATCGGCAATCCTTAATTAGTATCAGAGTGCCTGATAATGAGTGTCTGTGTGTGTGTCTCTGTGTGTGTGTGTGTGCGTGTGTGTGTGTGCTAATGACACAGGCTCTTTGTTGTAAACTGGGTCCCAACAGTCTGAACTCATGAATCTCTCTTTGTGTCATATGTAGGTTTGCAGACCAACAGCTTTCGAGAAAGAATTTCTGTCCGTTAGAGTTAATCCTCAACATCTCACCTGCTCCCCCCCCTGACCCCCCCGACACCCCCTCACGCACACCATTCCCAGAGTCAACAACAGAGATGATCAGACTCACTCTTTAAAAAGGTGGATTGAAATTGTGTTAAAATGAGTGTGTGTTAAATCCATCTTTATGCTCTCACACTACTCCGACTGGCTGAAAGCACAACATCAGTCAGCAGTGATTGGTCCACCAGAGAAGGTGGGCGGAGCTAAAACGTTGAGCCGTCACAGCGCTGACCACGAGGACAGTGTCGTAATTCATCAACATAAAAAAATACAATCTATCGAACACGTAGTAATGAACCTGACTGCAAAATATCGTCCAAAACATTACTCACAGGGGGATGAATCAACGGAGCAATAAGTCCAAATAACAGAAGCTCAGTAAAGAGGAGAAAGAACGTCGTAAGTTTGTGGACTCCTCATACTGATCCACATCCAGACTCCTGGCACCAGAGACACTGGACTTCACCACACATGAGGATCAGCATCATGAGGTCTGTGAGAGGATGAAGATGAGAGTCAAACATCTCAGAGCTCCATAACGTTCTTCTAGTTGGAAGGCTTCTCTTGGAAGGTCTTGGACTTGTGTTGAACTCGACTCAGTCTGCTCCCAGCGGTCCTCAGATCGCTGTGTGTGTGTGTTTGTGTTTGCGTGTGTCAGATCGTGTTGTGTGTGTCTGTGTGCACATGTGTAAGATTGTGTTGTGTGCATGTGTGTGTGAGTGTTGCCCCAGGGCATTTTGTCACTTAGAGGGCATTGGGCCGATCGTCTTTCCCCCCTGAACCCTGCCCCTCGGGGGGGTCATGGCGGCTCAGGACTAACTGATTTAGGAAGGTTTGGTCTTCACTCTGAAATCCATCCTCTTTGTTCGGCTTCTTCTCTCTAATTCCTTCTGCTGTGCTTCACTGAGCTCAGGAGGACGGAGTAACCCATCACACCGGGGTCAGGAAGGGATGGGAAACCAGTTCTTCAGCTGTGAGCTCAGGTGAGTCAGAAGACGGACGAACATGCGAGGAGGTCCTGGAGGGCACTTCAAAACCCCGCTGCTGGTTTATAAAGCACTGAATGGTTCAGGGCCAAAGTACATTTCTGATCTGCTGACCGCCACAAACCCTCAGGTCGTCTGGGAACGGTCGACTTCCTGTTCCCCGTGTAGGAACTAAACATGGAGAAGCGGCGTTCAGTTCCTCTCCTCCACAAACCTGGAACAAGTCCCAGAAAGCTGCAGCTGCTCGGACTGCCGCCTTAAATTCACCATTTCTGTGTTTCAGGACTTGAATACTACACATGAAACTGTATTCTACTTTTTCACAGTTGTCTTTTTAATGACGTTCTCTTATATGTTTCATTCGTTGAATATTCCATTGATGTTTTTAAATGTTTCTTTATGTTTGGATGTTTTTAATCTTTTTAGAGCACTTTGAGTTGATGCTAGTACTTCTACGTCTTTAAATAGTACTTGATGGTAGTACTGCTATCTTATAAAATAGTACTTGATGGTAGTACTACTATGTTATAAAATAGTTCTTGATGCTAGTACTTCTACATAGTGAAGTAGTACCTGATGATGGTACTTCTACCACATAAACACCTCCTCTCTGAGTCTCTGCTGCCCCCTGCCGCTCACTCACAGCATCACTTCCTGTCTGAGGAGGAACGGTTGAGCATTTAATGACGTAATGAGTTCTGCCTCTTTTGGCTCAAACGTTTTATTCGTTTTCTTTTACTAGATGGTTAGAGTACAATCAAGGATTAATATATTCGAAAATACTTTTTATGAAGCACAACCTAGCTCGCTTCTGTTTTGAGATAATCAGGGGTGGCTGTGTGATACAATGGTTTAAAGTCTTATGTACGAATATAATACATTAAAGAAGAAGTAAAATATGATATTAAAAGTTTTTTAAAACAACATATTCGTTTATTTTTATCATTATTCTTTTATTGTAGTAATATTTCTCAGATTTTGTTACATTTTTTTCAGTTGATTCAATAGAAAATTAGTCATTGGAGATTATTGCAGTTTTCTAATCTTAAAAATGAGATTTGATTTTATTGGCGTCTTCTGGCCTCTAGTGGTCAGCGTCAGTCACTGCAGCGATCCTCCACTTAAAAGTAATATGAAGTACCAGTACTAATCAATATATGCTGGTCGTATGTGAAGGAAGTATAAATGTTGCTCACACTGAATGCACCGTGGGGGTTCGGGACGAACTGACTGCTCGGGTTCTAAAGCCAAATGAACCGTATCCTCGTTAGAACCAGGACCAGAACGAACTGGAGCGGAACTGGTAAAGAGTCTCTGGAGCATAGAGATATATAAGATGTCTTACGGCGGAGTCCATAACTACATCTATGACGTTTACAACAAACCAAACCGTTTGAAAATGGGTTGAAAAGTGAGCAGGTTATGGTTATTTAAAAAGTACATGTTTCACTACCAACACAACGTTATGGGTGAGCGAGCTGCCTGTACCAAGATGGCCGCCATGCGCGGGCGCTCTGTTGGCCGGACAAGACATCCTTCACACCTGTGCGACTACAGAGGCGCGGCGCTGACGTCACGGTAGTCATGGCAACACTGAGAAAGGTTTAGTGGCGTATACATAAATAAAATGTAAAATCCAAAGATCTATTTTTTGTGTAATTATACAGATACAAGTTGTGTGTTAAAAATTCCCCATCTCTTTATTTTCGTTGTATTGTTGTTAATGTTTTGAAGGATGTTGTTAATGTTTTCTATAAAGGACTCACGTCAGCGTCGACCCGAACTACAGAGAAGACCATTAATGACCTCACGTCTATTCCTAACCACCTTTCCTTGACCTCTGTGGAAAACGTCAAACTGTCAAGGAAAGGTGATTAGGAGAGTTCATGAGGAGTTAGGAAAAGATAGCGTGGTGTTCAGGGAATCCAACTCCACTAAGCTACGTAATTCTGGTGGACGTGGACGTCTGGTGGATTGGTATAATTAATGTGGACTTTTTGGAGTTATCGATTAACAGAAATATTCTGACATAAAGTACTGACTGTTTACAGGATGCTCTGTATATACAAACCATAAACTTTTTGACTGCTCTATATTCAAACCACTAGAGTTCAGTTTGTAGTTAATATTCCAGAAATCGACATATTCAGGAAGTGATAGAATATGAAGAAGACCATCTTTATTTTGAAGAGAAGACGACACTTTGTTATTTGGCATAAAGAGAATACAAATAAATGAAGTACGTATTATACCAAAATATCAAATGTAAAATAATGTAACTTGAGATAATAAACTCCAGAAGGTTCCTTCAGGCTTCCAGACACATGCAGCAGTGATGTCCTCAGGTCAGGTGACCTCTCAGCCAATCCCAGCAGGCTAGGAATCAGAATGCGTCCTAAATATGATGTGATGATATCTCCTCCTGGTGTGTGTGATGTATTAGCGAGGTTATTGATCAGGGAAACGTTAGTGGTTAGTGGACTCCTTCCTCCTGACCCCTCATGATGTTTGCTGAGCTGTCAGACGTCATCCTCTTCCACTTCCTCCTCCTTCCTGGTGAAAGCAGAGGACAGCTCCTGCAGCAGGAGCTCCTGTGATGGTGTACACACTCCTTGCAGCTGCTCCTTCCTCCTCCCAGCTGCGGAGCTGCAGTCAGCTCCTGTTCCTCCTCCTCCTCCTCTGCTCTGATCCAGAGAGTCCACCATGGCGCCGGCGGTCTGAGCCACCTCTGGGATGATGGTGCGGCTCGAGTGTCCGGTCTCCATGGGAACCAGCCGGAGGTCCGGGACCTCCTGGGTCTCCGCGGTGCTGCTGGACAGGAAACTGGTCTCCAATGATTTGAGAACTTGAAGGCCAAAGTCCCCGACCTCCTCGTAGAGCGGCTCGGGGAGACCAGGAGACTGGGAGCGCTCCTCGAAGGAGTCCTTCTGCACCTTCATGGGCTGGAGGTCAGCAGAGACATGTAGAGTATGTATACAGCTCGGCACACATGTATGTATGTACATATATGTAGATATATATGTATCTACATATATGAATATACGTATACAGGAAGATTAAAAAGAGTCCTTCTCGTACTTAAGAAAGTACAATAAAAGTACAAAGGAGAAAATAAGGTACTCACAAAGTACATGGAGAGAGTCCTTCTGTCGTGTAACTTTCTCTGCAGAAAGAAGAAAGTATAAATTATGTAACTTTCAGAGTAAAAGTATTTCAATATCTAACGAAATAATGATTGAACTTATCGGAGACATTTTAAGCATTTATCATCAGATTGAAAACCACAGAGACGTTTTCTAGAAAGAGAAACCTTCATCCTTTTACTGTGTGGCTCATAAAGTGATGAAGTAAAAGCTCTGACCAGCGTCTGATTGGCCGACAGCATGCTGCTGTTGCTCTCGTCTCCTCTGATGGGGACGAGCGGCATCGTGCCAAACTTGTGCTTGGAGATGTCCGAGGACAAGTGACGTCTCAGAACCGGAGGACCAGGGTCATCATTCTGAAAGACAAAGAGACACGTGAGGATGGGTTCTAAAGAGACAGCAGGACACGTGAGGACGCTGACACTGCATCAGCTCCCCACAGTTATTCTGACCTGAGCCTTGAGGAAGCTGGTGATCCAGTCCCACATATCGTCCTCACAGCTGCAGCAGAGAAACCTGAGAGAGAAAAACGTTGTGGATCTCAGGAGGTTAATCAATAAAAGAGTGGTGACATCAGAGGTTTAATCAATGATACTTACAGCTGGTGTTTGTGTGACATCACTGTGAATCCCCACCTGCAGACAATAGAAATATGCACTTTATTGGACAATTATTTTATTGCCGATGTGAGCTTTGTCTCTGATTGTCTCAGTGTCTCTAAGCGTCCTCACGTACCTGGTCGGAGCCTTGAGTTTCCTGCGGATGCCGATGTAGATCTTCATGGACTTCAGAGACCACTCCTTCTCTGGCTTGATGCTCTGAAGAAGGACATAGACGACTGAGGGGACGGGGACATAGAGTTTCTACTGGTGGACACAGAGGTCATGTCTCACTGCACGTTACCTTCTTGTCCTTGAGCAGCAGCAGCTTGTGGTTTATGATCTGGAACGTCCTTTCCTGGAACTTGTTGCCCTGAAGGAGCTTTGGAGGTTCTTCTCGACACCTCAGGAGACCGATCTTCATGATCTCACTCTTATAGGCTGGACACAAAAACGGGGACGGACAAAGGATATGGGGCGGACATGGGGAGAGAGAGACAGAGTCCGTCTCAGGTCTCACGGATTAGAACTAAAGTTTAAGAACTATAGACTAGTTTATAGAGGATGAATTATGCATTTATTCATCATTTAATCCTTCTTCTTTGTGTAGTACAGTGAGTAGTATAGTGTGTAATACAGTGAGTAGTATAGTGTGTAGTACAGTGAGTAATATAGTGTGTAGTAGTGTGTAGTACAGTAAGTAGTATAGTGAGTAGTAGAGTGTGTAGTATAGTGTGTAGTACAGTGAGTAGTATAGTGTGTAGAGTGAGTAGTATAGTGTGTAGTACAGTGAGTAGTATAGTGTGTAGTACAGTGAGTAATATAGTGTGTAGTAGTGTGTAGTACAGTAAGTAGTATAGTGAGTAGTAGAGTGTGTAGTATAGTGTGTAGTACAGTGAGTAGTATAGTGTGTCGTATAGTGACTAGTATGGTGTGTAGTACAGTGTGGAGTACAGTGTGTAGTACAGTGACTAGTATGCTGTGTAGTACAGTGACTAGTATGATGTGTAGTGCAGTCAGTAGTATAGTGTGTAGTACAGTGTGTAGCATTGTATGAGGTCATCAGGACCTACAGGTGAGCAGGGTGATTCCTTCTCCTTTAGGAACTCTCTTCACCACCAGGTAGGCGGAGCTTGGGTCGGCCATTTTGCACCACTGCAGAGCCTGCTCCAGGACTCTCTCTTTGGGGTGTAACGGACGCTCTGACACAAAAACATTAACAACATGTCAGCAACAACAACACATTCATAATCGCCCCTCAGCTGGAGCGTAAACTACCCGAGAAGAATCAGTGGAAGAGGAGCTTCAATGCTCTCTCTCCTATAAAGCGCAGTCCCATAATTCCTTGCGTTGGAAACATTCAAAGCAGCGGAGAACAAAAAGGGGAAAATTGGAGATTTAATGAGCAGGAGAACAAAGAGAAAACAGCTTAAAGTTCATAGACATACATGTAAACCAACAGGAAGCACCTGCTGATTATTAAAGAGCTGAACTGTAGCATCAGGTTAAGAAGCACCACCAATGATCCGTCCCCAAGGCCCCCCCTCAGGCCGTCTCGCTGTCTCACCCAGCTGTCCGTCTTCCATTGCTTCAAACGTCATCCACAAGTCTTTGTCCCCGGCCGGGACGTTCCTCATGAACAGAACCTGATTGGTCAGCTCCTCGGCACTCATGGTGGGAGACACCTGCAGGTCACAACAACCACCACCATCAGGTAACGTGCCAAAGACCTCCAGCAGGACCACGCTTCATACCTTCATAATCAACATGGATCATGAACCACTAATGCTTTGATAATCAATACGGGACGTACTTTGAGAGTGATGCAGCAGTCTGGAGTCTTCTTCTCCAGATAGACCTCAATGATCAGGTCACCTGCCTGAGAAAGCTGCACGCAGATATTCACTTATTAACAATTAAGAACTAATCAATAGACCTCAATGATCCTTTATTCATAGTAAATAATAAATACATTTATTACACATTCATGTTCTGACCACAATCTATTTAAGTTATCAATGAAGGTCCAGCGGAATCTGGTTCAATATTTTGAGGCTTTAAAATAACTGATTTGTAATTATTGTTGTTTTTATGAACGAATTGAATTTGTTTTTGATAAGCAGGTCAGCTGACGAATAACCTGAAGTACCTGAGTGTCCTTCCAGGTGGTGATGAGGCTGATCTCCAGCTCGATCTGAGTCTGATGCTCCTCATCGATCTGAAACAACAGGTTCACAGGTACTAGTACTCACAAGTAGTAGTACTCACATCACAGGTTCACAGGTACTAGTACTCACAGGTAGTAGTACTCACATCAAAGAGGTACAGATAGTTGTCGATGAGGTCCTCGATAATCTTCACCTCATGCTCCCCCTTCCCGTCCGTCTGGAACAGACTGGGAGCAAACAGCAGCGACAGGTTCTTGGTGCACATCTGGTTCAGATCGGCACACTTCTGGACCCTGAGCGGGGGGGACGGGGGGGGGGGGGGGGGGACAGGGGGACTTGGTTACCTAACCCGGAGTCAAAAGGTTCTGGAGCCCCAGCGTGTAGCGGCGTGAGCTCACCTGTACAGGGGGCCGAACACAGCTGCCAGCGTGGGGCGGTTGACCCCAGGGAAACTCTGAATGATCTCCTTGTAGCGGTCCAGTCCCTGACCCTTCTGGGGGATTTCTGAGGAAACAAAACCACTGACTTTGAGCTCTCTGTTATATATTATACATATATCCATGTATATCATGATATGTATTCATATATCTCATATATATAAAACACATATCAATATATAATGTATATTTATAATATTAATCAATATCTATATAATATATATCATATACAGTATTACATGATATGTCATTTAGCTGACGCTTTTATCCAAAGCGACTGGTTTTTACATTTTAGAGCAGTTAGTGGTCAGGTGTCTTTCCCAGGGACATGGGACATGGGACATGGGACATGGAGCAGCCGGGCTCCATTGCCAACCTTGCGGTTCCCGCCGCACACTGTCTACTGCACCTAATGTTATAAATGTATTTGTGTATTGTGATGAGCGTCCCAAGCCCACATCAGCGTTGCCCTGGAACCCACAAGGAACACCTGCTCACCACTCATCACGAGCTGAGTGGCCACACCTGCAGCTCGTCAGCTCCGCTGCATTTAAGCTGCAGGTTCAGAAGGAACAAGGAGGCCCCCTGGAGAAGACCTAAGGCTAACCCTCTTGTGTGCCATTCTCTCTCTAGAAAGCAGCGAGTGACCCGACGGAACCCCTGGAGCACTGCACCGACTCCCCCACAAGCGGACTCACCACGAGCGCCAGGGCCCGCAAAACCTCGCAAGCTGGACCTCTCCTAATTAACTCTACGGGTGTAAATAAACCTTGCCCTCCGGGGACTTCACTTGAGCTGTTGTGTAGTCTGTTCCTTCCACCCCGCCACAGTATGTATATACTGACGTCTTGTACTATACAGTTCACAGTACTAGACGTCAGTACATCCGTACTTAAAGTATCTCCATGTTCTGATACTTCTTTTACTCTCACAAACTCACTGCGTTATATTACATTTGACATTCCGAGTTACTTTGTACAAATGTATCGAACTCATTTGATACAAAGTAGTACTACACTAATAATGTACTCCATGTAGTATTCACAGCATTGAAAACTACAACATTATGATGGCTCTAAAATAAATAGGAATCTCTAATAATATTTCTTGTGTTTTTCTACTTCTACTGAAGTAAAAATATTTTTGCCGCCACCACCAGCTGATGACATAAATAATAAAATATCCCAAAAATGTAAACGTCAACCATCTCTTGGTGTTTTAATAAAAATCTTATTTCTGTATTTGATTATCTTCATGTATGTTACATCTTCACCACATGCTGGTTTGGATCAAAGGTCAGAACCAACAAGAAAGAAGAACGCTAATCTATGATTATATATGATATGAAGTAAACCTCTCTGAGGCCTTGGGGAGCCTCAAACCTTCATGAACACAAGAGGAGCCTCCTCACACGGAACCCTGGAGACGGTCTTAGAACTGATCCGAGACCTGCTCAGTGACCTACGACCCTGAACCCTAAAGAGAACTCACTGGCAGCCCCCTGCCACAGCGAGTGGAGGTCGGCCATGAAGACGGGGTCCTCCACTTCCCTGAAGAACCTCTTAAGGACGTCCGTCACGTCCTCGATGAAGTGGTCTCCGATTCTCAGCTTCACGTTTCGGGCGTCTTTACGGAACTCCTCCATCAGGAGCTTGATTCTGGAGTTGGCCCCGTTCTTCCTGTAGATCCCCTCATGGCCAAGACCTGCAGGGTAGGAGGGTCAGGAACCTGCAGAGAACCTGAACTGGATCAGGTACCTTACCCCCGGAGCTAAGAGGGTCAAGCACGCTAACCTGAAGATGTCCCGGATCAAACAGGAGCCATCATTCCACATGCAAGATGTATATTGAAAAAGGAGCGGGAAAGGCAGGAGGGAGGAGGGAGGAGAGGAGGAGGGGAGGAGGCAAGAGGGTAGATGACCACTCCCTGTTTGAACTTCACAATAAAAGCCTTTGGATGTGAAACCAAAAGAACCTTCAGACTCTTCTATGTTCTGCTTCAGAAAACAGTCTAGAACAGATGAGATGGAGCCTCTGCGGCGGTTCCTGCTGGTTCTGGTTCCTCACCGTACTGTGTGATGAAGGCCAGGCAGCTGTCCACGATAATGGGGATGTCGTTCCTGCTCAGCTGCTGCTCCCTCAGAGCGTTCCCTTTGCCTCCGGCCGCCCGCTGGATGTCCGAGTACCACAGAGAGAAGTCCATGCGGCCCACGCCCTGCAGGTGCAGAGTCCTGGTGGGGAGAGGAACTGTGAGCATCTGGGTCTGAGGATCTGATGTTCTCCAGCAGAGAAACACTTCATCTCACCTTCCCTTTTCTACTAGGACCAGGATGTCCTTCTTTTCGTGGTTCTCTGTCTCGAAGGTGACACCTTCAACGCAAAAAGAGACAGGTTTTAATCTGAGCCACAGACCCAGTGCTAGTGGACCAGAACCAGGACTCACTGAGTTCCTGCAGGCAGTTCAGGTTGATGATGTCCTCCGCTGCCCCGTCGGTTCGGGGGCAGATGAAGAGGTTTGACTTCTGCAGGACAAAGAAGGCCTCCTTCCACCGCTGTGGGTCCAGCATTGCTCGGTATCGCAGCAGGCCAACGCGCTCAAACTCCCGGGTCAGCAGGCAGTGACAGCTGAGGGGGGTGGAGGCCTGAGGGAAAGGAATGAGGACATGACTCCCTCCCCCCTTCCTCTGCTCCTGCTCCTCCGCCCTTAGTTAGCGGGTGTCTCACCTTCCCGATGGATTGGGTCCAGCTGTGCAGAACGTTAGCCGTCTCCAAACCAAACTGGTAAAGTTTCTCTGAAGTAAGATACAACTCGAAGGTGTAACGGAACCTGAGAGGAGGACAGACGAAGGGATAGAGGACATGTCTTCGTAAGGACGTGAGACGAAACCGACGTGGACCTCATGAAGGTGTCGAGGGGGACGAACCTGTCAATGAAGCCGCTGCTGTTGTTGGAGGAATCGGGGCGACTGACCCCCAGACACACAATGTCCTTCACGCTTATCTGAAGGCAGGGATCGGAGGAGCGGTCCGACTCGTAGAGGACCAGAGAGCGGTCCACGGTGCACCAGAACTTCTGGAAATCTGAGGACCACACATCGGGTTCATTTTAACTGGGGGCGGGGGGGGACTGGAGTCAGTTCAGGTAAATCTGAGGAACATCTAGATCAGAGTTGCTTAATAGGCCATTGAAAAAAAACGAGTGCTAATTAATAATCCTTTGTTACTAATGGACACATTTAATCTGATACAAAAGCAACCCTGACACTCAGTGGAAGTCATCCCAGTGTTGTTTTGTTAATACCGATTTGTTTTGCACTAACTCAGGAAGATCTAAAGGAGCAAAGTCAGTCCAGATGAATCCACCCCCCTCTGTCCTCCCCCCCTCCCCTCCCACCTTCTCTGGTCTTCCTGGACAGCGTCCCCCTGTGGACCGAGGAGGACTTGTAGAGGTAACCTGAGTGAAGGACTGGCTGCATGATCTCGTCGTACACGCTGAGGTCTGAAGGGAGAGAAACACATAGCAAAGAAATCATCTTCAGACTGTGTTCCTGGTGCTGCTTCTGGTCCTAACTTGGGCTCCTCCACTGACTGACTCTTCTGAAATATTAATAGAAATATAAACATAAAAGAGCTCCTCAGCTCATGACAGGCGTGATGCAGTGAAGACCAGCAGAGACCAGTAGAGAACAGACCTGATTCCAGCTGGTGATGATGTCGCTGGCAGCCATTGGAGGCATCTGAGAAATGAACTGACTCCGCCTCAGCGAAAATGTGACTGACAGTTTTCAGAAGAGTTTGTTCAGAGACCGCGGAGCATAAGACCTGGTGACAGAGAGACAGAACTAGTTGTCACAACAGCAGAATGAGGACTCCGATATGATACCTGCCATAGATATCATGATACCCGATACGATACCATGCGAAGCAGTGATTTTAAGTATTGATTGATTGAACAGGCCGACTGAGGTGAAAGACCAGACTGCCTGTGGTGGGAACTGAAAAAGGCAAACCGTGTTTTCCGTGTCATGCAGTTGCATTCGCGAGGGGCTCAAGGGGAAAGTGGGGGTTTCCCATAAAGAGATGGGAGGTGATGCGTAAAGTGCTCATTGGTCTGTGCAGAAACCGGCCATGAAAGTGCGCCTCCGTTTGCCGCGGCGTTGACAACGCTACGTTTGCAAATGTACGTAAATGAGGCCCAGACAGAGAGACAGGTACTGAGAGACAGACAGACGTGTTCTGAGAGTCGGACCTTGAGCAGCTCCTCCTGGCTGTTGAATCCAGGATGGGGAAGTCGGTACCTGCCCTCTCGGTACTTCTGGGAGATGAAGTCTCTCCTCTGATCTGGAGACGCGTCAGCGTCCAGTTCCTCCGTCGCCGGCAGCCGGGCGGCCCAGAACTCGTTGGCACGGTCGTTCCCAAGCATGATGAACAGCTGGTGTTAGAGCGATGTCTCTTTAAGAACGTAGCGTGACAAATGACCACGGCCACGCATGCAACTATGGTTCTATGGGCTTTGTGCTCCTCATAGTTAGAGTAGCTTAGCATAGAACTATGCGCCCTCACCTGCACGATCTCGTTGCTCCACACGCTGGTGTCCAGTTTCAAGCTCTGAACCTTCGAGACCATCGTCCCCAGACCTCTGTGCTGCCCTGCAGACACACACACAACACAACACACACAAATGCAGACACACATTCAATCTTGTTTAATCAGACTGAAAGTTGTATTCTTCAGGATTTCATTATCGTGCGTGCGGGGAATGGAAACAAAAACCTCCCACGAGTTTGATGAAGAACATCAATGTCGACAAGTTTCAGACAGGACTAAACTCAGGAGGAGGAGAAACTCACACACACACACACACACACACACACACACACACACACACTACGGGTCTCAAGTCAGATCCGGGTACCTGCACAGTTCTTGCAGATGACCACACAAAGGTTGATGGAGGCCCAGTCCGGGTTCGGGGCCCTGCAGTCGGCACAGGTCCTGTTGGACCGGTTGGACCAGATCTTCTCGGCCACCTCGTAGTCCGACAGCGTCTCTGCGATGGCCTCCTGCAGCGCCTCCATCCAGTCACGCTTCTCCCGGTCTGACTCAGCCGTGAAGCTGAGGAGGAGGAGGGGCAGTTTTAAAACAAAGACCAGGGGAGACTAGAAGAGACCAACAGAAAATAAAGGAGACAAGCGGTAAAATATTTTCTAAGAAATGAAACCTGTCCGTGAGGCAAAAAAGGTTGGGGAGCCCTGGTCTACAGTATCTGGTCCACAGCTTCGGACCCTCAGAGGCCCAAAAGCCGTGGACCACCAGGGTTCGTGTGTGGTGTCACCTGAAGCTTTTTGTACGGAGTGATAAGGTCGAAGCTCTTGTGTTTTCCGTCTCTGATGGTCGCTCCACGAGCTTCAATCACCGTGATGCCGATTCTATTACGGAAACACTGCACACAAAGAGAAGGAGACACTGAGCTGCTGCCGAGGGAGGGTTCTGGTCTTTCAAGAGTTGGAGGATGGTGATGATGTCTCACCCAGCTCACTCTTGTAGATCCAGATCTGCTCTGTGTTAATGGCAGCGTACACCTTGGACTTGGTTCCTTTGAGCTCCAGAACTCCGTGTCTTTGACAGTGAGAACCGGGACCAAAGGGCCGCTGACCAAACACCAGCTGATCTCTGACGTGTTCCTGCAGGGTACCGACCCACCGGCGCCTCAGCGCTGAGGGGACATCATCACCATCATCATTACCACCATCATCATCACCACCGTCACCACCATCAGCACCATCCGCATTATCATCACCACCATTACCGGAGGGTCGCCACCCCCCCAACCGCTACCCCCCCAACCGCCACCCCAAGAAAGTCTCAAGAAAGTCTCTTTTTAGGGTTAGAGCTAAACCTACCCCATCATCATCGTCATTATACCTTCATTATCAGTCCTGAAGACAAAGATCCTGTGACTTGTCACCACTTCAAACTTGTTGTCCTTGGCTGGGCGGGCCATCTGAATGGCAGCCAATGGGATCACTCCTTTGGCATAGACGTCCTGAGACGGATCAGGGGACAAGAAACAGTTCAAAGACACAATCCAGACACTAAAGATCTTCTGCTAACAAGTGCTTCTACTCAAGTATAATTATGACGTGCTTTACTGTACTTCTTCTCTACATCTCAGGAAATAGTCATTATTGTACTTCTTACTGCTTTACATTTATTATAGATTAATAATCATGGTTTTAAATGTCTTTACGGATCTATTTGACTTTAAAGATATGCTTTCTCGTTTAACTCTAGAGGTACTCTTTACCTTCTCACTGCCAAAGTACATCAAGTTTTTTCCATCAAACTTCACGTAGCGCTTCTGGAAAACATAGTTCCTGAAAGATGAAACAGACGTCACATTCAGAGCCTCTTCCTCAGCAGAGACACAGATAGAAGAATCAAAGACACAAAAATATAAAAAGACACAAAGAAACTGAGGAATGGAGGAGAAGACAAACACACACCGAGCGGGGGACGATGAAGAAGAGGAAGAGAAGAAGAAGACGAGGCAGAGGCCACTCCTTAGGAGGAAGAAGATACAAGGGGGAGCAGAGAGGAGGAGATGCAGCACTGGAGCCAGCACTGACCTCTGACCCCTGACAAACAGACACATACACATCAACACTCTGATTGGACCACTATGATTGGCAGGGTAAGGCCCAACATCTGTTTAGACTCCATACTCAACATCTGTGTACACAACCAACATGAGGATACTTAGCATGCTAACATGATGCTACTTCATTCACCCAGGGACCCCAAAACCTCCTGAAGAACACCTGGAACCTAGAACCTGTGGTTTTATTCTGTCAGGTGGAACCCAGATCCACTCCAGTGGTCTTTCTCTCTCTGCATTACCGACTGCATAAATGAAACGCACCCCTGTGGAGACAGTTTGTCCAGCCAGCTGCTGATGATGGGCAGGGATCTCTCTGTCAGCGAGGCGTAGCTTGCATAGGGGGAGATGGTGAGGTCTTCGTCGGCCTCGGGGGAGAAGCTGTGGGTGGGCAGGGAGAGGTATCGGGCCGGATGAGGAGGTTCTCCCACGGTGCTGTAACCCTGAGAGTCTCCAGAGTGGAGAGCCTGGGACAGACACTTGGTCCAGGAGAACTTCTGGGGCCTGGAGGAGAAACATCTGCTTCATACATGTAGTAAAACTGATGAAGATTCTGATGCTTGAATTCTCAAATCCAAATGTAACTTCTGACATGCTACTTTTAGTACCTTTATTAACTTTAAAAATTCAACAGGAGCTTCACTTTGAGATGGCTGAATCTAAAATGAAGTTCTAGAGAATAAGAGTGGGCCACGCACAGAACCTTTTGGACTGCAGAGACACCCTTTAATGTTTTAAACCCAAAGACAATATTGTAATTGTGATATTGTAATAAACTCATTGTTTAGAAATAAGAATTGATTGATAAGAATAAGAATGATGAAGTCACGTTGACTTTGTTTGTCTGTATCCTTTTAATTGCAATTAGTGCCGTCTTGTTACCGTACAGTATTTAATCTATTAGCATACAAAGCTAATGCTGCTATTGTCTTACCCATGATCCTCTGCTAGTTTGTCCTCCAATCGTCTTCTTTCACTCTGCAGGAGGAACATTTCTGTCATCAAACACTACATTATAGGTGTCAGACTCAAGGCCCGCCGGGGGGGTCCAGTCCGGCCTGCCGGATGTCGTTGCTATTGTGAGAATTACAGAAAGACATAAATTGCATTTCTATAAAAGTCGCTGCTATTCCTAATCGCCCCACTGGGGTTCGCATGCGTTGGATCAATAGGTCGATGCCGCTAGTAACCGACCCTTGCTTACTACCGACATTTCATTTCACTTCATTCAAAAGCAACCGCTGGGTGGGCTGAATCGATCAGAGACCGTGGACCAGCGGTCATCCTCTCAGCAGGACGTTACACCTGGAGTAAAAATGGACACTTTTCTTCGTAGCGAGGGTCTTTGGGTGTCAACCAGAAAAGTGTGCGTCCTCTTCTGCCACGCCGGAATTGGGAGACATCCTGCGGTTTGGAGAAATCCACGGGAGTCAGAACAGCATTCCTGACTCAGCAGTCTTTGATGGAAAGGCCCAGATGTTTCAGAACCCAATCCAATGTCCACGGTTCACAGTGCTACAAAATAGTTTGGCTTTTACCGACTACGCTCGCCGTCTGGGTAGAAAAATGTCCCATCTAAATTAGACAAACCTTTTTCCATTTCCTGGGTTAAATGTGGGCAGCAGTGCTAAGCCCCCCCAGCCCCTCCAGCCCCCCCAGCGCCCCCAACGCCCCCAACGCTCAAAAAGAAAAATGCTGTTCAGGCATGAAATCTGTGTCGGCATTAACACGTTAACCTGCCCAGTCCTAATAATAATGTATATCTATCTATTCTATCAATATATCTTCATGTACTCTAAAGTATATGAATGTATATTCATATATATTCATGTATCTTCATATTTTAAAAGTATTTCCCCTACCATTGGAAAAAGGGGTCGTCCACCTCCAAGAAAGTCTGGAATAAAAAAGATTTTCTAGAACTGCAGACTCCTCGCTGCGCACGGCAGCACGCTGGCACCCGCGGACACACAGCGCGTGTCTGCAAAGACTATTTCACCGGGTGGAACATGTTGAACTAGTGACTCTTCCTGTTGCTCTCGTGCACTTTGCTCTCAACTCTCCGTCATTTGATGTGTTCGACGTGCCAACAACGTCCTCACATCCAATCCACTCGTTTAGGGACACAGGTCCTCTGCAGGGTAAATATGTAGATGGAAGTAGCCTAGCTGCTAGCTTAAAATAGCTTGAGCTATCAGTTAGCCTCCCGTGGAGGAATTCCTCTGCACAGCTCTTCTGTTTGTTTTACTTCCAATGCAAAAAAGCTCTCTGTATCCTCAGCTATGTTAGGGGTCAGAGGTCAACACACACCGAAAGGAAACGAAGCTGCGTTAAGTGATTTTAACGCATTAATCTCCATCACAATAATCTCATAGATTAACGCGTTAACTTTGACAGCCTTAATATTAATGTATCTTAATTGTTTTTTCATGGATCTTGATGTATTAATCTTAATCTGTGTTATTTTATCTTAATATATCTTGATGAATCCTAAAGTATATTAATGTGCCACCTTTACAATATTCCATTACAGCTCATTTATCTGACGCTTTTATCCTCATGGTTGAAGTGCATTCAACCATAAGGACACAAACTCAGAAGAACAAGAAACAAGAAAGTGAAATTTCCTCAAATAAGCATTTACAACTTGCTGTAGATAAGAACCATTATAAGTACAATTTAATTTGTTAAGTCTTTTTAGGCAAGGTACCTCGCAGGGGAGTGGGTGTCTCCTGCTCTGGAACACCGTCTCACAGTAGGGGCTGATCTCCTCCTGATCGTGTGTTGAAGCTGTTGATCAGAGGAGTTAGTGTGGTTATGGCAGCATTGATGATGAAGATGATGGTGGTGATGAAGACGAAGATGATGTGTCATCTGTACTCACCTGGAGCTGATCCGGAAGAGTTGTTACTCAAAGTGCTGCCGCTGAAAACACACAAACAATAAAGAAAAGTTAAGTCACACTGATCCAAAGAGAAGATCTGCAAATGAGATCCTGTTATAGGACTGCAATAGGAATATTAAAGCTGTTGTTGGTGGACCCTGGTCTAGAAACAGGTGTAGAGGGACCTACCTGTTCCTCTCAGGTGTTTGTCTTGGTGGAGTGGGAGGAGCTGACTGCTGGCCGTAGTAACTCCTCCCCGCAACGGGGGCAGTAGAGCCAGGTGAAGTCCCCCAGTAGATTTCATTGGAGACCATCTCCATGCCACCACCTCGGGGTGAACCGGGGGATTCAGAGAGCTGGCTGTCGTCAAGACTACCGGAAGAGAAAGTCACGGGATGTGTCTGGATCTGCTCAGTCCGTACAGGTGAAGATGAGGAGGATGAGGATGAGGATGGGGACCCCTGGAACTTGGCGGAGGAGACCCCGCGGTTCAGTCTCGGAGGAACAGGGGGCAACGACCCTCTGGCGTCTGACAGCGACAAGCTGCGACCCGGCTTCCTCCGCTCCGCCTGACTCGCGGTCGACTTGGAGGTGAAGCTGTGGTCGGATGTGGGCGTGTCCCCTGAGGTCATACCCTCCGACACAGAAAAAAAGATGGAGTCCTGGGAAAGCCTTCTGGAGGGCGGCGGCGCGTCTGTCGTTGCACAGAAGTGGACGGGAGCGGTCCTCCGCCGGTTAAAGACGGTTCTAGGTTTGGGAACCGGCTTCACCAAAGGGCGGCTGCCCTCACGGCCGGTCAACATGTCGGCCAGGTTTGGAGCCGAGCAGTTCCTGAACGCCTCAAAGTTTATGGGTCCTGGCGACCGACCGTGAGCTCGCTGTGAGGAGGACACGTCCGACACAGACTGACAGCGGTCCCGTGGGGGATTAGCTTTCTGATTGGCTCTCTGGCTCTCCATCCGCTGGAGGTGACGGACCAATCGTAGGATTCTCTTCCTGTGTCCAGTGGCAGTTATTCCCAGACTGACAAACGCATCGTTGTCCAGGTGTGTAAAGTCTCGAGCCGAGAGGAGACCGGCTCCATGGAAGGTGTCCAGGTACCTGGAGTCAAAGACAGAAAAACTGAACTTCTAGAGGAAAAACTCTTTGCTTAAACTCATCATGTTGACAGTAAATGTCCATAAAACATTGCAATGTGTTCCATGATACGTGCTACAACTTAGCCCTCCCTACCTATGTTGAATGCTTCATGCTAACAACTTAGCCCTCCCTGCCTATGTTGAATGCTTCATGCTAACAACTTAGCCCTCCCTATGTTGAATGCTTCGTGCTAATAACTTAGCCCACCCTGCCTATGTAGAATGCTTCATGCTAACAACTTAGCCCTCCCTGCCTATGTTGAATGCTTCATGCTAACAACTTAGCCCTCCCTATGTTGAATGCTTCATGCTAACAACTTAGCCCTCCCTATGTTGAATGCTTCATGCTAATAACTTAGCCCACCCTGCCTATGTAGAATGCTTCATGCTAACAACTTAGCCCTCCCTGCCTATGTTGAATGCTTCATGCTAACAACTTAGCCCTCCCTGCCTATGTTGAATGCTTCATGCTAACAACTTAGCCCTCCCTGCCTATGTTGAATGCTTCATGCTAACAACTTAGCCCACCCTGCCTATGTAGAATGCTTCATGCTAACAACTTAGCCCTCCCTGCCTATGTTGAATGCTTCATGCTAACAACTTAGCCCTCCCAGCCTAGTGATAGATGGTTGAATCAGTGACACTGTTTGCTAATTGAACCTCTCCAGAAGAATCGCAGCCAGAAGTATCTCAACAGCAGTGTTTCCGTCCAGCAAGGCCATGATGACCAACATGGGCTCCAGATCTGACTCGGTCTCCTCCACGTCCAGGAAGCCTGGCGGCCATCACTGACCTACTGCAACGAAAAGACAGCAGCGGTCCATCTGGGGGAGATAATGTTTTACGGTAGAGCTACATCAACCGCTTTTGCTGAGTGTTCAGTCACCGAGGAACAGGATTCACATCTCCATATTTGAAGAAAAGGATCCAGCTTATTACTAAATAACTGATAACTAATTATTCAGCGCTCAGCTAAGTGATTGATTGGCTAATGAATAAATCCCTGGTCTGTAGTGGACCTGAACATCATCGTCATCGACACAACCGTATGAGTCTTTTGAAGCAGAATGATCACTCTTGTGCATCATAAGAGTCGTAGTGTTTCCACGACAGACATGGGAGGCATTTGGTGACAAACACACAAGCTCCCACGTGAAATAAAGACTTCAAGTGATGATAATGATAAGAATCTAATCATATCAGTTCTGTCAGAGGCAAGCAGCAGGAAACGTAAGATCAACGAGAAACCAGCTGACTCCACATGAACCCAGATCCACATGAATTCAGATCCACATGAACCCAGATCCACATGAATTCAGATCCACATGAACCCAGATCCACATGAACCCAGATCCACATGAATTCAGATCCACATGAATTCAGATCCACATGAACCCAGATCCAGAGTCTCTTCACACTACTTGAATCTGTGTTTACATTTCTCGTTTCTGGATTATACTTGACACGCACACACTTCCACGCACACACTCACACACACACACACACACACATACACACACACACACGCACACAACCCTACACAATGTAATGACAAGAAAAGCCAAAGCAACACACTCACACTGAGGTCAGCAGCATGAGGACAAAGGAGAAGGAGGAAGTGACTCACAGCAGCTTCCTCCTGTCGACCTTTTTCCCCCTGCAGACATCAGCGTCTACATCCCCTTCATCATCATCATCATCATCCTCGCCCCTTCATATTCATCCCCTTCACCCACATCTTCATCATCCGCCTCTTCATCTTCATTGTCTTCACATCATCATTGTCAGGGTTGACATATTTCACTGAACTATTTTCCTGTTATTGTTGTTATTTTATTATTATTTGATTTGATTGTAGCTGCTTTGTATCTCAATAATAAATACTTGGTGTTATTAATTAAGATGAATCCGCAGAGAAGGATATATTATAAATATATAGAAAAACCCTCTCACCTCGGACAAAACCTGTTTGTGCCCCTTCCATCTGCAGGAGGCTGAGGTCCATCAGGACTAAGACCTCCCGCCACACCAACAGTTTCTTCCCGTCGGCAGTCGGGCTCATCAACAGAGCCGGTCCCCCACTGCCTGACAGACTGACTGACTGACTGACAGACTGACATCCCACCGGTCACTCCCTTCACACTGCACATGCACACACACATACACCTGTCCCCTTCACATACACTCACAACACAGTTGTGTAAAGTATGGTTGTCTGTTCGCTGGTGCACTTTATTTTTAACTTTTGTTCATTTGTTATTTAAATTCCTTCTCATCCTTTATTTTTAAATGTTTTATCCCCTTAGCCCATAGGCATATATTTTATTTCATACCGTAGAGTAAAATTGTAAATTTGTAAATTGAACATTTTTTTGCACTATGTGCTGTCCATTGTCTTAATATTATCCCCCTCCTCTTCTTTATTATTATCCTCCTCATCCTCTTTATCATCGTTACTTCTCCTCCTCCTGTTCCTTTAGCTGTGGGGGAACAAGGCTAGCTGTACAGTATGCTACGCTAAGCTAAGCTAACAACATGAGACTTACGGTACTCTTGAACACAAACTCTGAATCAATAAACAGATGAATGAGACACAAAGTCACAATCTGGGGAACTTTTGATTGGACGAAAAACTGCAAATCACAGCAAACAGCCTCTTCGACAAAGATCTCTGTGAGCACAAGAGACAAGAAGAGAGAGACAGAGAGAGAGAGATAACAGAGAGGCTCTATGGTGACCAACAGAGGGTTGATTGTTACAGAGCACAACCGCCGAGGCACACTAGGAACTCTGGGTAACAGTGAGACAAGCTAAGAACTCTGGGTAACTGTGAGACAAGCTAAGAACTCTGGGTATCAGTGAGACAAGCTAAGAACTCTGGGTAACTGTGAGACAAGCTAAGAACTCTGGATAACAGTGAGACAAGCTAGGAACTCTGGGTAACTGTGAGACAAGCTAAGAACTCTGGGTAACTGTGAGACAAGCTAAGAACTCTGGGTATCAGTGAGACAAGCTAAGAACTCTGGGTAACAGTGAGACAAGCTAAGAACTCTGGGTAACAGTGAGACAAGCTAAGAACTCTGGGTAACTGTGAGACAAGCTAAGAACTCTGGGTAACAGTGGTTGGGTTGATCATTCAAATATTTTTTCTTTTCACGGAAAAGCACCCATAGGATCAGAGCCTCCTCTAGCAACAGACAACTCCTCCATAATCGGAACTTCCCTTTGGATCAGAACCTCCCCAAAGATCAGAACCTCCTCCATAACCACAACCTTCGTTAGGATCAGATTCTACCCTGAGATAAGAACCTCCTTTAGGACAAGAACTTCTTACACAATCAGTCCCTCCCTTAGGAATCAGAATCTCATTTGGGTTCAGGACCATATCCTCCCTTGGGACCAGAACCCCCTCCAGAACCAAACCTTCCCTTATAGGACCCAAACCTCCTTCAGGACCATATCCTCCCTTGGGACCAGAACCCCCTCCAGAATCAAACCTTCCATTATAGGACCAGAACCTCCTACAGGACCAAACCCTCCTTCAAGATCAGAGCCTCCAGGTCAACATATCAGATGTTGCTCCTTTAAGTGAAGATGAGTCATTACATCACAGTTCTCTATCTGGTCTGACTTCTGGTCCTATTCAGGAGAACAAGTGCCGCCTAGTACATTGACAGTGGTCTAGTACTATGAAGAGGTTACTGGTACTATGAAGAGGTTACTGGTACTATGAAGGTGGTCTAGCACCAAGGGCGTAACCATGGTTTAGACATTGGGGGGGTCCGCTGGACACTACGGCCGGCGGTGAGGGGGTGTGGCTTTCCTGGTGCTTTTTGTGTGGCTTTGCTTCGTCGGCGCTGAGCGGCCATCAGAGAGGACGCTCAGGCCGGTCGGCCCCGGTGCGTTTTGCTTAACAAACAGAAATAAATTGAAAATAAATAAGACAAACAAGAGACCGATCCATTGACAGGGTTCATAAAAGGAGAACATATATTTTACATATTTTCTGCTGTATATTGGAGGGACAGATTGGTATTTTCTCATTATTGGGGGGACACGACCCGCCCAAAGAATGCGTGGTTACGCCTTTGTCTGGTGCTAAAAAAAGTCAAGTACTATGATGTCTGGTGCTGGTAGGTACTCTAGTACTATGAGGGTAGTCTGGTACTATGAAGGTAGTTTGTTACTATGGTGGTATTTTAGTACCCCGAAGGTATTCTGGTACTACCAATGTTAGAAAAGGCATTCAAAGTTTACTGTGGCGTTTCAGCTGTAACAGGAAGTTGAGTTTCCTCTTGACAGGATGTTTGTTTTTTTACATGGGAATGTCTCACTGCATGTCTCAAGGAATGTCTCACTGCACCTAAAATTACATTTTCTCACTTCATGTCTCCCTGAATGTCTCAGTGAATGTTTCATGGCATGTCTCACTGCATGTATAACTAAATGTCTCACTTCATGTCTCCCTGAATGTCTCAGTGAATGTTTCATGGCATGTCTCACTGCATGTATAACTAAATGTCTCACTTCATGTCTCCCTGAATGTCTCATTGCATGTCTTGCTGCAGGTTTCACTGCATGTTTAACTAAATGAATACCGTCTTTTTGCCAGTGTTATTTCATTAGAACGTTATCATTGAATCACATTATCTGTATTAGATATTGTTAGTTCGCTTTTTAGTCCGTATTGATTATCATGCATTATATCAATGAATCGTCTCTCGTTTATTGGGGTCTCTCGTCAAAGACGCGTCTGTCTCCACTTAGCGCCAAACCCTGTTTGCGTCTTTCTGAAACTTCCCCCAAATGCAACCCTAACCCCCAAAACCAGAAGCGAGTCAGAACCAGGACTCTGTCCGGACTCTGAAGGACTCACAGACCGGCTCTTCAGTCTGAGACCAAAACACGAGTCAAGTCTCACCTCTGATCCGATCCGGGTTCTGGTCTCCACCCTGGACCAATTTGTGGTCTCTGTCCGCGTCCGGCTTCTGGTCTCTGCAGGTCTCTGTCCCGGTACGTGAACCACTGAGGTCCGGAGCCGCCCTCAGTCACACTGGGAGCTCTGGGAGGAGAAATCTCACGCTTCACTGGATCATAACCGATGGGGCTTCCGTTTCAAAATAAAGGCTCAAAATAAAAGCTACGTTTGAACAAACTGCTTCCGCTGCATCGAATAAATATCGACGTTCACGTTATTGTATATGAACCCCAAATATATCAGTAACTATCAATGCAGAGTAACAATATTACTACACATTTAAGGTTTACACATTTCCCTCTGAATTAATATTCCATCAATTGAATAAAACTGTAATTTAAAATAAATCAGTGAATAAATGAATACACCTTAACCCTGTCCATACTGTTAAAGACAATAATATGAAAATATAAAAGACAATACTCTGATCGACATAATGGTGAGTAATTAAAAGTAGGATATCATATAAATATGGTCATTCTTCAGATTTACTTCAATAACAAAGTGTACTTTAGTGAGATCAATGATCACAGATAGTTATAATTAGTTACTAATATATATTATATTATTGTTCTGTGTTGTGGTTGAGCTTCCTGTCTCCATATGATGGACTGGCCTCAGCGCTTGTGAGGAGTCCCAGACCTCCTGATGGAGTGAAGCGGTTTCTCTGTAATCCTTATTGGCCTCGCAGAGGCTTCTTCTGACCGCGAAGCGACAGAAGGGTTTCCTCCTCTCACTCCGGTAACCACGGTGATATTGTGGTCGGTCCACATGGACAAAGGAGCAGTACTGACCCCGTTGTACTTGTACCTGGGTGGAAAAGGACATGACGCCCTGTCCTCTGTGAGCAGAATAAGAAGCTGGAACGTTTCCCCCAAAGCTCAAACAACAATCACAGACAGGAAACAGGAAACAGGAAACCGGAAGTGCCTGAGACAATACAGAGAGGATCCGGAGGCCAGTAACATTTTACAGGCACCAAAGAAGAAGGAAGCAATGGAACAAGAAGCGTCCTCATTACGCTCTCAGCAGCCGCCTCCCCTCCTTTTTATATATATATATATATATATTATATACTTACGAATACAAGAACTACACACAAAGACATCTTTGTTGTATGGTACCCAATGTATCTATATAAAGAATAATCATATCACTCTGAACATGTGTGGTTTTGTGATGTTAGTATAGCTAAAGAGGAGGACAGGTATAAGCGCTTCCACAAGTTGTGGAGTTGGATTGTGGACACGACCCCTGAACATGTGTGTGATCCAACGGGAGGAAATCATGAATTATCTTTGTTTGGCTCTTTGTCCTTTACTTTAGTCTTGGTCACATTTCATAACCAATAAACGTAGGACTCATGAAATCATCTCTGTTTCACTTGGTGTCTTTATTAATCTGCAGTAATGGGGGTAACACCGAGCATGTGGCCGTAGAACCACAGAAGACAAATAAGACGTTTGAGTCCCTCAGGTCTCCTCGTCCTCGCTGTTGTGCATCCTGTCCTCGCTCAGGCCACTCTCGTCGATGTTCTCCAGGGAGTCGGCCCTCTGGAGGCTCAGGTCCTGGAGGCTGACGCAGGGCAGCTGGTTCTGTTCCGGGAAGGTCCAGGGCTTGTAACCCGGGTCGTGCTTCCTCTTCCAGTCCGGGTACTTCAGAGACGCCTTGTAGATCTTCCTCATGGCCTGGATGGGCGAGGTGGCCTCCGTTTGTAGTCATATTCATAGGGTGATACTTTTTACTTATGAGAAGACTTTTACCTTTGGAGCCACAAACTGAGAGACACGGTTCACCACCCACATCGGTAACGAACCTGCAGACAGAATGCACAACAGGGGACGTTACAGAGCCTCCTGTCTCTGTGAGGACACATGGGTCCTCTCGAAAAAAAACAACCACATCAACAAATTTCTCTTTTTAAGATTTATGGACTGTTTTAGAAGGTGAGGACATTCCGGGAGCGTTAGGACTTTTAAGGACAGCTTGAGGGACAAGAAAAGGCCCATTGATATCATAACACAGCACCTCGTGGGTCCATCTGGGTCAGGTAGTAGAGGGTGGAGCAGCCAGCTCCGTTAGGCTGGATCAGGTATCCAGTCTGCAGGGACACGGCTCGAACGTAGTCCTTCTTGGGCGGGTGTTGCTGAGGAGACACCGGGAGGAGAACTTTTATGTGCCAGCTCACATTCTCTAGACTCCATCTTTAAACATCAGGAAACATCTGCTAAACAAGTCAGGATAATCCCACATATGGAGAACAAAGCTGAAGGACCATAGTTACGTGTATACCGGGGGCCAGAGCGGGCGACATTGAGTCTTATCTTAAACTGCTGGCTAAGGATAAACGTAAATACAGTAAGATTGTAATACATGTCGGCGGCAATGATTCCCGATTACGTTGCTCGGAGGTCACTAAAGTTAATGTGTAATCGGTGTGTACATACGCTAAAACAATGTCGGACACCGTAGTTTTCTCTGGCCCTCCCAAACTGGACCCGTGACGTCATGTACAGCCGCATGTCGTCATTCCGCCGCTGGTTGTCGAGGTGGTGCCCAGTAAATAATGTGGGCTTCGTTGATCACTGGAAGACGTTTTGAGGAGAGCCTGGTCTGATTAGGAGGGACGGCATCCATCCCACTTTGGATGGAGCTGAACTTCTTTCTAAGAACCTGACCCAGTTTCTTAGTGGACTTGATCCATGAGCCAGAGTTCAGACCAGGGAGCAGAGTCGCAGTCACTCAGCATAATGAACCCTATAGAGACCTTGTCTGCCCCACGGACACACTTATCTAAGTTAGAGGTAAACAACCCAGGAGTTGTAGTAAATAACTTAATTAAAGTTAAAACTAATAATGCAATAGTGCAACAAAGTAGGAGAATTAAAGGGGGTCTTTTGAATATCAGATCTCTGTCATCTAAAGCGGTTTTGGTAAATGAGCTAATATCAGATCACCATGTTGATGTATTTTGTCTTACTGAAACGTGGTTGTTGAATGGGGAATATTTCTGTTTAAATGAAGCGACTCCTCCGAGTCATGTTAATACTCATATTCCCCAAAACTGTGGATGTCGACAACGACAGCCTTAGTACTGCATTCCTTTCATTGTTAGATTCAATTGGTTTCTGTCAGTGTGTAAATAAACCAACTCACTGTTTTAACCACACTCTCGACTTGGTTCTTGTGTATGGGATTGGGATTGAACATTTAACAATGTTTCCACAGAACCCTCTCCTGTCGGACCATTGTCTGATAACCTTTGAATTTCTACTATCGGAACCATCTCCTCCTGCCAAGGGTTTCTACAGTCGACGCTTATCGGATACCGCTGTAGCCTCATTTAAAGAAGCCATTCCTTCTGCTCTAAGTTCAGTGCCCTGCCTCAAGATACAAGAAGACTCCTGTGAGAACCTCAGTCCGTCCCAGATCGATAATTTTGTCGATACTGCTACAGGCTCTTTGAGAGTGGCGCTGGACGCTATTGCTCCTCTGGAAAGAAGAATAGCAACAAGAAGGAAGTCTGCTCCGTGGTATAACCCTCAAACACGGAGCCTAAAGCAAACTGTGCAGAAACTTGAACGATTATGGCGTTCCACCAAATCAGAAGGATCTAGGCTAGTTTGGCAAGACAGCCTTAAAACGTATAAGAAGGCTCTCCGTAACGCAAGAGCATCTTATTACTCATCATTAATAGAGAAAAATAAAAACAACTCCAGGTTTCTCTTCAGCGCTGTAGCCCGACTGACAGAGAGTCACAGCTCTGTCGAGCCGTGTATTCCTTTGGACCTCACTAGTAACGACTTCATGAACTTCTTCAATGAGAAGATTCTGACTATCAAAGAGAAAATTGATGGTGTCCTGCCTTCAACCAGTGCCGACCTGTCCTCCGATGTAGGAACCTTGGATGCAGCAGTGGGCCCTGATGCCTGTTTGGATGCCTTCTCTTCTATCAACCTTGATCAACTGACTTCTTTATTTTCAAAGTCTAAATCTTCTACTTGTCTCTTGGATCCGGAAGTTTTTCCTTTAGTTAGCACATCCTTATTAGATATTATGAATCTGTCTTTGTTGACAGGACATGTACCACAGTCCTACAAGGTAGCTGTAATTAAACCTCTTCTTAAGAAACCTACTCTTGCTCCAGAGGTGTTGGCTAACTACAGACCCACAAGGTTCTGTACTTGGATCGATTTTATTTACCCTCTATATGCTTCCTTTGGGCGATCTTATCAGGAAACACCGCATAAACTTCCATTGTTATGCAGACGATACCCAACTGTATCTGTCGATCAAACCAGAAGAGACGGACCAGCTAGTTAGACTTCAAGAATGTCTTGGAGACATCAAAACTTGGATGACCGGCAACTTCCTGATGCTAAACTCAGAAAAAACAGAAGTTATCCTGATAGGCCCAGAGCGCCTTCGAAGCCAGCTGTCACGTGATACAGTTTTTATGGATGGAATTGCTCTGGTACCCAGCAGCACCGTCAGGAATCTAGGAGTTCCAGGATATGACCTTCAACTCGCATATAAAGAAGACTTCAAGGACCGCCTATTTTCATCTACGTAACATATCAAAAATCAGGAACTTCCTGTCTCAAAGTGATGCAGACAAATTTGTTCATGCGTTTGTCACTTCCAGACTGGACTACTGTAATTCTTTGTTATCAGGCTGCTCTTGTAAATCTCTTAAGCCTCTCCAGTTGATTCAGAATGCTGCAGCACGTGTATTAACAAGAACTAAGAAAAGGGATCATATCACTCCTGTATTAACTTCTCTGCACTGGCTCCCTGTTAAATCAAGAATAGATTTTAAGGTACTTCTCCTCACCTACAAGGCACTTGGTGGTGAGGCACCGTCGTATCTTAAAGAGCTTGTAACACCTTATTGCCCTACAAGGCAGCTGCGCTCCATAGATGCTGGTTACTTGTTGTTCCTATGGTTTTAAAAAGTAGGCCGGGGGCCAGAGCCTTCAGTTATCAAGCTCCTCTTTTGTGGAACCAGGTTCCACTTTCAGTCCAGGGGGCAGATTCGGTCAGCTCTTTTAAAGTAAAACTTAAAACGTTCCTCTTTGATTCTGCCTATAGTTAGGGCTGGCTCAGGTTAGCCCGGACCAGCCCTTAGTTAAGCTGCTATCGGCTTAGAATGCCGGGGGACTTCTTAGGACACACAAGCTCCTCTCTCACGCTCTCGTTCTACCATAATTCACGTTTTATTAATGCACATCACTAATTCAGCTTCTCTCCGGGAGTTTTTTGTGCTTTCTCCCCTATCAGGTCTCCGTAGATCGTGGTTCCTTCTGGACCCTGGTCCTGACACCTGCCGTGGCCCTGCTGACGCCTGCTGCTGCCATCATCATCATCATCATTATTATCATCATCATCATTATTATTTTAGATATTAATCATATTACTGTTCTCATAAACCAACATTACCCTCTCCTAAAGTCTCTGTGCTCTCCCTCCCCACAGGCTTCTGTGGATGGTGGTTCTATGTGATGGTGGTTCTATGGTTGGTTCTATGGTGGTGGTCCCTGCAGTGGTCCTGCTGTGCGTCTGGTTTACTACTCACAGTTACTTGAATCATTCCTGTCATATAGTCTCATGTATTATACATTGTTCATTCTGTACACATGACATCATTGTAGTCGTCCATCAGGAGACGGATCCTCCTCTGACGTTCTCACTCAGGTTTCTTCCCTTTTTTTCCCTCTTGGAAGGGTTTTTTTCATTTTTTTGGGAGTTTTTCCAGAGGATGTCGTATGTGTACAGACTGTAAAGCCCTCTGAGGCAAATTTGTAATTTGCAATTTTGGGCTCTACAAAATAAAATGAATTGAATTGAATTGAAGGAGGAGAAGTTTAAGGAGATGTCTGTTTGAATGAGTTTGGATATAATTGACTTTAAGCATTTCAAGAAATTCTTTTAAACAATATGGATTGTAAAAAACACGGTGAACCGTGGGTGGATGTCTGAGAAGAAGAAAAGGACCATCTGGATGTAGGAGCTCACCGGATGCTTGACGGAGTAGTTGATGATCAGGTAGTCGCTGCCGAGAGGAAGCCAAGATCTCATTGTCACAAAGTCTCTGTTCTTCAGCGGGCTTGGACACTTCCCTTCAGAGGACACATGAGGGGACATGAGGAGACATTTGGACACACAAAAATATAAGTAAGGAGACACGAGGCATGAGAGGACATTGGATATGGTAAACGTTATATAGACTGTAACACTACATGACATCATTCACCCACTGTATCAGTAACTAACATTCACACACTGTAGTCGCAGCTACAGGAGCTGTAAGCCTGGCTCAGTTTAGACTGGACCAGTCCTTAGATAAGCTGCTATACTCCTAGACTGGGGATTTTTTAGGACACACCGAGCTCCTCTCTCCTTCTCTAAAGAATTCACATCTCAATAATGCACATCATTTATTCAGCTTCTACCGTGGAGTTTTTTGCTTTCTCCACTCACAGGTTTGTATGGTGGTTCTAACTGATGGTGGTTGTCCTTGCAGTGGTCCTGCATTATACCTGCGTTATATTACATGGCTTTTATCCAAAGCGACTATTGTATTTTAACCCATGATTTTACATTTTGCCCGGGGGGCAATTAGGGGTTGGGTGTCTTGCTCAGGGACACTTCAACATGGGACATGGAGCAGCCAGGGCTCAAACCGCCAACTTTGCAGTTCCCAGCGGACCCGCTCTACTCCATTGTGCCACCGTCGCCAATACTACTCTCAATATCTAAATCATTCATGTCGTATAAATCGAACGTATTGTACATCTTTTACGTTGTTTTTTCTGTACACATGACATCTTTTGCATTCTGTCCATTTGTTAGAGGGATCCGTCTCCAACCTTCTCCCTATGGTTTCTTCATTTTTTAGGGTCACAGGATCAAAGGTCAGAGGACATGCAACAGCATGTGTACAAAACCCTCTGAGACCAATTTGAAATTTGTGATTTTGGGCTAGACAATATAAAATGAATTGTGAAAAATTGAATTGAATTGACTTAAAGACACATGTGAACTTGTGAGAAGGCTTGAGGACACATGAGGAGCCATGAGAAGACATGAAGACACATGAGAACTGGTGAGGATACATGATGAGATGTCAGAAGACCATGACCTGTGGTCATCACCGAGAAAACTCACAGGAGTAGTATCCCACATCTGCATTGGCTGTCAGCCTCCCGATGTCATACGTCTCGATCATGTTGCTGTCCCACTTCTTGCGGTAACTGGTGTCGTGGAGGACATCGTACAGCGTCTCGGCAGAAACGTCTTTACAGACGATCCTCATCTGAGACACAGAGACCGGGACAGTCCACCAATATGTTCACTAGATAGCTCCAGGTATCACCAACACCATCATCACAATCGTCGTCATCATCATCATCACCCCCATCAACATGCCTATCATCATCATCATCATCATCAGGAATCAGGTACATTTATTACCAAAACATGTTGGGCATACAAGGAATTTGACTGGTCGGTTGGTGCATAACATCAGACAAGACAATGGACAACAAGACAGATAAGACAACATAGTGCAAGAAAATGGCAAGTTCAATTTACAAATTTACAATTTGACTTTATGGTATGACCCTGAAGCGAGCCATCATCACCGTCACCATCATCCTCATCATCATCCTCCATATGAACATCATCATCGCCACCCTCATCATCCTCCATATCAACATTATCATCATCATCCTCCATATCAACATCATCCTCATCATCATCCTCCATATGAACATCATCATCATCATCCTCATCATCCTCCATATCAACATCATCCTCATCATCATCCTCCATATGAACATCATCATCGTCACCCTCATCATCCTCCATATCAACATCATCATCATCCTCCATATCAACATCATCATCGTCATCCTCATCATCCTCCATATGAACATCATCATCATCCTCCATATCAACATCATCATCATCATCCTCATCATCCTCCATATGAACATCATCATCGTCACCCTCATCATCCTCCATATCAACATCATCATCATCATCCTCCATATCATCCTCCATATCAACATCATCCTCATCATCCTCCATATCAACATCATCATCGTCACCCTCATCATCCTCCATATCAACATCATCATCATCATCCTCCATATCAACATCATCATCGTCACCCTCATCATCCTCCATATCAACATCATCATCATCATCCTCCATATCAACATCATCATCGTCATCCTCATCATCCTCCATATGAACATCATCATCATCCTCCATATCAACATCATCCTCATCATCATCCTCCATATCAACATCATCATCCTCATCCTCATCATCCTCCATATGAACATCATCATCGTCACCCTCATCATCCTCCATATCAACATCATCATCATCATCCTCCATATCATCATCATAACCACCATCAACATCCCTATTATAAAGACTATCATCATCATCACTATAATCACCCTCATCCTCATTCTCATCCATATGAACATCATCATCACGACCATCATCATCATCAAGTCAGTTATACCTCGTGGTCAGGGTGACATTTGAGGAGATATTAAAGAAGTGTGTCATATTTACTGTATAATTGGCCAGAAAGTCCTGGGTTAGTTTTACTTGTCAACCATAAATGTTTATAAATTACTCTGTAACAGTGTATAATAATCACTCCCTTATATATATATATATATATATATATATATATATATACACACACACATACATGCGCACGCACACACGCACACACACACACACACACACACACACACACAGGTATATGTATAAAAACATATACTAGAGTCTTTGCTGAACAGTCACCACCTTTTTGGTACAATTCATATTTCTGCTGTATTTAGGCTTAATTTAGTCATCAGATTTTAGTGAATAATTAAACGAGTCATAAAGCAGAACAATAAATTAGAGAAAGGTCATATAACGTTTGTGAATATATTTTTCTGTCAAGCAGCGCGTTAATCTATGCGATTATGTGGCAGAGATTTATGGGATCAAATATTTGAACACAGTTAACGCAACTTTGTTTACTTCCGGTCGATGTGTGTGCTGGAAGTAAACGTTGACCCGGAAACCAAAGCTAGATCGACAGCAGGGCCGAGGTCCTCCTCGTGGCGGTGGCCAGTAAATCGTTGGCAGGTCCAGTGGGGTGGGTGGTCTGGGAGTGGCAACTCTCAGGGGGGCTCAGGTGTCTCAACTAAAATCAAAAAACTGATTTACGGCAGCTGACTTGTCATACAAGAAACGGTGGTTCTGGAAATACTTGGCTCCGCCCACTCAGCCTGCCCCAACTTGCCAACGACTTACTGGCGGTCGCCGCTGACTGGCCACGGCCACAAGGAGGACCTCGCCGTCTCTCTGCACGGCATACAGCAGAGAACTGTGCAGAGGAATTCAAACACAAAATAAATGCTTATTACATTCATATTTTATAGGTCTCACTGCGAGAGACAGAAAGAGCTGTCCTCAGAATGGAGGACGCAATGTGAGACGGCGTCTCTCTGGAGGACGTCACCTTTTTCCACTGCAGTAATCTGAGGGGTGACGCTCCGTGTAACTCAATCAGCAAAACTCTGCTGCAGCGTTAATCATTAATTAACTATTAATCATTCATAAAGTATTGATCATACTGTTGTGTCCGTCACTAAGCAGCAGCTTTTCTTCCCTGCTTCAGTGACGGCAGTCAGCTGTCCATCAAGTCACATGACTTCATGTCAGATTATGAGCTGATCATATAAGAGAACAACAAAAACTTTTGTTCCATAGTTGGCCAGATGAGAAGCTAAAGAGACATTTGTAGCCTAGCCTAATGCTAATCAGGAACATTTATCACCAAAATATGTTTTTGACGATATGACAAACAAGGAATGTGACTTGGCAGTTGGTGCATACATCAGACAGTAAGACAATGGACGACAAGACAGACAAGACAACATAGTGCAAGAGGAATTCATTTAGGAAAAGTTAAAATACTGGAAGAAGAGGGAAACTGCTAGTGCAGTTTTTCTTTAAAAGGAACTTGTAAGCTCTGAATGTTTCTGATTTAAATGATATTATTGTCATGTGACAGGCTCAGCAGCGGCGGTTCGGGTCGGGACTTTGAAGATGAAGCATTCCATCACAGCGCTGTTGGTCAACAGAACGAAACCTGTGTGCACTTGTTGAAGATGAAACACTATAACGCCGAAGAGTGAGATCAGAATGTTTGATGAAACCAGCGCCTATCAGCCAGATGCCAGGTCCAACATGGGGGTCTGTGATGATGTCACAATCCTTCATCATCCCGTCTACAGGTGAGACGGATGTTCTCCTGGCTGAGATGTCGTTTTCGGCTCCAAACTTTTAATTATACATGTGTGAGAAGCGCCTCGCCGCTCAAGAGAGACTGGGAATAATTAATATGCATCATCCTCATCAGCTGTGCTTCTGTATCAGGGTGTGTGTGTGTGTGTGTGTGTGTGTGTGTGTGTGTGTGTGTGTCCACACTGACTTACTCAGGTCAAACACACTCTGAGTGAGTCATCAATTAAATAAATGTGCTGATTACACCTGGTTGAATATGACATCGGTCCTCATGTTTATAAGATAAGATATTGTAAAGAATGTTCACAGTAGAAAAGAATCCTGATGTTTATAATAAGCAGTACTTCTCTACAACTAAGATTTGTCAATTAAAAAGGACTTGCTGGTCTGAAGCCAGGCTTAATTAATCTCTTTGATAACCTTTATTCTTCATACTTATTCATTTCCTCTCGTTCAATAATTCCCCTTGTGGGTAAACAAAGAAGCATTTTATCTTGCTTGGACCAGAACCTACAAATAATATGACTTATGTCACTGGAGGTCAGGGAGACCGCAGGATCCTCCAGAATGATTCAGAATCACCCTGAATCCTTCAGAATCCTGTAGAGTCCTGTAGAATCATCCAGAGTCCTCTGTGACATCAAAGAACGTCGCGTGACATCACAGATTGTCATGTGACCAGATTGAACGGTTTAACCAACAGGAGAGTCTGAAGCTGCAGTTCCACCCGCGGCCACTAGACGGCGCTGAGATCAGACTCTGACTGGAGTAAATCTTCTCTATATAACAAACTTCTTCCATCGCACATCTGAGAATGGGTCCTTGGGACGGTTCCCTGCAGTATTATTTGGGAGTGTGTCGCTTTAAATGGAAGGTTGCCGGTTTGAAGCTCTGCCTTCCTGGCACAGCTGATCACTATCGTGTGTGGATTGTCCTGCCGAGATCTAAATAAAGACTCTACCTTTTGGTCAACTTGCTGCGTCTCCTGTTTTAGGTCGTGACAGTTCAATCCAATTTACATCTGTAAATATACGTATCACGTCTGGAGGAAACACATGTGACGGGAACACTGGACCAGCAAATGAGCTGTAAAGTGAACTGGTTTCTGTCCCTGCCCCTTCACCTCCATTCTCAAGTTTCCAGTCATTCGCTTGGTTTTTCATTGAGCGGTTTGATTCTCCGCTAAAGGAGAACGCTGGTCTACAGGGCTGAGAGCCGAGGCCGCAAGGCTACAAGGACAAAAGCTACAAGGACAAAAGCTACAAGGACAAAAGCTACAAGGACAAAAAGCTACAAGGACAAAAGCTACAAGGACAAAAACTACAAGGACAAAAAGCTACAAGGACAAAAAGCTACAAGGACAAAAAACTACAAGGACAAAAAGCTACAAGGACAAAAGCTACAAGGCTGGCGACCTGTAGGACTTAAGGACTAGAGAGCCGCAGGAATAAGGCTACAGAGCTACAAGACTACAAAGCTGCAGGGCTGCAAAGGTGACAACAACGCCACAGCGCTGAGACCAGAGGCTACAAGGCTACGAGGCTACAAGGCTACATGCAAGGTGCCAGGTCATAGATGATGGCTACATTCGCTTTAAACGTCTTAATACTACGGACAAAATGGACACACACTAAAGCTCCCAGAAGGCCTCACCTAGCCACCTGGGGCCTCATGTACACAGGGTGCGTACGCACAAAAAAGTGGCGAACGCACTTTTTCACGACAACGATCAGATGCATGAAGAACAAAATGAGCGCGGAAATGTGCGGCTGTCGTTTCTACAGCTGTTGATTCTTACAGGTGATGTTGGGAAATAATAAATAAATGTGAACACAATTTGTCCTCAGAATGAGTGATGTGCACGTCTGAGACACATGAACAATATCGACGTGTCTGCAATTCCACGAGAGGATATGAACGCATGCATGAAGTGGTGCAATGCACACTGTTAAAACAATGGCTGCTACTAGAAGACATGCAAATGGTGCATTAAGGAGAGAGCGCATATTTAGAGACAGAGACTTGCACATGAGGACAACTGGCTCATCAGCTGCTTTAGGTTCCCGAGGACCTGATTGGAGTCAGCCAGGGTTGCTTTTGAATTTAATTAAATGTGTTCATTGGTAAGTAACTAATAAGTTGTTTGTTAGCTCCTGTCGTCGATTGACCCGGCGTGACTTGGGACGGACCGGTCGATGGCGATTGTCCTATTGGGAACCCCTGGTGTAGAGTACGGTTATCTGTTGGCCTGTACTTTATTTCAATGTTATGCTCCAGACAAAAGCCCAACATACTTTGATGAATGGATAAATGGTTCAGACTATGGATAACCATCTACAGGAGGACTACTAAACTACAGGACTACCTGGTGTATATTATCATTCATTATTATTATTATTATTAAGGGATTTACTAAAATGTATATTGTCACTTTATTTTTTAAATGTGGAGTTTATTTTATTAAAGAAGGATTAATGTAAATAAAGTTTCTCTCTGTTGACAGGAATATCGAGATGCTCAGGCTGCAGCTAATAATTATGATAATTATTGATTCATCTGCACATGTTTCACCCATAAAATATAAAGTCAAATAAAATGATGTTTGTTTCCATCGACCAACAATCCCAAACCGGAGCTGTTGCCTCCTCAGAACCGGTGTGGTCTACAGGTGTGAGCACCCACCTTCAGCCTCTGCACGGTCCTGCTCTCCTCCTCGCGGCACCACACCGTCACTCCTCCTTTGCTGTAGCGGCTGGTCCAACCATCGAGGCTCAGACACTGGTCCTTAAAGGAGGAGAAGTCCGAGTCGTCCGGGATCTGCACCGGCATCCTTAAATATAATAAAGATATGAATAGCGACGGAGGGAAGAGGCGTTCAGGTGCTCAGGAGTTTACAGCAGCAGCTCTTCTCCGGACTGTCAGGTGAACTTCTTGCTCCTGCCTCCTCACCACTACACAGATGGGTCAGAAGGTAATGAGGTCTCACTCCGCCCAACTATCGGAAGACTAAACGAGGCAAACCGCTGTACAGCGTTCCAAGATTCTTTGTATTATTTTGACGTGGAGATTGAAAGACCATGTTGATAAAACGCACCACGTCATTGATTGATCGGTTCTGGGCTGTTCAATAGTTCTGGAGCTGATATATTGTATGAAGGATGTTAACATGAATCCGTTTCTCTTTCAGTCGCTCAAAAACTATTTAGATCAATTATGAGAGTGAGCTATCTCCTCAATAGATTGTCTTTGGTAACACCCTGTAAAAAACAACGCTGCCTTCAGGGCCCTGAAGTCATCCCCGTGCTTTGAACAGAGCAAATGGGGATTCTGTATTTTCATATCACACGTCACAGTCGATCGTCACACGTCCGTTTTTTATTTTAATTTACTTTTTATACTCTGTCTCTGACCAGAGAAACACCTGAAGTTGTGAGATGGGAGGTGTGATTCCCGACAGCCCTTGAATGCACCAGAAGCAGAAAGTGATACCTGTTGTTCAGGTGGAGCAGTGGGCGGATGCTCAACAGATCAGGTAACAGAGAAACACAGAAGTTTAACCGTGGTGTTGATGTTTTATTCATTTCTCCTGCTGTATAGTTGAGTGATACTGAATGAACGGTTCCTGGTGAAGTGATAATTCATCTCCATGATGTCATGGAGGGTGGGGGTGGACGCTCTTACTAAACTGTATGACACAGTGACTTTTACTCTGAAACTTGTTTGGTGCCCGCTCCTTGACACAAACACAGATTTTATTGTGAAAATGTGTTCGGTTTGAGGACAGACAGATGATTTACGGCGATTACATGATTACATATCAGCTGATGCTGTTATCCAAGCGGACTTTCATTTGCATTTGACCCTAGTAGTGTTCTGCCAGGAGCAGTTAGGGCTTCGGTGTCTTGCTCAGGGACCCCACACCAGGAGCAGCCAGGGTTCGAACCACCAACCCTGTGGTTCTCAGCACCCCCCCTCTACTCTACCTGTTATTATAATCTAGTGTACTTCTATGCATCGGTTGTATCTGCTTGTAGTAAACGAGCAGTTCAGCCTGTATTTTATGTAACGATGTTGTACTCTGAGTACTTTAACTTTAACATCAGAGTTAATATCTTAACAGGGATTAATTAGATTGTAGGTGTGTACTTAAATATTTCTGATATATACTTCTACGCTGCTATGTAGGTGAGAAATGTTGTACTTTATACTTACTTTAGTAATTCAGATTTCAAACCGCCCCCCTGACTTCTGTAGTCATGTCTTCTGAACGGCTAGTCCCTCTGCTCTTCTCCCTGTACACCAACAGCTGCACCTCCAGCCACCAGTCCGTCAAGCTCCTGAAGTTTGCGGATGACACCACCCTCATTGGACTGATCTCTGGTGGAGACGAGTCCGCCTACAGGTGGAGTCTGACCACCTGGTGTCGTGGTGCAGCCAGAACAACATGGAGCTCAACGCTCTAAAGACAGTGGAGATGGTTGTGGATTTCCGGCGGAACAGAGCCCCACCCTCCCCCATCACCCTGTGTGACTCCCCCGTCACTATTGTGGATTCCTTCCGTTTCCTGGGCTCCATCATCACCCAGGACCTCAAGTGGGAGCTGAACATCAGCTCCATCACCAAGAAGCTCAGCAGAGGTTGTTCTTCCTGAGGCAGCTGAAGAAACTCAACCTGCCAAAGACGATGATGGTCCACTTCTACACGGCCATCATGGAGTCCATCCTCTGCTCCTCCATCAGCGTCTGGTACGCTGCAGCCACAGCCAAGGACAAGGGCAGGCTGCAGCGTGTCCTCCGCTCTGCAGAGAGGCTGATCGGCTGCAATCTGCCGTCCCTGCAGGACTTGTTCGCTTCCAGGTCTCTGAAGCAGCTAAAAAGATGGTGGCCGACCCCTCTCACCCCGACAAAACCTGTTTGTGCCCCTTCCATCTGGCAGGAGGCTGAGGTCCATCAATAACTGGATACATGTAGACTTTTACTCCTTCAGTTTTAAATGAAGGCTGTTTATGAACTTACTTAGGACTTATACTTAAGTAGGGGATGTGGAATGTATGTATGTGTGCGTGAATACATGTGTGTTTAAATGTGTGTGTGTGTGTGTGTGTGTGTGTGTGTGTGTGCATGTATGTGTGAGTCCTCTTCACCACACAGGGTGAAAGCTGCTCTCTACTTACCTTGTTGCTCGTGACCTTTGACCTCTGTGAACATCTGTTGGAAACCTGAACTGTTTCTGAACACAAAGCAGCTCTGTGTGTTACAGACCATCTGCTGCAAACACACACACACACACACACACACACACACAGACAAACATCAAATTGTAGAATATTCTTGGTATTCAATTCAATTCAATTCATTTCATTTTTGTAGAGCCCAAAATCGCAAATTACAAATTTGCCTCAGAGGGCTTTACAGTCTGTACACATACGACATCCTCTGTCCCGAAACCCTCCATCAGCACAGGAAACACTCCCCAAACAATGAAAAAACTCTTCCAAGAGGGAAAAAAGGGAAGAAACCTGAGTGAGAACGTCAGAGGAGGATCCGTCTCCTGATGGACGACTACAATGATGTCATGTGTACAGAATGAACAATGTATAATACATGAGACTATATGACAGGAATGATTCAAGTAACTGTGAGTAGTAAACCAGACGTACAGCAGGACCACTGCAGGGACCACCACCATCAGATAGAACCACCGTCACATAGAACCACCGTCACATAGAACCACCGTCACATAGAACCACCATCCACAGAAGCCTGTGGGGAGGGAGAGCACAAAGACTTTAGGAGAGGGTAATGTTGGTTTATGAGTACAGTAATATGATTAATATCTAAAATAATAATGATGATGATGATAATGATGATGATGATGATGGCAGCAGCAGGCGTCAGCAGGGCCACGGCAGGTGTCAGGACCAGGGTCCAGAAGGAACCACGATCTACGGAGACCTGATAGGGGAGAAAGCACAAAAAACTCCCGGAGAGAAGCTGAATTAGTCATGTGCATTAATAAAACGTGAATTATGGTAGAACGAGAGCGTGAGAGAGGAGCTCGGTCAGATCAATGTCAATATATATCAATGTCAATATATATATATATATATATATATATATATATATATATATATATATATATATATATATATCAACATTGGCTTATATATTTATTTGATCTTGTTCTTATTTTAGTTTAGTTTCTGTTATTGTTCATATACTTACTTCACTTAATTTTACAGTTTTGAACAGGCTACAATTTAAATATTTTTGTTGTGTTTCTTAATCCCTCCTCGTGCTCTTTCTTTCGCCTCTTCCTCCTCTTCATCCCCCTCCTCTCTTCTTCCTCCTCCTGCTCCTCCCCCTCCCCTATGGTCTATACGACTCTGCCCTCCTCTCCACCGGAGAACCCCCTCTTTTGGAGAAGGAAGAGGAAGAAGAAGGAGAAGAAGAATGACGTCTTCTGCTCTCCGCTAAACCAAAAAGTGCTGTGAGGCTGCTTCAGAGTCTGTCTACTGTTTTTAACCGTCGGCGCCCGCCTGTCTCCAATCTGAGGAGTTGGAAACATTTCTCCCTCACCACAGGCACAGCCAACGGGGTGAATTTTATCCTCTCCGAATCCCACGCCAAGTCGTTCTCACTCGAGGCGAGCCGAGCCGAGCGGAGCCGAGCGGAGCCGAGCCGAGCCGAGCGGAGCAAAATTTCGGGGAAATTTCATAGTTTATTGATCTTCACGGCTGTTTCATTATGATGGGAACAAACACTGATATTGATCACATGATCAGGCTGTGTATTATATATATATATATACACACATATATATACATATATATATATATACACACATATATATACATATATATACATTCACCTGATTTTCACATGATGGGATTATTGATGATGTCTATTGTCTTTCAGACCGAATGTTTGTGCCATGCAGCTACTCAAAGGCACCAACAAGAAATACTTCACCAACTGCAAGCAGTGGTACCACCGCAAAATCTGTGGGAAGCCCACGTGAGTCCAGTGTGTATGTGGTCCACTGTGGTGTATTTGTTGTGTGATTGTGTATGTATGTTCGTTGTGTATCCGCTTAGTACTTATGTTTGCTATCCACTTCTGCTGAGGAACGTCGTGGCTATGCTAGTTTTAGCGATTAGCCGTTAGCAGAGAGTGTGATTTGTGCTTTTTGGCTTCCGTGGAAACGGAAAAGCTGCTTCAGCTCATTCGTCACCAAGTATTCCTGAACTATATCAACTTTATAAATAAATACAGTTTGGGGGTGTTTTCTGAAAGTCAGTAGGAAGTGAAGCTTCCTACGAATACACGCACACAAAAACACACACTCACACACGCACACGTACACACACACACACACACACACACAGACTTTTATCTGAGACAGTTTAATTAGATTTACACCTGTGGGGGGTTGGGTCCTCTATTTGTGTGTCAGTGGGTTTCTGAGAAGGTCAAAGGTCAGCAGTAGGAGGACTCATAAGTCACAGACCCTCCCCCTCCCCATTCCCCCTCAACTTGCCCTGAGCCCCCCCCCTTTCAAAAACTAACATCAGCAGAAAGGTGACAAAGTGAATCATTCAGAAGATGCTTCACTTCTACACTTTTATAATCTGGTACTTCAGTCACATTCACATTTACTAGTATTATTACTATAAGATGTGTATTAGTACTTGTATCAGATGCCTTTAATGTATCATGATACATTTACACTTGATTTATATTATTCAGTTAGTTCTCCTGCCATAACTACACAGTGTACTTCTCTTACTACTTCTGTTGGTTCTTCTGTTAATACTTCTGTTAGTACTTCTTAGTTAGTACTCCTACCAGAACTACACAGTGTACTTCTCTTACTACTTCTGTTGGTTCTTCTGTTAATACTTCTGTTAGTACTTCCCAGTTAGTACTCCTACCAGAACTACACAGTGTACTTCTCTTACTACTTCTGTTGGTTCTTCTGTTAATACTTCTGTTAGTACTTCCCAGTTAGTACTCCTACCAGAACTACACAGTTTACTTTTGAACCTTTCCTTCGGGTCGACTCAGTTACAGCGAACTCGCTTGACGGCGGCCATATTTGTTTATATGAGGACTAAATGGGTCCAGTTTCCATCTGGTTTGGCAATCAGTCCAATGTGTTCATACGCACACACACGCACACGCACACACACACACACACACGCACACACACACACGCACACACACGTACACGCACACACGCACACACACACGCACACACACACACACGCACACACACACACACGCACACACACTAACACACACACACACACACACTAACACACACGCACACACACCAGGAGCTGGTCTCCATCTGTTTACATTTCTTCGGGGTTGGAGGCCGCAGGAGTTCTGGACTTTTCCTTTTTCTGTCTCCAGACAAAACATTATATGTACATATATATATATATGCATATACACATATAATATATGTATATATGCATATATATACACCTATACATGTAGACATATAAATGTCTCTGTGTATGTCATCAGGAAACTTCAGGTCATCCCAGTTTTAACTCCTTTAAGCTGCTTAAAATTTTAGCTGGATGGTTTCATCTTGATCAATAAATATTACTGGTTATCGTCTTAATTATGGAATGCCGTTTTAGTCCAAATTAAATAAATGAATAAATACATAAATACATGAAATATGCATTTGAAATACATCATGAAATAAATAAACGAGGCAATAAATACATAATTATTAAATACATTTAATTATTTCATGGTTTATTTCATAATGCCACTTTTCATTTCCAGAGTCTTTTATTTCATAATGCCGTTTTACATTTCACATTCTTATATGCAAATCAGGGGGCGTGGCAACATCAAACATTCAGATCAGACAACAGAGCCGTGTGCTACAAAAGTGGCATTATGAAATAAACGTACCATGAAATGAAAAGTGGCATTATGAAATAAAAGTACCATGAAATAATTAAATGTATTTAATATTTATGTATTTATTGCCTCATTTATTTATTTCATGATGTATTCCAAATGCATATTTCACGTATTTATGTATTTATTTATTTAATTTTGACTAAAACGGCATTCCATACTTAATAACCTAATATCTTTTCTACATGTGGTATATGGTATTATCTTGTAATCTTGATGTATAAATCTGGTCCTTCGGATCGTGTTGTCATCCAGGCCAAAGTCAGGATCAAGCTACTCTGCAAGCGGCCGTCTTTATTTATTCTCTTGGAAGAGTCCCAGATACCAGATTTAATATCAAAGCCTTAATCTCAAGCAGCCGTTGTCAGATTGAGAGAAAACAGAGAGCTCCTCTGCATGAGGTGCGTGATATTCATCTGAAGTCATGGCGTCCTTATATTCTGGACAGGTCAGGATGTGAGGAGCTCCTGGTGGAGGCTCCTGGTGCTTTAGTGTTTTTCATGGCGCTGGTTGACGGTCCCCCATCAGGCTGCAGATTCTTCTTCTCTCTGAGGAAATGAGCTTTATGAGCCCAGACAGCTGAAGAAGGTTTATTATGGAAAACCTCCACAGGAAGTCAGGGAGGCCTTTGCCCGGCTTCCACGCTCCATTACAGCCCACATGTGTGGAATCCTCCTGAAGCGCTTTGCTGTCAAAGGATTGTTTCTACAGAGACACCAGGGGGTTTCCAGGAAGCGGGTTATGTGAAAACTCAGAGTAAGTTAACCCTGAGATCAGGGAAACTCTGAGTTATCCGTTCCAGATAGAGAGGTAACTGAAACTCCGAGTCAATCACCATGGTAACAGACTCTGTGAACGTAACCTGCTCGCTGGCAGGTTTAATATAAGAAACCCTACCAGTTTCTACCATCTCCTCCCACATGAAGAAAGCTGGTAGACACGGATTGCCCTTTTCTACCGAATCCAATTGACATCGAAGCCGTCGTGAATCGAAATGCTTTACGTAGCGAGAGTCTTCCGACCCAGATTAGATGTTTTATCATTTCCAGAGGAATTTATGTTAGAACGCTGCCGCTTTACTGGTAACTAGGAAACATATGGACGACATGTAATTCCTACAGTTTCACATACAGAGAACATGGTATTGACCGAAAACCTCCACAACAACTGTCCGCTGTTGTTGTGGACAGTAACCACGGTCACAGCTGTCTCTGTCGTTGGGTCACAGCTGTCTCTGTCGTTGTTGTGGACAGTTACCTCGGATACATCTGTTTCCGTTGTCGCTTTGGACAGTTACCACGGTTACAACTGTCTCTGTTGTTGTTGTAGACAGTAACCACGGTCACAGCTGTCTCTGTCGTTGTTGTGGACAGTAACCACGGTCACAGCTGTCTCTGTCGTTGTTGTGGACAGTAACCACGGTCACAGCTGTCTCTGTCGTTGTTGTGGACAGTAACCACGGTCACAGCTGTCTCTGTCGTTGTTGTGGACAGTAACCACGGTCACAGCTGTCTCTGTCGTTGTTGTGGACAGTAACCACGGTCACAGCTGTCTCTGTCGTTGTTGTGGACAGTAACCACGGTCACAGCTGTCTCTGTCGTTGTTGTGGACAGTAACCACGGTCACAGCTGTCTCTGTCGTTGTTGTGGACAGTAACCACGGTCACAGCTGTCTCTGTCGTTGTTGCGGACAGTAACCACGGTCACAGCTGTCTCTGTCGTTGTTGTGGACAGTAACCACGGTCACAGCTGTCTCTGTCGTTGGGTCACAGGTTAGTCTCTGTCGTTGTTGTGGACAGTAACCACGGTCACAGCTGTCTCTGTCGTTGTTGTGGACAGTAACCACGGTCACAGCTGTCTCTGTCGTTGTTGTGGACAGTAACCACGGTCACAGCTGTCTCTGTCGTTGTTGTGATCAGTAACCACGGTCACAGCTGTCTCTGTCGTTGTTGTGGACAGTTACCTCGGATACATCTGTTTCCGTTGTCGCTTTGGACAATTGCCATGGTTACACCGGTCTCCGTCGTCGCTTTGGACAGTTACCACGGTTACAACTGTCTCTGTTGTTGTTGTGTCAACAGCTAGACTCCATGTTTATATCCTTTTTTTTGTGATTCTGTGATGAAGAAATCAGTCCCACAAACAGCAATCATTACGCAAGCTGATCCAGGTTGAGATTCCTCAGAGGGATCCGGACCCTCTGGCTCCATCACCTTAATAAACAACATGTCCTTACAGGAAGCCATTGGTTTATGATCTCATGGAAACTTCTCTCGGTCTGTTATGTGGACATAACTTTATTAGTATCATTAGACTCAGACAGGAATTTATGCGTCTCCTGAAGCTGAATAATTCAGAAAGGTTACGAGGTCCTCAGGTGGAACCTCAGCAGTTTATGGAGGAGGGTTTTTTGTCCTCCTGAGGCAGAAAAACTGCAGAGCATGTTGCTGTGGAGGAAGTTCAGGGAAGAAGCAGTAGAAGAAGTTGGAGGGAGGCTGAGCCCTGGATGATCCTCATTTGAATTATAAATTACAAATTGGCCTCAGAGTTTTACAATTTGGACACCAGGCGCGGGCCGGGGGGAACAGAGGCCTGGGAGTAATTAACAGACCCTCTCAATCCATGCACGCATCGACCAGTCAGTGGCGGTCTTGGAAAATACCCACACACTTAACATTACTTTGAATGACTACAAAGAAATGACATCATAGGTCATTTTCCCTGTGTCCCCCTGTGGTCAGTCCACCCTGTGACCTTTGACAGTGGAGAAACATGGAGGAAAAAGGAAGCAATGTTACGTGTCCTCACTTGTCCTTACGTGTCCTCATGTGTGCTCATGTGTCCTCTTCTATCTTCATGTGTCCCCTTACTCTTAGTGGTAACGAGCATGTAACAAAGTCTTTTTTTAAATAAATTAACGCAGTTACAATTACAGAGATTGAAATGAGTTTGTTACTCGCGTTACTCTCTTTTGTGATGCGAAGCGGAGGGCCGGCAAATAGTAAGTAAACAGCTGCCTGTCAGCACTAAATAGTTGTGTGTCACAATAGTCGCGTACGTGTAAACAGCATCGCGTCGCTCGTGAGGACAGAGCGCAGGATGCTGCAGGCGCCGCTCCACGCAAACAACCAGCGCTCCTCTTCACACGGACTGCAGAGCAGCCGATGAACCGGCCGAGCTGATCGATCGCTCGCTGTGTTGGAGATGAGATGCATCCTGTCAACTGTCCAGTCAGTTGTCTTCAGGCAAACGCCTCAAACTGTTATTCTGTATTAAGTCAAGTATTAAAAAGGACTTTGTACTATTGCTTGATTTGAAGGCCTGTTGATTACAATAAATAGGTCTAAAAAACTTGACTGTTCAGTAATATTTATATTCATTTCATTTAAAAAGACATAAAAATAACTTAAAAGTTACTTTGCAGAGTAACTAATTACTTTTGATACACAGTAACTGGTAAGTAATTCAATTACCTTTAAAAGAAGTAACTAGTAACTGTAACTAAATACTCATTTTCAGTAACTTGCCCAACACTGGTGCTCACGTGCTCACGTGTCCTCACATGTTCTCTTCCTGCTGCAGGGTGATCAGCTACGATTGCTGTCCCGGTTATGAGAAGATTGCTGGAGAGAAGGGCTGTCCAGCTGGTATGACCTCTGACCTCTGACACACAGCTCCTGCTAGAGGAATGTATTGTGTCCCACACTGTTTCTATCATGACCCCCTTTGAGAAATAGGGACATAGTAAGACCCCCTTTTCTTAATAAAGTAATAAGTACACTTTACTTTTCCAACTTTACTTACGTAAACATGATTTCAAGTAAATTTACTTCAAATATTTAAATTGAAGTTGAGAACAGTGCAAAAACTTTCAACAATTTTTCTCTCTCTCTCTTTCTCTCTCTGCTGTGCTCGTCCATTTTTTACCCTTTGCCTCTCTGGTGGGCGCGGTTCAAACACAACGCATGTCAAGTCCTCATGTCGGTTTCACTTTCGTTTTTTTTCGGGGGTTTCCGTGGCCGCGTGTTAGGGTTGAGGATGAAGCCGCAAACCCCCTGTCGGAACACCGCGCCCCCCCTGACGGCTGTGACTACCAGTTTGGGAACCACTGTGTTAAGAAGACACTCACTCATAATGAGGAATCAGGATCAGGAAACATTTATTGCCAAAATATGTCAAACATACAAGGAATTTCGACTTGGCGGTTGGTGCGTGACAGTAGACAGTGTGACAATAGACAACAAGACAGCAGTGCACGAGTAATAAAATAAAGTAAAATGCTAATGCTATGGGTTAGTAGAATAAGGCTATGGGTTAGTTTAAAATAAAAGAATAAAGTTAACGTTAAAAATATTTAAAAATAAAAAAATAAAGTGCACCAGCAAACAGGAAGTGACAAAAGTGATGAGTGAAAGCGACGTGTGCAGAATGAAATGAGTGGTGTGATGTCAGAGTCAGGCAGTGGGGGACCGGCTCTGTTGATGAGCCCGACTGCCGACGGGAAGAAACTGTTCGTGTGGCGGGAGGTCTTAGTCCTGATGGACCTCAGCCTCCTCCCAGATGGAAGGGGCACAAACAGGTTTTGTCGGGGTGAGAGGGGTCGGCTACCATCTTTTTAGCTGCTTCAGAGACCTGGAAGCGAACAAGTCCTGCAGGGACGGCAGATTGCAGCCGATCACCCTCTCTGCAGAGCGGAGGACACGCTGCAGCCTGCCCTTGTCCTTGGCTGTGGCTGCAGCGTACCAGACGCTGATGGAGGAGCAGAGGATGGACTCCATGATGGCCGTGTAGATGTGGACCATCATCGTCTTTGGCAGGTTGAATTTCTTCAGCTGCCTCAGGAAGAACAACCTCTGCTGAGCTTCTTGGTGATGGAGCTGATGTTCAGCTCCCACTTGAGGTCCTGGGTGATGATGGAGCCCAGGAAACGGAAGGAATCCACAATAGTGACGGGGGAGTCACACAGGGTGATGGGGGAGGGTGGGGCTCTGTTCCTCCGGATATCCACAACCATCTCCACTGGGATTAAATAAACTGGGATTAGTATAGGAAATATATGGTTATCATTTTAAAAACAGCTGTGAACTCTCCGCCCTGTTGCATTGTGGGAGCTCTCTTCCCCATTGATATGGGGGTGTTTGGCCCCTTGTCTTTGCTGCAGCATTGCCTCTGGTGAACATCTACAACACGTTGGGCGTGGTTGGGGCCTCTACCACCCAGATGTACTCTGAGCGAGCCCAGCTGAAGGAGGAGGTGGAGGGGCCGGGCAGCTTCACCTTCTTCGCCCCGAGCAACGAGGCCTGGGCCGCCCTGCCAACGGTCAGTACGAGCCCCCCCCCCCCCCCCCCCCTCCCGTACCGCGTTTCTTCTGGTGATTGGCCTACAGCGACCGGCCTCCACCAGCATCCGCTAACATGGGACACTTCCTGCTCATCTCACAAAGGAGACGGCAGCTTTGTGAACTCTCAGTGCTGTTTTCTGTCGTCATGACCCTCTGCTGTGTTGTTGTTGTGCTGCAGGAGATCCTGGACGCCCTGGTGAGCAATGTGAACATTGAGTTGCTGAACACTCTTCATTACCACATGGTGACCGGCCGGCTGACCTCCGAGGAGCTGAGGCACGGGTCCTCCTTCGTCTCCATGTACCAGGACTTCCACGTCCATATCCACCACTACAACAACGGGGTCAGTGACCCTCAGAGCGACGCTTTGTATGATGTCACTCTGTGATGATGTCACCGTAGCACTCTGCACATCGATGAGGCGTAGATTTAACGGTCTCCCATTCGCCCCCTCAGATCGTGACGGTGAACTGCGCCCGGTTGATCAAACCAGATCAGCACGCCACCAACGGCATTGTGCATGTGGTGGATCGCGTCATCACCGCCATCTCCAACAACATGAACACGTTAATCGACGTGGACGACGACCTGGAGACGCTGCGCGTGAGTTTATTGATCGATTGATTGCTGAAGTAGCTTTTGAGCACTGACTTCTGAACTTTGTTTCTGTGACTCAGATGGCAATAGCCGCTGCCGGTCTGACCAATATACTGGAGAACGAGGGCCAGTACACCATCTTCGCCCCCACCAATGAGGCCTTCGAGAAGATTCCTGAGGAGACACTGAACCGGATCCTGGGAGACCCCGTGGCTCTGAGAGGTGACCATTTGATCACTGCCGATGGCCTTTATAGCCTTACATAGTAAACTTGAGGACCTCCATCCTGATGACAGTCAGCCTGTGTTCCCAGACCTGCTGAACTACCACATCCTGAAGCATATGCAGTGTGCCGAGTCAATTGTGTCGGGGACCCCAATGGAGACGCTGCAGGGCACCGTGCTGGAGGTCGGCTGTGATGGAGACCAGATGACCCTGAACGGCAGGGCCATCATCACCAAGAAAGACCATCTGGGAACCAACGGAGTCATCCACTACATCAATGAGCTGCTCATCCCAGACTCAGGTATTAGTACTGCCGATACTACCGCAACCGAGCACACTCTAATCAACCTGGACTCAGGTACTAGTACTCCCTTTACTGCTGATACTACTTGACCGAGGCACCCGCTGATCAACCCGAACTGAGGTACTAGTACTACCACTACTGCACATATTGCAGAAAGTACTTACAACTACACAATAACTGCAGTACAACACAATCTGCTTTAATAGTTGTGGTAGCTGTGGTAGTAGCAGAAGTACTTGCTGTACTATTTAGTTATTTCACTTGTTCCTTTCTCAGCCAAAGTTCTGCTGGAGCTGGCAGATGGTTCATCTGTTGCCACAGCTACCAAGCTGTTTGTGGAAGCGGGTCTGTCCTCCCATCTGACTGGCTCCGAGGCTCTAACCATGCTGACCCCTCTGGACGACGCCTTCAATGGTAACGCTCCTGACCCTTTGACTTCCTGGAAAGTCTTTGATTTGTAAACTTTTCTTTCTCAACCAATCAGAAGGCTTGATTTCATCTACCCGTATTACATTACACTATATAGCCTCAGAAACCTATTTACTACCGTATTCAGAGATAATACATGTTATTCTCTTGGTGTCCACTAGAGGCATCACTACTGTATTATAGAGATAATACATGTTACTATAGGGGTAATAGATGTTATTATAGAGATAATATATGTGATATAGACATAATACCTGATATTATAGAGACGGTACATATTTTTATAGAGACAATAGTAGTAATTCATGTTATAATAGAGTTAATAATAGCGACGGTGGTGCATGGGGTAGAGAGGGTGCGCCGGGAACCACAAGGTTGGCGATTCGAACCCTGGCGGCTCCATGTCCAATGTCGAAGTGTCCCTGAGCAAGGCACCTAACCCCTAACTGCTCCCCGGGCAAAATGTAAAAACCATGGGTTAAAAAGGCAATGTAAGCTTTGGATAAAAGCGTCAGCTAAATGACATGTAATGTAAGATAATACATGTTATTCTCCTGGGGTCCACTAGACCACTGTATTATATGGATGATACATGTTACTATAGAGGTAATACATACACCGTTACAGGAAGAGACACAACCATGACCCCCGACATGAAGAAGCTGATGACCGACCACATCCTGAAGGGGCAGCTGACCTCCAAGTCTCTGTATCACAACCAGGAGCTGGAGACGCTGGGAGGCATCAAGCTCAGAGTATTCGTCTACAGAAATGTAAGGACTCCCATTTCCTCACTAATGAGCTTGTAACTCTTCTAATTGGCCAATGGGGAATCAGGACACATACAATATACCCTATCAGGAGGCAGTGGGAGGGTGTTAGCATGCTGATGGTAGCAGTTAGCGCACAGGTCTGGAACCTAGCCAAGACCAGCTCTTCAACAAGGTCTCAGTCCAGTTGTGTTGGTCCAGACATCTCCTCCGGGGGTTTTGTTGAACATCAGGTCTGCTCCACATCTGGATCCTACAGTTGGAGGCTTGTTGGAAATGGACAAACATCTGGATAAGGTTTCAGACTGTTGTTCTCACCACAGAGTTCTAGTTCTGTGTCTGATGTTGGAACCAGAATCATCCTGTTTAATCTTCTTAATGAGATATTTTCCTGGAAAAGCAATGAAATACTTTCCCACATGAATGAAGACCGACTCACGTCCCTCCAGTCAGAGCAGCAGATATTTTGTCCAGCTGGGTCCTCCTCCTCTTCCTACCCAGGGAGGCGGCTTTATATTAATTACTTTACCAAACCGGCCTCCACATCAGTAGTTCTCAGCAGGATCCTTCAGATCAGGAACTGCTTCTGGGTCTTTGAGTTTTTATGTTTTCAGCTACGAGGGCATGAAACTTTATTTTAATTTGGAAACAAATTTTCAGAAGGAGGAATTGTGGTGAGTGCAGGCTGAAGACTTCATGTGGTGGGGGGGGTCCCCCTGGTCTCCTCTCTGGCTCCATGTGATACATGTCCTGGTCTCCTCAGTGGTTCCACATGATTCTGGTCCTGGTCTCCTCTGTGGTTCCACATGATTCAGGTCCTGGTCTCCTCTGTGGTTCCACATGATTTAGGTCCTGGTCTCCTCAGTGGTTCCACATGATTCTGGTCCTGGTCTCCTCTGTGGTTCCACATGATTCAGGTCCTGGTCTCCTCTGTGTTTCCACATGATTTAGGTCCTGGTCTCCTCTGTGGTTCCACATGATTCAGGTCCTGGTCTCGTGGGGGGCTCACATTTCAGCTCAGTAATGAACTCTGCAGACCACCAGAAGTTTCCTGCTTCCCGCAACAGCGAAATCATTCCAGAAACCGAGTGTCTGTTTATAAATGTTTCTGTTTGTTTATGTGTATGTGTGTGTGCGTCTGTGTTTATAAGTGTGCGTCTGTGTTTATAAGTGTGTGTGTGTGTGTGTTTATAAATGTGTGTCTGTGTGTGAGAGAAAGGATCTGACCTGAAGTAGTGGAGAGACCAGAGAGCCGAAGTTCTCTGGTGCCTCAGACACTCTTATTATAACGCATAGATGTGTGTATAATATCTCTCTCTCTTTCTCTTTCTATCTGTATATTTATAGATATAGTTCTATATACCTATATCTATATAGATATAGTATATATATGCATATTCATATATATATATAACTATATAAAGTTATATACATATAGTTGTATATACCTATATATACTACTATATGTATATAACTGCATATATAAAACTATATATATGAATTAAATCATGTGATGTATTTACATGTCTGCAGAACCTCTGCATAGAGAACGCCTGCATAGCGGCCCACGATAAGACAGGCCGGTACGCCTCCATGTTCACGGTGGACAAAGTGCTCGCCCCCCCGATGGGGACCGTCATGGACGTTCTGAAGTCAGAGGGCCGCTTCAGGTGAGAATGTTTGAAACAGACTCTGGATCAGAAAATACACCTTCCTCTAGATACTAGGAGCTGTTGACTTCCTAGTCATCCAACAACAGTTTTTATGAACCATTAATTCATCTGGATCGGACAGGGAAAACTGTTCTGGGATCAGTGCTGAGGTCACTACAGGTCAGAACTGCTTACATCACAGGAAGTGACGCCATGGTCCGCGCCTCGTTTCAGTGTCCTGGTGGGGGCCGTGCAGACCGCCGGGATGACGGAGCTGCTCAACCAGCAGGGGGCACTGACCCTCTTCGCTCCGACCAACGAGGCCTTCAACGCGCTGCCCCGCGCCGACCTCAACCGGCTGATGCGTAAGTAACGAAAGATGGCCGCCGCTCCCAAGCGGTATCGTCCTCACGGGTCTCCTCCTAAGGAAGCCTCCTCTGCATGAGGTCTCCTTGTTTGGGCCGGGCGCTTTGTTGAGGTGACTCACCGGAGGGTCTGAGCTTATGAAGAGTCATTGCACATTGCTTCAGACGTCCTGCCAGACCGAGGAATGAAATCACGATGCTGAGAATATCCAGTGAAAAGAGATGATGTCATCGCATTCTGTCTTCCTGTTCCTTCGTCTTCCTTTGTTTTTATAACAGATATGTTGTAGCGTATATGTTTTTAATCTATATTTATATTTCTGGGCAGTTTAGAGATATTAGTCAATACAACTTTATTGATAGTTGTAAGTATTTATTTTATTGGTGTGTGTGTGTCCAGGTGACCCTCAGCAGCTGTCTACTCTGCTCAGGCTTCACCTGCGTGAAGGCATCCTGGTCAGCGGAGGAGTTGGATCCCACACTAGAGTGCAACCTCTCCAGGGAGAGAAGCTGGAGCTGGGCGTGGTGCGTCCCTCCTACGCCCCCACGTCCCCACGTCCCCAAGTCCCCACGTCCCCACGTCCCCACGCCCCCACGTCCCCAAACCCCCACGGCCCCACGCCCCCACGTCCCCAAGTCCGTCCTTATTCATAGCTGATCAGTTCAATAACAGCTCTTTCCTCTGTGTGTTACAGCGTAACTACACGGTGTACGTCAACAAGGTCCCGCTGGCCCACGCAGACCTGATGGCAACCAACGGCGTCGTGCACGCAGTGGACGCCATCATCAAACCTCTGCGTGAGTCGCTACCCAAGTCCTACGGCTGTGACATCACGCGGAGCGCGTAACATCACGCCACCCCTGACATACCTCTCTTGTTCTCTGCAGCTCTGAAGGTGGACCGAGAACAGAATGATGGACCTGCGACGGCCTTCAGACCGGTGGCCTCCTCCAGGGTGAGAGACCACTGATGAATGAGGTCTTGATGGGGGAGGAGTCTACTTCAGCTGAGTTGCATGACCTATCAGTGAGCACAGATGATGGTAATATAAAATGACTGTAATAATTCTGCTGACCTTCACCCCGTCTCACAGGTCGACACCAAGAGCTTCAGGAACAGTGAGTTCTTCTTCTTCTCTGGTCTTCATCAGAACCCGTAAAGTTTCTAACTCTCTGTCTCTGTGTCTCCAGATGTGATGTTCCAGAAGGTCGTCCGCAGTCGCTCCAGCAGGACGATGACCCAGTAGAACTTAGCAGAACCTCTGACGAACCAGTAGAACCCAGGACAACCTCTGACAAACCAATAGAACCCAGCAGAACCTCTGAGGAACAAGTAGAACTCAGCAGAACCTCGGAGCAAGAATTAGAACTAAACACACCCTCTGAGGAACAAGGTGGAACCCAGCAGAACCTCTGAGGATCAAGTAGAACTAAACCCAACCTGTTAGGAACAAGTAGAACCCAGGGGAACTTTTGAGGAACCAATTGAACCCAGCACAACCTCTGAGGATCAGAGAGGATCCCACAACCAAAGTTTTTGAACACAGCTTGTTCATTTTTTTCATTAATTTAGTCAAAACATGTTTATAACCGCTGATTAATGATTATTGGATCGTGAACTCTGGAATGTGAGAAGATAGAAACAAAGACGAGAGTTTTGTTTCATTGCTGTTGTTATTAATGTTAACTTTTATAACAAAAAGCAGATCCGACACAAGGTGATCAATCACAATGATCAGTTACAGTGATCGGTCACAGTGATCGGTTACAGTGATCAGTTACAGTGATCAATCACAGTGATCAGTTACAGTGATCAATCACAGTGATCGGTCACAGTGATCTGTTACAGTGAAAGGGCAAAGGTCACTCGGCTTAAAGCCACTGATCGTTATTATAACTGATCAATACTCGTTAATCACTGTGAGAGGTTCTCGGGGGGATTTATTCACATTGTGAAATAAAGTTTCTTGTGTTAACTTGTTTTCTGAATAAAGGGAGACCTTCAAAGAGACATTTGTCTTTGTGTATTTGATCCAGACCAGAGTCTCTATAGAAAGACAATCAATACAGAATGTAGAGCATTATTATGGGATGTCTAATCACTTTGGCAGAACAGGATTCATGTGATACTTTTCCTCTACACTTTTCTTTTACTGTAAAAATAAAATCGTCACATCTTAAAAACAAAGTTTGAACTTTCACATAAACCATTCCCGTGTTGTTTGTTGTTATGTACTGTTTGTCATGTTGTCCTGTAGCATGCCAGCAGGCCAGAGCTCAAACCAACAAACTCATTTTTAGGATCTCTCGCTAAAATAAAAACGATGATCCAAAAATGGAAACTCCCATGGCCTCACACCTGTGGGGGAACCGATGGGGTCGGGTGCGCTGCTATAAGGGTGCCGGGGACGTGGAACGTCACCTCTCTGGGGGGGAGGAGCCGGAGCTTGTGCGGGAGGTGGAGCGTTACCAGTTGGATCTGGTGGGGCTTACCTCTACGCACAGCCTCGGCTCTGGAACCACACTCCTGGATAGGGGGTGGACTCTATTCTACTCCGGAGGGGCACCAGGCGGGTGTGGGGATACTCACAAGTCCCCGGCCGAGTGCTGCTACATTGGAGTTTACCCCAGTGGACAAAAGGGTCGCCTCCCTACGCCTTTGGGTGGTGGGGAGGAAACTGACTGTTGTCAGTGCATATGCACCAAACAGCTGTTCAGAGTATTCAAGTCCTGCATGGGGCTCCAGTAGGGGACTCCAAGACCTACTGGGAGACTTCAATGTGCACATGGGCGACGATGGAGATAACTGGAGAGGCCTGATTGGGAGGAACGGCCTCCCTGATCTGAACCCGAGAGCTCGTTTGTTATTGTACATCCGTGCCAGTCATGGATTGTCCATGAAAACACCATGTTCGAACATAAGGAGGTTCATAGGTGTACGTGGTACCACAGCACTCCGCCGCGTGTTTTGGACACTTGGGTAAAGACAGGGGAAGAGCTGTCATCTGATCACCATCTAGTGGTGGACTGGGTCAGAGGATGGGGGAAGACTCAGGACAGACCTGGTAAACCCAAGTGCGTGTGAATGTGAGAGGAGTTTTCCAAAAGATTTTCAACTCACACCTCCAGCAGAAGTTCTCTCATATTCCTGTGAAGGTAGCGGACATCAGGTGTATCAAGGGGCGGTAACCTTCGAACCCCTTGGTGGACACCGGTGGTCAGGGAAGCTGTCCGACTGAAGAAGGAGGCCTTGTGGGTTATGATATCTGATGGGACGCGTCAGTTGCAGGGCGGCAGCCTCTGCCGTGAAGGAGGCCAAGCAGCAAGTTGCTGAAATGGGTTTCCTCATGAGAGTGGCTGGGGTCTCCATTAGAGGTAGGGTGAGAAGCTCAGCCTCCTTTGCGTTGAAGGGAGCCAGTTGCCAGCCCCAGGGAAGACCCAGGACTAGTTGGAGAGATTATATCTCTGCACTGGTCTGCGAACGCCTTCGTATCCCCCAGTCAGAGCTGGTAGATGTGGGAAAGGGAAGTTTGGTGTCCCCTGCTGGAGCTGTTTCCCCCGCGACCCGACCCTGGATAAGCGAATGAAGATGGATGAATGGAAAAAATGGAAAGACTCAACAACCTACCAAGAGAAGGCCATCCCCCAAACGGACCAGGAGGCGTGAATTAGAGAAGCAACCAAGAGGCTCATGGGAACTCTGGAGGAGCTACAAATATCCACAGCTGAGGTGGACAATCTGTCCACAGGATAACTCTTATCGTGTCCTCTACTAATCTGTCCTTTACGGAAGAGTGGCAGAAAGAACAACGCTGTTGAGAGTAAACCAGAAAAAATCCTGTTTGGAGTTCAACACAATGTGGGAGACACAGCAAGTGTGGAAGAAGGTGCTCGCTCAGAGGAGACCAGAATGGAACTTCTCTGTCTTGATGCAAAACGCTGTGTGGAGGAAAGCCAACACCACCATTACCCTGAGCACACCACCCCAACAGGAGAACATGATGGTGTAGTATCATGCTTCTCTTCTGCAGCTACAGGAAACTCGTTAATGATAATTAATGTTTGAATTAGAATAATTAAGGCCTTCATTATTTTAATGCAAACTATAATTACTCTACCCATACATATAGTTATATAATGTTATGTAGGTATATATATAGATATTTTGTGACACTTCACCAAATTAAAATCATAACCTATATATTAAATACTTCAAATGTTAAATTACATTTTTGTTTAACTAGATAACTAAGCACTTTTACATTCAATATTTAATGAATTACTCAACTAAAACTCACAATAGGTACGTTGACATTTTGCTTTAATCTGAACTTAATTGGTGAAGTAAAAACGTTATTTTCTTTATGATGTTAAAGTTTTTAACGAAAACAAAGCGCCCAGAGCAGCAGGTGTTTTACTCCCTCCGTCCGGCAGGGAACGCTGCAGGCGGACCTTCCTGCTTCCGGTGTGTCACATTTACACTTGTCCGTCACCACCAGCAACAAAACCACATGTGAACGACACTGCGGCGCGATGTCCTCCGCGTTAAGAGACCGAACCGGGGAGGTTCTGTTACCGGGGGATGAGTTCTCCTTTGACACCGACGACACCATCTCTCTGACGGGCCCCGTCAAACCAGAGAAGGTGGTGTGTGGACCGGGTCTGAGGCGGAGCGGGGACCGGCTGCTGGTGTGTAAAAGCGGCGTCCTACGGCACAAGCCGCCGAACATGTTCTGGATGGATTCCCAGCAGAGGAGGGTGAGACGACTCCGAGGAGAAATCCTGTCGCGTTACAGGGTGACGGACTGAATTAGAATCAGCTGTGCGCCGTTACGGCAGAACCTGATGGACCAAAACCGCGCCAGAACAGCGAGCGGTGCGAATCACCAAATCCGGCCCGCGGGGCGTCCAGTGCGGTCGCTTCTGCTTCGTTTGCATCGATTTGTCCCCGCGTGTCGTCCGTCTGTACCAGCGGCTCGACGGACTTAATAAATCCGACACCGCTCCTCTCTTGGGCACAAGTTGTGCTCTTTTCCGTGTTTTCATGTAGCAACAGAGTTGCTTCTTGTTGTGAGCTGTACCCAGCATGCAGTTCGGCGGGGTAATATTTATAAATTGTACAATTATTAGTCGTGATGTGTTACCCTGTTAAGGAGTGTTATTGTGTTATTCTTTGTTGTTATGAAGTTAAAACCATGACTCACTCTCAACACACAAGACAAGTAGCTCCGAGCGCTTCTTGATGACGTGTAGAAACGCATTTTGTGACACCCTATGAACGGTACTAAATGACATATAATGTGGTCTCATCTCCTCCTGTAGTTGTTGTGGAAATTCCACAAATACCCTTCGTGTTTGGGTTCATGACCTCATCCGTAGTCGCACACAGCTCGGTGGATTCCAATGACTCGTCTGGCTGACCAGCAGCCCGTTGGATGACCGGCTCGGATCGGTGCGTCTCTCGGTTGGACAGGTAACCTGCTGCCTGTCTGGCTCCAGTGAGCGGCTGTTACAATACACATAAAGTGTATTTGCGCTTTGGCAGCAGGACTGCAGTGATGACGAGCGGGGCATCTCAACGCCGGTTGACTTTGGCAAGACAGCGTCGGGCGGATTTTTTGCCACGGTTGAAATATTTTTATTCCATTCGCATCTTCGTGTTTTTCGGGCCGCCTCATTTGCTTCGCGTTTGGCGTGAACGTACCATAAAGGAGATAAAGGAGTGTGTTCGGATGTTTGAGCAGTGCTTAAGTCAATTCTGTCTCTGTCCTCAGTATGTTCCAGCTAAAGGTGAAACCATCATCGGCATCGTGACCGTAAAGTCAGGAGATGTCTTCAAGGTGGACTTTGGAGGAAGTGAGCAGGCGTCTCTGTCCTACCTGGCTTTTGAGGGAGCAACTAAGAGGAACCGACCCAACGTGCAGGTGAGACACAACCTGTGTCTCAATTCACTCGGCTACATCCTTGTAGCCTTCAGCTGCCTTCGCGGCTGGAAGCATCGCTCCTCCCGCATAGGCTGAAGTGAGCGGAACTGATTTCATTTAGGAAGATATGCTTCACCTCCGAAGCATGATACATTTGAGGCTGAGAGAAGAACTTTGGTTATTTTCATTTTTTTATTAATTGTTAAATTAAGTCAGTTAGGCCACATACTTTCAGCTAAAAGTAATATTGCAATCTCAAGGCCGAGGAGATTCCATCAACACTGTCAATAAAAACTGCAACAGCAGCAAACACATGTATTAACGTGTATGCAGGGACTTTTTATTGGGTGTCAGGTTTGGGGGGAGCGAGGCTCTTTAGTCCCAGCACAACTCAAAAGGAGCAAGTGAAAATGCTGCACTCTGTGGACGGCTGTTTCACACTCGGTAAAAGGGGTTCGGTTTTAAATGATCTTTGTGGTATTTTGACCAAAGTATTTCATTAAGATCCCAAGGAACCACATCAACTTGTGGTACAATGGGCACATGATGGTCCTTCAAGATATTAAGGATGTGTCCACGCCACAGCAGCTGAATGTCACCACACACATGGTTCTCCTCCAGCGTGATGCTGCTGCCTCCTGCTCCATAAACACAACCAAATGTAAAGTTAGTTAGTAATCACACAACCAAATGTAAAGTTAGTTAGTAATCACACAACCAAATGTAAAGTTAGTTAGTAATCACACAACCAAATGTAAAGTTAGTTAGTAATCACACAACCAAATGTAAAGTTAGTTAGTAAGTTAGTCACTAGTTAGTCACTTTGATCTATTTCTGTTCATAATATGAAGTATAAACTACATTTAAAACAACCTCTAAAGTGTAAAAGTGAAGGTTTAATAACTACAGACAAGCTCCTGGTAACGTGAGCAATGTGTAATTCTTTGTTAGTTTAAATACATTTTCTCCCTTTTTCATGTATACAGAGATTTCACAAAATGTTTGGTCATAGAAATGTTCTTACCCCTCCCTCCTTGGTCCCTAACCCCTCCCTCCTTGTGTTACCTGTGCAGGTGGGCGACCTAGTGTTCTCTCAGTTCCTCTTAGCCAATCAAGACATGGAGCCTGAGCTGGTGTGTGTGGACAGCTCAGGACGGGCCAATGGGATGGGAGTATTTGGAGGAGGAGGTCTACTCTTCACGGTTTCTCTGGGACTTGTTAGAAGGTACACCTCCGCAGATGTTTGTGTGAATAGTAGCGCTGTCCTGAGACACCCCCCTCACCTGGCTCCCCCCCCCACTCCCAGACTGCTGACCCCCCACAGCGAGATCCTGTCAGACCTGAAGCAGCTGTTCCCCTGTGAGCTGGTGATGGGAATGAACGGCCGTCTGTGGGTGAAGTCCTGCAGCCTCCAGCAGACCCTCGTCATCTCCAACCTGCTGCAGAGCTGCGACACCATGACGGCCCAGCAGAGACGGGAGCTGTTCAGGAGGGTGGCCCAGGGGGCGCTGTAAGACCACCTGCTGCACCTGAACCAGCAGAGGGGGGGGGGGACACACTGTCGACCACATGAGACCTCGGGTGCTCCTGCACCAGGTGTGCTGGATCAGAGGGAGACGAGCTCCAGCTGCTGGGACAACCGGATCTTCTTCAAGTCTTACAACCCTGAGATTTACTTGAGGATGAACATCTTTGTGATGATATGACAACATCGGGATGTTATATGTTTACTGGTTTTGAAGTATGAAGTACAGTAAAGTCTATTTTGTGACCACATTCTTCTAGTCTTTGAAAACTCATGTCCAAGTAATGATGATTATTACAAAGAAAGGTTGTGACGTTGAGCTTCCTACATTTTTTGGAGCACTATCCTTTGGTACAAGATGACCTGAAAATAAATGTACTATATAAATAGATGTGTGTGTGTGTGTGTATTTTGATTATACTATATACACAAACAACGTTTCAAGTAAATGTTTCTATTTTCCTGCTTTAACTTTTAATGCTGTTGATCATTAGTTAATAAAACCAATGCTTTTTTCCAATAAAACATTTATTTCAAATAGATTTAAGGAAAAATAGATTATTGTTTTCTTTATATTACTTTTTATACATAACTTTGTATTCATTTAGAAAAAAACGTGTCAGATGGCTCACACAAGGATTCTGGCTGAAAACCACTAAACTAAATGTGAAAGACGAGACAGACAGATGGGCGGGGAGGACTCTAGTAACCATGGGCAACACGTCATCAGAACTTTGGCAACACTTCAGACACCTTGATGATGTCACGGGAGGAGGCGGAGCCCGCAGGGATCACATGACATGTTTCTGGATACCCGGCGTGAACTCCTTGGCGTTAGGGTTCAGACTGCTTTTCATCTGGAGGACAGAAGGACAGTAGTGAGGCTTGTGTCCAACGTTTCCCATGTCCTCTGTCTCCACACCACCTGAACTCACCACAAGCTCCTGGACCTCCTGCGGGAGGTCTCTGGAGGGGATGAACCACTCCCACTGCTCCTCTTCCTCCAGCATCTCCTGGAAGCATCGCTCCATGAACTCCTCCTCCCAGAGCTCCTCCTCCACCTGAGACACACCATGCAAACAATCTGTAGACATTAGGACGTGTTTACGAGACAGAGCAGCCGTAATATCCTCCGTGGACACGGATGGACATGTTTCCCCTCTGAGGACATATAGCCGTCAAACACAGATGTGTGTATCCTCTAAGGACATGGAGCAGCCGTGACACATGTACCTGTCTGTCCTATGGGGACACTGACCTGCCGGTTGAACTCCTCCTCGTTCTCCATCCACATGTACTCAGCGAACGGGTCATCCTCGGGGACGCGGTTCAGAACCAGCTCCGTGTTGATGGTAGTGGTCTCGCGGCTGAGTCTCGGGTCCCTCATGTCTCTGGTCTCGGACGTGCGCCACAAGGACACGGTGAGACCCGCCGAGCACCTGCTCCGGTCCGTCTGGGTCGCTGTTATGGCCGCTGACAGACCGACCTTTAGTGGCCGTTGAGACACCGGAAACGGAGTTAAGACACACAGAGACGCGCCCGGATACGTTCCGCCAGAGGGACTGAACAGCACGAGCCGCTGAAGCCGCGGGAGTAGCTCACAACCCGGATCGATCCACGGAACTCCGACGGCAGCTTCTCCTCACCGTAATGGCGGCTTCTTGTTTGTTTACATTGGTGACGTCAGGTCGTGCTCGCTCATGAGTGGACGAACCGCACTGCTGCCTTCACGTGCCCGCCAGACCCGTTGAAACCAAGCTGCCCGAAAGTCGGCTAGTGGGGTCCGTCACTTAAGTTACATACTGTCGCTCTGTTTCTCTCTATATATATTAATGTAATATATAACGTTAGTATATTCTTCAGTATGAAGACGCGGTGTAGCACACATCTGGAACAGCAGTCGGCAGCATAAGTCATTTCATCGGTTCGAGGTGCGCAGTGAACCAAATAAGACAGAAGAAGAAGAAGAAAACATCGCGATACTTCAGTCTTCACGTTGGGTACTTTGGCTAGCTCAGCTAGCTATCACCTACGCATCCGATTTAGGTAACGTAAGTTCCCATTCACTAATTCACGCGATTATATGAACACCATTAGAAAGATTTATGGAAGACATACAGGCATGGAACTATAAACTCGTTTAGCCAGCGGCTAGCAGTGGATTTTTGCTTAAGCTATTCACGGCTCAAGTCATCGAACATTAATTAGTTGGCGTTAATACTAGGCTGTATGCTAAAGCTAGCTTCGTGTGTGCGGTATTGTTACATTCACCTAACTTAATGTCACACGCTGGTGCGATTAAAACGTTAATCGGTGGTTAAAGTCTTTCGGCTTCTTCGGTTTAAACTCGTGGTGCAGTGACCGTATGCTAGCACCATTAGCGTAGCTGCTAGCACAGCGTTGTCCTCCATGCAAGTTAGTGAAGAACCGTTACAAAGTAACGTTACATTTACGTTAAGTGCTTTACTTCAGTTTACAATCGAGGTCCTCATACATGACTTGATTATATAACATGTTTATGTCCTTCCTGTACAGTGAAAACCACGTGTCAGAAGTGTTTACTTTGAAGTATTCAATTATATTACAGTTCTCCTAATTCCTAACTAGCAGGAAGACACTTTTCTCTTAAACGCGAGGAACAACCGAGGAAACGTTTGTGTATGTTCTCCTTAAACACTGTCTGCCCAGTACTGTACACAGCATGGATCGGTTACTATAGTAGGACTCTACTGTAGTAATCTGCAGGGATCAGATACTTGTGGTTGTTCTACAATATCTGCTACCTGCGTGTCTGAGAATCTTTCAGCGGACAGACGGTTTTAACAAAAAAACATAAACATGACAAAGTATCGTTGTTGTCACAACATCCAACTAAATAGATACGTTAAATCAGTCGTTGTTTTTAGAGACACGTGGTTCTCACAGGATGGAGCCCGATGGTGCTTTGATGTACTTGATGTGTTACTTGAGTGGAGGATCTACTTCTTCAGCCGCTGATCTCTACTCGTTGACATTTGAAAGGAAATGATTCAGATGGAAGATGATTTTAATTACATCTGTCAGAGCTCCTCCTTGTTCAGTGAGGAGATTTCCTTCGCCTCCTCCTCCGGTCGCTCTTCACAGCTTGTTGTGTCTCCTTTCCTAGCCTCCTTTAATACATCCTCGTGTCCACCTCCTCTGGCTCCTGTGTTCTTATCGGAGGCCACGCCTCCTCCTCCTCGTTGTGTTTCTGCAGACGTCCACAGAAGAGGACTTCCCTTCACTGATATTAACCCCCTCCCCCGTCCTTCAGACTCTTTTCTTAATCGCTTGTGAACAAGCTGTCCGTCATGTCTCAGAAGTCTCAGTCTGACGGGGGTCAAAAACACTTCGCCGTGGGCCGCGGGCTCCTCGCTGCCGCCGAGACCTTGAACTTCAGCATGAGCGAGCAGCGGTCCGGCAGGCAGATGGGGGGCGGGGCCTCGGGCGTGGGGGTGGGCAGCGGCATGGACAACCAGGACGGGGGCTCCCAGATTCCGCGGCGCGGTGGTGGTAACCACATCGGCAACACCATGAAGCTGTTTGCCAGTCTGGGCCTGTCGCCCTCTGACCTGGACGCTCTGGCTGAGATCCCAGAAGAAGACATCAGCGTGGAGACGCTGCCGCACATCCTCATGCAGCTCAAGAGCCGTAAGGGGGACGCCTCGGAGCGGCGGGGGGCCGCGGCCGTGTCCTCAGACGGCGGGTACCGAGGAGGACGCGACAGCTGGGACGGCGGGAACACGGAGAGGATGGGCGGTCCTTCTCTGGGGCCCGGCTCGGCCCGGGTCCAGACTTCTGCGGACTTTGGCTACGGTTCGCTGCAGGACGGCGCCCCCAGCCGCGGCTACGGCTTGAGTTACGGCAGCGGGGTGGGCAGCAGAGAACGTCCGTACTCGGAGCTTTCCCGCCACGACTCCTACAGCGGGGTCGGCATCGGGCCGTCGGCCTCCGACCCCAACTTTAGGCAGAGGAGGATGGGCTCCCCGTCCAATGGGAAGGTCCAAGACTTCTTGGGGGTCATGCCCCCCATGTTCCCCCACGTGTGCTCTCTTTGTGACTTTGACGTTCATTCCAACATGGTGAGTACACCAGCTTCCTGTCTTCTTCTTCTGGTGACCCCACAGCATGTCTTCTGTTTCTTTATAGTGGCGCAGAAGTTCTTTCCTGGTCATCTGTTCCTCCTCCATCTAGAGTATTCACACATAACAGGCCGGCTTAGTCCGGAGGGCGTGTCCATCCCGGACCAATCAGCAGCTCTGTACACGATGACATTGTTACTTTCATGGGATTCATAGTATTCTGGTTGAATCTGATCTTTCATTCTCCTCACCCGGAGATGAAAACACATTACAGTCCTCTGCTCATGTTATCAATAATAACAGGAGCTCCTAACATTATCAATACGGATCAGTCTTGATATGAAATGTTCTTTGTTACGAGGCGTCGGCGTGAAAGTAAGAGAAGATGTCGAGGCTCTGATGTTTAACTCGCTGACTCTGTCTGCGTCGGCAGGAGTGGAACCAGCACACTAACGGACTCCGGCACGATGAGAACAGACGGCTGCTGCTCAACATGTGAGTGTCCCACAGCGACTGGCGTCTGAGTCCTGCTTCTGGTGCTGACGATGCCCTCTGTGCTTTCAGGTATCCGGACTGGGACCCTGGCATGTCCTCCGGCAGAAGGTAAGAGTCAGGAAGCCCCCTGGACAAAGCTCTGATCAATCATGTAGAACATTTAATAAACACATAGAATGAGAGTCCTGCAGGTTTTACCACTTTGAGGACTCTCGTAGTTTAGTTGCACTCAGGGGTAGAGCGGGCGCGCCGGGAACCACAAGGTTGGCGGTTTGAGCCCCGGCTGCCCCATGTCTCATGTCGAAGTGTCCCTGAGCAAGACACCAAACCCCTCATTGCTCCCCGGGCAAAATGTAAAAAGCCACGAGTTAAAAAAGTAAGTCGCGTTGGATAAAAGCGTAATGTGATGTGGACGTTAGACACTCTCACTGAATGAGAAGGTGGAGCTCACAGGAAACATCTGGAGCAGAGCTTCCTGTTGACCGCTGTCTCTGTTCCAGTCTTCTGGAGACCCCCAACATGTCTGCAGGGCTGCTGGGACCGGCCCCCGTGTCTTCCTCTCAGACCGGGAGAGGGATGTCCTCCAGCTGGGGCAAGACCCTGTTTTATTATTATTTGTGTTTTATTATTAGCACATTTCATTATTACATTCATAATTATGATTATTGTCTTAATAATTCATTTTATTCTTCATAGTAATTGTATTGATATGTTATTATATTCCTAATGAATGTTCTCACTAGTGTTGATATTTATTAGGGATAACTGTGTTTAAAGTGAGTAGTTTCTGCAGACTAATGGTCAGTGTGTTTCAGGAGGAGGTGGAGGAGGTCCTGGTCTGTCAGGAAAGAACCAGTCGGGACAAAATAAGGTCAGTTTGTCCTCCGGTGTGTCTTTAACCAATGTGACGTGTTTCTTCAGTAGGACGTGATGGTGTGGTGAGGAGCAGGGTGGTGCTGTGTAACTACCGTTGGTCTCCTCAGGTCAGGAGCAGGGTGGTGGTGGTGAAATACGACCGGAAGCCTCTGAGCAACAAGACTCTGTTTTCCTTCACCGAGCCCTTCGGCTGTCTGACGGAGCACCTGGTCCTCAAGAACAAGGTAAACACCTCCGCTCAAGTTCTCCTCATCTCCGTTGTGGTGTCCGGTGTCTGACCCCCCGTGTCTCCACCAGGCCTTCCTGGAGATGAGCAGCCACGAGGAGGCTGTGGACATGGTGAACTACTACGAGCAGAACCAGGCGTCTCTGTACGGGAAGGAGCTGAGCTTCTACCTGTCCAAGAGGCTGCTGGTGATTGAGGTGCACGTTCTCCTCTTCCTCCTGTAGTCCCGCTGCTGTCCCACCCCCTGAGACCTCCTCTGTTTCTCACTCAGAAGGACCAGCGGGCCGCCGACAGGTCTGCCCGGGAGGTCAAAGGTCAGGGCAGCCAGGTGGTGTTCTTTTCCAACCTGCCCAGAGAGGACGAGAAGAAGAAAGAGCTGCTCACCATCGCGGGACGCTTCGGCACTGTGGAGAAGCACCTGTTCCTCACTGACCAGGTAGACCATCGAGGTTCTCTTCATCTGTGTCGCCATAATCAACGTATTGACTTCTCGCACAATAGATGAAAATGAGCGTGATGATTGTCAGTGTGCAATATCTCATAATCATTTTACATATGAGTGTCATCAACATTTTAGTCCATCGGGGAGCCTCTGTCCTCTTGTCTGCTGTTTGTCGGGAGAGGAGGCGGAGCTTAGGCAGCGTCTCCACACACACACACACACACACACACACACACTCCAATAACAACAATAATAATAATAACTGGTCTAAATCATCCATCTATCAATATATTGATCCATTTGTCCTCCAGGCTTTTGTCCAGCTTGGGACTCCGGAGGACGCTGAGATGTTGGTGAAGTATTACAGCGTGAACCCTCTCACCATCAAAGGCAGACCGATCCGCCTCAACATCTGCACCAAGTACAAGACCCTAACGTGAGCTCAGAACATCTGGAACCATCACACAACCGCGTTCTTCATCAGCTCCTCACAGATCCGTCTCACGCTTCTGTTTCAGCGTCAACCGCAGACAAGGAGGAGAGGATCGCAGCCAGAGGAGCAGCGGAGCTGACACCTCCTACTCCTCCGGAACCAGGACCTCCTCCAAGTCCTCATCTAGAACCAGGGAGGAGGACAAGAAGGAGGAGGACCAACATACAGCGGAGGAGGAGGAGGAGGAGGAGGAGGTGTCAGGAGTTATGGATGGGGAGGACCAAGGGGAGGAGCACGTAGCTGATGGAGTTGCAGAGGGGGAGAAGCCAAAAGGAGGCACAGAGGAGCAGGAGGAGGTTAGAAAATTCAACATGTTTAATCTCATCCAATGATCACTGATTTACAGAAGCTCTCTGATCACGTACACACAGGTTCCTGATGGGGATGATGTCACAGAAGACCCACCTGGAGATGTGGGCGGGGCCGAAGCAGAGTTCAAGCAGGAGGCGGAGTCAGAGGAACAGGCCGAACATACAGAGACCGAAGTCTCTGCCGAGGAACCCGAGATTAAAGAAGAAATGGAAGCAGAACCCGGAGAAGGTTCAGAGACGGTGGAGGGAGACCTGTCTGCTGATGCTATGGTGTGTGTGTGTGTGTGTGTGTGTGTGTGTGTGTGTGTGTGTGTGTGTGTGTGTGTGCGTGCGTGCGTGCGTGCGTGCCTGCGTGCGCGCGTCTCTCCCCACAACATGAAGTCTTTTGTTGTCGTTGCTCAGTTTGATCGTGACTTCCTTGCGAACATGGAGGACTTTGTGACGCTGGACGAGCTTGACGAGGACGAAAGAGACGGAGAGTCCGACTCCACCGGTACATGAAGGTTTCTCCATAAATCGTCCTTAGATGTTGAGATGAAAGCTGTCATTGACCCTTTGTGTCTCCTCTCTTCTGCAGACAACACCAGGAAAGGGGTGAGTGTCCGTCCACAGAGACGGTTCTGAGACCGGAGCTCAACGTCACCACTGACATGCTGCTGCTTCTCCTTCTCATCCTCTTCTCCAGGGAATGAGGGTGGTGAACATCGTGGGCTTCAGACGAGGTTACAACTTCATGAACGAGCTTCAGGGACTTGCCAAACCTTTTGGGAAGGTGGTGAAACATCTGGTGCTGGACCTGAGACCGGAGGTACCCCCCCCCCCTTACCGGTTCATCAGCATCCCGTGTGTCTGCTTTATTAAACGTTCCATATGTTCTTCAGGCGTACCTTCAGTTTGCCACAGAAGAAGAAGCTCGTGCCATGGCCAGCTTCTACAACGGTAACATCACGGCGTCTGTGTGCGGCCGCCCGGTGAGGGTCAGTCACTCCCTGAGCTACCCGACCATCCAGGTGAGCGGGCCAAAGGGTTACATCTGATTACTCTTTAAGTTCCAAACTGCACATTTGACTCAAAGTCGAGAGGAGCTCTTATCTTTATCTTAAAGCATTCTGCTACTGTGCTGCGATTATATTGGATATCAAACGTTATAAAGGTGTTCTAAAAAGAACACAACATTTATGAAATACCTGCGAGTAGTCATGCATCAAGCACACGTCAAGGTTTTCCTCCTCACCTGCGAATAATATAGTTGAAGATAACTCTCACACACCACGAGTTCCTGTGAAATCATCTCGACACCCACGAAGGTCTCTCGTCTGCCTAGTTTATGCTTCTGCCTTTTCAGGGACACGCAAGAGTCCCTCGCGTGTCTTTTCACGCCTCCTTGTGTGCGTCGACCCATTTTTCTAGACCAGCGTCTAAAGTGACGCAGCCTCCTGCAGCACCAGGCTGTGATTGGTCTGCTGACTACGTCCTTCACGGAGTCTCACGTCTCCGTTTTCACAGCACAATACGGCCGTTATTAAAAGGAAGAACGTTTACGAGAGAACGGATCAGATTGAAGAGCTTTTAAATATGAGCGCTTGTACAAGCCGTCATTGGCGGACTATGAGGACGCCGGATGGCCTCTGATTCATGGAGGGAGATCTCCACAAACGAGGGAACAAAGTCGTGGAGGAAAATACGGGACAAATGTGTCCTTGATGAAAAGCAGCAGTGTGGATGCACAGGGCAATAAAGTCTATGATAAATAAATAAAGCAACCAGCGACTTCCACACACAAAGACGTGACTCTCTAGGTCGTCTTCAACAAAACACGTGACTCCACCTGTTGTTCTGGAGGTGAATCGCTCTGCAACACACGCAGGACTTTACAACCAGGAAGTGAAACCAGTGCGTAAAGACGCGTAAAGACGCAGAAACACGCGGCGACCTTCAGTGGCACAGACTAAGCCAAACAGTAGCTACGGTTTCCTAACAAAAGTGCAAAGTACATTTTACTGTTGCAATGAGAATAAACACAATAAACATTTGCACAATAGTTTTATTGCAATTTTAACAGAAACATGTCTAAGGATCAAAGAGGTGTTGACGGTTATATTTGACATTTACAAGGGAGAAGTTGAATGTTTGGGTTGACGTGTTGATGTCTCCTGTGTTAGTGCGGCTCCAGCAGGGTAGTCTACGTGGGTCAGATCCCCAACATCAAGTACTCGGACGACGCCATCTTGAAACTGGCGGAACCGTTCGGGAGGGTCGAGAAGTATTTCCTCAACAGGTTGAAGAGAGAGGTACGACCGCCACGGCAAAGCGCTTCTCATTTAATTCAATCTAACATCAATTCCTGGTACAGCCCAAAATAAATAGAGGGCTTTGTGGTCTTCACAGCATCTTCCATCCTGAACGGAATAAAAAAGTATCGAGCATAATAATCATGGTATCAGTATTACAAATAATAACAGCAGCAGTGGATACAGTAAATGGTAGTACAATAAGTAATAGTAATGTAACTGTCTAATAGTGATGATGGCAGTAAGTATCAGCAGAAACCACAATGATTCATTGAACGGGGTACTTAGTAAGTCTGGGCCTATAGCAGATGGTCCGAGCTGACCGAGCCGGCCCTGTCTCGTGAGGCCGAGCCGGCCCTGTCTCGTGAGGCCGAGCCGGCCCTGTCTCGTGAGGCCGAGCCGGCCCTGTCTCGTGAGGCCGAGCCGGCCCTAGCTGTGAGGCCGAGCCGGCCCTGTCTCGTGAGGCCGAGCCGGCCCTGTCTCGTGAGGCCGAGCCGGCCCTGTCTCGTGAGGCCGAGCCGGCCCTAGCTGTGAGGCCGAGCCGGCCCTAGCTGTGAGGCCGAGCCGGCCCTGTCTCGTGAGGCCGAGCCGGCCCTAGCTGTGAGGCCGAGCCAGCCCTGTCTCGTGTTTTTGTCCTCAGTGTTTCATAGAGATGGAGAAAGCTGAGGAGGCTGAGAAAATGGCAGAAGATTGCAAAGTAAATCCTCCAAGGTTCAACGGGAAACGTTTGACTGTTTACGTCAGCAGGAAGTACAGACAGCTCAAACACGGGTCAGTTTCTTCTTCAGTGGGGAACAAGCAGTTTTTAAAAAGACAGAACTATCGTCCATCTAGTTTATCAATTGGTTTTGTTTTTAGACACCGATGTCCAGACAGAAAGAGAGAGAACAGCAGCATCTCTCCTAAATCCTCCAAACATCCTGAAGAACCTCCGGCCAAGAAATCCAAGGAAGACAAGAAACATGAGGAGGAGCATGGGGAGGAGATGGAGGAGAAGGAGAGAGAGGAAGAGGTGCTGAGTTATGAAAACAAAGAAGAAGAAAAGCCATTGGAGAAGATACCTGACGGTTCCGATGAGAACCAGAAGATCTGCCAGGAAGTGAGTTTCCTCTTGTTTTTGGTTTGGCTGTTGGTGATGTCATGAGTCATTCTCTGCTGCTCCGAGCTGCAGGAGGTGCAGTCATCGTCCAATGAGAACACGGAGACCGAGGCCCCCCCGCCGGCTGAACACAAACCCAGCGTGGCGTCCCTGCCGCTGGCCCCCCATGACCCCAACACCCCCGTTGGTAAGTCCATCGTAGACAGATTATGATTGTCCAATGAGGGACACGCGAGGGGCTCTTGCGTCTCTCTGGAAACGCAGAAGCATAAACTAGACTTTAAGGTTAAACTGATTTTCCACTAAACCCGCTTCTTTAAACGGACACAACTTGTGCGTTGAGAGAGGAGCTGCGTCTGTTTGTCTGTCGAGCCGCTGGTGGCGTCAGACCCGAATGGACAGCTGTTCAGGTCAATGAATTAATGTTTACTTGAAAAAACACTGTCAGGTTCTGAATCTAAATACCGTGATATGGACTTCTGGTCATAGCGTGCAGCCCTACAACTCATTGTCACGTTCAAGACACCAGTGTGAGATGTGAGCTTTGACACTGTGGTCCTAAAGGGATGGAGGTGGTCAGCAACAACTCAGGCAGGCTGCACCACCCACCACCACCACCACCACCACCACACCACCAACAGCCTGAACCGTTGGTCCTGGTCCAACTAGTTCCACTGGTGATGCATCCAGCCTTAGTACACATTCTTCTTCCAGGTTCCACATGTTGTGCGTTCAGAGATGGTGTTGTGTGTTCCTTGGTTGTAACAAGTGGTTAGTTGAGTTCCTGTTGCCCTTCTATCGTCTAGGACCGGTCTCCTCTGACCTCTCACACCAACACGGAATCGTCATCCACATCGCAGCTGCTATTTTCTCTTTTCGGGATCAACCTCTGAACCCTGGAGATGGTTGCGTGTCCTGGAGATGGTTGCGTGTCCTGTAGATGAGCAGTTTGGACGTACTCAGACCAGCACCAACAACCACGTTGATCCCCTTTCTGATGTGTATGTGTCTAAATGCACTGAGTTGCTGCCATTTGATTGGCTGTTAAAGCACCTGCCGTGTGTCGGTTCCTTTGGGTCTTGATGAATGTCTGGAACATACTTTGGTCAAAATACCACACAGATCATTTAAAGCAGAACCCTCTTTACCGCGTCTGAAACAGCCGTCCACAGAGGGACCTGTTGAGTGCCTGTTCCTTTAAATGCTAATGAGCTAGCTTCATTAGCTCCATGCTGCTAGCGACCTGTTCCAAGTGTATCTGAGGTTCACAGAAACCAAGCGAAGCGCTTTGGCAGATATCGTAGTGCGTGTGTCACGTGAATCATAGGGAGTCACACGCTAGGCGTTCCCGTGTTGTGTAGAAGAGTTGCGGTTAAACGGTAACGTTACAGCTCACTGTTCCTGGAAAAGAATAAAAGGATTTGTACAAGAACCAGGACGAATCGCGGGCGTTGTCTTTGTGTCGGTAGATGAGCCGGATACCCAAAGCAACAGTATTTACACAATCTTCCCCTTTAACAAGCAGTGTGTGTGTGTTGTGATCATGTTCCGTGTGCCAGGTGTTGAACATGTGAAGATGGGGTTTTACTGCCGCGTCTGCTTCCTGTTTTACTCCAACGAAGAGACGGCCAAGAAGACGCACTGCAGCAGCCAGGCGCACTACGACAAGCTGCAGGTGAGACCGGCTCCGCCCACGGGGGGGTTTGATGTCGCCGCGTCACTGCAGACAGCTGCTGTCGTTTCAGAAACACCTGGAGAAGGAGCAGACCAAGGCCGAGAAGAAGAAAGGGAAGAAGAGCTGCTGATGACCTCACTGCAACCCAGGAGACACGTGTCCTTCAGAAGGTTCTTGTCAGTTGTGCTGTCTTGTGCGTCCCAGAGCCGTTGTCACGGTGACGAGGTCGTTTCCTGTGTCGACTGTTGCTTCACAAGAACAGCAGCGGAAGTTAAGTTAGTCCAACAGAGCCGAGCATGTTTAGAAAGTAGTTTGAGTCTTTTAGTTTAGTCGGCGTAGGAGCACCTCTGCTCGTGTCCAAACTATTCCTGTCGTCATCCTCAGAACAATGTGGTGAACTTTTTACGTTGACAGATTTTTGAATTAAACGATTTTACTCAATGTTATTCTGTTTTGTTTAATAGTATAGCATGTAGGTGATGATGCCCCTCCCCCCCCCCCCACACAGAGGTTATTCCAGGGGAAACTAGTTTGATGGATGAACATAAATGACAAAGTTCTGTTTGATTCTTTACTTCTATTTTTATCTCCATACATTTACAGACGGGTTCATCAAGTCACACCAGTTAGACTGCATTCATTTTAAGGCACTTTAACAGTGATTCATTCACTTATCGCAGGTTGTTGGTCTGAAGGCGCACACATACACACACAGATATATTATTGCGAGAATCTGTTGCATTCTTTGGTCCAAACTGGATCAATAAATGTTTACGCTCTTATAAGGACACTTATAAGATCCTGACTCAGTCTGATGGTTCAACTTTGGCTGGAAGCTGATCAATTGGAGGATTAAACCTGATTATCAAGAGAACTGCTCAAGACTAAAAGTCCCGAGACAACATGGGGCACAAGGCTGGAGCTAGCCACAACAGCTAGCGTTAGCATCACATCTGGAATATTTCCAGTTTTTTGATGATGAATAATGATCGTTGTCGTGGAGACAACACCTCCAGTAAGGCCTCCGTAGTGCATGAGATATGAATTAAAGTGGGAGGGGTGATTGTTTTGGTGGGAAGTCACTGCGTTCCTTCTGAGGCCAGTATGTTTGGAGGAAGGAAAACGTTTGAGTACATTGTCAGTAGAAGTTAACTGAAAGACAGCAACTATGAAACATGTACTAAACTTTGGTTTGAGAGTCGAAACTGAAGGTTGCACATGGAAAGGAAGTGAAATTTAGGCTCCATCACATAAAAGCTCCTCTCTGCCGTGATGAGGGAGATGCCCCGCCCCTTATTACCCACAATCCCCCTCCAATAAAGGTGGTGGTTGTCTCCTTTTCCTATGAAGGTCCATGGTGAAGGTCTGATGTTGGAGTCAGCTGACCCTGCCGCTGGTCGTCATGGTTTCCCCACGTCCACTGTGATCTTAGTGAAGAGATCCAAGCGCTCCGTCTTCACCACGTTGTAGGAGAGAGAGTTGATGCCGTCTTTGTGCATCGTGTCTCTGGTGTGAGCGATCCGGTCGAACCTGAGACACAGGAGATCAATCATAAACCTCATCAATCACCCCCCAGATCGATCCTAAACCTCATCCATCGCCAGACCAGTTCACATGTTTCCGCCCTTGAACGTCTCCTTACAACCGTCCCCATGGAGCACAACCAACGACATCTGCTCTTAAGCAGCTCACGCCAGAACATCTGGACAGGATGACTGTTCTGATGTGTAATATCACTATGAAAGGAATGAAGACGGCACACAGAAAATTCACTTGCAGGGTATCCGTCCCTCTAGAACAGGTCTAACTGGTGGACCGGATCTGGACTCAGAGGACGTCCTTTGCATTCCAGGCAGGACAATATTGTCTCAATACTGAGGACAGACGAGAGAGGTAGCAGCAAATTACAAATAAAAGACCAGAGGAAGAAAAGATGGATAGCGACAATTGAGAAAAAGAGAGAAAGCGAGAGAAAGACGGGTGAGAGGAACAAATGGACCGCGGAAGTAGAGAATTTAATCCTGACTGGATTCTTATAGGATCTTTTTGGGTGTAGATCTGCACCGTCATTTTCTAACTCTTTCAGGGCTGGTTGGAGTCGTCAAACAGTGTGACATCATCATGTTTGTTTGCGTACATGGTTGTCGGGTTGGAAGCAGCAGCAGGATGTGAAAGTGACAACTTCCTGTTGCCATTAGGTGGCGCTCTTACTATTATTCTAATATGGCATATTGACGTCTTCATGATCAAGATGTCCAGACACATGAGACATCTTGAGCTGAATAGACAAAGGACGGAAGTCAATCACATCCAATTGCCGTGAAAGCGTCCTGCTGGGTTTCCTCAGGTTACATCCGCGTAAAAAACCCAATCAGACTAAAACGTCCTCGCCTGCCATGTGTCCCCACATTGCTAGTGTCCCAAGCACCTCGCGCTCACTAAGAATTATATAAAGGTCCCAACAAGGTGACAGTCTTAAGACACATTAAGTTCTTCAGGATGAAGTCGATGACCCGATCGATCAATGAGAAGGTCAATTATTAACATGATCAGTCCAGATATCGATGATTAACCCGGATCAATAACCTGGTCTCTACCTCTGAGGGTTGGGGTCGTTCTGCTTGTCTCTGTCGTGGCGGATCATCCTGCACTTCCCCACATCTCCACTGGGCCTGGAGATGGACATTCCTCTAGAGGACAACCTGCAGACAACGGTCATATATAAAGATATATATGCGCATACTCGGGGCGTCGTCAGGCTTATTTTAGCCCCTAAAATCATTTGGCATTATTGGCTTCCAAAAAAACATTAAAAATAATATTTGGGTTAAATCCTTAAATTAAACTATAGTTTATAACTAACATGCGTGTGTGTGTGTGTTCTGTTTTGTATAGATATATATATATATATATATATATATGCAAACATGCCACTCCCCTTTGGGCTAAGCCCCCCCAACCTCCCAATGAAGTCTGTTTGAGCTATGCGCACACAAAGGGGATATTTAGTGTGACAGGGTTAGAAGATAGTTTTTATAATAAAATACCAGCTGTCAGTAAGTGAGCAAGAGTGTGAACAAACAGGAAATAACTGCATTGATATGAATGTGTGTGTGTGTGTGGTACCTGTTGAAGATGTCGTCGTCTTCTCCTCCCCAGCCCCAGTAGTTGTTGGGGAAGCCGTTTATCTTCAGGTATTGTTCTTTACTCATTGAAGACACGCCTCCAAAATACTGATTATAGGGCAGCCTGAAGGACATGAGGACACATTTAGTGAGGTTATGGTCTCCAGGAAATAACAGTCCCTGTAATGTCCAATGTGAAGTAATGAAAACGAGTGCATGTGTGTGCGTGCGGTCACGTGTACGTGGTGTCTGTGTTGTGCCCAGAGGAAACAGGAAGTGGCCAAATAATCTCTTCCTCTGTGGTGTCTGTCAGCACTTCCTGAGACACATGAAGGCCCAATTTCCAATGTCGCCCCAAACCGGAGGGTCCTCTTAAACCTAGTTTATGCTTCTGCGTTTCCAGAGACGCAAGGACACGCTACGCAAGACCCCCTTGCGTGTCCCTTGCGTGTCCCCTGCGTGTCTTTTCACGCCTCCTTGCGTGCGTCGACCCATTTTTGTAGACCAGCATCTAAAGCTTTGCAGCCTCCTGCAGCAGCAGGCTGTGATTGGTCCGCTGACTACGTCCTTTACGGAGTCTCACGTCTCCGTTTTCACAGCACAATACGGCCGTTATTAAAAGGAAGAACGTTTACGAGAGAACGGATCAGATTGAAGAGCTTTTAAATATGAGCGCTTGTACAAGCCGTCATTGGCGGACTATGAGGACGCCGGATGGCCTCTGATTCATGGAGGGAGATCTCCACCAACGAGGGGACAAAGTCGTGGAGGAAAATACGGGACAAACGTGTCCATGATGAAAAGCAGCAGTGTGGATGCACGGGGCAATAAAGTCTATGATACATAAATAAAGCCACCAACGACTTCCACACACAAAGACGTGACTCTCCAGGTCGTCTTCAACAAAACACGTGACTCCACCTGTTGTTCTGGAGGTGAATCGCTCTGCAACACACGCAGGACTTTACAACCAGGAAGTGAAACCAGTGCGTAAAGACGCAGAAGCAGAAACACGCGGCGGCCTTTAGACTAACGTCCCCCATGGTGGACGTGCTCTCACATACGAGCACATTCTTTGTGTAGTATTGTGTTTTTTCCTTTACAACATTAGAATATTAGTAAAGCTGCTGCATGCAGAGCCGTGAGAAACGTCTTTTAAACCTTTTTGTTGGACACAAACCAGTGAGACATTAAAGAGGAGTCCCACAGGACGCACCTGAAGGAAACACATTACAGGTTCAACACCATCGAACCAGTTTTTACCAGCGATATTGTTCTTGTGATTAAATATGAGCATGTGTGTGTATTTCCAGCCTGTGTGTAGTGCATTCTAACAAACAGTGTAAAAACTGAATTAGTCAAACGTATGGATTATGATTAGTGTACATTAAATATTAACTTAACACTATATTGGAACCTGCACCGTTTCTCTGTCTTTTGCTGCAGCAGCGTGTTGCTTTCTTTCTAATTACGGGTTCATACTCGTATGCTTGCATTAATATTTGCAGCTCAATAGGGGTGAATATACTGTTTGTGGTGGTTGTCATGGTGACTCGTAGTATCATGGATCCATTCATGCTGCCTTTATACTGTGAGTCAACCTACTGGAGTTGATGTGAGCTGCTGTGAAACCAGAACCTCTGAGTTTAGGGTTTGTTAAACGGACCCCTGGTCTCTGGTTGTTCCTCAGACCCTGAACAGAAACTTTGCTTTACTCGGAGTTGGCTCAGTTAGTTTGCCGTGTTTCCCACAGACTCATTTGTGGAGGTGCATCGGCCGCCACACATTGAGGGGTTTTCCTTTTTTCTTTTTTAAACGCCATTCAAATAACGCAGCGTATTTGTTCAGCTGCATTTATACTTCTAACCCTAACATTATATTTTATTCCTCGTGCACTGTTGTCTTGTCGTCCAGTCAAATGCCTTGTATGTCTGACATATTATGGCAATAAATGTTTCCTGATTTGCCTCCGTCTGTCGCTCACACGTGCTGATGCTAGCCGTTAGCCCGTTTGAACCATAGAGAGACACCGTGTGCTCGAGCACAACCAAACGCCACTGAGCCAAAACCAAATGCTGCTTCCTGTCTGAGTGTTTTTACAAATTAACCTCAAGGTGAAAGAACTGAGGTGGTTTGATCAATTACGACCACAGGCAGCAGGCGGGCGTCTCACCTGAAGCCAAACTTGTCCATGGAGACGGACAGGTGTCGGGGCTGACTGAAGCACCTGTAGATGTTGCGGTCGTCCATGGGGATCAGGTCCACGTCACTGAAGACGAAGCACTCGTAGTCGTAGTCCTTCAGGGCCTCCCGGTAGCCCACATTTAGCAGCTTGGCCCGGTTAAAGACTGCCTCTCCGTCCTGGTCAACAGCAGATTACTTAGAGACACACACAGCATCTACATCCTCCAGCCTCAGCAGACACACTGTTGCACTGTGGGTAATCTACAAAGAAGATCCTCGCCACAGCGTTTAATAACGACCAGTAGCTCCTCATCAGGTTTCTATGGAAGCTATTGTGCTGCAGGCCGCAGTAAACATACCACAGGTTGCTAGGCAACCAAGACCTGTATGAGCTCTCAGGTGTGAAGCTTCGTTGACTACCTGTGAACGGCACAGACTCCAGGTGTAGGAATCATTGCTGTTAAAAAAGGATTCATCATAATGATGCCAATAAGCACGAATATCAAAAACCGTACGTAAATATACAAGTATCGTATTTGTGGTATAGAATTGAATATCATGATATTTATGGCCCTTATTGTATCGAAGTCATCCCTTTGGTACCATGACAACCAGACGCGAAATACCAATTTGTCAGTAAACAGATATGAACATAAATAAAGCGGTCAGGACTATTTAACATGCAAGGTCATGGCGAGTGGAAGAGAAGCTTGAGGCATTTTGGCTTCCCTGTAAATTATAATGATTATGATTATTATAATTATAATAATAATCAGCATGATCCGAACCGCGAGGTTTGTGTTGTACCCTTAATATAATACTGTGTGTAAAAAAAGGTACATGAGATACGTTACCAGGTCAGAGTACATCAGGTGCATACAATAGTCTAAAACAGCTGGAACATGAATGACTGAAGCTTTTCTGCGTTCTGCTGCTGCAAACAGAAATCAGAAGGAGGTAGAAAGAAGGAAAGCCTGTATTACCAGAGCAGATTGGTCTGCAAACACCAGCTGCTATTGGTGAAAACCAAGCAGGAGCAGGTCTCAACAGCTCCAGCAACCACAACCATTGGTCAGAAGCGCCTAACATGCAGAAGGAGGGTGAGGGAGGCGTGTGAGCGGTGGAGCCAAAGTAGAACAGAGGAAGAGGAGCACAGAAGAGCGAAGAAGAGAAGAACAACTGTGAATCACAAACAAACAAAGAGGAGGAAGAATTTAGACAAACAGGGCTGATCTTTGTTTAATTCGCTCTCTTGTTTAATCCTCACACACAGAATTTTATCATCTGCTAAAGTCCGTTCACACCAAAAGCAAAGCGCTTTACTTGCGTGAGTTTACCCGCCCGACTATTTGTGGTCAATTCCCGCCATTCGCGCAATCACTTCCTTCGCACCAGAGAGGGGGCGTGGCTTATCTCCGTAAAAACAGTTCATTTCTGCTATCCGCCATGGAAATAACCACTACTTCTCATGGAAATAACCACTACTTCTCATGGAAATAACCACTACTTCTCATGGAAATAACCACTACTTCTCATGGAAATAACCACTACTTCTCATGGAAATAACAACTACGTCGCTCAGGGAATTTCACCAACTTCTCCAGAAACTGGGCCTGGATGACCGCAGCTTCCAGCGCCACTTGAGGCTAACCAGTAGCCAGTTTGATGAGCCGTTGGCTCGGGTCAGCGCCAGGATCTCTCTACAGGCGTTCAATCTAAGCTGCGGCGCGCCTGTCTATCGGTGTCTGGTGTAGCATCTCAACACTGACCGGCAATTAGTTTTTTGCCAAAGTTGAAATATTTCAACTTGCGCAAAGGAAGCTAATTTTTTTTGCTTCACGCTATTCCTTCATTTGTGTCCTTCGCAACCATTCGAGTATGTGCATCGAATTAACTTGCTCACAAAATTTGCTTCGCTTTGGGTGTGACCGCAGCTTTAGAAATCACTGAGCTACATGCAGTCAAACAAAGTCTACATTCAACAGATCAGATAGTGTAGTCCTGTTGAATAGCCGTGGTCCAGGAGGTTTTGGTCCGGTGTGTAGATTGAAGCATGAAAGCAGAACTAAAGCTGGTTTCACCCAGTAAGTTTTAGCTTATATCTGGCTCTAACTATTGCTTGCGAGCAGGAGCTTGAATACACGAGCACGTATCTCAGCGTTCGGTGTAAATGGCTTTATACACATGTGAAGACCAGTGCCGGGTACGAGAAGCTGCAAACCAGGTTGAGATAAGAACCCAGGTGAGGATGAGGGTAAAACACACTGTTCCTTTGTTCGAGCGCCTGTGAGAGCAAGTTAACTTCTTCAGACACAGCTGCATATGGAAACCTTAAATCTTTCTGCTTTTGCACGTCAGGGTCAAATACAGACACTTGAGACACGTGTTTAGCACAAGACACATGTTACAACATATTTTACCATTACATGCATCTCACACTCAGCATCCTAATAAGATTAGCTCATCTCCATCAGCAACGAATGGCTAGCTCTTTACCATTAGCAACGGGATGAGGTTAGCTAATCTCCGTCAGCAACGTGATGGCTAGCTCTATACCATTAGCAACGGAATGAGGTTAGCTCATCTCCGTCAGCAACGTAATGGCTAGTTCTATTCCGTTAGCAATGGGATGAGGTTAGCTCATGTCCGTCAGCAACGTAATGGCTAGCTCTATACCGTTAGCAACGGGATGAGGTTAGCTCATCTCCGTCAGCAACGAATGGCTAGCTCTATACCATTAGCAACAGGATGAGGTTAGCTCATCTCCGTCAGCTACGTGATGGCTAGCTCATCTCCGTCAGCAACGTGATGGCTAGCTCTATACCGTTAGCAACGGGAAGAGGTTAGCTCATCTCCGTCAGCAACGGGAAGAGGTTAGCTCATCTCCATCAGCAACGTAATGGCTAGCTCTATACCATTAGCAACGGGATGAGGTTAGCTCATCTCCGTCCGCAACGTGATGGCTAGCTCATCTCCGTCAGCAACGTGATGGCTAGCTCTATACCGTTAGCAACGGAATGAGGTTAGCTCATGTCCGTCAGCAACGTAATGGCTAGCTCTACACCGTTAGCAACGGGATGAGGTTAGCTCATCTCCGTCAGCAACGTGATGGCTAGCTCTATACCGTTAGCAACGGAATGAGGTTAGCTCATGTCCGTCAGCAACGTAATGGCTAGCTCTACACCGTTAGCAACGGGATGAGGTTAGCTCATCTCCGTCAGCAACGTGATGGCTAGCTCTATACCGTTATTAACGGGAAGAGGTTAGCTCATCTCCGTCAGCAACGTGATGGCTAGCTCTATACCGTTATTAACGGGAAGAGGTTAGCTCATCTCCGTCAGCAACGTAATGGCTAGCTCTATACCATTAGCAACGTGATGAGGTTAGCTCATCTCCGTCAGCAACGTGATGGCTAGCTCTATACCGTTAGCAACGGAATGAGGTTAGCTCATGTCCGTCAGCAACGTAATGGCTAGCTCTATACCGTTAGCAACGGGATGAGGTTAGCTCATCTCCGTCAGCAACGTGATGGCTAGCTCTACACCGTTAGCAACGGGATGAGGTTAGCTCATCTCCGTCAGCAACGTGATGCGGTAAGCACTACACCGAGATGGCAGGCAGTCGAGGCAGTATTTACGTATTTAAATATTTATAATTAAAATTACTTGAGGTGTAATCATTTTGTATAAATAATCTAATAATCTCCACGAATCAAAAAACTGTTCACAAGTTCAGTCTTTTAGGTCTTCAAGACTTAATGTCTGTCAATGTAAATATTTGACATCAATAAGATGTTCAAGAAGGACCATTAACAAGCACTGAGGGAACCACAGATAAAACAATCATGTATTTTTGGCTGTGTCCAATAGGGCTGTCAACGAATATTCTAAATTCGAATATATATTCCAATAGTTAAAACAACTATTCGAATGTGAAAATTAATATTCAAATGTAGATTAACAAAATAGACTAGATGGGCTACAACAGCTTCATGCACTGGTTTGATTATTTGACGTTTCATGCCATGTTTACCACAGCACAGCTCGCTCGGAGCGTTTAATGTCGGTTCATACTGTAAAACTTCAATTAATGTTAATACTATTTGTTTCAGTCACTGAATGAAGCCTGCCATATTTTGGACAAGAATAGCGAGCTTAAAATGCTTGATCAGCGGTCAGCATTTGATTATTGTTGTCGTTCATTTAAACCGCAGAGAGCGTGACGTGGGGGGGTGGAAGAGAGAGAGTTCATTTACTTATTTTTGTGTAGGTGTTATGTGTTGTTTGTGACTGGTCTTGCGGTTTTGTGGCTTCACCAGCGCTTTGAGTACATTATATGGCCCCAAACCGAATGCTCTGCTATCCCAAATTGTGAGAAAACGGAAGACAAAAATCCAAAAATGGCCAAACTAGCAGCCCCAACAGCTAACGAGCTAACGAGCTGGCCAGCGCTCCTTTCGCCTTCAATGAATATACGCGTTTACTCAAAAAAGAAAAAAACATAATTGTCATATTATTTGTTACCGCACAGCCCCAAATCGGTCATATCAACTTCTCCTCCACCAGAGGCCTCAGCTGATCAGTGTTCTAACCTTCTCCTTTCTACAGCGAACAGCTCAAGGAATACACAGAATTCTGATAGCAAGAATTTGAATATTCACCGAGATTATTATCAACCTTCACTGTGACATCGCTGTGACAGCGTTAGACCGGGGGAAACCTGGTCTGAAGCAGTTTGTCGTGGAGACATGAAGAGTACCTGGTTGATGACGTAGACTCCGTAATCTAGCTGCTGTCTCTGCAGGATGGGGTGCAGGTAGAAGAGCCAGAACTTCAGGTGCTCGTCTCGTCTCCTGAAGGGGATGATGATGGCCACCTTTGCCAGAGCTACGCAGTCTCCAGGTCGGAAACGCCCCCCCGGCTGCACGTTGGGGTTCATCTGCTTGATCTGATCAAGGTTCACCGGGGTGTTGAACTCTATCCGCAGAGGCCCCACTGAGGACAGACACGAGACACAATCAGACTGAGGACAGTCACGAGGCACAATCAGACTGAGGACAGTCACGAGGCACAATCAGACTGAGGACAGACATGAGACACAATCAGACTGAGGACAGACACAAGGAACGTTCACACTGAGGACAGACATGAGGCACGTTCGCACTGAGGACAGACATGAGGCACGTTCACACTGAGGACAGACATGAGGAACGTTCAGACATCAGACCCACTGTGGTCCAATTCCAATTATTAACAGCAGAAATTGAAAGACATTTTCTCCATGAAGACCAGAACAGAGGAGCAGACTTCCAGCTGCGTGATTAGAAGCTGGACTCACGTGAAGCTTTAAACCACGGTGATGAATACCATGTTATGAAGATATACAGAGTTAAGCTCAGAGGACCTGATGGGTCCAGAGTGGTCCTGATGGGACCCGGTGGGTCTAGTTCTAAGAGCGGAGCTGTTGGACATCAGAAGGGGTCCCAGCTGAGGAAACACGAATCAACCGACTGATAATAAACATCTGTGATCATCCAGTTCATGTGAGTTAAGGTCACCGAACTCCACAGACCACCAGATACCACATCCAGAGCTGGTCCAGTCACAGTCTTGGTCTTAACCCTCTTTTATACAATCTGAGTCTATGCAGGGTTCTAAATACGAGTCTTTAAAAAGCTCTATACTGATCAGCACACGGTCTACGTACAGGTCCACATACGGGTCTTACCCAACAGAGGCGATGTCTCGGGACATTTCTCCAGCTTCTTCTCTGGTTCTTCCGCCTTCTTCTTCTCGTCCTCCGGAGCTTGCGACTCGTCCCCCGTCTCCTCCTTTGGGACCAGCTCAGCTGGCTCCGCTTTCTTGGTTTCGCCCTCCTTTGGTTCAGTTTCGGAGGTGAAGTCTAGGTCAACGACCCGGTTCGCCTGTGTGGAGACGTTATGGGACTGCTGGTTCTGGACGAAGGCGAACCGTATGTCCAGAGAGCGGACGTAGAAGAAGAAGGTGACGGAGATGTGGAGGAAACACAGCAGTACGACCAGCTTACAGGTCCGATGGAGCAGGGTGAACCTGACGGTGGAGTCGGCGGCCATCCCGGTTCCGTGGTTCACCTCCGGGCAGGAGACAAACAAGGTGCAAACTATGGGGAAGAAGGCGGAACGGGGACCGCGCATGCGCACACTGTTAGCTCTCGGGCTCCATTTTCACTCAACTTCAACGGAAAGTTTCCAACTTTCGGATCCCGATGTTTGGTCAACTTTAGGTCGAAAAGTTCCCACGAAAGAAGCCGAACAACAAAACAAATGTTTGTCAGCAGTTCGGGCTCGATCCGGGTCAGACAGTCGTTAGCTTTAGCAAGCAACGTTAACTTTTAATGTGATCAACTTACAGCGGCAATTAGCGGATGAACTCGTCTTCTTTACAAAAACACATTTTACTCTTCAAATGTGTTCACCAACAAATTAGAACAGAACCTCCGGTTGTACACGGGTTAAGAAGAACCGGAGGAACTCGACGGACTGGAACTTGTTTCAGACTCTGCTCCGCGGAGAGGGAACACAATGTGTCAAGCGGAAGACATTATCCGTTACACTTCCGCTGACATATTTCTAAATAAAACACAATCGGTTGGATTTACCAGAAAATGAGTTAAGTGAGCCTCTAAAATTATAGATTTCCATCATGTTTGATTATAATTGATCAATAACTTGTACATACCCTCAACACATCATATCAGAATCCTCTAAAAAAAAAAAAAAAGCAACTAGCTGAGCGAACGTAAACAGAAACTCAAATATATACAGATATAAATACTTATCCCTGGCCGGGGACTTCGCGACCTCAAAGGTCAGGGTGGCGGGGCTGTTGGTCATTCAGTTTTGTATTGGAATGTTTCCAGGGATTCTACTGCAGTTTCAATGTTTTATTTTTAATGTTACTCTCTCGTTGCCCTGTAAACTAGACCCACTGTTACACTTTTATTTTGAAGGCAGACCCACCATACCTCCGGCGCGTTTGAAGCAGCTGTCAAGTGGCTCGGGGAAAGGGCGTGTCTGCCTCACGTGTCAGTCTGTGACGACACACCGCATACGTTTATGAATCATTGATTATCGTTTGTTTGATCAGACCTGACTCAGGTCAAGGCAATAAATCAATTGATTTATATACATAGAACGATTCAAACCTCTGTGTCACGTGGCCGTTTGGTTATTGATCAGTAAGTTCAAACTGTGAATAGATCAGCTAATGTTCCAACAGTAACTACAAACTACAAAAGTTAACTTGCTAGGATGCTGTTATTGTGAAACTCTGGACCATGAAACAGGAAGCAGAGAGAACACATGAAATGTAAACACATATTTATCTCATGTGAAAGTTTAGAAATCATAACATAATTAAAATTCTCTCTATGTCTCTCACTTAACGCACACACACACACGAACACATGCTAACACAAAGACATATGCACACATAAATACATATATACACATAGACACGCATACAAACAAATGCACGTACGTCTATACAAACAAACCCACGCGCGCACGCACACATGCATATATGCACGTATACAAACACACATAAACCCACGCGCACGCACAGCTGTATTTTGCTCCTGAAGCCGCGAACCTCCAGCTCGCCGCAGTACGACGTGCTGACGTCACTCGCTGTGCGTCAGTGTGGAGGAATGTGCGGAAACTTCTTGAGCACTTTTCTTTCTGCGCTGATCGTCAAAAGAAAAAGTCCCAGAGCCTCAAACAAGTGAATGAAAGTGGATTAAAGTTGGACCCGAAGAGTCGGTGAGTTTCCTGCCGAGCTTTGGTGCTTCACGTCCGGCTGCTTCTGCCGCGGCTCGGCGGCGCGGAGCAGCTGCAAAGTTGTTGTTAGTTAGTAGTAAAATGGAGTCGATGAAGAAGGCGCTGTCCGGGGCTGATCAGCACCAAGGCTAACACTCACACGGCCGAACCTCTCCGAATCCACCCGGCGGCTCACCAAACGCGGCTACACCGGGCAGCTGGCTTCAATGCGTTAGGATAACTTTGCATGTTCAAATGTAAAGGTCGCTCTTCTTATACGAGGTGCGCGCTTCCGGAAACTTAAGTTTTGCGAAGCTGAAATGGTCGCCTTAAATCACAGCCACGTCCCCTGCGGCGTCGTGTACGACCACCCGATGCACTTTATAAGAACCGGAGTTCAAACCTCATTCCAGCCAATAAATCAGTTTAGTGCAATATTGAAACACGTGTTGATAAGCACACTTTCACTTTTTAATATTTTGACCGACTTTAGATTGATGAATTCATAACGTTTTATAACGTGCTCGACGGTTTCTGTTTTCTCCGACACGTAAAACTACTTCGTCAACGTTAAAGTTTGTTGGTCGCTGTCGACTCGCGCTGGTGCTGTTTCAAAATGGCCGACAGACGAACCACTCGCTGAGCCCTCTGAGGCACATCTGCAAAATAAAATGAATTGAATGGAATTTTTCAAAAACAATGTCACATACATTGTGATTACATGATTTGTCTCTTTTTTACATCACAAAAAGTTTTAACAGGGTTTTTTTTATATGTGCTGTATGTTCACACATATAAACACACACATGAACGAGCTCATATGTCCCTAAACATCCGTTGTGTCCTGCACTCTGCAGAGGTGAAGACCTTCATTCAACATGGCCGCTCAGACGGTGTTCTCGGTGGGGATGTTTCCCGTTGGCGGTCCCCTCATGGAGGACGCTCATGGCGACATGCCAAAGAACACCCTGCCGGCCCCTCAGCTGGTGATGCTGGCCAACGTGGCCGCCGTCACAGCGGCAGAGACCGGCGACGGCAGCGCGGCAGATGAGAAGGAGATGATGGAGCTGAAGACGGTGGGCTGCAGCTACTCGGACAGCGAGGAGGAAAACGTTGTCAGGTAAGGAGGCGGCCCTCTCCCAAGGGATAGGTGTTAGCCCGCCCCTGGTGGTCAGGAGTTTGCCCTGCCCCGTTCACCATGTCACGTGTGTGTGTGTGTGTGTGTGTGTGTGATCAGGTACAGCTACAATAACCAGAGCTACAGAGAGGTGTGCATCCTGGAGTACCCAGAGTCTCCGAGCCCAAACATCGTCGCCGTGGTTGTAGGAAACGAGGCGGAGGAGGAAGAAGGGGTCAAAGCTGAAGACCTGTCTCGTCACACTAAGCCCCGCCCCTCTGCTAAAACAGCAGAGCGGGTGGTGGAACATCAACGTGGGCCCATTGCCGCCACGGAGGGCAACAACAACAACAACAACAAGAAGAAGAAGCCCTTCCACTGTAAGCCGTGTCACTTCCAGGCTCAGAACGAGCAGGAGTTCGTGGAACACCTCGGCACTCACGTCATCAGCAAGATGATGGTGGTGAACCGGGTGGAGGGCCGGAGCAACAATAGGACCAAGGAGGCCACTGCCCCTGAGGCCCAGGAGGCAGAGAGCGGCGAGGAGGCAGCCGGCGACCTCAAAGGGCTGATCCGGTGCGAGCGCTGCGGCTACAACACCAACCGATACGACCATTACATCGCTCACCTTAAACACCACAACAAGGAGGGCGAGGACCACAGGTAACACGAGTCAGCTGGTCAGTCAGCTGGTCAGTCAGCTGGTCGGGGTTGACAATGACCTTTTGCTGTGTGTCTGCAGGGTGTTCAAGTGCACTCTGTGCCCGTACACCACTGTGAGCCAGTACCACTGGAGGAAACACCTGAGGAACCACTTTCCCAGCAAACTTCACACCTGCAGCCAGTGCTCCTACTTCTCCGACCGCAAGAGCAACTACATCCAGCACATCCGGACACACACAGGTAGGACACATGCGTCTCTGTCCGTCTCTTCCTCTTCCTCTTCCGCCGTCCTACCTGACAAGAGTTTAATGTCTTGATTGTTTGTTGTACAGGTATTCGTCCATTCCAGTGTCCTTACTGCGACTACTCCAGCTCTCAGAAGACCCACCTGACCAGGCACATGAGGACTCACTCTGGTCAGTCTTCATCACTGAGTCCTCTAACATCCTTCTTCAGTACTGAGGTGTCTGTGAACCCTCAGAAACGCCTCCCATCACATCCTGCTCATAGTGGGAGCAGAGGTCTAGACTTGAGTCATGCTGAAGTCCAAACCAGAACATAACGTGCCTGACTTAGGAGTCCAAACTTAGTACGGGAAGTCCTGATTTAGGGGGGGTAGTGGTGCCCCTGTTTTTCCGCCACGTCAACCATGGAAGACCTAGCGGCTCTGTACCTGTTGTGGAAGTCTGGTAAAAAGGGAACCATACAGGTGTTGTATTTATTCCTTCTACAGATAAATATACCAGTATTGTGTTGTGGTATTTTATCGAATTTTGGTGTTGTGTCTCATGATATTGGTGGTAGGTATTGTATCAAAGTAATTATTTTGGTGCAACGCAACTTAACGGTCTTCTTGTCTCTCTCTTTAAAAATGAGTGTTGCTCTCATTAAGGCAGCCACTTTGGATTAACATGGTAAAGTGATTTGCAGTAGAACATCTGTGTTGTGACTTCCTGTTCTGTTACTTCCTCTGGTTACTGCATATTGTTACTTCCTCTTGTTACTGCATGTTCTGTTACTTCCTCCTGTGACTTCCTGTTCTGTTACTTCCTCTTGTTACCGCATGTTCTGTTACTTCCTTCTGTTACTTCCTGTTCTGTTACTTCCTCTTGTTACCGCATGTTCTGTGACTTCCTGTTCTGTTACTTCCTCTTGTTACTGCATGTTCTGTTACTTCCTCTTGTTACCGCATGTTCTGTTACTTCCTCTGGTTACCGCATGTTCTGTTACTTCCTCTGGTTACTGCATGTTCTGTTACTTCCTCTGGTTACTGCATGTTCTGTTACTTCCTCTGGTTACCGCATGTTCTGTTACTTCCTCTGGTTACTGCATGTTCTGTTACTTCCTCTGGTTACTGCATGTTCTGTTACTTCCTCTGGTTACTGCATGTTCTGTTACTTCCTCTGGTTACTGCATGTGCTGTTACTTCCTCTGGTTACTGCATGTTCTGTTACTTCCGGTTGTGACTTCCTGTGTCTCTCTGTGTACCTTTCAAAGTAGATCAGTCTGTAAACCTCACACTTAGAAATAATATGTATAACGGGGTTCACGCTATGGACCCTGTTTGAGCCACATTGTGTAGTCAGACCGGTGTGTATCTCCTACCGCTTCCTGTCTCGCATGTCTTTGGTGCATCACCTGACCCTCAGTCTCCTCTGTGCAGGTGAGCGTCCCTTCAAGTGTGAGAGCTGTAACTACCTGGCTGCCAACCAGCATGAGGTGACCCGCCACGCCCGCCAGGTACACAACGGACCAAAGCCTCTGTCCTGCCCCTACTGCGAGTACAAGACCGCCGACCGCAGCAACTTCAAGAAGCATGTGGAGCTCCACCTGAACCCTCGTCAGTTTCTGTGCCCGCTGTGCAAGTACGCCGCCTCCAAGAAGTGCAACCTGCAGTACCACATCAAGTCCCGGCACTCGGGCTGCGACGTGACCCTGGACGTTTCCAAGGTCAAGCTGCGCGTGAAGAAGGCCGGACCTGACGGCGTGGAAGAGAACCAGGACTCCGTAGCCAGCAAGTTTGACAGTTTATCCAGCGTGGAGGAGGACATTGACATGGAGGAGGAGGAAGAGGAGGAGTCGTCGAGTCCCATCAATCTGTCAATCAAAAAGAGCACCCGGATAGGCATCGCCCAACCGGCTCAAACCGAAGCACCCGAAAGGCCTCCGAAGAAATCCAGCCTCTTCGCTGAGAAAGAGAAACTTCAGAAAGTAAAGGAGAAGGGGGAACCAGAGAAAAGAGTCACCACAAGGCAGAAGAAGACTGAGAAGGTCCTCAAGAATCCTCTGGAGAGTGAGGCAACATCTGCAGACAAGGGCCAGAGACGAGTCAAGAAGAAGACTGTGCAGGACCAAGCAGCAGTAACCAAACCAGACCAGATGGACCGATCAAACCAACTGAGGCCGGAGGAGGAGAAAGCACGGAGGCAGAAAGAGGAAGAAAAGTTGAGGCCGGAGAAGGAGGGACATCAGAAGAACGCTAGCAGCAGGAAGAAAAACAAAAGCCTCAACAAGCTGAGGAAGTCCAGATCAAAGTCAGAGAATATAGCAGAAAGTGTGGTGGAAGCTCAGCAGAAAACCGAGAGCCCTGAGAAGAAGAAGGCTGCAAAGAGGAAAGCGGCGGAAGCTCTCGATCTTTCCAAAAGCTCCTCGTCTGAGACTCCGTCCAAGGCTCGACGGCTGAAAGAGAAGCTGCAGGTGAAACCAGCTCCAGCAGACACTAAGGAGGTAAACGATGCAGGTCCTGCCCCACAAAGGTCCAGTGGGGCCTCTCCTGCTAAGCAGAAGAAGACCAGGAACACCGGCAGAAGGTCCAGGAGCCTTCAGCAAACTGTGGATCCAGTAAAAGACCAGAAGACCCCAGGCGGTCCACGAGCTTCGGCTGAGCCGGACCGCCCGATGCAGAAGAAGACCTCCACTGGGAAAACCTCTCCAACACTCCCAGAGAAGACTCCCAACAACCCCCCCTGCCACTCGGGTGAGGACACGCCTCCTCCGGATGAGGACCGCCCTCCCCCCACCTTTGTTAAACCCACGTCGCCTCCTTCACTGGTGCTGCCGGGCCAGCGTCACAAGCCCAGCGACCCGGAGGAGGACGAGGGGATCCACAGCAGCCACGAGGGAGGAAGTGACATCAGCGACAGCGCTTCGGAGGGCAGCGAAGACTCCGGCCTCAACGGCGCCGGGTCGGGAAAGATGACCAACGACCCTGAAACCCCCACCGAGGAGATCCCCACCCCGACAGAGCTCAAGAGCCACCTGTGCATCTTCTGTGACCGCACCTTCCCCCTGGAGGCGGAGTACCGGCGCCACCTCAACCGCCACCTGGTCAACGTGTACTACATGGAGGACTCCGCCAGGGCGCCGCAGTGAGGAGCGTCTCCACGGCAACAAGGTCTGCAGTCAGATACAAAGCCATGAACTCACTCCGGCCTTTCGGCTCAACTGGTGCCAAAACTCTGAAGTTTGATTTAGTTTTTTATATTTTTTCATCCCACCAATGCGTTTTCTTGGTTTGTAACATGAATCAGATGAGTTTCATAACCAGCTCACACTTCTGAATATTAAATCTTGTGATTCTGATGCGTGGGGGGCGTTTGGACCCGGTGGTCTGGCTCTGGTTCTGGACTTATGTTCATTGCGTGTTTGTATTGTGTCATAAATCATACTTCAGGATTTCGTGTCACAATACAAAATGACCATTTTAACATTTCTAAAGGAAAGTTTGTCCAAATATTTTTGATTCAACACCTTTCGACAATCACTGTTTTTAGACTTCTGATTGGTTGAGGTCACCGACTGACGTCATTTATCATTTCTTAGTTATCGCTGATTATCATCTGAACTTTAACACAATTAAACACAGATTTCTGGTAACAATTCTGTGTATTCGAAGCATATGTTCTGATATTAAAGAGCTGAAATGTAAACGTCTTATTAAGTTTGATACAAAGAAAATAAACATGAATTATCATATGCCTCAATAATTCTGTGATACAAGTATTGATTCTCACGAATATATTCAGTTTACTGATTATTCTTTCTGTTTTAGCTTTTAAAACCGGTTTTATATTACTGGTGAATGAAACTCAATATAATGTAAATGTTAATCAGTCTTTATAGTTCTTAAAGATTAACATTCTTTGTCAGGGATTCATAAGTTAAATAACAGTTCACTTTGATCGGCTTGATATTTTACTGACTTGTTTCCAGTTATTTGTGTCGAGAGGAACTAAATATGTATTTTGATACGCATATTATTATACAGTATACCTATGACTGATTATTATGTATTCATATATAGTCCAGGGTGTATTACAACATGAAATACAGCAAATTGATATTTATTAATGTAATAATTTGAAGCCAACAGCTGTTTCACTTGTAGAGACACATTTTATTTAGAACAATGAGGCGAGACGTCATTATTAAAGAGTGATGGAAAATCAAAAAGGAACATCTGAGCACGGATATGGCTTCATCCGGATGTGAGACTCTTCCTCACTCCGAACCACAGCGGTGTTTTCCTGACTCCTTCATCAAGACTCCTCACTCCTTCAGATGCGTTTGAGGACACTCTGGAAAGGTTTCTCCATGTAAGTGAATCCAAAAGGGTTGCTGACTGAGGAGGAAGCAGCCGTCACCATGGAAACGGGTTCCTCCTACCTGCCTCACTTCTTCTTCTTCAGCTGCAGCCTCTGGTCTGCGCGGGCCGACAGGCCTCCGTCCAGAAGACCCGGAGGCTTGGTGGGTTTGTAGGCTGCTGACTTCCTGATCCGCTCTCCCTTCAGGGTCACAACGTGAGGAAGAACAGCGGGGGTCCTCACGCCGATACCTACTGCTGGAGGACCCAAGACCCTCAACAACACCTGGTCTCCTACTGCCGCCGTCACGGCAACCCAGCCTGAAGAGGGAGAGGGGGGGGGGCAGATAGGAGAGACAGGGACAGGTGGTCTCAGGTGAGCAGCAGCTCCGATCCACATCATCAGGATGAACGAGATGTTAATGTACGGATGTCTTTATGTATGCATGACTGCCATCATCGGTCTCCAGGTGAAGTGATGTTCACCTGCAGAAGACAGTTTGACGTCAGCAGCAGCCTCCAGGTAGCCCCGCCCCTCCAACCTGAACTCCTGAGGAACCAACGCAGGAAACCGCTTCATGCGCTCTGACCCCCCCAGAGGAACCTGAACACGGCACCACACACACACACACACACACACACACACACACACACACACACACACGTCAGCATGATGTCACTGAGTGAGTGATGTCACTGGGACCATGTGACCTCACCCCTAGCAGCTTGTGTCCCGCATGCTTCTCATAGACGCGGTCGGCTTTCTCCACACTGGTGATGTGAACCGGGACCCGACTGGAGGCCAGGACCGAGAACCAGCAGGACCGCCCTCCCTGAAGATCAATAATCAATATATTATACCAGCAGGACAGCCCGGTGATCAATAATCAACCATCTATACATTAAACCAGAAGCCCCCCGAGGAGACACACATTTAAGCACGAGCTGATCATCAGTAGTGTGATGTCACCTCCAGGAAGTCGATCCTGGCCACAGCTCCCAGTAACAGACTGGTACCGGGCTTCAACACAAAGGTCCTGGGAACCAGAGCCTGAGTGGGAACCACTGACATCACTTCCTGTTCAGTCAGTATGCCGAGGACCTGAGAGAGAGACGCACACAGCACTTTATTATGACAGACCGAATTCTGATGCTAACGATGCTAAAATCAGATTATAATGTGACTACTTAGTGTGATTAAAGAGAGTTTGCATTAATGAATCTAAAATCTATTTTAACAATTACAGAACAGTTTGATAGAATATATTTATCACTCATTTGGTAAGCGGAAGAATGCATGAGACGATATCATCATCCTGCCTGGAATGCAACGTCTGGTCGAGTAGTTTCACGTTGGGACGTTTAGCTCCAATGCTACTGGTCTGTGCTTTAAATCCCTACCGTAAGGTACCAGGTCGAAAAGTCACATTTAAATCAAAACAGTCTTTTTTTTAGCGTTTGGTCCGGATGGGACGTAAACAGAAGTCGCTTTAACTGCATTAAAATATTTGATCACATTCATCTCGGCCACATTAACGCGTTCATTTTGACCGCCCTAGACGGATGGATGAACTCACGTCGCGCTCTTTCAGGATTCCCGGTGTGTCAAACAGCCAGTGAGCATCTTTCAGCTCGTTGAAGGAGAACTCATCAGCGCTGGGAGCTGAAAGGTCACACAGAGGTGAGAGGTCAGACTAGTCGAGAGCCAACATCAGATCGATGACATCAGACACTGTTCATCCAATGAGAATCTCACCTGTTGAGCTTCTCGTCTCTCCATCGTCATTCTCTCCAAAAGCCAAACTGTCAGGATCAAAGTTTATCTCATCTGACCGGGTCCTGATGTTAGACCGGAAGGTTCTGCCAACACGACCTGGATAGGTGGTGTTGGCATAATAAGCTACTGAGGTTCGCTAATATAAGGTTCATTGTAAGTGGACAGAAGGTGGACTGATACATGGTGTCCTGAGATAAACAGATGTTAGTGATGATTTATGAACCAGAATATTGAGATATCCAGATATTGTGAAGCTTTATGGCCTTTGTGGAAACAGCATTTGATGTCCTTCGATCATGAAGGACAATGCTCTCTCTCTCTTTGATGTGGAGGTGACCAGTGGGAGCTGATCCAGCCCTCCCCTCCCCTGAGGAGGGGGCACAGATGTTTTTCACCTTAAACTATAGAACTAATGAAGGAAGAATCTTGATGCATGTCTTGTATGTGTGTCAACTCTGCTTCATGCTTGCAAGCATTTAATAAACGTCCTGTTCAATGATTTCACGCGTTGAGTAACATTTTTCAAACTGGACAGGTATACAAGAGGACAGGTAGACAGATTTAGTATGAAGTATGAAGAGGGTGAAGAGGGAGACACGACCACAGGCAGATGGTCAAATCACAGGGGGGCAGGTATGCAAGAGGACAAGTAGAAAGGAGAACAGGTAGTCAGGTATAATTCAATTCATTTTATTTTGTATAGCCCCCCCCCCTCTTACCCACTAGGTAGCCCTGCTTGCTGAAGTGTCTCAGTCTCCTCAGCTCGTCGTGGGACAGCTCCGCCTCCTCCTGTCTGGCCGCCTCCTTCAATCTCTCCTCCCGTCTGAACATCCTGTAGGGAGTCGGGTTGCTGATGGGAAACTTCAGCAGGTCTAGAGTTGTTCCTAAAGGCACCACAAGGGATGTCTCAACATGTGAACATATATGTTAACATATGAGCGGAGGGTGGTGCTCACCGGGTCACGGGGAAGATGGTGGCCTTGTGGACCAGTTCTGAAGCCTTGGACTTGCAGTAGTCAGACTCCAGCAGCGTGTTGAAGAGGGTGGACTTGCCCCGCGTTGGCGCTGCCCACCAAGTACACGTCCCCTTTGTACTTCCAGGACCTCTGCAGGCCGGAGATCAGGCCCTCCACGCCGTAGCCGGTCTTGGCACTAATCAGGTGGACGTCGGTCACCTGGTCCCCAAAGCCGGCATCCCGGCAGTATCCGGTGAGCTGCCGCCTGATGCGCTGCAGGTAGTTTGGGGAGTCGGCAGGCAGGAGGTCGATCTTGTTGCCCAGGACGACTACGTGCTTGTTGGACCCCACCAGGTCTGGCAAGTTCGGGACGATTGAGTCGGGGAGGTCCAACAGGTCCACCACGAGCAGCACCAGAGCCTTGTGGGGGCGGATCCGGCGCACCACGGCCCGGTACTGGTCCGAGGTCATGTGGAGGCTCAGGGCCTGGCGATGGTGAGTCAGCAGGTGGCAGCGCTGGCAAGTGGCACTACTCAGACGCTCCTCCTGCAGCAGAACCTTGAACTTCTCACTGGGCAGGTATCCCGGGACGGAGGCAGCTGTGCAGTGCAGGACGGCGCCGCAGCCCGAGCAGCAGGTGTCGCTGACCGGCTGGTCCGTGTCCGGGGTGCCGAACACTCGGTGCTCACCTGCTGTCTTCTTCTCCTTCCTTTTCTGTGAAGAGACCCCGCTCAAGTCCAGAGGGAAGCCCACGTCCTCGAACTGTATCAGAGAGTCAGGCTCAGTCTCCTGCTGGGAGACGCCCCTCAGCACCGTCAGCTGATGCTCCAGAGATCTCAGATGTCTCTGAGGAGGAACCTGGGGATGAACCAAAAGAGGAACCAGATGAGGAGGAACCCGAGGAGGAGCAGCAGAGGAGGAGAGGCTTAGCTCAGGAACGAGGGGTTGGCCCTCCTCTGGATCTGAAGAAAAAGAATCAGAATTAGGAACATAAACAGTGACTACAATTCCAAGAATGCAACTGAACATTTGTAGTTTCTGAGCTCTCCACGAGGTTTATATAACTTTATCATGATTAACTGAATGATTTAACTCTATTCAACCTGTTACTCTCACTACTTGTAGGACCTACAGTCTCACCTGAATACTCTACAAACACGAACTCCTCCTCCCGGTCCGGATCTACAGTCCAGTTCCCGGTCTTCCTCCCAGCTCTGCTGCAGAGTTGCCGGGTGAAATCCCGACCTGCCGCAGCCTCTGAGCCAGGTGCCGACGCCCCAGCGGGCAAACGGCGGTCAGGAAAAGCGGCTCCTCTCGTACCCGCCCGGCGGACCGCCAGCTGGACCGCCTTCCACATGTTTCCCTCCTTCGACTGCCCCCGCGTGGAACACACCGCGCTCACCTTGGAGCTCCTAAAAGCACGCGCAGCTGGAGCTGCTGCGACTTCCTGACCGGATGTGACGTAAATCCCGTCATCCGCTTGCGTTCTGCTGAAAAACCACAAGCATTTAATTTCGAAAACTGAACGTGGATTAATGACACGCGATGACATGATGGAAGATAATAAACACTGATTAGAAAGGGGATCATTGTGACGTCAACGTTCTCCTGAGGATCTCCTTGTGTCGCTGTGGTTACAGCGGCACTCTTTCCTCCGGAGAAGTGAGACCTCGTGTCGCAGAGGATCTACGTCACTCTATAAACCTCCTGTTAGCGCGCGCTGTCTCACTTCCAACATGTTGCGGCTCCGGAGCTGCTGCAGGAGATCCGCTGAGGTCCTCCTCCCACCTGCTGCTGCTCAGGTGAGTCCAGGCCAGAACCAGGCCAGAACTAGACCAGACCAGGCCAGACCAGACTAGAACCAGGCCAGAACTAGACCAGGCCAGACCAGGCCAGACCAGACTAGAACAGACTAGAACCAGACAAGAACCAGACCAGAACTAGACAAGACCAGAACCAGGCCAGAACCAGGCCAGACCAGACCAGACTAGAACCAGGCCAGAACTAGACAAGACCAGAACCAGGCCAGGCCAGACTAGAACCAGACAAGACCACTTCTAGTTTACTGTATTTTCTATGTTACACATAGAGGAATTTGACTGAATTGGTGCAATTCATCGAGTTGCACCAATTCCGTCCCACACCAATATTTAAATCGTGACGTATCATTGGTCCGTTCACGATAAATAACAATCATGACTGAGAAACGCAGATCATGTGAGGAACCGTTGCTTCACCAATGTCAACCCTGACCCCTTCTGACACACACACACACACACACACACACACACACTCCTTCTGGACTTTGAGTCGGAAGGTTTAGTTTTTGTGTTTCTGTGTTAATTATTTGCCTGAAGGAATTACCCAAAAGTAATGGCAAGGTGACATTTAACGTGATGAAGATGAGTCTATGAAGTATGTATTGCACATTCATTTGTCGAGCACATTTCCAAACATCAGGCTCTGCTGGTTTTTGGTTACCACTTGGTGTCTCACTTATACCGTATTCCTTTTTTAAACCCATAGCCTTATATTTTATAATATTTTATTCCTCTTACACTATGTCGTCTTATCTGTCTGCTGCTATGCACCAATCACCAAGTCAAATTCCTTGTATGTCTGACTTATTTTGGTAATAAATGTTTTCTGATTCCTCATACGGGTCACAGTCCGTTCCATGTTTTATTGTCAGAGTGAGACCTCTGCTCTCGTCCCTCCTCTCCGCAGCAACGGAAGCGTCTCTCAACTGGTCCCCAACAGAAACACAGATCCTTTTATGAGTTCCGCACCTACAGCATCCGCCCAGACCAGAATGCTGCCTTCCTCAAACTGACCAATGAGAAGATCCACCTGCGCACCGCCCACTCTGAGCTGATTGGCTACTGGAGCGTCGAGTACGGTGGCCTGAATAAGGTCTTCCATATATGGAAGTATGGTAAGAACGTCCTTCTGCTCACAGGTTCTACGCACCGGCCCCACCATCAGGGTTCCCCCTGTCACACCGCCAAGTGTTTGAGCCATAGCTGCGTCTCATTTGGAGGGCTGCATCCTCATGAGGACCCGTACTTCTGGTCTACGTGGGCCGTGTCCTCCAACGACCACATGAACCAAGGTGTCTCTGAAAGGAGACGCTCTGGCCTACGGGGAACTTCTTGTTCGCATCATCAGCTTTCTGTCCACCGCTCATGTTGCCTAGCAACCTGCTGCACAGTACGCCTAAAACCCCAAAGGTATAAAGTAAAGATAGAAGATAATCTTCTTATTTCATTTAGTTCAGGAAGATATGGTTCCCCTTCGGAGCATGATATATATTTCAAACTGAGAAGAACATTTTAGTCATTTGAAAATCAAATCGGTACTTTGAGGAAAAGTAATATTGCAATCTTAAGGAAGAGTAAAAAGAAAACTGTCAATAAAAACCACAGCAGCCAGAACAATGATTTACTTGTATGCACAGACCTTTTGTTGCTAATTTAAAAGGTAACTTAAGATATTACAGAATATGTCCAAACCAGCTGAACGTCACCACACACATCGTTCTCTGCAGCATGATGCTGCTTCCTAAAACTACTAAATGCAAAGTTTATAATCTTACCACAAAACTGAAGGAGTAAATCAACCAAGTTCAGGTCTGCGTCCCTCGTCCTTGTTGAAGGAGCTGGCGGAACGGGACAGTCGGCGAATGATGAGCAGCCCCCGGAGGAGGAGGAGGAGGAAAGAGGAGGAGGAGGAGGAGGAGGAGGCAAAGTGCCAAAAGCTCACAGGGTCAAGGAAAGATTGCTAGGAGAGTTCATGAGGAGTTAGGAAAAGACGTTGACGGTGATCAACTCTACTCCCACTGAGCTACGTAGTTGTGATGGATGGAGACGCGTGTTGGTGAAGTCGGTCTGCAGCATCTCCGATGCTCCGTGTGTTGTTACAGTGTCAGTCATGCAGACGACAACCAGGTGAAACTATTAACAAGGCTGCAACATACATGAGTGATGCTAACGGTTACTCACATGATCTGCGTTTCTACGTCATCGTTACTTTTCGTGAATGGACCAATGATACGTCACTATTTAAACATTGTCACTGCAAGGTATTGTGGGACAGAATTCTCTCCTTTTGGTTCCTATGCTAAAGGGCTAAGTAAGCAAGAATTGAAGCCTCTTGAGAACAGCCCTTATCATGGCGGCCACACATTTTCATTCTGTATCCCCCTAGCCTTCTATTTTATACTGTAGATTTAAGTTGTAAATTGAACATGTTATTTTTGTCTTACTGTCATGTAAGACCTGCACCAACCGCATGTCAAATTCCTTGTATGTCGAACGCATTTTGGCAATAAATGTTTCTGATTCCTACGTCCAGAAACCAAAAAGACAGTTTGAATCCAGCCTGGGGTTTGGCTTTCTTCATCTGAAGCCTTTAAAGGTACCTTTTTATTCCTCCTCAGACAGTTATTCTCAGCGGGCAGGTGTCCGGGCAGCTCTGTCTCAGGACCCCTCCTGGATCTCGGAGTACATCTCGAAGGCAATACCGATGCTGGTGTCTCAGGACAACGAGGTGAACTACCTGGTTCCCTGGAGTCACCTGCACGAGCCCCCAAAGGAAGGCGGTAAGCCCCGCCCCCACACTGTGACCGCTAAACACTCTCTCGATGACATCACGCCGATGACACCTGCTGGGTTTCAGGTGTGTATGAGCTGGCGTCCTTCCAGATGCGCCCTGGTGGTCCAGCGGTTTGGGGAGACCGCTTCCAGGCTGCTGTCACCTCCCATGATGCACCTGGGTATGGCAAGCTTGTGGGAGCTTTCCACAGCGAGTGTGGGCTGCTGAACAAAGGTACACTGTAAAAATAGACCAGACACTGCAAAATATATAGTGAATGATGTAAAACATCCCACACAATGTAAAACATTTACCAAACGGATGAAAGCAGGAAGTTTTATGTCCGTATTATTGTTGACATCCTTTGCGAGTCGTTCTATTTGTGTGTCAGTTCACGCACTTTGGTGGTTCGAGAGCGCCGATCAGCGAGCTGAAGTTCGACACAAATCTCACACTGACGCCCGAGTAGTAGCTGCAGGTAAGACTCCGCCCACCTGACGGAGAGCGATGATCACACAGGATGATGAAGTGCCCTTTATACGTGTCTCTCTCTCTCTTTCAGTCCGAAACTGTGTCGCCCATCTGGACTCTCAGGAGAATAAGCTCATGTTTCCTTGTTCCTTCTCCCCACTGAAGTAACGTCAGGTCGATCACTTCCTGTCCTCACGCCTGTGTCTCCAACACTGTCTATAAAACTACCCCTTCAAGACCTGAACCTCTAGGATCCAGTTAGGCGTTACAATATGGTTTAAATGTGATGAACGTGATTAAAAACATTAAATCAGATGGAGTAGCGAGCGGCAGCGTCCGATCCTGTGGCTGGAATGTATCGTGTGTGTGTGTGTCTGTATTTCACATGAGACTGACAGGATTTAACATCTGAATAAAATAGAGAAACAAATGGTGTGAGTCTGCATCAGAGAGCAACGCAGGGACGGTGGATTTATTTCTTTTATTGAGGTGTTTGGGTCGGTAACATTAAATAAACATGGCGATCAGTGCAAACACGAGCCGAGGGTGTGAACAGGTAACGTGCTGAGGAGGCGGAGCTCCGTCAGTCGGATTGATCAGCTGTTCCACTATTCAATACTCTTGAGGTATTTCACTGCTTTGCATCCTTCCTCTAAAGAAAAACCAATCCAGTCTTGGTCCAATCCCAGTGCCCCGTGACCTCTCAGTACCTCTCAGGGACTCGCCTGGTCGGAGGTTGAGTGTGCGAGTCTGTGAGGGCTTTAAAAGGTGTCACCATGACAACCTCACACGTCATGTGATTCACAACTGAGGGGAGTGATTTAATACTTGTTTTGCATTTGAAATGTGACTCCTTGCTGCTAAGATGAGGTCATTTTAAATGTTTTTACTAATCTTTGTCAAAACTCGGCGTTGTGACGGTGGGGAACCGAATCCGGACAGAGTGAGGGGGGCGGATTGGGGATTGGGCCTCAGTCTTCTTCTTTGTGCAGCACTTTGCATTGGGCACGTTGATTGGCTATTAAACACTACAGGAAACCGAACTGCCCCGCCAAAATAAGACAAATCGCACTCTGCTTCAGCTACACATAAATAAAACAGAATTAATCGTTTTCTAAAAGTGATCGTTGCAGTTGAGCCGTCGGCCAGTGATTCATATTCTTCCTCGTTGGTTTGGAGAAACAAAGTAGCAACAGAGTTCATCAGAGCAGGAGACAAATCACAGGCGCTATCTAAGTGTCTGATGGGCGGCGGCTCCACGGAGAATCATTTGCATTGACTGGCACGAGGCGGTGGGTGACTCCGCCCACACGTGTGACATCACGACAGATGAGGAGGCATGGTCTATGAGATGATCACATGACGCTCTCCTTTAGCATGACCTCCCCCCCAGAAGCTCCCGGGGGGACCTCGATGACGACGTCTCGGCGCCGCACCGAGTCTTTGGAGTGGTAGTCGTCACTCTGGTCCTTGGCGAAGTTCACAAACACCTGGAATCAAAAACCCCGACCAACAAGATCATTAGGAAGTCTACTTTCTACCTGTTCAGGTGTGTTTGTGTGAGTGTCTAGTCTTTCTACCTGCTGAGGTGTGTGTGTGTGTCTAGTCTACCTGATCCAGGGTGGTCTGGGTGACGGAGTAATCCTCAATCCTCAGCAGCTCCTTGTTCTTGGCGAGGATGGAGAAGATGTGGGTGAGGGAGGTGAGAGAAGATGGAAGCTGGTACTGCAGCATGTTCCTGTGCTTCTCCTTCAGCGTGCTGCCGCTCAACTCACTCTCAATGAACTTCATGACGGGCTGAAGGTCACTGTCCGGCCCCCCCACCCGCAGGATGATGGTGTACCCATCACCAAACCTGGTATAGAGAATCACCATTGCATCACCTGACCTGTAAAGTGTATCACCTGAGGGAGAAGGAGGACATCCTCATGCTACCTGTTCTTCAGGTGCTGAACGCTGCCGAGACATCTGAACCTCCCGTTTACCATGATGGCCATCCTGGTACACAGAGCCTCACACTCCTCCATGCTGGGACAAGGAGACAAGGTGTAAGGGGACAGCATGCTGTAAAGGGACATGGTGAGGACACGGTACAAGGGGACAGGGGGAGAAGCCGTTATGGGGGACAGGGTCTCCTACCTGTGGGAGGTGAGGACCACGGAGCGTCCCTCCTTGATGATGCTGTGGATGCAGTTCCACAGGGCCCGGCGGGCTTTGGGGTCCATGCCGGTTGTGGGCTCGTCCTGTAACCACAACAACAGAAAGGTTGAGGTCGGCCCAAAGGTGGTGCCGGGGGCCATCTTCTGTGCTATGTCTTTCTTCTTCTCTCCCCGGAAATCAGCAACTGATTCAACCCCCCCTCTCACTGCTGATTGGCTACGATTGCTCTGATGCTGCTGTGTAACTTTAACACTGTAGGCGCTATATCTGCTTCTCCCCCCCCTCCTCCTCCTACTTTTCCTATTCCTCCTACCCTCCTCTTCTTCATCCTCTTCATCAACACACTCCTTGAGACACCTGGGCCTTGTTCCTCGTATGTGGTTCAACTAGGTCCTAAAACCTCTTAAGAAACCTACTCCAGACTGGACTACTGTAATTCTTCAGGCTGCTCTTGTAAATCTCTTAAGCCTCCCCAGTTGATTCAGAATGCTGCAGCACGTGTATTAACAAGAACTAAGAAAAGGGATCATATCACTCCTGTATTAACTTCTCTGCACCGGCTCCCTGTTAAATCAAGAATAGATTTTAAGGTACTTCTCCTCACCTACAAGGCACTTGCTGGTGAGGCACCGTCTCAGAGAACCAAGATTCTCGTTGCTGCTGGATACCAGCTTATAACAGCTGGTATCCAGCAGGGCTTATAACTTATAACCATATTGCCCTACCAGAGAGCTGCGCTCCATAGATCCTGGTTGCTTGTTGTTCCGACAGTCTTAAAAACCGAGATGGGAGCCAGTCAGTTATCAAGCTCCTCTTTTGTGGAACCAGCTCATTTAAGATGAAGCTTAAAACGTTCCTCTGTGATTGTGCCTATAGTTAGGGCTGGCTCAGGTCAGCCCGGACCAGCCCTTAGTTAAGCTGCTATAGGCTGAGACTGCTGGGGGACTTCTTAGGACACACCGAGCTCCTCTCTCACTCCAGTTTGTCCCCTATCATTATAACAGGGAGGCGCCCCACCACCTGAAAAAGCGTATATGTATATTTCCACACACGGCTGTTCCACACTGACATGTCGCAAATGTTCGTGCACCATGTCCCTTGCAGCAGCGGGGCAGAGAGCACCAGAGTGACTTACACCACTAAATATTAATCACAGTATTATTACTGTCATCATAAACCAACATTACAGGCTTCTGTGGATGGTGGTTCACTCTGATGGTGGTGGTCCCTGCAGTGGTCTTGCCCTACACATGGCTCACTACACGCAATATTTGAATCATTTCTTGATTTGCCAAACTTGCTTCATGGAACTGAAAACCCCGACTTATGTAATCTTATCCTAAAAATGATCCGGCTAACTCAGTTAGCCATGTACGAGCAACGGCCCAGATCAACGTAATAGTGTGTGTGTGCATATGTATTGTGTATATATTGTATGTTTAGTGTGAATATATGGTGTGTTTTGTGTAAGCATATTGTACAGTGTGTATATATTGTGTGTACTATATATTGTATATGTATGGTGTGTTAATATTCTTTGTACTGTGTACGTATGATGTTTACTGTGTATATATGTTGTGTTTTGTGTATGTATTATGTGTACTGAGTACATATTGTGTATATAGTTACATGTGGTGTGTTTTGTGTACGGTTTACATATTGTGTGTATTGTGGGTACCAGGAAGACGACGGGCGGCGCTCCGATCAGAGACATGGCCGTGGACAGCTTCCTCATGTTTCCTCCGCTGTAGCTTCCTGCTGCTTTCTCAGCGTACTTCATCAGACCCAACTTCCTGATGCCCCACTCTGCCACCTGTCAATCAAAGGGCATCATCACAACCTCATGGTGACATCATCATCACGGCGGCGGTGACCTCGCTCTGACTCACATCACAGACTTGTCCCTCGGGGACCCCCCTGAGGACGGCGTAGAGCTCCAGGTGCTCTCTTCCTGTCAGCAGCTCGTTGATGGAGTCAAACTGAGGACAGTACCCCATGTGCTGGTGGACGGAGTCGATCTCCCTCAGGATGCTACACACAGACACACACATCAACAACGCAGCGGCTTAAAGGTGAAGCAAGCTCAACGAGCCATGCTACATATACCCTAGTACTTATATCATGTACTCCCAGGTATATCGTCGTGGCGCAGGGGTTAGAGAAGGTGTGCTGGAAAGCACAAGGTTGGTGGTTCAATTCCAGGCTGCCCCATGTTCCATGTCGAAGTGTCCCTGAGCAAGACACCTAACCCCTAATTGCTCCCTGGGCAAAAATGTGAAAAAGCCGTGTGTTTAAAGTGTGATGTAAGTCGCTTTGGATGAAAGCGTCTGCTAAATGACCTGTAATGTAATAAATACTGCACTCTTAAATACTCTGGTATTCATGATGTACTCTTTGCTTCTAAGTTCTTTTAGTTTAGAAGTCGTCGGCTTAAAGTTCATCTTCGTAGCAAATCTGCTGTGTTTGGCGGCAGTAACCACGGCAACAGGCCTAACAACAGACCCCAGGTCAGCTCACCTCTTCCCAGCCAAGAAAGCCTCTCCACTGGTCACCAGTGTGTCTCCAGTCAGCATCTTAAAGGTGGTCGTCTTCCCAGCACCATTAACCCCAAGCAGCCCGAAGCACTACACACACACACACACACACACACACACGGACACAATGATAAATGGTCTGTACTTCATGACATCATTCACACCCCGATGACAGTAGCTACGTTAGAGAGAGAGAGGGGACCCACACACACACACACACACACACACACAGTTGTTATTGTTGTTACCTCTCCAGGAGGAATCCCGACACAAAGTCGATCCACAGCCGGCTTCTGTTTCCTTTCAAACACCTGCGGGACATTTATGTGTTAAAGAAAGGTTACAGTCAAAGTGAATGTGTGTCTGTGTGTGTCTGTGTGTGTCTCTTTGTGTGTCTCTGTGTGTGTCTGTGTGTCTCTTTGTGTGTCTCTGTGTGTGTCTGTGTGTGTCTGTGTATGTCTCTGTGTGTGTCTCTGTGTGTGTGTGTGTGTGTCTGTGTGTGTGTGTGTGTCTGTGTGTCTGTGTGTGTCTCACCTGGGTTCTTATCTCAACCTGCTTTGCAGCTTCTCATAACTGACACGGACAATGTCCTTCACATGTGTATAAAAACTCAGCGTTCTTACTGCTCGGAGACGTCATTCCACAGAGCGCCGTGATACGTGTGTGTGTTTGACCTCCTGCTTGCAAGCAATAAATGGACTTTTTGCAACTTTGATCATTCATCAAGACTCTGTTTTATCAGACGAATCATTCTCTTCTACCGAGCTTTTATTGAAATATTCCACAACAGTCTCTGTGAGTGTCTGTGTGTGTCTGTGTATGTCTCTGTGTGTGTCTGTGTATGTCTCTGTGTGTGTCTCTGTGAGTGTCTGTGTATGTCTCTGTGTGTGTCTCTCTGTATGTCTCTGTGTGTGTCTCTGTGAGTGTCTGTGTGTGTCTGTGTATGTCTCTGTGTGTCTCTCTGTGTGTGTCTGTGTATGTCTCTGTGTGTGTCTCTGTGAGTGTATGTCTCTGTGAGCCTACCTTGGTGAGCTGACGGAGCTCTAGGATGTCCCCATGTCCCAGACCCTGGACAATCCTCTGCCTCTCTCGGGCTACGTCCTCGTCCTCGTCCCCCAGTGGTCCCAGTTTAGTGAGTGTACTGACTGGCCTATTGAAGGACGCACACAGCCCAGATAGTACTTCTACATGTAGTATTGTGTACATGTAGTACTGTGTAGAACGTGTAGCACTGTGTACTGGTCTGTAGTACTGTGTACCTGGGTTTGATGAAGAACCTGTACTGGATGAGGAGGGTGATGATGAAGAAGACGACTCCCTCCACGGCCATCGCAAATAGGTTCTTTCCCACCATGTCCCACTCCAGAGGAGAGCGTAAGCGGTTCTCACCTGAAACATCCACCCGTACACAGGAAGAACTACACCTTAACTGTGACAGTGTACAGTGAGAACTACGCCTCCACCTAAGAGATGGACACATTTCTCAAAATAAAATAATCTGAGCGTGTTAAAGAGGAGAGTGTGTGTGTGTTACCAAATCTCTCCAGGGCATCGGCCATTGCCTGGTTCTTCACCATGTCGATGAGTCCTCGACCGAGACAGAAGTGAGGAAAGATGAGGAGAACATTCTTCAAGATGTCGTTAATTCCCCCAATCTCCTGAAAATAAATAACAAATCCATGTTTACTGGATTTGAGATGAATCCTGGTCTTCACATTAAAACTGTACTTGAGATGAATCCTGGTCTTCACATTAAAACTGTACTTGAGATGAATCCTGGTCTTCACATTAAAACTGTACTTGAGATGAATCCTGATTCTACGCACGTTGTTTCCGAACAGCTCCATGACGAAGGTGGAGATGCTGCCGTTGATGCCGATGAGGATGTTGACACTGGTGAGGACCACATAGGCCGTGCTGGGGATCTGGAAGAAGAAGGAGGCTGGGTACATCAGAGGAGTGATGGACCAGCTGCGAACAAGAAAACAGGAGAAGATTCTGTCAGAGAACTTAAAGCTTCCTGAGAACAAAATGAGTGACGGATCCAAATCCGCCCAAAAGATGTACGGTTAGATTAGAACCATTTAATATGAGATAACTGCTGTAGTACTGTGTACTATTACTGTGTATCTGTACTGTGAACCAGTACTGTGTACTATTACTGTGTATCTGTACTGTGTACTAGTACTGTGAACCAGTACGGTGTACCAGTACCCATAGAGCAGCAGCAGCAGAGCGAGCACCGGCAGGTTAGTGGATGAAACGTAGGCTTGTTGTTGGAAACAGATGAAGATGACAACGACCAGCGTTGCCGGGACGACGTAGTTACACTGTGGAGAGACAAAAACAACATCAACAAGGATGATGCACACACACGCTACACACTTCCCTTTGGATGGATGATAGGGACGGGATCTTTGCTCACCATGTCCCAGGTGAAGTTGGCCACCCAGTAGAGCAGCGGCTGCACTCCGCTGATGAACTGCATGTGTTTGGCTTTACTGACTCGCTCCTGGATGAGGAAAACCACAAAGCTAGCTGGAACGAAGGACATGGCGAAGATCACACAGATGGACACCAGCACGTCCACAGAGGTCGTTACCCTGGAGACAGGACAAAAGGTAAACAATGGACCGTTCTCTCAGTCTCAGGTGTACTTCCTGTCTAGTTACTGATATCAGGTGTGCTTTCTTTCAAGAGAGTCAGCAGTACTTCCTACAGGTGAGTACTCCCAGTTATTCTTTTGTTCAGGTGACAAGGCTCATGTGCACTTCTTGTGGTCTGACTAGTCCCAGGTGTACTTCCTGTTTGGTGAGGCTTAGGGTTAGGCTTAGAGTCTTAGGCTGGACTTTTTGCTTAGGAAAGTTCCTCACTGATTGAAATGAAGTGAAGTAGTGGAAGTGGCGCCATGATGAGAGCTGTTTGAATTCTATAATGCTAAGGAAAGGAGCTTCAATGCTTCCTAACTTATCTCCTTTAGCAAAGGAAACACCGTCCTTTACGAAAGGAAAGGAGATAATTCCCTCCCACAATTCTTTGCGGCAGCAAATAGTGATGTGTCGAATAGGCGTTAGGAGGTCATTTCTTGAATCTAGTTACTAGTCTCAGGTGTTTCCTGTTACGTGAGTACTCACAGAGCCACCTGTGACAGCTGTTCCTTGGTGAGGTTCAGAGGATGGTTGAAGGCCCTGATGCCGTACAAGTGTGGGTCCTTCCCTTCAGGTAGGTTTGCTCTCAGGATGCCGTTGTTCATCACGTTGATGAACGCTCCAATGCTGTGCCAGCCTTTGTTGTTAAACCAGATCTGAAGACGGTTCACACACGTTATTCATTAATCACTTGTTGTAATAATAAAAACACTGGTTCACTTTGCTGAGCTCCACCGAGTGTCTGATCTCCTCCACTTTCAGCCTTCTGTCCTGGATCATCTGATTCTCACCTTTACATTGTTCTTTGTGTCCAAACCGTTGATAAAACCTGAGAGACTGTCGAGGAATCGATCTGCTGCCGCTCCCTGAAACAAGGAGTTCAACATTGTCTGCACTTCATCTAGATAGTTTGTGTAGACAAGGGTTGCCCACAGATTTTCGGCTCCCAACCTACTTTTCAATCGACTGAGTCATAGTGATCTACCCCACCTGCCGGCCGGTCCCCATAATAATACTAATACTAACGAGTAGTAGCAGGTTTACTTAAACTGACCTTCTGCAGCTCAAAGATCTTTCTGACTCGTTCAATGGCATCGTCGATCTCATTGGCCGGCGGGAGGACCTGAGTGCTCCTGGCGCCCAATGAAAAGCCTCCGTACCTGCAAAGAGAAAAAGAAGATCAACGTGTGACAAAGAGGAAACAAGATTTGTCGTTTCAAAATAATAGCATGAAGAAAAACACTAACCTGAACTCATTCACCCAAACTTTGTTCTTCAGACTGTGAACAGAAAGCAGCTTTTAGTCACCACTGTGTGCTGTGTACTTTTGTGTGTAGTGTATCTGACGTGTTTCTACGGCGTATTTTTGTGTATATGTACTACAGTATATTCACTCACCTCTTGCCGATGATCTGAGCGTATGTTTTCACCAGGTAGTCTGAGATGTTTCTTCCTGTCAGGTTTTGCAGAGTATCGTTTGCGCTCAGCTTCATCTGAAAAACATGAGTAATACCTGTAAATCATGTACTTTAATACATATAATAACAGAGGCTTAATGATTCTGGTTTGGGGACAGGTGGTCTGACCTCGGGGGGTGGCAGTCCTCCGGCTCCAGCGGGGCAGTGCGGCAGCATCTTCTTCTTGTCGTCACAGCTGCAGAAGCAGGCGGGGGACGGGTCCTCCATGGTCCAGTTGGAGGAGCTGAAGAGCTGCTGGAGGCTTTCAGGGACTTCAGGAACATTCCAATCCTCATCGCCCATCGTACAGGGAGCTTCTCTGAGGACCAGCACAGCATCATCAATGATCAGAGGAAATGAGTGATTAATGAACCCATAAGCATCCAGGTCAAGGGAAGAGAAGGTTACAGATTGTATTACATTCTATTTGTGTTGTCTATTTAGTATATTGCATTACATTATCTATCTATATCTATATATAGATATAGACATATATAGATAGATATAATAGGAATGATGGATATAGAGACAGTTGGGTAAATATCAAGCAGATTCACTTCTCTTCTTACGGGATGGGATGTCCGTCCATGCAGCGAGTCCCGAGGCCCGGCGAGTCCAGGAGAGAGTTCAATAACCTCTGCATGGTGGGGTCTCCAGGAGCATCGTCACTGACACACAAACAACACACACACACACAAAACACACAACACAAACGCACACAAAAAACACACGCACACACACTTTTGTTCAGTGCAATGTGGGGCGGTTGTGTACATTGTGGTGTAGTTGTTTACAGTGCGGGTAGTTTAGTGTACATTGCGGGTTGCTGTGTATACTGTGGGTAGTCGTGTACCTGATGAAGGTCACCTGGTCCTCATACATCCAGGGCTGCAGCTCCAGACTCGGGTATTTCCCAAACGGTGGAACAATGAGACTGAAGACGAGAGCGATGCACACAAACACAGCAGGGAGGACAATCTGCAACAATCACATGAACATGATTTGATCATACGTGCACAACTATTAAATACATTAAATATATGAAATTAATCTAAATCCTCAGCACCTGAGCGAAGAAGCCCTTCCTGGAGCGCCGAGCATACAAAAATCGTTTCCACATCAGAGCAACAAACTGCTGCTTCTTCAGACTCCAGCCGGTCACCTGATAGGAGCCTTTACCATCAGTATAGTTCAACCAGTCCTTCTCCCTGCACTCTGAGGGGTCACACGGGTCACACAGGTCACATGAGGTCACACAGGTCACATGATGCAAATGATTCTAAGCAGGAATGTATGTATTTGTATGTGTTTTACCTTGATTTGAATGAAATATTATTAGCTGAAGCCCAGAAGAAGCCGAGTAACAGATGATCACAGATATGTGAGGGACCACAAGGTAAGGAACAGATACACATGTGTGTTTACCTGGATCACCGTCCGACTCGTTGCAGTTGTTGTCGTCGTCCTCGGTTAAAGGTCTGAGGCAGCTCTGATGGTCTCCTCCACCAAAGGCATGAGTCCTCCTCCGCCTCCGGACAGGAAAGGTACCATCTGAACACCCCTCACCCCCACACACACATCACACACGTCACACACGTCACACACACGTCACACACACCACACACGTCACACACGTCACACACGTCACACACACGTCACACACACCACACACATCACACACGTCACACACGCGTCACACACGTCACACACACGTCACACACACCACACACATCACACACGTCACACACGCGTCACACACACCACACACACACACCACACATCCCACAGACATCACACACGTCACACACAGATCACACATCACACACGTCACACATCACACACACATCACACACACGTCACACACAGATCACACACGTCACACACGTCACACACACCACACACACCACACACATCACACACGTCACACACGTCACACACAGATCACACATCACACACGTCACACACGTCACACACGTCACACACACCACACACACCACACACACCACACACATCACACACGTCACACACGTCACACACACGTCACACACACGTCACACACACATCACACACGCGTCATCGTACAGCACTGGATTTCAGACTTTTATTAATGTCAAGGTCAAAGGTCACTCCCCACCTGAAGGCACTTCAGTGTCGACTCCGTTGTCTTCAGCCACTTTCAGGAAAATCTACAAAGAAATATCTTTTTGTATTGATTTTATTTTTTTACCTATAAATATAGTATATACATACTTTATATACAGGAGGGTGAGTGACAAACGGACCACTTTACGCAGGCTAAGCTAGCTGCTAGGAAAGCATCCCAACATCTACCCTGCAGAGGACACTACTGTGTCGAAAAAAACTAAAACAAAAACAAACTTTTAATTGTGATATGTGCGATAAATTAGTTCATTTTTAAAAATATATATATGTGAGATTGTTGTATTCACACCTGCTGATAAATATGTCATTTTTTATGTTTAAATGGTTAAACTCTGACATTAAAACAAACCTCCTCCAGTGTGGTGTCCGACACTCCGTAACTGGAGATGCCGAGGTTGAGCAGCTTGAGGTCCAGGTCTTTGAAAAGTGCCACAAAGGCTCCGTCCTTAGCGGCGCTGTAGGGCAGGACGTAGGTCAGCTCGTGGCCCAGGTTCTCCACCAGCCGAGCGGCCGGGACGTGGCCCAAGATGAGACCCGAGACTAGGGTCGCATCGGGAGGCCCCAAGGGGACGGGGCAAATGGAGGCCGCAGGCCCGTTTTCTGAGGACATGAGAAACAGATCAGAAACACCTGGAGGTGAACAAATCAAACGCTCTGCACGAACAGAGAGCTCACCGATGGTGGTGGCCTCACTTTCATGTTCGCTGCCGAGTCCTGCGTCACTGCTGCTGACCGAGGTACTCTCCTCCTCCTACGCAGAGTACACAAGACAGAGTACTACGTTAGAGTACTACACATAGAGAGAGAGCAGAGTAGTGTGTTGAAATACCAAAGAGAGAGAGACAAATACTAAATAGTAAACTACTACAAAAATAGAGAAAAAAAAATACTTTGTTAAAATACTACACAGAGAGAAAAGAGTACTGTTGAAGACCTCAGTATATAAATCCTGGCTTTTTTAGATGAACCGGTTTCTTCTGTCACTGTACACCATAAAGGGAGACACTAAGACACCGTTCAGAGAGACATTGTTCACTTTGACACTGTACAGTGGGACACATTGTGCGGTGTAACTGCGGCAGAGACCTTCTTGGTGAAGGACACGGTGCTGGAGGAGTTTCTGCAGGAGCTCAGCGCCTGCTCGGGTTCCTTCTTCACCAGCGTCAGGTAGTAACCTGTCCCCAGCTGGTTCTTCAGGTACAGAGAGGAGCCCACGCAGCACAGCTTCCCGTGGGAGATGATGGCGATCCGGTCCCCCAAGATATCAGCCTCGTCCATGTGGTGTGTGGACAGGATGATGGTCCGACCTGAAGGAGACGGACCTTCATTCACAGTCCAGCTTCATAGGATAACCGTAATCGGCCTACCACAACGACTCACCCTGCCGGTACTTCAGCAGCAGATCCCAGATCCCTCTACGGGCGAAAGGGTCAACACCGGCAGTGGGTTCATCCAGGATCACAACCTTTGACCCCCCGACAAAGGCCAGCGCCACAGACAGTTTCCTCTGCATGCCTCCGGACAGCGCATTGGCCCTGGAGGTGCGTTTGTGGGGCAGCCCGGTGTCCTGCAGAATCTGCTCGATCTCACCTTTCACCTGCTGCTCCGACAGGCCTTTGAGCCGGCCGTAGAACCAGATGTGCTCCTCCACCGTCAGCCTGCAGAGGGGAACACGTTAAACAAAGTGACACCTCCAACCCCAGACCAAATGCGTTGTGTCTTAGGACTCACATGCTGAAGAGGACGTTGTGTTGAGGACACACTCCAAGATTTTGTCTGATGGCACTCAGCTCGGTCCGGATGTCTCTGCCGAGGATGTAGGCGGTACCAGAGGTGGGAGGGAACAGGCCAGTCAGGATGGACCTGCATGGACCGGATGGTTTCAATGAACACGTCTGTTTATGTACTTCACATATATAAGTACCTGTCTCTGATTCTGTACTTGTATAAGTACCTGTTCCTGTTCAATACTCACATAGTGGTGGTCTTCCCTGCTCCATTGTGTCCCAGGAAGGAGGTGATTTGTCCCTCGTAGAAGCCGAGCGTCAGTCCGTCCACAGCCAGCTTCTTCCCGTGGCGATACACCTTCACCAGATTCTCAATGTAGACACCAGGCTCCAGGTGAGACGGCTCCTCTTCTATACACACAGCTGGAGAGAAAAAACACACATTACCGCTTTGTCCAGGGAGTCCTTTTCAAATGAGAACTCTTATATTTGCGTTCAGAGTGTTCCCTTTATGGGTACAGATTTGTGGTTACTTTGAGTGCAGCTATCACCCCACTGTGGTGACTGAGAGCTACAGCAGCCTCACCTTCTGGGTTTTCCTTCTGGATCAGTGGACCTTTGTTGGACTTCCCATCTTTCTCCCCAAACCAGTAGGCCTTAGAGAAGGGGAAGTACCAGGCTCGAGGGATCCCGTACTGACCTGAGACAAGCAGAAAGTAGACCTTAGGCTCAGACTAAAGATAGTTTAGGGAATAACTGTGGAAGGATGTTAAAGTTATTTTAATCATCAGGGATTTCATGAAGTTTTAATGTTAGTGTGTTGTTTTCTTTCTTTAAGATTTGAGAATATTGTCTGTTGACTCTGAGTGCTCTCACCTGGAAACACGCCCTCGATGTACCAGGTAAGGACTCCGTACAGGAAGGAGTCGAAGTACATGATGACGATAGCTGTGCGGAGGCTGAAGTCGTCCTCCTCCATTGGACTGGAAACAAGGTTCTTCCACTGGATGCCGACTCCTTGCTCCTCAAACAGGGCGAAATACTCACAGCCAAATCCGAACGCCACGGGCGACAGGAGGCTCTGCGGAGGAGGAGACATGTGACTTACTCCGTGCAATAGCAACATTCCGTCAAGACAAAAAGCAAATTGCAAGATTTCTTACAGCGAAGACCTTGGCCCCGTAGCCGATGTAGTCCTGCCAGGCCACGCAGAGCACATAGGGCAGGTAGAGGGTGAAGTAGATGATTCCTCCGCAGGCGGCGGCAAGGTTGGCGCGGGCGAAGGCTGTGCTGAGGAGGAAGCACTGCATGATGGTTACCACGGCGAAAGATCCCAGGAAGAGGAAGACGACGCCGGGGTCGCTGTAGGGCAGCAGATTCCCCTTCTGTTTAGAGAGCAGAGAGCATAAACAAACCAGACAGAAATGTGCTGTCGAATAAGCATGAAACAATAACTAATCATCACAGCCAGTGGGAGAGTTAAAACCCACTACGGAGCTACGAGTCCCACAAGGCTCTGTGCTTGGACCCTTTCTATTCACCCTTAAAGGCTTACTCAAGGCAATACCATCAGAACAAGTGTTAAGAAATTATACACAATTATGTCTGTAGATATATCAAGCCAAACTTGTTGATGACGCCAAGCTAATAAATTGAAATTCTGTTTGACTTGAAGAATTAATTGCCAATTGATCAGGCGACGTCACATAGACATCATGGAACATTTACATCTAATCAGTTCAACGTAAAATATAAATTATTTTATTTTAGTCTACTTTATTTCACTCATTTCACTATTTCATCATTTTTTTTAGATTTAGATCTTGAATCTGGTTTCCGAAGCAAGATGCAGCAAATAAATAAAAAAACAGTAGAAGTACAGGTACATCAGTGCTCACCTTCAACAGCAGCACCAGCAGACCGGCGCTAACCAGCAGAGGAATTAGACTGCTAATGAACCAGCTGAACCACAATATGCCGTTGTTCAATCCCATGATCCTCATGGTCTCTTTCAGGCGAGCCTCCTTCTCGTACACAACACTCTTCAGGATGATCGCCACCGAGTACATCCACGCAAGGGTCATGAAGAGAGGCATGGAGCGGCTCATCACCCGCAGGAAGCTGTGAGGGGAGGGACAACAGTTAGGACGTCTTAGGACATGAATGACGAGTTAGGACATGAGGGTCAGGGTAGGTCATCAGGTTAGGACATGAAGGACAAGTTAGGACATGAGGGTCAGGTTAGGTCATCAGGTTAGGACATGAAGGACGAGTTAGGACATCAGGGTCAGGTTAGGTCATCGGGTTAGGACATGAAGGAGAAGTTAGGACATGAGGGTCAGGTTAGGTCATCGGGTTAGGACACAAAGAAGGGGTTAGGACATGAAGGACAAGTTAGGACATGAGGGTCAGGTTAGGTCATCGGGTTAGGACACAAAGAAGGGTTTAGGACGTGAAGGACGAGTTAGGACATGAGGGTCAGGTTAGGTCATCAGGTTAGGACATGAAGGACGAGTTAGGACATGAGGGTCAGGTTAGGTTATCAGGTTAGGACATGAAGGACGAGTTAGGACATGAGGGTCAGGTTAGGTCATCGGGTTAGGACACAAAGAAGGGGTTAGGACATAAAGGACGGGTTGGGACATGAGCGTCAGATTAGGGCATGAGGTTGGACATGAAGGACGAGTTAGGACATAAAGGACGGGTTGGGACATGAGCATCAGATTAGGGCATGAGGTTAGGACATGAAGGACGGGTTGGGACATGAGCGTCAGATTAGAACATGAGGTTAGGACATGAAGGACGAGTTAGGACATAAAGGACGGGTTGGGACATGAGCGTCAGATTAGGGCATGAGGTTAGGACATGAAGGACGAGTTAGGACATAAAGGACGGGTTGGGACATGAGCGTCAGATTAGGGCATGAGGTTAGGACATGAAGGACGAGTTAGGACATAAAGGACGGGTTGGGACATGAAAGACAGGAAGGACAGGTGAGTACATGGAGGAAGGGTTAGGACATGAAGGACAGGTAAGGACATGGAGGACGGTTCTTACATGTCGTCCACGTAGCAGGGATAAGGCATCTGCTGAATATAGACGCCCGTCTTCTCCTTGGTGCCCGTCATTGCTCTTATGATACCTTGCTCTATAACGTCCTGCAGGTACGAGAACCCACCCCAGATGTACCGCATGTCCTCAAAAGGGTCGGCACGAGGACCTGGGTCCCAGTACCTGAAAAAGAGGAGGACAGACAACATGTTGTTTACCTTAAAAGCTAATCCTCTTCTGTCCAAAACATAGTAAATCCTATGTCTGAGTCTGTCCTATGTCTTACAGTAAGTGCCCCACGGCCGCTTACGGTAAGTTACTTCATCAAAGGTAAACAGCTATGGAGTTCAGCTAAATAAAAGTTTAATAAAAGTTAAAATCATTAACAGTGCAACTAAATGGGAAAATCAAAAGGTGGACTCTTAAATATTAGACACCTGTCATCTAAAGCTGTGTTAGTTCATCAATCAATTAATTAATCACCAATTCAATTCATTTAATTTTGTAAAGCCCAAAATCGCAAATTACAAATTGGCCTCAAAGGGATTTACAGTCTGTTTACATTAGAGTCACTTTAACACTTGATGTGTGAGTGTGTGTCTTACGCGTCTTTGATCTTATTGGTCCTCTCAACGTTGTCAATGTCCATGCGGATCTTGTAGTTGAGTTTGGCCGGCAGCTCAGTGGCGTTGGGGTCGACGTCCGGGAACACGATCCCTGCCCAGAACTTCTTGTCCTCCAGCAACACCATGGACTGGTCGACCATTCGCTCCTCGCTGGAGACCGGCTCCAACTTGTCCAGGTTCACACACTGACACACACAGACATACAGAGAGAGAGAGTCATGTGATCTTCATTCACCAACCACGGTCTGCATACCTGTCTGATCAAGGCCTGGTGCTCTAAACTTAAATCAAAGGATGTAGTCTACACACCATGTGATGGTTTATCACGACCCACACATCAGTGAACTGTGTGCTGTGTGTGTTCTCACCAGTCCAAGACAAACCCAAACTAAACATGTGTTCTGAAGCTGCCACCACTGACCTCCATGAAGCGTGAGATGCTCATGATGGCCTGGTCGGTGTCGTTGAACACCTCCCTCCAGGTGAGGGCGCCACCGGGGCCTTGGGCAACCCTCTTGGACAGGAAGTAGGAGACGTCGTCCACAGTCCAGTCGGTGTGGGTCAGCTGAGCGCTGAATAATCTGGCGGTGGCGTTGTTCTTTAGCAGGGTCTGAAGGAGAGACCAGGGCTCTTACATTTATATTTATAAGCATGAATATACAGACATAAATCACACAAATTGATAAAGGTGCAAATTAACAAGATAACATGTAGAGGCAGGCCTTACCCTGATCACGTCCATCTGCTCGCCGTTCTCCATGAAGCTCCAGATTTTGGGTCTTACCTCCTCCCACATCCCGCCCAGGTCCCTGAACACACCGAGCTCCTGGAAGGTCCGGTTCACCTGAATGCAGCACAAAGCGTTAAACATCCCTCGTCCCACCTGCAGACAGCAAGGACATACGTGACAAGTGAGTGTGACAAGTGATGACATACCTCGTGGATAACCCTCTGAGTGGCAGGAGTGTGGGGGGTGTACAGGATCTTCCCCATCAGCAGAGGCTTCAAAGCCTGCCAGATCATCCGGGACATTGGGTTGGAGTCCATGTTCCTTACCAAACTGTTGCAGTAGGGAGCTGGAGAACACACAGAATCATGTACATATAATTCACACGATCACACTCACACACACACACACACACACACTCATACACGCACACGCGCACGTACTGGACGAGTTGTCGTAGAGGGACGTGGACTCGTCCTCGCTGCTGTTCTGGCTCCCGAACAGGGCCTTGTAGTTGCTGTCCTCGTACCAGTTGAGAGACTTGATCTGCAGGCCGCCTCCCTCCGGGTGACCGCACACGATCCTGGAGACAGCCTGGTACATGGCGCTGGGGGACGAGGTGGCGTTCTGCGTCAGGAACACAATCTCGTTCCTAAGGTCGATCCAGCTCTTCATGCCGGCCAGCTGACCCGGGATCAGAGAGAACGGTCACGTTAATCACCCCAATTAAGTTCTAGTATTTATTGCTTACTAAGGATGTCTGTCCTCACTAAAGACGTCTGTCTTCAGGAAGACAGCTGTCCTCATTAAGATGTCTGTCCTGACCATGAATTATAATTCCACAATAGACCTGACCTGTCCTCACTAGATATTTGCTGACAATGAGGACGTTGTGACTTCCCGTTTGTTGAAACTGCCGAAGTTGTCACATTTAAAAGTTCATGACATCAACGTTTGTTTCAACATTGTTTCTTCAGACACAGAAGAACACAACACCCTCCCTAAAGTACACAGTGTACTCCACTAAACATAGTATCTCTAAAGTACACAGTGTACTCCACTAAACATATTATCTCTAAAGTACACAGTGTACTCCACTAAACATAGTATCTCTAATGTACACAGTGTACTCCACTAAACATAGTATCTCTAAATTACACAGTGTACCCTACTAAACATATTATCTCTAAAGTACACAGTGTACTCCACTAAACATAGTATCTCTAAAGTACACAGTGTACTCCACTAAACATATTATCTCTAAAGTACACAGTGTACTCCACTAAACATAGTATCTCTAAAGTACACAGTGTACTCCACTAAACATAGTGTACTTCAGGGACACTGGGCAGGGACACTGAGAGGTACACTATGAGGCACTCTGAGAGGGGTACCAAGAGGGACTCTGACAGGGACACTATCAGGTACTCTGAGAGGGACACTGAGGGGGACACTATGAGGGGACGTTGGATGTTTGTTGTTTGTTCAGACTGTAAAGTGAAGACCTGCTGAGAGTCTTTGTTCAGCTGGAACTCATCTGTCTTTCATCTGCACACAAAGACCTGAGATGCTGAGAGCTGCCAAATAAACCCAGTGAACCCGGTCGGCTCTACTGGAGGACACGTCTGTCCTTGTAGAGGGAACCAGGTGTGTGTCTCACCTCGACCGCCAGTGAACCCAGACTGTCCAGGAGGTGGTTGGTCGCCCTGGCAACCAGTTGGACGGCCTCGGGGTCGGCTCTCAAGTCCCTCTGAGAGACACAGATGGACACGTTAAAAAAAGTTCTGCAGAAGCTCCAAATCAAAAGGTATTGAGATAGTTTACTGCAGTAAAGCTACTAGTACTCACTGTAGTACAACTGTAGTACTACTCACTAAACTTTGAAAGTTTTTTTTCTGCTTTGAGTTCTGACAGAAGGTTTTTAAAGGATTTCGGCTTCCGTTGCCGCGGTAACATTTACTTTCACACAGTCAGTCAGCAGCTCGTAGATTTCTGCTCACAAAAGAGCCGCCGCCTCTCTGACTGGGGAAGAACGAGTCCTCCGGCTACAGAAAGCTGAGCCGGCAGAGGGACGGGCCGGGACACGCCTCTACCCACTAAGAAAAACACCTTTACTGCGTGTCCTCAGAGGAAAACCACCCCCAGCACTTACTTTAACAACTCCTCGTGTTTCTGCAGCCAATAAGAGGAAAATGTATTGATGGGCTGACATTAAATGATCATGTGACCTTTAATCATAACTGCTGTTCTATTAAGACACTAGTCAATAATGAATGCTGGTGTTTTTATGGTGTTTTTTTAAGACTTTTTTTTACAATTGAACAACCGGTAAACATCTCGTATCAGCTGACTGCTGTCAGACATCTCCACCAATAAGAGCTCTGCCATGTGACCCGAGGCCCCCCTCAGCAAGTGTATTCTCACCTGCACAGGTTTTAGGAAGTCCAGGTTGCTGAGGAAGTGCTCCTCAGCCTGGTTCAGCCAGGTGCGCGGTGCCTCACAAAGGACTTTCTGTACCATCATCGACACCTGCTGGTCCGCGATGGTCACAAAGTCCCCCAGACGGCGCTCGCCCCCCTTCCTGGGACACATGTCTGATAGGTGAACTCCAAAACCTTTCAGTAGGACCTGCGAGGGATGGTACAAGAGGACAAACGTTAGTTGAATGTTTCTTATTCTATATTCAGAATACCACCTTCATTTCCCTTGTAACTTCCCTTGTAACTTTGTCTGAATGTTCGTCCTACCTCGACGGCCGCACCTACCAGGTAACCTGGCGAGGATCTGTGTTGGAACCTTGTCCTCTTACTACTGGAGTTCCTCAGGGTTCCGTCCTGGGTCCCCTCCTCTTCTCGCTCTACACCAAATCTCTTGGCGCTGTCATTCGCTCGCATGGCTTCTCCTACCACAGCTATGCCGATGACACCCAACTAATTCTCTCCTTCCCTCACTCGGATCTCTGCCTGTCTGGCTGACATCTCTCAGCCGCTCACCATCTGAAAATCAACCCCGACAAGACTGAACTACTTCTCTTTCCGGGAAAAGATTCTTGGACCCAGGACCTGATGGTTAACTTTGGCAACTTCGTGTTAACGCCCACTTTGACTGCAGGAACCTCTGCGTGACACTCGACAGCCGACTCTCCCTGACTCCCAACATCACTGACAACACGATCCTGTAGATACACGCTCTACAACATCAGGAGAACACGTCCTCTTCTCACTCAGAAGGCTGCCCAGGTACTGATTCAGGCTCTTCTCCCTCCTGGACTACTGTAACTCTCTCCTGCAGGTCTCCTGCTACCACCATTCCACCTCTGCAGCTCATCCAGAATGCAGCAGCTCCACTGGTCTTTAACCTTCCTAAGTTCTCCCACACTCCTCCACTCCTCTGCTCTCTTCACTGGTACCGGTGGCTCATCCAGTTCTAAACATGGTGCTCACGTACCAGGCTGTGAATGGATGGGGTCCAGCTTACATCCAGGACCTGGTCCAACCCGACATCCCGACCCGCACTCTCTGCTCTGCATGTGATAAACTGCTTGTTCCTCCTCACTGAGAGCAAAACACTCGACTAGATCTCCACTCTTTGCTGTCCTGCTCCTAAATGGTGGAAGGAGGTCTCTGAAAGACATCAGGACCACAGAGAGCCTTCACATCTTCAGACTAAAGACACACCTCTTCACACTCTACCTCCACTAAAAGACTAACAAATTGTAGCACTTAAATTGTACTTGTAACGCCACTTATCTATAGAAAATTGTAAATTGGCTTATTTGAGGAAATTGCACTTTCTTGTTTCTTGTTCCTCTGAGTTTGTACCCTATGGTTGAATGCACTTATTGTAAGTCGCTTTGGATAAAAGCGTCAGCTTAATGACATGTAATGTTAGGTGAGTAACCCTGGCGTCCTAACCTGTTCCAGGTCCACGTCGGCGTCTCGGATTTGTTGGATGTGGTCTTCAGACATCGAGGTGTTTCTCAGCAGGAATAGAGACAGCGTCTCATTGTCTCGCAGGAAGTGCTTTAACTTGAATCCTGAAAACAACAAAGAGAAGATCAGTTTCTGTCCTGCTGCGAGACCTGCTGCCTCCTCCTCAGGACACAGGTATGACAGACTTATACAGGTGAGACAATATCCTGAGGCTACAGGTGGGACAGACTAAAATATAGTAATACAGGTGAGACAGATTTACACGAGTGAGACAGTGTCCTGAGGACACAAGTGAGACAGACAGTTTTATTTGAGACAGTCGCCTGAGGCTGAAAGGGACACAGACAGCTACAGATGAGACAGTTGCTTCGAGAGAGACAGATACTACAGAAGAGACAGACAGCTACCAGTAAGATAGATTCTAGAGGTGAAACAGTTGCCTGATGCTGAAGGTTCGACAGACAGCTACAGGTGAGACAGATGTGTTGACTATATTTGGCGTTCTTGAGGGTGTTGCAGTATGTAAATGATAAGCACAGGACTATCACTAGCCTTCAGCTACATGTTGTCACTTGTCTGCAGGGTTAAATTCCCACACAGGTGGAGCTCAGAGGAACAAAGCTTCATCACTATTCACACTCCGCCTTTTCTTCTTCTACAGGTTTAAACAGATAGCAGTGAGAAGGGCAGACCGTCAAACAGTCACACTAAATGTGTATGAGATCTGACGCCGTTAGTGACGGTCAGAGGACATGTGGAGCTGTCCGAGTGATGTGATTGGTCAAATTAGTACCAGTAACCTCTGAGAGCTCCAACAGAGGAACACGTCAGATCTAATCAGAATCAATCAGACGCCGGTATTAACCCTCCAGAACACCGTGCTGGAGGTGAATCCAGGACTAACAGCAAGACTATAGCTAAGAATACGACTAGGATGACCTCAAAGACGATAACACTAGAATACACAACGGGTCTATAAATAACAATAAACAATAAATCAGGACTAACGGCAACACTACAACACTAAAATAAATCACTCTGTAGTTAGATCTAGAAGCTGTTGGATCAGCTGATATCCAGCTTCTACTGCTTTTATTGTGAAACTCTTGACACTGTAACAAGAAGCTATTTCTTTGAAATCTTTAATGATGGCTGATTTCCTCTTGTCTTGCCACAACTAGAACTTAATAACCTGTGACCTCCTGAATGTGGGACAACCTCTGCAGCTGAATAAACTCTCAGATCTCATCCAGAGCAACTTGTCTGAACTCTGAGACTCAGCAGGGAGAGGAGACACGCTGACTGACCCACTGAGTTCTATGGTTCCGGTCTGAGGTTTCTGGGTCTACACTGAGCTCTCAGGTTCTGGTCTAAAATCTCTGGTTGTAGTCTGAGGGTTAGGGTTCTGGTCAGCTCTTTGGTCCTATAGTCTGAGGTCTGCGCTCCACCATGAGTTACGGGTTAGCTGGTAACCTGAGCCAAACCTTCTCAGGTGAGTTCACCCTGTGAATATTAGATCTGATGACCTTAGACCTTCAAAGGTCATCTCAGGTTGTAGACCTGGTAACCTTATCCTCGTTCCAGGTTCACGTGAGATCACCCGACCGGGTTCTTCCAGGTGAACCTTCCCAGAAGATTCAACCAAGTGAATCTGGTGTACTTGGTACCTGGTATGTGAACCTTTTCAGGTGAAGTATTCCCTCCCGCGAACACACCTCAAAAAAGAATCATCTCAGAATTCTTTAATGAGACGTGATTAGAGGGAATAAAGCAGCATTTGAAAGGGGCACTGGGGGCTGGGGGGGCAGGTCGAAGCAGGAAGAGAAAACAAGCTCTCCCCCGCAGAGAGAAAAGAAACTGCAAAATAACTCACACAAAGGAGGGAAATTCTTTTTGTTCAATGAGCCCGAAGAGGACCAGAAGAAACCACCCAAGAGTTTCATAATATTCATTATTATGAGCAGAAGAAACTGACTGAAGATTTGAATGAAACACAATGAACGTAATGATTTATCTCATCTGATAATCTGATATCTGTGTTCCTCACATTCAGGATTATGATGAATCAAATATAAATCACTCGTCTCTTCCGAGGCTGAAGATGAATGTGGGTCCATCATGACTATGGGCTGATGGGGGGGTTATGATGCACCATAGTGGGAAGAGAGGGGGCATCTTTGTGGTCTCATGAGTTTGAACGACTGTTTATGAACTGAGATGGTTGGAAGACATGTCATGGCAGCAGACACACAGAGGTAAACTGGCGAGAACTGGTTCTGGTTCCTACCTGATTGGCTCCTCTGCAGCGCATGCAGAGCCGCAGCAAGCTCTTTGAACCCATCAAGGTTTTTATCGTTCTGACTGTACAGAAGAATCTTCTTGGCGTCGAGAAATAGACGAGAAATTCTGTGAACACAGAATAAAGTTTTCTGTTAATTAATACTAATAATGCATTTATCTTGTGTACTTTTTAGAGTACTCAAAGTACATGTTAGGGACACGGATAAAGTTATAAATGAAAAGGCCTAAGTGACTAAAAAGTCTTTAACAGCAGCAAATCTAAATGAAAGACCACATCAGATTTTCAGAATAAAAGTCAACAGATTTTCAGAATTAAACTCTCACATGGAGTCATTGAAGTTGCCAACTATGCCCGGTGACTCGCCCGGCGTTGGGCTCCTGAAGCACGGGTTGTTGGCATTGCAGAGGATTCCCTGAAGCCAAGGCAGCGTGCCGGCCGACGGCATCGCCTTGTTGGGAAAATGACCTTCAGACAGACAGAAACAAGACGGGGAGGGACCTGTTTACCAAAGTAAAAGTCTGAACAAGATGAGAGAAACAAACAGACGAAGACCTGTGAAAAGGAGGTAACCCTAACACAAAGTAAAAGTCTGGGAAACATGACTGAAACAAATACATGTTACATGGCTGGATTTGAATGGTCCAAAAAATCTCCTAATGTCTATTCCTAAACTTTCCTTGACTTCTGTGGAAAATGTCACGGAGTCAAGGAAAGATGGTTAGGAGAGTTTGTAAGGAGTTAGGAAAAGACACCGCGGCGTTTCCACTGAGCTACGTAGTTGTGATGGACGGAGACGCTTGTTAGTGACGTCAATCTGCAGAGGCCTTCATGTGTTGTTACAGTGTGCAGACAACAACCAGGTTCAAAGTAAAACTTTATTAACAAGGCTGCAACATAAATGAGTGATGCTAACGGCTACTCACATGATCTGCGTTTCTAATCTGTATTTCTCGTGAACGGCCCAATGATATGTCACTATTCAAATATTGCCGCCGCAAGGATTTGTGGGATGGAATTATCGCCTTTCCTTTTGTGAAGGATGGACTAGTGATTCCTATGCTAAAGGAGCTAAGTAAGGAAGCATTGAAGCTCATTTCCTGAAATGAGATGAAGATGAAGACACTAGATGAAGACACCCTGCTGTGTTGGAACAGACGGTCCATTGGTTCACCTGGACACAGGACAGGTAGATAACCTCTGATTGGTTGGTTATCAGCTGCATCATCAGCAGAGAACTTTACCCCGACACGCCCCCCGACAGCAGAGCAGAGACGCTGCTATCAGAGAACCCTGAGGAACCGTGGCCTCGTTCTAATCACAACGATTAGATAACAGCTCAGTCCCAAAGCTGACGATCAATAAACAGCTGTCTTCATTCTTCATCAAGCTACTTCAGCTCCTCGGTTAATGAACATTTATGGAGAAGATTCTCTCCTGTGTTTACCTAATAAATAATATATTTATACATTTCACCGTTTAACAGAAAATAGTCTAGTTATATTACTCACTGATTAACCAATAAATAATATATTCATATAACTCACTATATAACTATAACTAATAAATAACATATTTTAGGGATATCAAAGTTAAAGCGTTAAGTAATTACTGTGGCAGACATAAATGCGATCAAATATTTTAACACAGTTAACGCAGATTTGTTTCCTTCCAGCGTGCGTTGACCCCTGACCCCTGATGCCGCCGCGTGCTGCAGTCAGTTAGATGCACAGAGCGAGTCGCTGAAGATGGAGACGCTTTTTCCATTGGAACAAACAGAAGAACTGAGCAGAGGAATTCCTCCACGTGTCAAACAGAAGGGGGACGAGTGCAAACGGACCACTTTACCAACCGCTAGGCCAAGCTAGCTGCTAGGCTAAGATAGCTGCTAGGCTACTTCCATCTCAACATCCACCCTGCAGAGTACCACCACTGTGTCCCTAAAAGACAGTGGTTTGAAAACGTCCTGCTAAATGTTGGACATTGTTGGCACTTCAAACCTGTTAAATGAGAGTTGAGAGCAAATTGAACGAGGAGAACAGGAAGAGTCACTAGTTCAACATGTTCCACCTCCAACATGATCACATGGCAGCCTGATCTCCAAAACCTGTTCGTAAAAATGTATACGAAAATCTTACATCATACAAATTCGTAGTGATACATACTAAATAAATACGGACTGCAACTGATGACGTCACCCTATTCAAAGTGAACAGGGACCTGCGCCCCGTAAACACACTTCGTGAAGTCTAACCATGTAAAATAAACGTGTTATGATTGCATTTTTAACGAGAAATCAATGTTAAATTGTAAGAATAGAATACTAACCCTAACCCCCTCAAAAAATCCAACATGGCGGAGAGACGTTCACTCAAGAATCCAACATGGTCCGCCATGTTGTTCACTCAAGGGGCGTGGTTAACCACTGCCAGTTCCTCTGTATTGTTACCAATTTGTATGTTGAGACTCAAAGCCTGAAGCACCTTTTTCTCTGTGAGACAAGTTTCATCACGTCGGAGCACAGTGCCGGTGAGTCACTGCTCAGATATCTGAGAGCTTCTGTTGCCCATGAAGACCTGGTTCTTGTTAGTCTTAGTCTTGGTCCCTGTCCTTGTGAAACCTGGTCCCAGTTCCTGTGAGAGCTGGTGTCTGTGAGACCTGGTGTATCCATTCTCATCATCATCATCATCTTCACGATCATCACTGAAGACTCTGTTCCATACAAAGTGTCAATAAATTCTGAACTCACACTCATGTTGCTCGTATGGAGGGTAGTTCAGCCGAACGGCGATGAGGATGAAGAAGATGAAGAGGGGCCAGACGATCTCCACAAGAAGTTGCAGCTGAGGATCAAACAGGAAGTTACACACACAGTGAAACAGGAAGCAGCTTCACGTGTTCAGGATAACAAGTGATTCACAACTGATGACAAATTCATCGACTCTCCATAGAAATACAATGCAGTCAGAATCATATCTCCCAAGATGCATCAGCTGTTATCAGGAGGCTGTGACCTTTGACCTCCCTCAATGTTGGTCCAGCTCTGTACTTTGTAGTAGTACAAATACTACTTTGTACTACTACAAAGTACTACACTGACCACGGAGTGCTGCTGTGTAACACTAATGTGCCTTGAAGAGGGTAAATACATTCAAAGGAAATTGGGAAATACAAATGTTTATTTTTAAATCATCAGATATTTGGTGTGAGCCTGTGTTATCTCACTAGTACTTTACAAAGTAGTACACACGTGGACTTGTTGGTACTTATATTCATATAAAGATTCTCTCATCTCTTATAATTTCCACTTTGATATTAAAGTATAAATGCTGTGTTCATCTATCTGATGACCACCAAAGAAGAAGGGAATGTTTTATAAAGTTCACTACCAAACCAATCAATTAATAAGAGATGACTAATTAATAGATCGTTGATTGATGACAGTAGAAGGTGATCGATAGATGACTACTGACCGTCTGTCTTCGTCTGTAGGTGAAGTTCTTCCACAGCAACAGACCCAGCTGAGTGGAAACAGACATGTCTGTGATCTGTTGACCGGAGTCTGTCGCTCTGCAACACACAGGAACAACTGTAAAAACACATTTTGGAGGGTAGTAATTATTGCCCTTGCAAATGGTTTAAATTTGACTGGAAGTGGATAAGTCAGCAAACAAATGTATAATTATGGATAACAGTAAAGCTCACCTTCCCCGATTAAGTAATGGTTAATGAGCCATATGTATTGTTATTTTTAATAATATTTTTTAATAATAGGTATTAAGTGCTTACAATCTAAAGTATATATTTCCTCTTTTTTTGTAAGTTATCAGTTGTATAAATTGTTAAGTAGACTTTACCTAGTTTCTTTTAGTTAACTAGGTATAGATTCTATATATATATAAAATCAGAGTCTGAAGATAATCAATAAAGAGCATCACAAACAACCCAATACCAGTGTGATTGATCAGAGATGTACTCTGTGTTTCTCGTGAATGATTGAGGGGAGGGGGTGCTGATCAATAACGTCGTTGAGTTACTGAAAATGTACCAGAGGATCAAATCATAAATAGACTATGAATATACATATATAAATACACAAATATATACATATATGCGTCTCAGGAGGAGGGCATGCTTTATATCTGCTGTGACCTCTGATCCTTGTACCTTTGAGCTGTGTGTTGGCTTATCCTGTGCATAATATATATATATATATATATATATATATATATGAAGAGATCTCGTGTTCTACAATTAACTCCTCAAACAGAAAAGTTATTGAGAATTATTAAAGACTTCACGCAAACACCCCAAACGCACGAACACACGGACAAACACACACATACACACACACACACACACACACACACACACACACACGCATAAATATGGTTCTCCTGTACGGAACATTCAGAAACGTCACATCGAAGATGATCAGCAGCATGTTCCCGTTGAAACGATCCGGTTTTAACGGGAACAGACTTTAACGCGCGCTGTCAATCACATACAGCTACTGAAAGAACGTGAAGTTGTTGAAGAGAGTCAGGGGGTAAATACCGCGCCGTGATGCGTTCAGGGTCCTCTTCTGACTCCACTCCGCAGCATCTGACCCTCTGCGAGCTGCAACTCAGGAATTAAACTCCGCGGAGTCACGAGCAGCAATTCACCACGCTGCTTCCGCCAAATCCCTTCAGAATAAAACGAAGCACGCGGTCATGAGAGAAGGTCTGATTCACCGCGTGGTCTTTTTTTAATGGGAATTATTGTTGGAATGCTGATTCAGCGTTTGTAAAGGTTACTTATGGGTTTTAAGATTCTATGAGTCTTTGTAATGGTTATATGTGTGTTTTAAGGTGCAATGGGTTTTTGTAAAAGCTACAAATAGAATGAGGAATGACTCCATGATGGAAGATGAAGTCATTTTCTATGTGCTCCGGTTTCAGAATAAAGGTCTCATCTCTCAGTGTTACAGTAATTCATTCTACAGTGTCGGGATCTCCGATCCCCACGAGTTGGTTGATGAGAAGGATCGCAACACGTTGATCAATTAAAGTCAAAAAGTTAACATTTATTTAGAAGAGAAAAAGGGTCCCCAGGGTCAAATACAGACACTTGAGACATGGGTTTAGCACAAGACAAATGTTACAACATATTTCACCACTACATGCATCTCACAATTCCCCCTTTTAATCTCTTCAGAGATCACCCCAAGGATGTCTGCTGGATCAGCCACCTCATCTGAGCTCTCGCCTCCTTTCCAGGCCAATGGCACCGTGTCTTTTGCTAAACTAATGCAGAGAATTGAGAAAGATAGAACAGAGGAGAGGATAGTTATACACTTATTCTTGGTCTTCTTTTGCTTCCTGTTGTAGACAGTCGACACAGATCACCATGCTCCGGGTGTCTGTCGGTCAACTGCCCGTTGAGAGTGGGTTTGGGGATCCTCCGGTGCCCGTTGCCGCCTCTTGCTCCTGATCCTTCAGGACGTCCTGGAGAGTGCGAGCTGGTTCCTCTGCGGTGGCGCACTGGCTCCAGTGGTTCCAGGTATCACCTTTCCTCTCAGCCTCACTGCATGTGTGGTTCTCTCCTCCACCTGGTATGGTCCTGTCTACCGTGGCTCCGAGCACTTCCTCTTAATGACCCTCAGGAGGACCCAGGCTGCCGTTTGGGGATCGTGGGCTTTCTGATCTCCTGTTTTGTCTCGCACCTTGTCCGCAAAATCTGAAACGAGAGCTCGTAGATCATCATACGGCATGCATACTCACCTGGCGGAGCTTCCGGGTTGGGCCTGAGCTTCAGGCCGGCGCTGGGTCCAGGGAACTGTCTCCCGGTGGTCAGTATGTACGGGGTGAGACCTGTACCCTGATTTACTGAGCTTCTAATGGCCATTAACGCGAGTGCGAGGGCTTGAACCCACGTTAAATTTGTCTGTGCACAGATTTTAGCCAATTTTTGTTTGTGCCCCAGATTCCATGTGCCTCCTGTAAACACTTGTTTCTGATTCCCGGCAGCAGTACTGGGCGACCATCAGGGGACCTCCAGAGGCCTCCAACCTCTGTAGCCCCTCTTTGCTTCCACACCGTTTTCTCCTGAGGAGACGCCCTTTTGGGCTTTCTTAACTTGTACCTCATTAAGTTGTGGCCCCAACTATCCCTCATCTTCTATACTTACCATTTGGAGCCCAATTTGGTAACATGCAGCCTGTTTTGCAGCTTGGTCTGCTGCCTCGTTTCCCTTAGCCACCATACTGTTGGAGTTCTCGTGTCCGGTAGACCCAAATCTTTCATTTCTTGTCCATGTTTAATCGGTTTTCCTCCAGCCGTCAGAAAACCTGCTCTTAACCACTGTCCCAGCTCCACATGAGCTGCTCCTACTGCATACGCCGAGTCAGTATAGATGTTCACTGCCTTCCCTTCTGCCAGCTGTAATGCTCTTATCAATGCGAGTACCTCAGCTCTTTGAGCTGACTGACTTCCCTGAAGTTTCTCTGCTTCCAGAACCTCTGTCCCTGCCCCATGGCTTCTGACTACCGCGTATCCCGACTGCAACCCCTTCTGTGGATGTCTAAAGCAGCTGCCATCACTGAACAATTTCCATTCAGAGTGTGTCAGTGCTGTGCCTTTTAAGTCTGTTCGCACTTTTGCTTCCAGTGAGTGACAGCATGCGGTCTGCCCTGCCCCTGCTGTCCGGGTCTCTCTTGGGGGTGTCTCACTGAGAGGCATCTGCCTCATGGCCCCAGTCCTCCAGTGTGGGGTACTGTCCTCTAGGTGGCGGTGCAGCATGTGAGTTGGGAGCCCATGCTTCCTGGGACAGGACACCTCTGTCCCTCCCCTGTCTTCTTTTACTAGGACACTCCTTAACCTGCTTAACAAGCTCTTCCCCATCTGCGTCCGCCTCTTCCTCCTCCCCCTGCATATGGACCTCCTCGACACGCTCCTCCCCAGCAGTTACCTCCATAGCCTCCCCTGTAACCACCCCCTTGGTTTAAACCCATACGACGTCTCCTCCCATGGTGGGAGTGGATACAAATCAGGGCGTTACCTCCAGCTGGGGCAGCCTGTGCAACCATCTATCACTCGTCTTTCCCTTTCTGCTTCTTGTCGCTCACTTCCTGTCTTACTTTGGTGAGCTGGAGCTTCAGCAGTCGAGCCTGCAGCTCCTTCAACTGTTTATCTTCTCCTGTCGCGTCTTGTAAATGGTGTAGCAAATGTCTCTCCCACACAGCAGAGTCACTACCTGACAGGTCTGGGTTAGTGATCATTTTAGCTTTCACACTCTCTGGTACGCCCTCCAGTACCGCCTGTCTAAACCATTCCCCTTGCACTCACGCAGTGCCTGGGTGATGACCTGTGTTTCACCCATGTTTCCTTACATTCGTCCAAAATAAGCGTGCTGTGTTTTTCCCCAAAACAAATATATTTCTTGCTGTGCTGAATTTGTTTTCATGTTTATTTCTATTTGTTCTAATCATTTTTCTATCCTGGATTCAAGTGTTACAGTTAAAAAGAAAGTAGTTCAGGGCAACTAAAAGTTGCAATGTCGTATCAACCTGTCGATAAGACATTGATTGATTGAACCCTAACCCCCCTACAATCCGCTTGTTCATGTAAAAGTTTTTGCCAGACCTTTGACAGTAATGATGAGCTTATTCTTCTAAACTGAAAAATAAAAGGAAAATTGATCCTCTTTATTCTTTATATATCCTGGTATTCAAGAAAGATGCATAAACGTAATTATATCACTAAGAAATAATTGAACTCAGGATTAACTTTCTTTCTTCAACAGTATGTGTGTGTGCTTCTCAAAGTGAGGAGGTATAAAACCTTTGTCCCGCCTTGTTGCTCCCACACATCTTCTCACTGCTGTGACCTCGTTACTCCCATAAAACCCTCACTGCTTCAACACAGATTTATTACGCTCATTCTAGCCATTGTTACTTTCTTTCTTCAATGCATGTCTACAATTCTATTATTTTAAAATCAAAATTGTAGTAATAGTTTGGAGAGCTTAAAAATGGCTCTGCAGCAGCAGGCTTGTTGGTTGAGAATCTGTCTCTCCCTTTTTTTCTTCTGTTTTTTCACCCTCGTATCGAGGTGTTTTTTTCCGAATTACACCTTGTTTTTTTCTGTCCACGGCTTTACTTTTTATCCAACATGAAAACCATACGGACCTCAAGTCCTCTATTTTCTCAATGTATTGTGATGTTTCCATTTTCCACACACATTCACCTTCTCACATTCTTCCTACATTCTCTCTCCTCCCACAACATGTGCGTCAGTGACGCTCTGCCAAACCAACGCCTTTCTCACCGCGTGTCCCGTGTGCTCCACAACATCATGGTTCTTTTTCTCACCGCCACCAACACATCCTCAGTTGGTCATTTATTATTTTCCATCGATACCCCGGCGCTGGCTCCCAGCCGCCGTCCTCCACTTCTCCATCAAATTCACCTTCCATTTAACAGCCGTCAATCAGTTCGTATGTATTTTACCGGAGCAGACAGCCATGTTCTGAAAGTTTATACTAACCTTCCGGAGTCAATGCGTCTGTGAGTTTATGTTAACCTCTCAGACTCAATTATTATAGCAAGTTCATGCTTTAACCGTGCGGTCTGTCTGCGTTCTCAATTCCTTAGAACGTACTTCCAAAACCTATTTCTTTAAGTGCATTTCTCAACACATTTATTTATTTAATCACTCCTCTCTCCCTCCACACTCCAAAGCGCGCAGTTTATTTTACTGTATCCCAGCACCTCTCAAGGGCTGCACGTGTCTAGGAATCGAACACGGTTTTCAAGGAACTCTAACCCTGGGTGACCGACCCGCGGACTTTCGGGGGTCCAGATCCCCAGGAGTCCACACCTAGTGAAATCAGCCCTCGTCAAGGTCTGAGGGGGTCGCCAAACCAGAGACCAGGATATTGACTCCGAATCAATTCCCTTAATTTATGCCGGATTCTAGATCCCTTGATACTCGCAGGTACCCACTAAACCATAATTTATTTATTCCCAAACTTCAGCGCCCTTCGATTCCTTTCATTTATGACGGATACTCGATCCCTTGGTACTCGCAGGTACCCACTAAACAACAGTAATTATTTATTTATTTTTTATTCCAGAACTTAAGTACTACAGTACTTTTCCTGTACTCGGCGGTACACATTCCAACACTCTGCGGTGTTCAATCAGTTTCCCATCGATGCTTTTTTTAGAGAATTGCTCAAGTATTAATTTGGTTCCTACACCACCAATCCACAACGTACTCTTTACTGAAGCTTATTCAATATGCAGAATTAGATGTGACAGGTTTCTGCTTACCTTGTTTTGAGGCCGACCTGGGAGTACGTCGCGTTCAGCAGGTGTAAGCGTTTAGATCGAATTCGCATGTGCAGGAAATCCTCTCATCCCGGACGAGCCCCCAAACTGTCGGGATCTCTGATCCCCCCGAGTCGGTTGATGAGAAGGATCCAGCACGTTGATCAATTAATGTCAAAAAGTTAACATTTATTTAAAAGAGAAAAAGATTACATGAGCAATTCTCCGCAGATATCTGGCTCTAACTATTGCTTGCGAGCAGGAGGTTGAATACACGAGCACGTATCTCAGCGTTCGGTGTAAATGGCCTTATACACATGTGAAGACCAGTGCCGGGTACGAGAAGCTGCAAACCAGGTTGAGATAAGAACCCAGGTGAGGATGAGGGTAAAACACACTGTTCCTTTGTTCGAGCGCCTGTGAGAGCAAGTTAACTTCTTCAGACACAGCTGCATATGGAAACCTTAAATCTTTCTGCTTTTGCACATCAGGGTCAAATAAAGACACTTGAGACACGTGTTTAGCACAAGACACATGTTACAACATATTTTACCATTACATGCCTCTCACAACAGAAAGGCCACTGGGCAGAGTTGAACCCAAGACCTTCTTGCTGTGAGACGACAGTGCTAACCAGCACACCACGCGCCGCCTGGCTGTTTATATGTGATGAATATTTTCCTCTTGATACAAAGCTTATGGATTATTAGTAAGTCCCAATAATGAATCAATATATACATTTTTTCTCCGCTAACCATCACGTTATCGTGGTGGAGAGGTTTGTGTGTCCCTATGAACCTGAGGGCTGTGTTGTCTGGAGCCTGGGGCTCCTGGTGGGGTTACCTTTGACAAAGTGGTCTCAGGCGAGGGGCCAGACTAAGAATGGTTGATGGAGGGGAACTGGGACTATGCGCCCAAAGCGAGAGGGGTGTTCCGTGCTCAGCGGTGACTTGGAGGTGTTTGATGTGGTCTTGATGGCATCTTCTTTCTGTCCGTGACCTCCAACTCTCACTGGAGCGGTTTGAGTGTGAAGCGATCAGAGAATATGTCTTGTAAAAGTAGAGGATATATATATGTGTGTATATTCCGTCAAGTTGTTGTCTATTAACAGCTTTGCTTAGTTACACTGATATTTTGTGGCGTTCACCAGAGCTATTTCATTTATTTCAAATACAAAGTACATGCATTGTATTTTGTTACATTTTCTGGCCCCAGTATTTTATTTTAATACATGCATTTGAGGAATTATTTGTATTTTGTTTTAAAATAGATTTCAATGTATCTTTGCCCATCTCTGAATGTGTGTGTAGTATTTTGCAAATCACTGTGTGCAGTGCTTGTAAACAGTATGTGCTTATAGTTGTGCAAATCCTCCATGTTGGATAACTATGTAACACTTTTAGTGTATATTCACTTTCTCCAGTAACAAACTAAACATGTTATATGTTTATTATATTACATGTCTTCCTGAGAAATCACATATTGTTTTTGAATGGTTTATTATTATCCCGATTCCACACATCTAATAGTAATGAGTTGAGCATGTTTAGTTCATAAGAGAACTTGAACAATATTTAATGTGCTGATTAAAACAAAATAAACAACAATTGTATTAAAAGTAAAGTTGGTAAAATAACTATTCTTTGAGCAAATTAAATAACTCACTCAACAGAGCAGAAGAAGATAGAAAATACATGTGATTATGATTATCTGATGATAGTATTGTCTGCTTTTTAGAAAATCTACACAAATGCACAATGGCAAGTAGAATCATACATCTCATTACACAAGTACGTACACACACACACACACACACACACACACACACACACACTCAGTGCTCAGCCTGGTACAACAGTAAACAATAGAACAAAATGCTCTCTGTCCTCTCTGGAGGAGGTTTAGAACCGCTGCTGTCCTCAGTCTGAAGGGAACATCAGGACTCTACAGGACCCTACTGGATTCTACAGAACTATGAAGAACTCTGCACCAATCTACCGGACTCTACTGGAGCCTACTGAACTTTAAGAAACTCTACTGGACTCTACAGAACACTGTAGAACTATACAGGCCACTTTGGGACTTCCTGGATCTCTCCAGGACTCTCCAGGACCATGGACTCTCGGCAGCAGCTGCATCTCAGGAGAAAGGTAAAGATGATAGAGAAGCAGTTTGACGGTTTTTTCGGGTCGAACAATGAACACCTCTCGTTTATACAACAGAAAGATTACAGTATTATATTAAAGTATTATTGTTTAAAAGTAAATGTATGTTGTACTTTTACTGCAGTCCATATGATTTACAGATTAAACATCCTTCAGAATAAAAATGTAGGTCTCGATAAGCCTTTATTGAGGATAAATTAATTAACTAATGATTAAATCATATCTCAGCCAAGGAGAGGAGACACAGAACCACAAAAGTTCACTTTGCCTACAACTAATATATTATATACAATATTATTTCATCAAACCTGGTAGTAGACCACATTTTTTAACAGTAACAGTACAAGTAACAAGCACAGAACAATTTAAACTCAAAGTGCAGAAGTATGCTCTGAAACTGATGACTGCGACATCTGTGACTTTGAAGATGCTAAATAAAGATGAAATAAGGCTTTAGAAAACTACAATATTGCATTTTTGGTTTTTACATTTTGCCCAGGGAGCAATTAGGAGTTAGGTTTCTTTCTCAGGGACACTTTTAAGGGACATTTTAACTAGTCATATTGATTGGATTCAGACTTCAAAGTGGTCAATTAAATATTACCAAAATAAAACTAATAAGGCAAATTAATATAATAAGTAAATAAAACAACAAACAAATCCAATAAAACACAAAATAACACAAAACAAAACACACTACAAGCTAAGAAAAGAAAAAATAAATACAACTAAATAAAATGAAAGTAAATAAAACATGACACGAAAGTTAGATAAAATACAAGCTATTAAAATACACTTCATAAATAAGGAACGTTGTCAGTTTTTGTAAATACAAGTGCTTGTGGGAAACAGCGCCACTCCGCTGCCTCTACTCAGTGGTCACTGCGGGTATCACACCCACAGCTCGGCTGGTAAAACGGTGTGTTGTTCAGTTTCTCGGTTTTGGCACGGGAACGGATTGCGCATGCGCAATGAGATGAATGGCCGCCGCACCTGACTGCCCACCAGGAAGTGAGGTGGAGAAATCCTCGCCCGTTAATCCCCGCTCGGTACGGTAACCGGAGGCGAGTAGCATGCTCAGTGGACCGGACCGCTCAGTCTGACCGTCGGGACCGGAGCTGTCCGCCTCTTCCCCCGCTCGTCGGGCTCCAGACCGCGCTGCGGCTCCGTGAGGCTCCGGGAAGCACCGGGCGCGTCCACCCTGACTGCAATGGGATGCTGCGGGAGCGCGGAGGTAATAGCGGCTCGGCCCGGCTCAGTCCGGCTCAGTCCGGCTCGGTATCGGCCCGCGGCCCTTTAGTGAGCTCCGGTGCGTGTTTATCTGGGAACCGTCAGAGGGGAACGCGTCCCGGGAGCAGGGAGGGCCGAGCTGGGATTACAGGCGCTGTAATCCCATCAGCTGCTCCGGTTACCGGGCCTGTCTGTGTGTTTCAGAGGACTAAGAGAGAATGGAGACCGCTGGAGGACCGGAGCTGCACCGACCTGCCGTGGCTCCTGCTCTTCACCGTCTTCTGCGTTGGCATGGTAACCGCGCCAGCTATATGTACATCTATGCATGTGTATATTGATATATATATATTATATGTACGTGTATATATCAGGTTACTCTGATGAAATTCTTGTTTTGCTGTGTGTGTGTGTGTGTGTATATATTGTACACTATATCTACACATCAATTTATACATATATCTATCTATCTATACATGTACGTCTATGTACCTTTGGCTGCAGGGGTAGAGAGGGTGCGCCAGGAACCGTTCGAGCCCCGGCTGTGTCCGTGTGTCCCTGTGTCCCTGTGTGCATGTGTCCCTGTGTCCCTGTGTCCATGTGTCCCTGTGTGCATGTGTCCCTGTGTCCATGTGTCCCTGTGTGCATGTGTCCCTGTGTGCATGTGTCCCTGTGTCCCTGTGTCCATGTGTCCCTGTGTCCCTAAGCCAGACAACTAACCCCTAATTGCTCCCCGGGCAAAATTTAAAAATGCAATATAATTCGCTTTGGATAAAAGCGTCAGCTAAAGGACCTTTAATGTAATGTAATACATATACATAAGATGATCCTTTATTAGTCCTGCAGTGGGGAAATTCTCCGTATTGAAATTATATATATATATATATATATATATTGTATATAAACATCTTTATAAAGTCATTTATTTTCATTGTTCATATACTTCCCAGGAACAATTCACACCAATCAAGAGTTGTACTGTAACTGAGTTAGCCAGAGATTTCCATCGGCCGTCCCCGAAGAGTTTGTTTTTAAGGAAATGGAATTAAAATTCATAGACAAACGGACAGCAATCAATAAACAGCAAAAGGAAAAGAAAAGTGTACGACAACAGACTATAGCAGACATGTGTCAGGCAGGACGGACAGAACATCAATCAAGCCAATCATTAAAATGCTTCTTGAAGGTTTTCTACGTGTGGCAGAACATTCCACGAGTGAGCCGCCTTCACATCTACACATATTTACATCTATACGTAAATATAATACATATCCATTCATGTCTTAGAGACGTGAAGGTGATGATAGAGGACACTCATGTTTATGAGATGAAATGATTCATCAATAATAATCAACCGATCAATATAGAGTATCGATCAAAGACTGTTTAACCACTTCCTGTTTTTTCTGAATATTAACAATATGAAACTCGTCTAACAGCGGCCCAGATGTTACAGTCATCCAGGTGGTAGTGTTTCAGCGGTCTTGGTCTTGGACCTGTGTCCCTTCTGATGGTCTCTTGTCCTGCAGGGCAGCATCTGCAGCTTCACCATCGTCACCGGCGGCGCCGCTCGCCTCGTGTTCGGATACGACAGCTACGGCAACACATGTGGGCGCCGCAACGAGGTAATCGAAGGCGTCCGGCTGAGCGGCCTGGACCACACTGACAGAAAGTAGGTGTACATTTGTACTCTGTGTACTACAGCACTCTATGTACTCTGTGTACTAATGACGCACTTTATGCGTACTACTAATAGTAGTACACATTAGCAGTAGTAATATATGTGTTCTGATCTCTCAGCCCTCCTGTCTCTGTATCTCTGTCTGTGTCGGTCTGAGGCCAGAAATCCATATCACGCTATTTACAAAGATGCTTTTTCATGTAAACACATCGATTCATTGACCTGAAGAGGACCGCTGGCCGCTCGCTGAACAACTAGCCGGCGAGTTGGCTTGTTACAGAGGTGTCAAGTATTCACAAGCATTACTCAAGTAGAAGAATACTTCTGTAGAAGTTCAAATATCAACTCAAGCGTTTTACTCAAGTAAAAGAATAGAGGTACTGGTTTCAAAACTACTTCAAGTATACAAGTAAAAGTAATGTAAGGGGAAAAAATCCATAAAGAACAAACTCGCTCACAGAACATGTGGGTCCGTTACAACATGCTGCAGAACTTAAACAGATGAAACCAGAACCCGTTTTCCAGTGACGGCTAATTGACGCGAGTCGGAGGACGGACACACGCGTAGTTCCCATTGATCAGGTCAGAGGTGTCACACTCATTTCAGGTTCGGGCCAGATCCCGCCCACTTCCACTGAACGCGGGCCATTCGAATCATATGAAGGCGCTGGCGATCAGACCGGTGAGCGATAAAGCCGGCGGGGCGGGGGGCGGCGGCGCTGGCGATCCGACCGGCAGTGCGAGGGGGCGGTTCGCCAAAGTTGTCCACACTCCGGCGCGCCGCTCCGGACGCCCCGGCGGGCCGGATCCGGAGTTTGAGAAGGATGGATTAGGTAGACTGCAGCGTCTCCCCCAGCTCCACTACTTCATGGTTAGAATGATGGGAAACACAGAATCCGAACATCGTTTCAGGCTTCATGAGCAAACACAGAATCCCTTTGTGTTCATTTCTAACGCCGCATTGAGACACACGTCACTTCATTTCAGACGCTGTGTTGTTCCAGATTGTCAATAAAGTTAGAAAAAAACATTTTACGGCAAACCCGTGGTCATGAAGATACTCATCTAACGTTACGTGGACTTTGCATCATCCAACCACAATCAAATTCACTCCGTCCGGATGGATTTATTTAAATAGGTTTTTCTGTGTGTGTGTATTTGAACGAAGAAACGATGCTGATTTTAAAATGTAAGGAGTAGAAAGTACAGATAATTTTGTCTGAAAAATAAATACTCCAGTAAAGTACATTTCTACTAAAGTCAGGTAACAAAGCATTCTGGCTGGTCAGCTTGTTGTGGCTGCGAGTGTTGCCACCAGCGGCTCGACAGACCGCAATAAATAGTTTTCTGATCGAACTTATTTCAGAAGTTGTGTTGCTGCATCTCTGGTCTCTCCTCGTTCGGCGGGGTCATTTTTATAAATGATTAGTGTCACAAGCTGTTGTGTTGTGGTGTTTTACCCTGTTAATGAGTGTTATTGCTGTTATAAAGTCGTGACTCAATCTCTACACTCAAGTAGCTCCGGCCGTTAGACGCTCCGCCATGACGTGCAGAAATAAATTCTGCCGCCGCCATTTGGACCGGTATACCGCCCAGCCTGAGGCTCCTGACCCTGGGGCCCCTAATATCCCGAGGTTCACGACCCTCCGAGGCCACAATGCCCTGTGGCTCCTGACCTTGTGGATTTATAATCGATCTCCTTTGATAAGGCTGACTGCAGGCTCTTAGTTTGAAGGAGTGACCTGCAGTGACTTCCTCTGCCCTCCGACCCCTGCAGGTTCATCTTTTTCTTGGATCCGTGTAACGTGGACATCGTCCAGAGGAAGATCAAGTCCACGGCTCTATGTGTGTCTCTGTGTCCCACCGAGGAACTGAAGACCTACCAGGACCTCAAGAGCTTCGCTATGCTCAACGGTGAGGTCATCTCGCCAGGACCCTGGGCTGATGGGAAATGTAGTCTATGATAAATAAAAGAAGAAATCCTATTTCTCTGATCACTTATTTATTTACATATTAGTTATATTCTGTTAATAAGTGAAGGGATCCATCTGGGTCTCTGGAGGGTCTGGTCCTGTGAGCAGTGACACTGATGATGTCATGGTGATGATTTAATGTGTCACCACGCAAGTACAACACACACACACACACACACAGACACACAAAGGCAGCATTAAGACGTTTGTGTCATTGGTGCCACTCGTCACCGTTTGTCCTTTGAACATAATGTAGTTCATGAATAGAATCGTTGTCTCGGAACCAAGTCTTTCTCTATTATTTAGTCTTTGACACTTGGGTCAACGTTTATGTGTCCTCCTTATTTGTATCTCAATTCAATTAATTTAATTTAGTATAGAAGAAGCTGAATTAGTGATGTGAATTTCCTTCCTCTCCTTTCTTTCTTCGCTCTGTGAACCTTTTTGATGCTTTTTGTTTTACTGTTTGAATAATAATTTTTCTAAACCAAAAAAGAGAAAACAGAAATAGGCCTCTTTCGTCAAAAAAACAGGAAATGATGCATCTGGCTCGACCGCTTGAGATCTGTTCGACAGCTTCTTTGGGCATGTTTCTCTGTCCGAGTAACTAGGAATACTCTTCCTTAAAATAAGAGTTTAATGTTTAACAATTGCTTTCTCTTCTCGAAATCTTTGGGTCCTCTGTGCAATCCAGAAGCTGCCCTAAAACCTGGCTGTAAAATGAACGCAGTGATAACGTAAGGCTTAATATTTTCAAAATAGCAACAAATCTGACAGCAAGAAAACTAACAAAAAGTAATTTTCTTTGGAACACAGCCTTTGAGCAACGTTAGATCTTCTCATCCTTTGACCTCTTCCATTTAATATAACCATTTAGTTCAGGATTGAAGTCTGACAAATAATGATGTAGGTTAATTATTCTTAATGTTAAGAGAAATAAACCAAAAGTCTATTTTTCAATTGTCATTTAAGAAAACCCTTGTTACTCTGATGCAAGCGTTACCATGGTATACTCTTCACAGGCACATTTTTTAGTACACAAACCTTATATTGCGTTAACTGGCTGTCAAGATAAACACGTTAATCTATGCGATTAATGTGGCCGAGATTAATGCTACAAAATATTTTAACGTAGTTAACGTACGTTTGTTTACTTCCGGCTTACTTGTAGCGTTGAAGTAAACCGTGGAACTGAAATGGCTGCTTGCCGTAGTCAGTCACAATGTAGAAAGTAAGTCGGAGACTAAAGATGGAGAGAGCTATTTGCATTGGATGTAAATGAACTGCAGAGGAATTCCTCCATGTGTCAAACACAAAGGGGGTGAAATGAACCACTTAAACCACCGCTATGCTAAGCTAGCTACTCGGCTAAGCTAGCTGCTAGGCTAAGCTAGTTGGAAGAGTTGCTAGTTCAACATGTTCCACCAAGTGGAATTCTGTCTCCAAGATGATCAAATGTGTGTAGTTTTGTGTTCAAAATAACATTGACAATTAAACAACAGTGTCAGTGTCGTGACTGTCGTGAATAAGTGCCATCAACCATAGCGATACAAACTAAAGTCGTTTTAAAGAGCAAGGACCTCAAGTGGGAGCAGAACATCAGCTACGGCCATCATGGAGTCCATCCTCTGCTCCTCCATCAGCGTCTGGTACGCTGCAGCCACAGCCAAGGACAAGGGCAGGCTGCAGCGTGTCCTCCGCTCTGCAGAGAGGCTGATCGGCTGCAATCTGCCGTCCCTGCAGGACGTGTTTGCCTCCAGGACCCTGAAGCAGCTAAAAAGATCGAAGGGTAGATTAATAGATTAACGAGTTAATCTATTGACACCCCAAATTAGCATACGTACATCCGGTTTAGTTGCTATGCTTTGTAATTTTGTTTTATAGACAAAAAAGGAAAACACAAAAGTATTGGTCGTTTTCTCGTTTTCTGGATTTGTCAGTGATGAAGGGACAGCGGCCGCCATTTCCTAGTTTCTCGTTTTGAGAAAACAATTTCTGTAATTTTGTTTTATCGTTTAAACGGTAAACGGAACTATCAAAGGGTACACAGACCTCCTTCCTATCTCCTCTCAATGTTCTTTGTGCTATTTTCATATAAATGTTACTTTAAGAAATCCGTAACTCTGCGGTCACAGTGGTTATTGATGAGCTGATGGTGAAGAGGAGGATGAAGATTACCTCTGTTTCTCTATTCCAGGTTCGGAGTTGTGTTCCTACGAGCTAGCAGGTCATAAATATCCGGCTCTACCCGAGAGGTTCTCTAAATGTCCCAAGCTTCCTGTTCCCCCCAGGTGAGTGAAGCCTTATTGGTCCTCAGTTCTACATGACTCTCTGGTCTCTAAGCTCTCTGACCTTTAACCACTCTCACCTCTATAAGCTTGCTGACCTCTCTGACCTTGCTGACCTTTTTTTTTTACAACCCTAACCTCTCTAAGCTATCTTACTTCTAAACTGTACCATCTGAACAACGTCTTTATGGTCTCTGACCTCTATAACCTCTGTGAGCATCTAACTTCTGACCTCTAACCTTTCTGACCTCTCTGACCCGTGTGCCTCCCCAGCAAGCCGTTGCCGGTGTTTAATCGCTGTACTCCGGTGGATATTTCCTGCTATGCTAAGTTTGCTGAGGCCGTAGTGACCTTTGTGAGTGATAACAGCGTTCTCCACCGTCTAATCGCCGGTGTTGCTGCCAGTAAAGAGATCATCATCGGCCTGTGTGTTCTGGCTCTGGGTGAGAACCTCTCTTATGTTCTCTGGTATGGTACCTCACTATGTGGTCTGAACTCTGACCTCTGTCTCACTGTCAGTCCTCTCCATGATCCTCATGGTGATAATTCGTTACATCTCAGCCGTCCTTGTGTGGATCCTCACCGCGATGGTCGTCCTGGGATCCCTCGGTGAGGTTACTTCCTGTTGACACTGATAAGATTTGGTGAAAGTCCCGTCTCCTCCTGACCAAACGTCTTTTCTTCTCGTCTTAGCGGGGACCAGCGTCCTCTGGTGGCTTTACATCGACCACCGGCTTTACGGGAATTACACCACCAATCAGGTGACGGAGGAGGCGGAGCTTAACAGGGAAAACGGCCAGGCACTGCTCGTTTACGCCGGCGCCGCCACCGCCTTCACTGTACGGGTTTATTCCTTATTCCCCCACACAGAGAGGTCATCTGTTCATATTAGAGAGGAACCTGAGGATAAAGTGATTGATGCTAGGTGTAGTACATTTTAGTCCAGCAGAGGGGGCTGAACCTTCCCTCTGTCTGACCCATTGATCGATCATTGACCTGATGGAACTATTGATTGGGTTCTGTTGACAGATCATCTTGCTGCTGTTGATGCTGTTCATGAGGAAACGAGTGGCTCTGACCATCGCTCTGTTCCACGTGGCGGGAAAAGTCTTCATCCACCTGCCCCTCCTCACCCTGCAGCCCTTCGTTACTTTCTTTGCCCTCCTGCTTTTCTGGATTTACTGGATCCTGGTCTTGCTCTTCCTGGGTACCAGCGGTCAGTTTAAACCTTTTTCATCCTGAGTAAGCCCCAACTATGCAACTAAAACTTCCCTGGATTCAACACTGGATTCATTTGCAGATCATTCTGTCAAACAATACTTTGCTCTTTAGAACTTGAAATGATACTCAAGGAATTTCTGATTCATTTAGCTTCACTGCTCACGTAGTTGTGTAAGGCTAATTTCCTCACCACCTAAAGCATCATGGGAACTGTAGGCATGTATGACATGTGACTTCGGGGTAAGCCTGTGTTGTTCTGCAGGGAACTCCGTCCAGAACGAAGAGACGGGTCTAACAGAGTTCAGACTGACGGGTCCTCTGCAGTACCTGACCTGGTACCATGCGGTGGGTCTGGTCTGGATCACTGAGTTCATCCTGGCCTGCCAGCAGATGACTGTGGCCGGAGCTGTGGTCACCTACTACTTCACCAGGTGAGTCCACACCTGCTGAGTATGGTTGAGTTTTTCAGGATCTCTGAGCCAGGAACCAGATTAATGTGGACTTAATGATTCAGGGACAAGAACCGGCTCCCGGTGACCCCGATCCTGTCGTCTGTCCTGAGGCTGGTAAGGTATCACCTGGGAACGGTTGCTAAGGGAGCCTTCATCATCACGCTGGTCAAGATCCCCCGACTTTTCCTCATGTACATCCACAACCAGCTTAAAGGAAAGGTACAATACTTTATTAACAAGCAGCTCAAATGACAGGTACAAAGCTCTATATAGCTGTGTGTGTGTGTGTATATATGTATATATGTGTGTATACAAAGATGATCGTGCAATGATGTCATCGGTCTCTCAGGAGAACGCGTGTGCTCGCTGTCTGCTGAAGACTTGCATCTGCTGTCTGTGGTGTTTGGAGAAGTGCCTCAACTATCTCAATCAGGTAACTGACCGCTCATCTTCTTCTAGTTTTTAATCACAACTCTCTCACCTGCACTTTGTTTTTTCATACAATGCACAACCTGTCATGACTCTCTCATCCGGTCTTTCATTTCCCAGAATGCTTATGCAGCCACGGCGATCAACAGCACCGGCTTCTGCACGTCTGCCCGCGACGCCTTTGTGATCCTGGTGGAGAATGCTCTGCGTGTCGCCACCATCAACGCTGTGGGAGACTTTGTGCTTTTCCTGGGGAAGGTGAGCTTAGACCGACGGCTGCTCTTGTTTTACAATAAAAGCTTTCCAAAGTCTTTTATTTTAAGGCTTTTTGTGCCGGTTGCTGATACATCTTGATTTCAAAACTGAAGATACAAGTAGATATATTTGATGTATTCATCTTTAGCTTTGAGGTGTCCCATGATGTGTAGTCTGAACTGCCTTTGTTGTTTCTCCTGTGTCTTTGACGTATTTAGTTGTAAATGTATGATAAGTACTTCACGTTGTGTGTGAATGTTTCCTCAGGTCCTGATCGTGACGTCAACGGCCTTTGCTGGTGTCCTTCTGCTGAACTACCAGCGAGATTACGCCGAGTGGTTGCTGCCTCTGATCATCGTGTGTCTCTTCTCCTTCCTGGTGGCTCACTGCTTTCTCTCCATCTTTGAAATTGTGGTGGACGTCCTCTTCCTCTGCTTCGCTATCGACACCAAGTACAACGACGGCACTCCGGGGAAGGAGTTCTTCATGGACAAAGCTCTGATGGTAGGAACGTGTGTTTGGTGGGAACCAGCTGACACATCATATTTCGACATCAACACCAAAACAATAACAGAGACACACAAGACAGCGACTTCCTGTGGACAGGGAATAGGACACCATTACTGGACCTAGGAGACGATGGCGGAAAGTAGAAGACAATGACGTGGGAGACCAAGACGGGACGTAAGTGACGGTTGAACAGACGATGAAATGACGTGGGGGACGATAACGGGACGTAGGAGACCAAACTGGGAGGTAGATGACAGTGACAGCAGTAGGCAACGATGACATGACGTGGGAGACGATTATGACTTACAAATGCAAACCGGGTTCACGGCACAATTCACAATGTATTTGTTTTACGAATGCACACAGAAGGATTTACAAATACATTTCAATTCACACATCAATAAATTACAATTTATATTTGCGGATCGCACTGCATTGCTGTGTGTGGGTTTTTTGAGACTCGCAGATCCACAAATGCGTTTTTTCAACATGGACCAACAATCAACCATCACAATTCAACAAACACAGCTCCCCCCTCCCCTCCCCACGAGCCTTCCAGAGTTAAAGCAACGCTACTTGCAGAGGCGATGCAAGAAATGTTCTGACCTTAATGAGTAAAAACGTCCTGAATCCAAAAACACAAAACAACTTCAACGTCAGATTCTTGTTGCAATGAATTATGGGAGTAGGTTTGTCATTCAGATTCTTTCAATTGGACCCCTCGCCTGTTTATCCCCCCCTTTGGCCCCCCCTCTGCAGGAGTTCGTGGAGAGCAGCCGGCGGCTAGGGCGAGCCGTGGAGCGTGGGCGGAGCCGGGTGAAAGCAGCGGTGTCAGAGGGGGCGGGGATAAAGCCCATGGTGAGTGACAGCAGAGGGGGCTTGTTGTCAGAGGAAGTGGAGCTGAAGGAGGACGGGGGGGAGTGGGAGGAGCTCCAGGAGTTTCAGGTGTACTACCTGCTGGTGGGGGTGCTGGTGGACTGGGTGCTAACGGAGCAGAATGGCTTCGTCCTCTGTCTCAGCGAAGACGTCGTCCTCTTCCTCTGCGTCTGCCTGCCCACCTCCACCCTCTTCCTGTTTGTCAGCCTGCTGCAAGCGCCAAGTCCCGCCCCCTTCACTCCCAGCAGCAAGTTGGCCTCAAGCTAACGCACATGCTAACACACATGTGCTAGCTGACACGGGCTTGTTGATGCATTTTAAGCATGCTAACAGATATGTGCTAACTGATGCATGTTAACAAATACGTGACAACAGATGCATGCTAACGGATGGATTCTAACCTACTCGTGCTAACGGACACATGCTAACGGACGCATGCTGAAGGATACACATTCCTGAGCATGCTGATTGGATGAGAACTGACGCACGCACATCCTCCTCATCATAATCACCATCTTCATTCCCATCGTCATCATCACAGCAACATCTTCAACATCTGGAGCAAACTCTTTCGTGCTTAGATGTTCATTTGTAATTTATTTTTTATACTTTTGTATGTTTATATTTATCTATAGAAGGTTTTTGATGTTTTGTCCCTTCCGCCTTCGTTACTCTCCGCGGTGCCTTTAAGGACTCAGCAGAGAAATCAGACTGTTCAGGTTTATGTTTACATGAACACTATATTTCTGAATGTGGTTCATTAGGATTCATTCAATGAAATATGACATCAACAACAGAAAGCCATATATATCAGAATATAATCTTTACACTCGTTAAGTTTTGATTTAGTTATTTATTAGAAAGAAGTCATTTACAGATGTTCATATTGTATGTATGGATTTATTTCTCCACCAGACTTCATTTCCTGGTTGAGTTATGAAGGTGTAGAAACCAGTAAAAACCTTTAGAAACCACTAAGACCAGTAGAGACCAGAAAAACTTCATGACTGTTGGTTTGTTCCAGATCTTTTTAGCTTTAAAGTTTCCCCGAGAGGCTTGATTGGCTTTCAAAATATTTATTTGAATAAAATCCAACATTCATACATATGAATGTAAAGTTTTTATCTGCTTGTCTTTTAATTATCCACATTAACCATGTGACCCACAATATTACCAAATGCATAACAATAACAATAATGTACAAAAAATGTATAAATATTCAAATTGGAGCACATTTATTTGTTTATTAACCAAATACTAGTCATCTGAGCGTTATTATATTTATGATTCAATCTAAAAACCTTTTAAATCCTACATAGATATATGCACTAAATACATTTGAAAGAAAACTGAATTATTAAGTTAAGCCCAGACAGCTGATCTGAGATCTGTTTGAATAATAAACTAAAAAAAAAATTACACTGAAGAAATAATGATTGAAAATATGAAATTGACAAGTAATCCGTTTTTCTGTTATTCTGATGAAACTTTGGTCAGAATATTGAGATAAGATTTTGTCTCTTTGAATCTGAGGCTTTGTTTCTTTGGGTATTGTTGTCCGGTAGTCATTGGGAAATAACAAAAATACATAAATGATATATGATATGAGAAGAAGTAGAAAGTATCCTTCATTGATCCGCATGGGGAAATTATTCTCTGCATTTAAACCATCACACACAGTGGGAGCCGTGTGCTGCCTCGAGGGCATATATATATATATTCGTATATTTAGGGTCTGGTCTGTCTGATGCTCTCTGGTTCTATATAGATATATATAAAGGCTAGATGTCTCATCCGCATTGCTGGCCAACAGAGTCAAACGTGGCGGCCATCTTGGTACGGTCAGCTCGCTCACATAACATTGTGTTATAACCATAACTTGCTCAATTTTCAACCGATTTTTAACGGTTTGGTTTGTTATAAACGCCAGAGATGTAGTTATGACACTGCTACATAATATGAATAATTATGTTATGTTCTAAAAATAGAATAATGTTCTAAAATAGGTACAAGATTTGTTGAAATCCCAACCCTGTACAGGGATTTATTTATGCCAGTGCATATTTATGAATATTTATAATTATAACCATGGATTTTCAAACAGAACATTATCACTGACATTTATAACAAACCAACCGTTTAAAAAAGTTATGGTTATTTAAAAAGTACATGTTTCACTACCAACACAATGTTCAATGAGCGAGCTGATCGTACCAAGATGGCCGCCATGTGCGGACGATCTATACTCCCCGTAAGACATCTAGCCTTTATATATATATATATATCTATGGTTCCCCCCCTAACCACCCATAATGCTTCACACTCACACTTCCATTTTGTCTGTGGGCCCTTTTAACCATGTGACCTGGTTTCCTGTTTCAGGCTCCGGGGATTTCAGCTTGACCAAAATCAGCCAATGGGACTTCTTAAAAAGAACAGAGACATTCCAAATGTTTATTTTTATCAACGTGTAACATGTTTACTATGGTTTCACTCCAGGGAAAAGATATTTTAATACAAACTGTAAAAACGTAACAATGTAATGAAGCACTTTATATCGAAGCGCTGCGGATTTGAAACCGACTGATTTACTTTTTTTTAAATGTCTCATTGATCAAACTGCACCTGGACGGCATGTTGGATCAGGAGCGCTGTCATCCGAGAAGCGGAGTTTGTGAACGGGCCGCTCCCGGTGTGAAACGTTGATGGCCGTCGTCATGGAAACGCACTCTGATAATGACCTGAGGAGAAATCTGATTGGCTGATGATAGTTCAGTGGCTACACTTTCAGAATACATGTCACAACAAACTGGCAACAACTTGCAGGTGAAGGTCATGTGACCAGGGACGTAATTTGTGGGGGGAAACACAAATGCACTTTTTCAAAAGCCCGTTTTGCTCCCCTGCTGTTTTTACCGTCCAATAACAATGTTATGCTGTGACTCGTCCAGCACTAGGACCAAGCGGAAAAATGGCCGCTCGAGCTGAAGCCTGTTTCCCTTAGTTTAGACCCGCCCACAAGCTCCTCGATTGGCTCTGCTGTTGCTTGTGTCAAGCGGCTGTTGCCGCTGTCACTTCATCAGGTGGTAAAGCGGTGCGCTAGTTGCCGAGGACTCGAGTCCCTGTTACTCTGAACAACGTTTGTTTTGCCTGGGTCACGTCAGCTAGAAGGATTGTGTGACCCCTGGACACAATTGGGTGATAATGTTTTGCTACGTGCTTTACAACCAGTCAAACCAAAACGGGAACAGTAAACTTAAAAGTAGCAATAGAAAACTAGAAGAACTACTAGAAAACACAGTGAACTGAAAAAGTTAGAGTTTTATTAAAAATACTTGTGTCCCCCCCACTTCTGAAATCAAAATCTCGTCCCTGCATGTGACCAACTAGCCCAGATAGCACCATTTAACAGGCTAATGAACCCAATACAGCCTGTTTAATACATGTGATCATGGTTTAGTTTCCAATAATCATGGTGACATCAATGCGGCGTCTTCTTCTTTATCTCGTATTCCTGCATACGTGAACTCAATATGAATTCAGACATTTGCTCCTTTTCAAATGTTACCTACGTTCCCCAAATCACCGGTGTGTCAACGTGAGATCACTTCCACCTGAGAGAAAACATTCTGTTATAAATATGAATGATAAGTTGTAAAGTTGATTGAATGGTGTAAAACTAAAGTGGAACTTCTTACCTTTCTAAACAAACATGGTTTGAATCATTTCCTGAAGCTTTGACTTTACAATGGGATGCTAACGGCAATCAATTAGCCCTTTTCTCCTGTAAACATGGCCGCTGCTGCTTTTGCTTAAACAAGCAGTTTTCTCTGTGATGCCCGTGGATGAAAGTAAGAAGCCTCTCGAGGGTCGGTTTAGCTGATCTGCCGCCATGATGAACACATTGTTGTGGTCATCCTTCTCCTTGGTCCGAATTCCTATCACCATGAAGGTCGCCCCCATCAACTTCAGAGAGGAAGAAGCGTGTGGGTGGAGCTTCCTGAGAAGTTTGGACAGTCAGCAATAAAACAAACTGCATCATGTGACCAACAACAACATCAACAAGTCTTCCTGCTTCAGTTTGCTCATCATTTCCACATGTCGTCTCAGATAGGAAGTGTAGAACACCACTTAGTGTCCAACACGTCACACAAAAAGTGCATGACATCATTTATTGTTCACAACATGTCAGACAGGAAGTGTATGACATCACCTATTGTTGGACATGTCTGACAGAACGGGTTTCTCATAGTTTCCATTGGCTTATAATTAAATAAAGTCAACTACAAAGTAATATACAGGACTTTACTAAATATTACAATGGAATCTTAAAAGCTTCAGTAGATTGTCTGTCAGATGAAATATTACTATTGATCCTTCTAAAAACATTAATGCAGGCTTTAGTTTAGCAACAATGAGAATACTGATTGGCAGAGGTTTGCTGTCATTGTGTCTTTATGTCTGTTTTAAAAGATAAGGGAGTTAAACTGAAAATACTGCTTACCAGACTCCATTAACATTTTCCTCAAGACTAACTTTTTGTTATCTGATCCTTTGGGGTTTTGGTGTAATCTCAACGTGCACTTATCGACCAACACAGACGAGAGCTGTTCTGGCTCCAGTTTGTGGTTGTCATGGTAACTGTGTTTGAACTTGTACAGGACCAGTTGCATGTCCATGTTTTTCTCATTGTCACAAAGCGTCGGTGAATAATCTGCTGTTAGATAGAATTCTGTCTTCACATTTGCGTTTCCTCTCCTTTGTAACATTGAAAAAACAATTATTTTTTTTCTGGGTGGACTTTTTATATTCATCATTTGTTTTGTAAGAAGAAATAATAAAATAGAAAACTGAATCTGTAATTCATGTCTTCTGATTTCAGATTATTATTATTTCTCAGACCTATATAATCATCATGTATTATCAATAATATATGTTATTAAGATAATTGCTTCTTGTGATATTTATCTACCATTGTTTTGTAGACGAATTATTATTATATGTATATGATATATGGAGATTATTTTTCTTTTCAGTGAATCTTTCAATTACCTGGAGGATTCCCCCACCCTAGGCTTCGCCCCCCGACCAATCAGAGCTCAGCTCATGATCATTGGACTATATTACAGTAACATGAGGAAGTTAGGATGACCCAAAATGAAATAAAATAACCAAACCGTTTTTAGGAATTAGTTCAACAGATAAACTATTCAGTTCAGCTAAAAGAATCAGAAACGTTCCAAAAAAATGTATTATAATAAACAAGCAGTGATTTTATAAATATATTTATTTAATATCACTCACACAATTATTTTCATTTTTCAGTTTAAACTGTTGTTTCCAGTTAAAATGATGTGTTGGCGGCTGGTGGATTTTTTTTCAGTAAACATCACAGTATGATTTAATGCAAAAAAATGTATCAAACACACATTATTGCTTTGCAGTTAAATATTTAACATTTATTATGGGGGCGACTGTGGGTGAGTGGGGAGCACGGTCGTCCTCCAATCAGAGGGTTGTGGGTTCGATCCCAGGCCCGGCTAACTGCATGTCGTTGTGTCCTTGGGCAAGACACTTAACCCAACATTGCTCCTGTAGCTGCGACTACAGTGTGTGAATGTTAGTTACTGATGGCAGGTGTCACTGTGTATGGTTCTCCTGTCATCAGTGTATGAATGGGTGTGAATGGGTGAATGATGTCGTGTAGTGTTAAAGCGCTTTGAGTGGTCAGAAGACTAGAAAAGCGCTATACAAGTACAGGCCATTTACCATTACCATTTACCATTCAACAACAGTTTAACATAATAAGGACATTTTATTCAAACAATTCAGTGTATCAATAAACTTATATATATAGAATAACTATTGCCCCTATGAGCCTAGTATGTTGCGGAAAGACAACGAATACACAAATATTGACTATTTGTAAAATGTATTTTTAATATAATAAACAATAACGGGTTTTGCTTTTTTCCGTTGCTCATGGTGGGGCCACGCCCCATTGCCCTCTATAGACCATCCGCCATTGGATAAACTTCATATTTCTCTAATATTATATTTATAGAACGTAATAGCAGACATGTGATTGGTCAGATGCTATGAGCCCCGCCCCTTTGTGGGTTGATAAGCAGTTTCATGGTTGTTTTATGGTTGTTATTTAAACAAGACAATTAGGAGATAAACTGTTTGTTTAACTCTCTTAGTGAATAAAGATTAGATAAAAATGATGTCACATGTGTTCAGACTGAAATGTGACATTTGCACAGAATCCTTTCGGCTTGACCTTTAACCTACATATGAAATCCAACATGCGACATCCTCTGTCCAAAAACCCTCATATCGGCACAGGAAAAAGTCCCCCAAAATAAGAAGCCTTAAATGGGAAACGTTAGGGAGCACGTTGGAGGAGGATCCTCTCCCGGGATGGACAGACTGCAATGAATGTCATGTGTACAGAATGAACAACGTAAAAATATACGACGTCTCATCAATCACATATGACATCGAGTCATCTTTTATTGTGAAATGTAAACGTTTAAAATGGCCCCTTTATTTTGAAATAAAACGGGAAGTGTCGTGTGTTATTGGGACATCTTGATTGGTACGAGAGGACAAGAAAGGAAAGCAACCAGCGGGAGAGATCGATCAGAGGATTATAAAAGAGCAGAGGGAACAGGTTGAAGAAGGAGGAGAAGAAGGGTAATAGCAGAAGCAGGAGAAGGAGAAGGAGAAGGAGAAGGAGAAGGAGAAGGAGAAGGAGGAGTCCTCAACGATAACAAGAGAGTTTAGTGAAGAGTTTAACAGCTGGATCCAGACCAGCGAGGTGTGTTCAGGCCACGCCCCTTCAGGTAAACGCTCAGGTGTGTCCCTAAACAAGAATACCCAGAGTGACTCTGTGTTGGATACGTTTAATTAATATCAGTATTTGTTATTCTCAGTATTTATTCTGTTTTTTTTTGTGATGAAATGTATGTATGTATGTATATATATATATACATACATACATACACCAACTTGAACATATGAACAAAATACGGATATAATAGTAAAACGAGAGGAAAAAAATAATAACATTTTTAAATAGCAGAAAATATATAATAACAACCAAAACAAAGGCATCAGTATTTATTAGTGTTTAATATTATTACAAGTATTTATTGATCCCTCATTACTTTCTTATAATATCCGAAGTTGTATAACATTTGCTGTTGTAAGATATATATATATATAAGTAATATAAGTTGTGGAATGAAGAACTTGTTGCGTAATGACTTTCTGTCTTTATGTGTCATTATTGCACAAATCATTTCCTCAGAATTCTTGGTTTGTTTGAGTCCGACTCCGCTCCCCCTCTTCAGTAAAACTACTACTTCATACTTCATGACATCATGATGCAGACCGTTTATCCTCCATTGACCATAAATAATATTCTGACATCTCAGACCGTTTTGACCTGAAGACTTGATGGTTACTCTCCTGAACCCCCTCATGTTCTTCACATGCTCTAAGACCTGATGACCAGTTTTATATTGACATCCGACACCTTGTGAAGAAAACCACGTTAAGAATAAGGATTTTTATTGTCATTATAAAACCTTCGAAACTAAATGAAGTTGGCAACTCATCGGTACAGCGGTAACATAAAACGTGCACTAGGTGCTTCGTTAAAGGGACCTGTTATTGTCTATTTTTATCCCGGCGCCGTCTGGTGTCAGCCGGGTGGGGTGTTGAGTGAGGCTGTGATGGAGGAAACCGCTCTTGGGAACAAGCTGTTCCTCAGCCTGTTAGTTCGTGTTTTAATAGTCTTCAATCTTTTTCCTGATGGTAGTGGAACAAACAGAGGGTGACCTGGTGTGTGATGTCCTTGTAGATGTTGCTGGCCTTCTTCTGGAGGCGGCCGGCATACACAGCAACCAGGTCTGGGAGGGTGACTCCTACAATCCTGTGCTGTCCTAACCGGAGGGCCAGGTCCCTCCTGTTCTCTGCTGTGCAGTAAAGCACTGGCAGAGGATGCTTTCTATCACACTTCTGTAGAAGTTAACCAGAGGTTCAGGGGGCAGGCCTGCTAGTTTTAGCTTCCTCAGGAGGAATAGCCTCTGCTGGGCTTTCTTCACCAGGTGTGATGTGTTCAGGGACCAGGTGAGGTTTTAGTAATGTGGAGTCCCACGTTCTTACGCAATGTGATTTAATCAGCTGAGGGAATCAGTGACCTCCTACTAAGTGAGAGATTATGTCACACGACGGAGAAGTGTTATAGCTTTGGAACCCAAAGAAAACCCAGTCTGATTTTGAGGGTATAAACTAGAACGTCTCTGTTCCCTCCTAAACTTCAGAGGTTTTCGATTGTTTTTTGGAGGGATGGATGGAAGCAGCTCAACAGGAAATCACAGCGCTGCTTCGTCTCGTCTGCTTCCTGTTCCCGATGACGAGGTCGAGATGCAACAAGCTGACTGGTATACAGCTTCAGAGGAGGACCACTGGCAGAAAGGAAAGTCAATCACTCTGCCAAGGTCCCAAAACCACCAGACACCTGCAGAGGACCACCAGAGACCTCTAGAGAACCAGAAGAGACATGCAGAACCACAGAAAACCGAAGATTCTTCTCCAAAGGATCAACCAGATGAACTAAAACTACATTCTCTTTTCCAGCTTAACATCTCTGAGTTCAAAGACCAGCAGAACCACCAGGAGAAATCTATTGCAATCTCAGGTCAGAGGCATCACGACCACCAAGATCCGCCTCACCCGAACTCCCAGCAGGCTCCTCTTCCTCCTAATCACCTGAACACAGTGGGTGTTCCTCACCTGAACACCTACCAGGTTCTTTCTCCTGGTAACCTGAGCACCCAGCGGGCTCCTCCTCCTCCTCCTCACCTGAACTCCCTGCAGCCTCCATCTTCTAACCAGCCCTATCCTCAGCCACTGATCAACCATCGGACTGAAGGTTCGACCCCGGCCTCACCAGACCAGGCTTCGCCTCTTGTCAAGGAGATGTTGTGTGACCAGGTGTGGACCCGACCTCTAGTTTCTTCTTCAGGTGACCTTAAACTGTGTGGCTTCCTGCAAAAGCAGGGGGGGGCCCTGAGATCCTGGAAGCAGCGCTGGTTTACCTACGAGGAGAAGAAGAACCAGTTGTTCTACTATCGCACTCCGCAGGATGTAATGCCACTCGGCCAGGTGGAGCTCTGCAGCGCCACCTTCACCTACACACTGAAGGCTGAGCGGGGCACCTTCAACATCAGGACACCTGAACGCACCTTTACACTCAAGGTAAGAGGCCACAGTTGGTCCTCAGACCTACAGCGGGCACTACACCCAGTTAGATGGAAGTGTAGCCTGCCTTCTTTGCTTTAATTCATTTGAATCCAGGGGTCTGACTAGTTTATGAAAATACCTAAATTTGTCCAAGGAGCCCAATGTGGAAAAAACCCAGTGAGTTAGTTCAGTTTATGCAGCGTCGTATTTTCATGTATCGTCACATTTGACACATTTGAAGTTGTTACAATTGTAAGTCCAATACAGTCCAGTTTGAATCCTCTTTGAAAGTATACTTTAGGTTTTCTTTTCTTCAACACCACTTGTGTGCAGTTGGACCACAGGGTAGCTCGCCTTGCAAACACAAGTTGGTCGGGTACATCCAGGGTGTGGACCGAAAACCCAACCGCTGATTGAAGAATCGTGACACGGGCCTTGTTTCCCATCTCATTCTAGCTGCCGCTCCCCCGTGTGGAATTTGAGATCAAAATAGGAAGTGACCCAGTCCTGACCTGGACATATATTGTACATTGTTAAGTCAGCTATTTGTCAGAGGGTTACAGAAGTCACACCTGGTTCGGTGGTTCAACCAATAACCTAGTGTTCACATCGTCATGGAAACAATCTCTAAGGTTGTTATCAGCTGTAAAACAGACTTTAATATGCTTGTGCTTGTCCTCATTTAAAGGTTTCAAGAATGTATATTATCTCCCCACTGTAGGCTGTGAGCCAGGAGCTGATGCTCTATTGGCTGCGACAGCTGCAGGTGAAACGTTGGCAGCACATAAGGAACTCCACCTCTCCAGACCCGACAAACCACAACAACAACAACAACACTGCAGGTGAGAAACCAGGGGTCTGTTTCAAGTAGGAGGTCTAACAAACTCTGAGTTCTGTGTTTCACAACAGCTGTATAGAGCTGGTTCGATTAACTCAGAGTTGAGCACGTGCACCACCACAGTATGGAATGGAGCCATGACACTACGAGTTACCACGGCAACAACCACAAACAGTCGGCAATGTTAATGCAAGCGTACGAGTATGAAACCGTAATTAGAAAGAAAGCAACACACTGCTGCAGCAAAAGACAGAGAAACGGTGCAAGTTCCAATATAGTGTTAAGTTCATATTTAATGTACACTAATCATAATCCATACATTTGACTAATTCCCAGTTTTTACACTGTTTGTTAGAATGCACTACACACAGGCTGGAAATACACACACATGCTCATATTTAATCACAAGAACAATATCGCTGGTAAAAACTGGTTCGATGGTGTTGAACCTGTAATGTGTTTCCTTCAGGTGCGTCCTGTGGGACTCCTCTTTAATGTCTCACTGGTTTGTGTCCAACAAAAAGGTTTAAAAGACGTTTCTCACGGCTCTGCATGCAGCAGCTTTACTAATATTCTAATGTTGTAAAGGAAAAAACACAATACTACACAAAGAATGTGCTCGTATGTGAGAGCACGTCCACCATGGGGGACGTTAGTTATTAGACATTAGTTATATATTTGATGGACTGTGAAGAAAAGCGATACTGTTCAAACAAGTAGTCATCTGGAAATGACAATACATCTAATCGGGCCTCAATATTCTCTCCCGACGTGTTTAACAGCCTGTGAAGTAAAAGCGCTTCTTCATCAACAGGATCGTCCAGAAAAGGACGTGACGTGTTCCAGAAAACACTTTAGTCTTTGACGTAACATCTTATTTTGTTCATATGTGGAAACTGCGCTAAAATACGCCTGATAGAGTGAATGAATGAGGAAATGAAAGCGCGCTGTGTGATTGGCTGGGCTGCTGTCAGAGGGAGGAGTCTGTGGAAGAAACACGAGGTTTATTGAAGAAAACCTGCTCCCGACCAGGTGAGGTTCACAGGCTCAGTTACCATTTTTATTATAAAATGACACAGATCAGGCTACTCGGTTCCACGAAGCAAGTTGCAAAAATCACCGTAGGAACTCATCCAAAAACTCAAATGTTCTCCATTGCAGGCTAACTTAAGTCAGCTGAATTAGTTTGCCATGCCCCAGGAAAAAATCCCCCTAACCCTGACCCACAAGAAGACCTTTTAGAGCCGTATGGCTACACGGTGAATGCCGCAGCCGAGGATTCGCTGTCCCCCAGACTGTATATTTTTAGTCTTGTACAGTGTTGCGATGAAGAGAACATCTTGATTCCGTGCTGTTTGTTTTATCTACTTCTTCTGAAAGCGTTGAGAAAATGATTTTCATTGGATGATGATGCACTCTAAAGAATCTACTACCAGCAGACACATTTAAAGAAATACAATCGGATTGATTGGGGTAAAGACGCACTTAAAATTACTTACACATTTTACATTTTAACACATTACATTACATTACATGTCATTTAGCTGACGCTTTTATCCAAAGCGACGTACAATAAGTGCATTCAACCATAGACACTTACGCATTTAACTTATATTTTGCCGTGCTTCCTGTCTCGCTGTTGCAGGGGTGTTGCATTTTGCAATGATTATTCAATTCAATTCAATTTCTTTCTATAGCCCAAAACCGCAAATCAGCACACATGCGCCATTCTGTCCAGAAACCCTCACGTCGGCACAGAAAACAACACTGACATGAAAAATGAAAAAAGGGGAGGATCCCTCTCCCAGGATGGATTGATGCGATGGATGTCATGTTTACAGAATGAAAAGATGTACAATACATTTGATTTCATGTTAGAAAATATAGATATTATTGTCTTTATCTCCTCATGTGTTCATAATCATATCCTGCTCATCTTTCTTTGAGTTTATTTGCCGTTGGACTGTTGGGTTTCGGTGATCGACGCTTCCCTCTTATTTGGAGTAGGACGTGCACGTGCAATCATCCTGATGGCTGATGTCTGGTTCAAATTAACAAGACTGTGATTGATCCGCGCTCAAATAATCGTGTTATTCAAACATTATTTCCTTGTCTGCCTGTCCAAATAAATGCGGCACATAAAGCTTTAAACACATTAAACTCCGCTTCATTCAATTTTAGGTCCCTGTCAGGGTAAAAAAAGGGAATTCATTAAATGAATGAAATAAAACGTGGCTAGACCAAGACACCTTCCAACTTCAGTTTCATGAGCGAAACAAGGGCGCATAAGAAAGGGGGGCTGCTATTTTATTTAATGATTCCCTGCTTCTTGGCCTTGGATCATTTTACTTCATTTGAATATGTCGCACTGACATCTACTTAAGCTTTAATCCTTAACATTGACAGACCACCTAAATACTGTGCAACCTTCTTTGCTGAGTTCAGTGAGCTGTTTTTTCTGATGGTCCTTCTTCCACCAGCTGCATTGACATTTCCTTTCAGGGATTTACCTTCAGAATATTTTAAGGTTGGTTAAATCACGTATTCACAGAATACATTTTATTGTATAAGTACACTGTCAGCCGCAGCTTTTTGTGTGAACTTGATAACAAAACCCATAAAGATTCAAACTAAAAAGTCTTTGTTTTTCATGTTGTTCTTCTGTGCAAACGCTTCTTTAGTATTCTGTTTGTCCTGAACTCCTGTTGTTGCTGTTGACCAAAGCAAACCTCAGAACAGATCAAGTGTGAATTTCCGATCAGCGCCCCCTGCTGCCGGTATAAGTCATGACAGATTCAGTTAGACTTGATGGTGGTGCTGTAGAAAACCTTTGGTTTGTTATATATTTATTGGGTAAACTCTCAAAATACCATAAAAACAGAAGAATTTCAGTAAATAAAACAAAACAAATAATCAAACAATGATACATTGATTTATAAGAAGACTACTACATTGGTGTGAAAATACACTAAATCACTGAATGCATGATTTTAAAAGACGGCGTAGTAATAGGATGATCCTGATTCCAATATTATGAGATTGATGGATGTTTCTCTGCAGATGACTTCCTGCCAGTGTTGACCAGCCCGGTGGGTCTGGTGGGGGAGGAAGCGGCTAACTCCTCATCACAGAGAACACCGCTTGCCAACATGTCCATCAAACACCCGTTTATCCAGATCCAGTGAGTCGCTACATCATGGTTCAATATCAGCTGCGTAGAAAGAGGAAAAGGGGGACAACGTTTCCCATGAGCCTCAGCGATGAGCATATATTTACATTACATTATTTCTTTGTATGTGCAGAAACTCGGTCCACAGTCTGCGTAAGTTGGTGTTCCCTGAGGGAAGTCAGAGTGTGTTTTATATGGACGCTTCAACGTGGACCCCCCCGACCTCCTCAGAACCGCCCTACAACATCCCTACAGGTATGTACTTCTACAACAGGCCCTACAAGCGCTGTACTCACTCAATGTAAGCCGATGTGTCACATGTCGTTCTCGGCAGCTTACAAGACACCTGCGGAGACTCGGCCCCCTCCCCTCTCATTGGAGTCAGCAGGTCAGGTGACCCCAGAGGAGGGCAGAGACCATTGGAACAGAAAGACAAAGACTTCCCCGTCGATGGTCCTCTGCCGAGACGACCTGTCCTCAGACACGACGTCCCGCCTCCAGCAGGAGAAGCAGATGCTACTTGATGACGTCAGAGCTCAGAAGGTGATCAATCACTGATCCAATCAATAATACTTTATTGATCTGAGGGATTTGACTCTGTATGAGGGTTATCGAATAACGTCTGCTAGAGGTGTGGACGCCGATGATGATAATCCTTGTTATTTGACTTATTATAATAATGATTATAATAACAATAAAACAATAGCAATTATAACGCTACCAATAATTACAATAACAATGATAATAATTATATTTTTAATAATGATAATAATAAAAGGAGCTGATGATAATACAATTCTGATAATATTGATTTGCTATTAGACTAAAAATGATAACACAATTATGATGGTAATCGTATTGATAACTAGTAATAATGACTACAATAATAATAATTCCAGGAGCTGGTGTGGATTCTCCACAAAGCCTTGGAGGCCTCTCAGCTGGAGAAGAGAACCTGTGCAGAGTTCCTGGCTGAGAAAAGTGAGCAGGAACGTCTGGAGCTGCTGAGGCATCGCGAGCGGGAGGCGGCCGACCTGCGAGGACGCTTGGAGGAGGTGAAGAAGGAGGCGGAGTCTATGAGGAGGAGGCTTAATCAGAGAGACGCTCAGCTGTTGGAGCTGCAGGATAACATCGGGATGCTGATCGAGAAGAACACCGCCAAGCAGGAGGTGAGGTCCCACCTGAGGACAGATGTTGAATACCACCTGTGGACAGGAAACTCGAAAATGATTAAATCCAGTTTTAGTGTTAATTCTCTTAAAAGCTGTTCTGAGATCAGATCTACAAACTCTCTCTGCTGGCTTCCTGTTAGGTGATCATCAAGCTGTCAGATCATGTGACTTCCTGCATGGCCTCTGACGACGCTTTCAAACAGCTTCAGCAGGACGTTGAGAACCTGAAGGTGAGATTCTATGAACTATGTCGGGTGATCTACCGACATCATCAGTGACAGATCTTCAATATCTATATTTTATGTTTGGTAAAGTTAATTTAATCCAAATATTGAATACTCCAAACAAATTTGCTACCTTGGCAATAAAAATGGAAGAAACACAAACACCATTAATTCAGCCGAAGCAATCAGTCAATGGTCACAGTTATTGATCCACACCTGAGGATGTACCTATCTGTTAGGGTTATGGTTAACTGGAATTGCCCACAGAGAACCAGTATGAACTGGTTTCTCTTTGATTCTTCAGGATGATATTGAGGCGTATAAGACTCAGAACAAGTTCCTGAACTCTGAGATCCACCAGCTGACTCAATTGTGGAGGACCAGTTCTGAGCAGGGGAAGAGCCTGATGGTGAAGGTGAGTCTGGCTGACATCACTTTTCAAGGTTTCATGAAGTCTCAGGTGAGAAGATCTTCAGGCTTTCTCTCCTGTCTTCTGGTTGGCTGCAGTGTTCCTACCTGGAGGCCAGTAACTGTCAGATCGAGAGCCGATACCTGAGCGCCTTGCGGCAGCTGCAGGAGGTCAAGTCTCTGGATCAGGTCCAGCGGGAGACGGTCCAGAAGATGATCGAGGAGGCTCTGAAAGGGGAGCAGAACTGTGCCATCAAGCTGAATGTGGCAAGGTAACGAGGACGGTCACCTCACCAGGGTGGACAGATTAACGAGAACACCTGGTGCACTGATGGTGTCAATTATGTTACGTCCTCAGAGATCATGATGAGTACGGATTTAAAATCATCCCAGAATATGAGGTGGAGGACATAAAGCTGCTGGCCAAGATCCAGGCGCTGGAGATCCGCTCACACAACCTGCTGCGTCAGGTATGAATCCTCACCTGTGGACCTGTACACCTGTAGAAACAAAAAGATAACCAGCGCCTCCTAGTGAACATGTGCTGTTCTGTGTTTCTCCTTGCAGGAGGGATCAGAGCGATACCTGTCGAGCTGCTGGGCTCAGTACCTGGCCAGCAGGTCAGAGGAACTCTTTTCCTCACCTGAGCTCAAAGGTCTGCTCAGAGGAGGCATCCCTCAGCAGTACCGACAGAAGGTATGGCGCTCTGTGGTCCGGGCCAGGACCAGGACTCTAAGGGAGCGTCACCCTGAGCGCTACCAGCAGGTGAGCAGGACGTGTACACCTGATCCACCTAGTCTTCAGCTGATCCACATCTAGTCTACACCTGATCATCCTCTCCCTCTTTCCAGCTGTGTGAGAAGGCTCGGACGTGTCCTCATCCGGCCTCCAGACAGATTGAGCTGGACCTCCATCGCACTTTGACCAACAACCAGCACTTCTCCTCTCCCTCTAGTCCCGCCCTCCAGCAGCTCCGACGCATCTTATTAGCCTTCTCCTGGCAGAACCCTGCCATTGGCTACTGCCAGGGACTAAACAGGTAAACACGCCTCCCGCTGACACATCACCAGTCTGTGACCCAATCCCAGTGCCCACCCCCTGACCCCTAACCCCTCAGGAACTCCCTGTGAGGGCTTTAAATTGTGTAAATATGAAGGGACGGCACTTTGCTGCCACATATCATGTCACCGTGACAACATCCTAAGATTTGAGTTACAACCAAGGTTTTTCTTTTTATTTCATAGGATGAGAGGTCATAAATGTTTTACTTTTTCGTCAAAATTGTTTCAATGAATATTTTATGAATATATTCTTGACATCATAAATGTATTTTTATTTAGCCGTCTGAACACACGTCCATGCCATCCTCTTTGTTTACCATGCTCTCACCCGTTTAAAACGTCACGTTGCAATGACTTGTGGGTAATTGCCCTGGGAAAGAGTTCATGAAGCGCTAAAAATTTCAGCCTGAAACATCCTGTGGTGGTACAGAAGGAACCAAACCTTCACAGGGTCAGCAGGGGCCTCAGAGTCTGAGTCTGTAAGGGCAGGGTAAGGATTGGGCCTAAATGTCCTTTGTCCCTGTCATGTGACCATATGTGTTTGTCAGACTGGCAGCAATTGCTCTGCTGGTCCTTCAGAGTGAAGAAGACTCCTTCTGGTGCCTGGTGTCAGTGGTGGAGGCAATCATGCCTCCAGACTACTACACCAAAGACCTGGTGGCCTCTCAGGTGAGGACATGGATCATCATTAAGCCTAGTTTATCTCTATTTCTGCGTTTTCAGAGCGACGCAGACGCAAAACCCCCTTGCGTGTCCCTTGCGTGCCTTTTCACACCTCCTTGCGTCCTTGCGTGCGTCGACCCATTTTTCTAGGCTTGCGTCGCTTTCGACGCGAGCGAGGCAAGCCTCCTGCAGCACCAGGCTGTGATTGGTCCGCTAACTACGTCCTTTACGGAGTCTCACATTTCCGTTTTCATAGCCCGATACGGCCATTATTAAAACGAAGAATGCTTATGAGAGAACGGATCAGATTGAAGAGCTTTTGTCGGAAGAAATGCGTAAATATTTAACTTACACAAGCCGTCATTTGCGGGTTGTATAAGCGGGTTGGATTCATGGAGGGAGATCGCCGCAAACGCCGGTTTGCCGGTCGAGAGGAACAAAGTTGTGGAGGAAAATAAGGGGACAAATGTGTCCTTGATGAAAAGCAGCAGTGTGGATGCACGAGGCAATAAAGTCTGTGATAAATAAATAAAGCAACCAACAACTTCCACACACAAAGACGTGACTCTCCAGGTTGTCTTCAACAAAATACGTTACTCCACCTGTTGTTCTGGAGGTGAATCGCTCTGCAACACACGCAAGACTTTACAACCAGGAAGTGAAACCAATGCGTCGACGCGACGTAAAGACGCAGAATCATGCGCCAGCCTTTAGTCATGTTATGATCAGGTCCCGCACCAGCTAATCATTGATCAGGTCCCACAACTTCACTTGATATGAAATGATACAAGCCACATTGTTGAATTCATAGTTTCACATAATTCACATAGTACATTTTCATATCTGTCTGGATGAATGAAAACAACCAGAACCAGAGATCAGGATCATCAATCGATTGATCAGTGGTGTTATTGGTTTATCATTATTGATTGATCATCAATAGACTGGTTGTCCGGTGTCTTAAGGCAGATCAGCGGGTGCTGAAGGACTTCCTGGCGGAGAAACTTCCAAGACTCTCGGCTCACTTTGAGGATCACAACATCGATGTTTCCCTCATTACCTTCAACTGGTTCCTGGTGGTTTTTGTGGAAAGTCTTCCCAGCGACATCCTGCTGCCGCTGTGGGACGCCTTTCTGTATGAGGGCACCAAGGTACCCAAACACTTAGCGATACAAAATACTTTAATGCAATACAGAAATGCTTTTAACACAAATATATTAGAAAACAGAAATTATAATAATTATGTTAAATATAGAAAATATATGAAATACAAAAATACTCATAGCTCAAATCCCAAACTATAAACTACAAAGTGCTTGTTCCTCCCTCACTGAGAGCAAAACTCTCAACTGTTTGCTGTCCTTGCTCCGAAATGGTGGAACGAGCTCTCTGATGACATCAGGACCACAGAGAGCCTTCACATCTTCAGACTAAAGACACACGTCTTCAGACTCTACATTGACTAAAAAAACAAAGTGTAGCACTTAAATTGTACTTATGATGGCTCTTTTCAACAGCAAGTTGATGAATTTGATGAAATTGCACTTTCTTGTTCTTTTGTTTCTGTATTCTTATGCTTGAAATGCACTTATTCTAAGTCGCTTTGGATAAAATCATCAGTTAAATTACATGTAATATAATATAGACACTACATGTGTAGTGTTTTGAATCAATGAACCCTTAAGCCGGAAATATGATTTTATTCATACTTTTGTGGTTTGGCGTTGCAGGTTATCTTTAGGTACGCTCTGGCTCTTTTCAAATACAAAGAGGAAGACCTGCTGAAGATCCAGGATGCGGTGGAGATCTACCAGTACCTACGTTTCTTCACCATGACCATCTCTGACGGCAGGTAAAGACTCATCTGGCTGAGATACAAAGCTAGTAATGCTCCTACTGGCAAGTTCTTAATTTTTTTCTCAACTCTGGCCATACTTGAAATTACCTAGTTAACACAAAGGACACACAGGACAGCTCTCTCCAACTCAGATTGATCTGTATTTTTCATTATTTGATTGGTCTGGCTGGCTGGTTCCTTTAGGTTATCCAAAAATGCAAACAAATGAAAAAAAAATTCCATTTCAACAAATGAGTAACATACAGTATGTAGCAAGGATTATGACAAACACAAAAAGGCTTTATTACTCTCTTTTTCTTATTATTTACTATTTTTCCTCCTCCTTTCTCTTATGCTTTATATTATGTTAATATAAATCAAATTCATGAATCTATTTTTTTCAAATCCACTTAAACCTCGTAAACACGTAAAGCAGTCTTTTTCCTCAATCTTTCTGCTACAACTCCTATTTGAACTTTAACACGTGGACAAAAGGCTACTATTTTTTTTGTCAACTTTTTTATATTTAGTCAACTTTTTTCTAATATCACTGATTATGTTTCATACATTTTTCAGTCTGTTTCCGAGATTTACGCTGCTTTGAGAGAGCATGGCCCTCCTTAGTCCCAGCATAACTGACAAAGAACTGTTCCAAACCGCAGGTCCAAGCTGGAACTTCTACACAAGCTCTGAGGGCCCTGACCTCACCTCTCCTGCTCGGGGGAGGGTCAACTGTGCAGGCTAAGTAGGCTGGTTGATGCGTGTCCGCACTGTCAGGAGAGACGCTGTATTAGGCCACAGAGTAATACCATCTGAGGTACCCTCAGAAATGATTTGCTCACCAAAAGAGCATGCAGCTTGCGTATAAGTTTAGCGGCTGTGATGGCAAGGAGAGAAATACCCCTTTTTGCCAATAGCCATCTTGGCTCCACCTGTGTCGGGGGTTCAAAAGGGTCTCCAGTGCCAAGGGTACATCTCCTGCAGGGGCGGAGGACGCAATTGCGGAGCCCCACTTTTTTTGGCAGAAGGACATCAGTCTGTGGCGCCCTACTGTGTCATTTCGACCTCGTACACTACCCCAAAATGAGGCCGCCTATAATGCAATGATAGAGGGAGACTGGCCCTTATAGAGGAGAGACTGTAGAAACTCAAGTACAGCAGGCATGGGGCCTTGCACCGGGGTCCTGTTGAGAACGGCACACCAGTCAGAAAACAGCTTCCATCTGATGTTGCCTCTCAGGCAGGTACATTGCGCCCTGGGATTCAGAATAGTTGATTTGACCGATTTTATGCAACCATCTAGCACCCAGTCGGGTCTTTTCGCGGCCAGGTCTGTAGTTGAAGGCGTCAGGGATTGGAGCAGTGGTCCGCTCTGTCAGGGAGAACCGGTGGGGGCAGTGGTTCGGCATCATCTCTGGATGCAGTAGCCACTCCTGGCTGGGTTATTGCCCGAAGGCTGGTCAGGCAAAGGCTGCCCAAGTAAGCCTAATCAGTTCCACAAATCTGTTTATTGTCGTCAAATCACAGCAGAGGTGTTGTCCAGGAGGTGTTAGTTGAGGAGGGCCAGAGTGGAACCCCCTAGGTATGCTGGTATGTTCGTGTGAAGAAACAGAACTGATGTCTGCCCTAGCTATCTGCAATACTCTGCTGAAGCACCTGGTTAAGCAGCTGACACAAACAGCTCCTCAGCTTCCACGGGGACATTACAGAGGATTCTGCTATATTACATTACAGGTCATTTAGCTGACGCTTTTATCCAAAGCGACTTGCATTGCATTTTTAACCCATGGCATTTACATTTTTACTACCAACCCTGTGGTTCCCAGCGCACCCGCTCTACCCATGCGCCACGGCCGACCCCTAACCCTATATGTCTCTGACAGGGGTGACGGCGACGGAACCCTCCAAACCCAGCAGCGAGTCTGGAGCAGGATGGATACCAGACATCCAAGTTCCCTCAATATGAGGGCAAACACCTGCAGTGAAATATCACTGAGGCCGGTGGAGGAAGTGCCAAAAGGTAGCCTCCTATCCTCACCTATGGTCATGAAGGATGGGTCATGACCGAAAGAACTAGGTCAGCGATACAAGCGGCCGAAATGGGTTTCCTCAGGAGAGTGGCTGGCGTCTCCCTTAGAGATAGGGTAAGAAGCTCAGCCATTCGTGAGGAGCTCTGAGTAGAGCCGCTGCTCCTTTGCGTTGAAGGAGCCAGTTGAGGTGGTTCGGGCATCTGGTGAGGATGCCCCCTGGGCGCCTCCCTAGGGAGGTGTTCCAGGCACGGCCAGCTGGGAAGAGGCCCCGGGGGAAGACCCATGACTAGGTGGAGAGATTGTATCTCTGCACTGGCCTGGGAACGCCTTGGGATCCCCCAGTCAGAGCTGGTAGATGTGGCCCGGGAAAGGCATGGTTGGGGTCCCCTGATGGAGCTGTTGCCCCCGCGACCCGACCCCGGACAAGCGGTTGAAGATGGATGGATGGATGTACAACGTGTTACTGTTGATCTAGCCAACTAGGGTTGCCACCCGTCCCTTAAAATTCGGAATCGTCCCGTATTTGAGAATAAAATGGCGCGTCCCGTTTTGAATCAATACGGGACAGGGTTTGGTCCGGTCGACTGTGCTGCTGCCTCGAGGAACGCTGTTGTCGATCCTGGTCTGACTCATGCGCTCACTCACAGAGTGGACTTTTTAGGAATAGCAGCTACAATTTATAGAATTTATGTCTTTCTGTCATTTTTACACTTGGCAAAGGGTTATTCAAAGCATTGCTATACAGTGTTGTGTCGTCTGCGTACATTACCATTTGGGCATTCTTGATTGACAAAGGGATATAATTTGTAAAAATAGAAAAGAGTTAAAGGGCCTAAGCAACTTCCTTGTGGAACCCCACAGCTAACATATACAGTCAGAAAAACTACCACTATAAAACACATATTGCGATCTCTCGGAAAGATAACTGACCATCCAAGAGAGGGTCATAATGCTAAATCCACTCCAGCCATTCTCATGGTTTATCGAAGGAAAGGTTTGTTGGGGAATTGAACTTTGCCATGATTCTGTTTTCACTTCTGACACTATGTAAATCAATGTACTAGAGGCTTCCTACTTAGTTACGCTGGTTTAATGGATCACTGTGTGTCTTTTTTTCAGGCATAACATGAACTACCATATAACCCCCAGTATATGCGCAAGTGCATTAGACTACAGTGTATGAGAGTATGTAGACAATAGAATATAATATATACCACACCATTTATAATTATAATTATTACAAATAATTATAATACACAGTATGAAGTGATGACATCAAACATGATACGCTTCAGGCATTTCCTGTCACATGGGTGAAGCTGTTTGATGTTGCCTGTAATGGTAAAATATAATAATGTCAATGTTTTATTAGATTAATGTCTAAAGATAATCATGAGTTTAATTGTGAGTTCCACGGCACCAGCTGTGTGGGAACGGTCGGAGCAGAAGAATCTCAGAGTACCTCTCCTTTTTGATCCCATTTGTCTACGGAAAACATAACTGCATTGAGGAAGGAGAAGGTGTGAATTTCTGCTGCCCTAGTCCTAAATCTAATAATCTAGTGTATTGTAAGTGCCCTGTGGGTTCAGGGCCTCAGTTCTGGGACCTCGTTGCCTGTCTCCGTTTCTTTAGGATGACAATCCCTGTGAATGTATAAATATCTGTGTTGCTCTCAAATGAAGAAACTTGCCGCTGTCTGTCCATCTACAGCTGTTGTGGACCTGTTCTGCCTTGCAAAGAAAAATGACTGATTCCTGATTGTATTAGAAAATCTTCCACCAAATGTGTCCTCCTGCAGGAGGCTGGCCACCATCGCCTTCAGCGACATGAACCCATTTCCCGGGCGTCTACTGAGGAACCGGCGAGCGTTTCACCTGAGTCGCCTGGAGGCGGAGCTTCGAGAGCTGGCAGAGCAGCAGAGGGAATTCATCTCGGAGAGTGCAGAGCGGAGAGACAAAGTGCTTGCGGTGGCGGCCAGCGAGGACGAGGAGGAGCTCTGATGTTACCTGGGTGATTGACTTAACAAACATGTGTTATCTTTATATACACATCTTTCAGGTTATTTTGTATTTCATCTTGTGAATCTTTTAAATTCAATAAATATTACCATTGCTGATGGAAGAGGACATCCTGAGTGTGTGTGTGTGTGCGTGCGTGCGAATGTATCAATGTGTGTACATGTGTGTGTAAAAGTCTGTGTGCGTGTATATGTATGTATATAAGCCTCTGTACAATGACGAAAACTTGAGTTTCAGACTTAATTAACTCATGTAAAACAATATTTGAAATGTTTACTTTTTTATTGTATTGAATTAGTTTACATTCAAAGCAGATTCGTTTAACTTAGTTTTTCATTCAGTTTTTCAATACTGTCCATTAAATATGTGATTCTAGTATTTACGCTCACAAGCAGTATTTCTTCTTCATTTCTATTAATGTCTAAATAAATTAGCTGATCCTGTTAAGAATCCATAGTCGATGTGTCGACATGTTCTCGGTCTAAAGGTTTTAACATTTTTTATGTTTTAATGATGATTAAAGTACGAACGAAAGTAAGAAACTGCAACGGTCATAATCTAGGCCAGTTTCATAATCAAGTAGTTTTCCCTTTTAAAATGTTAGAAGACATGCATATTGTTTCAGTTCAAACACAACATTGAAACTGACATTTTATGGTCGAAAGATTCAATGAAAGATTTAGTAAATAAAAGGCGGATTAATCGTCTCCTCATGTGGTCTGTGACAACCCACTCCGACTGGACCTGGACAGAATGGTGACCTTTGTCCCGAGGCGTGATGATGATGATGAGGAGTACGACACCTTGTTGGCCATATGAGACCGCCTGTCCTTTGCGTCGCCACGGCAACACAGAGCGCCCCGAGCCTTCTCCCTGAACTCTGCCGATACAAAATAAAAGATAAAGGGGTCGATGCAGCTGTTAAAGGTGCTAATGGCTAAGCTAACAGTGTAGGGCACATAGAGATCCTCGCCATCCTTGCCGTCTGCGTAGGTGAGCAGCAGTAGGACGTTGCTAGGTAGAAGACATACAAGAAATACCAGCAGCATCAGTACTGTGACCCGGACGGCATGGCCGTACCGCTTCCCCTCAGCCAGCAGCGAGTGCAGCACGGCAGAGTGGCAGTACAGCACCACTAGGAGGGGCAGAAGGAAGCAGAAGGTGAACAAGGTGCAGAAGTAGGGCAGGAAGAAGCGGTCCTGCTCTTGCTCCGGCAGTGCGTCGTGGCAGGTGGTGATTTGCAGCTCCTCCAGCTCGTAGGTCTGCTGGCTTATCAGAAGAGGCAACATGGCCGCCAGGACTACTGCCCACACCGCCGCCGTCATACACAGGGAGGTGCGCCGGCCGCGCAGCGTCCTGGCGGCAAATGGGTGCACCAGGGCCACATAGCGGTCCAGAGCCACCAGCGCCAGACACAGCACAGACCCGTACATGTTGCCGTAGAATATCGCCATAACGACCCGGCAGAAAGGCTCGCCCAGATTCCAGTGGTTTCCCATGAAGTGATACACCATGCGGAATGGCAAGACCAGCAGCAGCAGGCAGTCTGCAGCCGTGAGGTTGATGAGCAGCGTGGTGGACGGGAGTGGCTTGGTTCTGAAGACCAGGACCCACAGAGCCACCAGGTTGGAGGGGAGACCCACAACAAAGGACAGCAGGTAGAGGATCGGCAGGTACAGGTTGGTGGTCGGGGCCTGGATCTCCTCAAGCTGCTTCTCCTTCAGGGTAGTGACATTACATCTCACCTGGAGCCTGAATGCCCGAAGACCTATGGAGATCAGAACACACATCAGTCTGTAGACTTGTTGAGACCAGAACACACATATCAGTCTGTAGACCTGTTGAGACTAGAACACATATCAGTCTGTAGACCTGTAGAGGCCAGAACACACATATCAGTCTGTAGACCTGTTGAGACCAGAACAAATATCAGTCTGTCGACCTGTAGACCCCCGAACACCCATATCAGTATATAAACTTGCAGGGACCAGAATACACCTATCAGTCTGTAGACCTGCAGAGACCAGAACACACATATCGGTGTATACGAACAAGAAGAACAAGAAGATGACTTACGGAAGGACATACTGGAACAGTTGTCTGCAGCACGAGAGGTTTGAGAGACGCTGCAGATGGACAATAGCACAGAGGCAAAGAGAAGAGTCCCAAAAAGCTTCATCTTCTTTCAAATTCTTCAACTTTCCACCTTTCTTCTTCTTCCTCTTCTCTTATTTGAATTCAACCCCCTTTCTTCTTCTTTTGATTTCTTTCTTTCAGTTCTTTGACTCTGACCCTTTTTCTTTTCAGTTTTTCTGACGCCGTCAACAAAAACGCTGTCTTCCTCTTCCTTTAAATCCCCATGGTTTAACAGCACCAGTATTCATTTAGTACAGTACTGTAGTACTATCACAGTACTCATGTACTAGCTCTGCTAGTACTCTTTTACTACAGCAGCAGTACTCTTGTAGTGCTCTGGTAGTACTGTCGGCACTGCAAGGGTCTGTTTGTGTTATCTGAGCTCAAAGCTGCCGGTAACAACTCCCTTCCTCTGCTGATGGCATCCAGATGTGTGTGTGTGTGTGTGTGTGTGTGTGTGTGTGTGTGTGTGTGTGTGTGTGTGTGTGTGTGTGTGTGTGTGTGTGTGTGGAGGGGAATGTTTAACCTAACTGGGACAGAATGTTCTCTTAACCCTGCCCCCAAACTGATTGTCCAATCACATCCTAAGCATGTATTTAAATCTACCTATCATGTTGCTGAGAATAGATCGATTTAAATACATGCTTAGGATGTGTGCAGATACGGACAGATATGTGACAAAAGGCTACAGCACCACAAAGAGAAATATAGAAACACAAAGAGACACAAATCGTTGCAGCCCAAACTGCAAAGAGACGCAACCCAATCAAACAGAGATGCAACGCAACTTCAAAGAGCTGCAACATGACTACACGGGGATGCAGCATGACACCAAAGAGATGCAAAACTACCGCAAAGAGACACAAAGAGATGCAACATGACTACAAAAAGATACTAAACAAAGCCCCAACAAAGAGACAATACCAGTACAATGAGACACTGCATCACCAGAAAGAAAAACAAAAGTAACACATAGACCGACACAGAGAGACCAAAAACACAAAAAAACCTTACTGTTGCTTTGTGTCTCTGTCTCTCCCCGTGTCTCCCTGCCTCTCCCTTGTCTTCCTGTCTGTCTCAGTGGAGCTGATAAGCAGGTTTCCTGTCTAAATTCAGCTGTCGTTCAGTAACACAATGATAAATGTATCATTTCAATATTTATATAATACTATGTAAAATGTTTATGCAGTATTATGTACTGGGATTTGCATTTTTCATTTAGCTGATGCTTTTATCCAAATTACAAAAAGTGCATTCAATCAAGAGGGAAACAGAGCTGGAACAGCACTCAAATACCAATGTTTTGAAAAGGATGCAGGCAGCCACTGCTAGCCAGTGAAGGGAGAGGACTGGTAACCAGTGAAGGGGAGGACTGGTAACCAGTGAAGGGAGAGGACTGGTAACCAGTGAAGGGGAGGACTGGTAACCAGTGAAGGGGAGAGGACTGGTAACCAGTGAAGGGAGAGGACTGGTAACCAGTGAAGGGAGAGGACTGGTAACCAGTGAAGGGGAGGACTGGTAACCAGTGAAGGGAGAGGACTGGTAACCAGTGAAGGGGAGGACTGGTAACCAGTGAAGGGAGAGGACTGGTAACCAGTGAAGGGAGAGGACTGGTAACCAGTGAAGGGGAGGACTGGATGAGCTGCGGAGGTCGGATGGCGCCGGCAGGTAGACCTGCTAGGAGGGTTAGAAAAGTCAAGGCGTGAGATGACTAGACCCTTATCATTGCATTACATTACAGGTCAAGTGCATTCAATGTTGTGCAGCAAGAACCTACAGGAATGTGTTGTTGCAATGAGGGAAAGTTGTGTTGTCGAGTACACACAACACTGTAACTATCCACACATGTGAGTATATGTTAAAGTGGAATTCAAACAATTATCTCTGAACACAATTTCTTTGTTTACACCGTAAAACTCTTCTGGGCCCTTTTCCTCATACGTGGTCGATCAAATGTCCCATTATCCAGCTCAAATTAACGAGATGATTGACATCGGGCTATCTCGGTTCCTCAAAGGCGGATCGGCGCTCAAACCGTCTCGTTAGATTGAACCACATGTCAGTCATCAGGATAATCGCGCGTGCGCGTCCTACGTTAGAAGGCGGAAGAGTCGATCACTGAAATGAGGATTACAAACAGTAAAACGGCAAATAAACTCAAGATGGAGCGTCTTTTTTCTCTCCGCTGACGAGCAGGAGATGATCATGAACACATATGATGAGATAATATGTGTATTTGAATTATTTCTGTCGGATGAATGAGGGGGGCCACAAGCCCAATAAAGTATCGCAGACAAGGTAAATGCTTAAGTGTTGGGAACATTTATAGACTCATTTAAGTGCCTCATCACTCTAATCAACCAGATTATATTTATTTAAATGTGCCTGCCGGTAGTGGGCTTCATGGATGCATCATCATCCAATAAGATGTTGCTGACGAAAATAATGATCTCAACTCTTTCAAAATAAGTAGATAAAAACAAGTCCAAAGAGTCTAATTGATACGAACGAATAGTTATGAGGACATGTACTGTATGCGATTATGTATCATATGTATGTAAATAGAGTTTTATTATGTGTGTGTGTGTGTGTGTGTGTGTGTGAATCTGTGTGTGGGCGAATCAGAATATATATATATTATAAATAATCAGACATTTAATCAATTCAAGCAGTGGAACATGGAACATCCAGAAGTTTATTAAGCACCAAATAAACAGAACTTTACGAAGAGCACGACATGCAGCGGCTTTCCAGATGTTCTCTGCATCGTAACACTGTACATGTACAATACGAGAAACAGTGTATGAGACATTGTGAGACAGAGTGTGAGAGACAGTGTGTGAGACAGTGTGAGAGACAGTGTGTGAGACAGTGTGAGAGACAGTGTGAGAGAGTGTGAGAGACAGCATGTGAGACAGTGTGTGAGACAGTGTGAGAGACAGTGTGAGAGAGTGTGTGAGAGAGTGTGAGAGACAGTGTGTGAGACAGTGTGAGAGACAGTGTGTGAGACAGTGTGAGAGACAGTGTGTGAGACAGTGTGAGAGACAGTGTGTGAGACAGTGTGTGAGACAGTGTGAGAGACAGTGTGAGAGAGTGTGTGAGACAGTGTGAGAGACAGTGTGAGAGACAGTGTGAGAGACAGTGTGTGAGACAGTGTGAGAGACAGTGTGAGAGAGTGTGAGAGACAGCATGTGAGACAGTGGGACTCTATGAGAGAGTGTTTGAGACAGTCTGTGGGACAGTCGGTTGTGGCATGTGGTGGTCATGAGTTCGGTAAAGTTAGCAAGATATTTACACATTCAGACTTCACAGTTCAACAGCTCGTCAGTGAAACGTTGTTAAAACACAAAGGACACCTCGCTGTAGCCGTATTGATGTCGACAACCAGCGACAACCCTAATTAACATAATTTTCAGCAATACGGACCAGTGTGCCTGGTCCGCCTGTGAGACGAGAGACTCCACTATTATGAATGGTAGCACATAAAGCATGTGATATGTCCATGGGATTGTTCTTGTTGTAAACACAGTTTTCTTTTGCTAATTTGAATTAGTTAAATCTAATGCAATGTAGTGCCATTACATTTTGTTTCACGACCGCGATCACGTATCCTATTTAATTTCCAGAAACGAGAATATTGGTTAAGGTGCACTTTTATGAATTAATATACGCACAATATCTTATATTAACTAATGATTCTTCTGAAAGTATGTGTCCCAGCGGCCATTATTCTGCTATCATTGGTTTGGTCAAACTAGTGCTACTGTAAACCTACACTCAACGGCCACTTTAGTAGGTACACCTTGCTACTAAAAACGTGGACCCCCTTTGCCTAATTCTTTGTGTTTGTAAAGAAGAAACAAGATGGCCAACTTAAATTAAAAAAATAGTGTTGTAATATTTAGATTTGAGTAAAAACATTAATTAGCAGTGTTTAGCTGGTTATTGATGATTAATAATCCCCATGCTGTGACGATTGACAGTGGATGAGCGCTCGTCAGGTATCGCGACAGTTGATCCAAATCTCAGGTACCTAAACATGAAGGTATCGTACACGCGGCCTGTCTGCCGCCTCCCCCTGCCTGGCTCTGCGCATGCGCACTACGGACCGAAGCGAGAAACGGACACGGGGATCGAGCTTCCGCACCGTCCAAACAGCTGGAACAGAACCGGGGGAAAAAACGTTACCACTGCAGGGTCTGACGACCTCGAGCCCACCGGGCCCTTGTAGACCTTCACCGGGAGGACGGCGGTGCGCCGGCGGGAGCTGCGTGTCTGTCCGCCTGCAGACGGTAAGACAAAGCGGCTACCGACACGGATCCCAGCACCGAGCCACGGGCCCGGACTTCATTTCAGCAGGTATTTAACGGCACGGGCTTGTAACCACCAGGATTTCAGTCCCGAGACATGGAGGCGTGAAGGTCTAGATGTCGACTTGGTAATGATGCTCCACGATCGGACAATGCCACGGACACCCTGGCTTGGCCTTGGGCCGACTATATGATCCAGGGCAGTGTCGGTGTAAAGGACTGCTGGGACCGACACAAATAGAAGACCGAATGGAAGAACTAGCAGAGACAACTGGAGGGGACATTCGCGGGATATACATCGGGACATTAAGAGAACATCTTAATTAGTTAATAGGACACCTAGGTGGCACGCATAGACATATAGAGCAGAGGTCCCCAAACAACACTACTTGGTCCCAGGCCGCAGGGAAAGACATTTTTATTTATTTTTTGTTTTATTTTTTTCAGAAAAATATTTTATTTTGAAAAATGACCGGATCCCAATTACATCTTTCCGAAGCGCTTAGGGTCAGCCCAGCGACCCCCCCCCCCCTCAACCCCAACCCCAACAAAAACAGTTGGGGATCTCTGATCTCACACAGACAGCGACAGGAAACACGTAGACACTAAGAGGAATTAACAATATGAAGACACAAATCTCCTTTAGAGACATTTTGATATTACAATAATACATTTTGAAAAAAAAATAGTTGTCTAAGTCTGAGTTCTGTTTTTCTGTAGGTTTGGATGTGACACGACTGAGAGGACGACATGATGTCCCCCTGGTGGACCCGTTCGTCCGCCTTGTTGGTCCTGATCCTGGTTCTGACCCGCTCAGTGGCAGCTGCCCGCTCTGACAGAAACATAGTGTCAGAGGAGTATGTGGGCGCCACGGTAAACGCCACGGTGATGGACGGGCGGGGAAACGTTCTCCACATGATGAGCAGCGATGAGGGGACGTATGGACAGAACTCGCCTAAGGTGGACACCAGGGGAGTGGTCATCACACCTGCCCAGCACCACGGAGGTACTGACATTACACCTGAGGTCACACAAAACCTGACGTCACTTCAATTCATTTTATTTTAAATAACCCAAAATCTCAAATTACAAATTTGCCGCAGAGGGCTTTACAGTTGGTCGCCTGTCCCAAAAAACAACAAAAAACTCGCCAAGAAATGAAAAGCCCTTCGATGGGGAAAAGAGGAGGAAACCTTAGTGAGAACGACAGAGGAGGAACCCTCTCCTGAGATGGACAGACTGCAATGACTTATTTTCTATTTCATTTCACGACAGGACCACTGCAGGACCACCACCGTCAGATAGAACCACCACCGTCAGACGCCTGGGGGGAGGGAAAGCACAAAGACTTTAGGAAAGAAGCAAAGTTGGTAATGTTGGTTTATGATGACCGAATGGTAATATGATTACAATTTTGAATACCAATGATATCAGCAGCAGTTGACAGCAGGACCACGGGTCCAGATAGAACCATGATAGAACCTGTGAGGCGAGAAAGCACAAATACTCCATGGAAGAAAGAAAATGGGTAAAATGGGTGCATTCATGTTGACAGTAATAGTCGTGGGAATAATGATGGTGTTATAAACGGCAGCTGTCAGCGGGGCCCTGGCAGGAAGCACCGTGACCCAGGGAAACCCGTGAGGAGAGAGCACAAAAGCTCTGGGTAAGAAGGTGAACTAGTGATTGGCATTAATGAGAAGTGAATTATTATAGAACGAGAGCGACCGAGGAGCTGGTGTGTCCTAAGAAGTCCCCCAGCAGTCTAGGCCTACAGGGCCCTAACTATGAGTGTTATTGAAGAGGAAAGTCTTAAGCTTTATCTTAAATGAGCTGACCGTGTCTGCCCCCCGGACTGAAAGTGGACTAAAGAGGAGCTCGATAACTGAAGGTTCTGGCTCCATCATACTTTGAAAGACTCTATGGCTGGATTCAAATTGTCAAAAAATGACCTCCTAACCACTATTCCTTGACCTCTGTGGAAGAACATCACAGGGTCAAGGAAAGGTGGTTAGGAGAGTCCATGAGGAGTTAGGAAAAGACAACCGCGGTGTTTAGGGAATCCGACTCCACTTCCATTGAGCTGCGTAGTTGTGATGGACGAAGACGCATGTTACTGATGTCAGTCTGCAGCGGCTACAAAGAAGGCCTTCATGTGTTGTTACACATGTTGTTAACCATGATTAATAGTGTTTTACTTGTTACTTTTTATATTTATATGAATTATCTATTAGCAGAAATGAAGCATATATTACATAACACAAGTAATTTATATAAAGACTATATTTCATTGTTATTATTGTATTATTAGTAGTATACTGTTTGTAGAACTATGGTCAGGGTCTGTAGCATATGTGAACGTATATTTCTAGTTGAAGCATAGTGTGTATATATTATATACATATAGTAGTATATACAGTATCTGTAGAACAGATACTCGGGGACCAGGCTGAAGGTTGATGCATCTGTATTATATGTAATATGTTATTGAGTATTATATATAGTTTATGAAGTGATTAATAAAGCAGTACTTATAGTTTATGTGGTATTTAATGAAGTAGTATGTGCAGTATATGTAGTACTGATACTCCGGGACAATGCTGAAGGTTGAGGCCCTTTTTATTACATGTAGTATTTTGGGAGTAGTGTGTATAGTTATTGTAGTAGTTAATGGAATGATATTTATAGTTAGAGTAGTTTATTTATCTGTAGTAATGATACTCAGGCTGAAGGTCGAGGCGTCTCTATTATATGTAGCAGTTAATGGAGTATTCTACATAGTTTATGGAGTAGTTAATGGAGTAGTATTTATAGTTGATGGGGTAGTTCATGAAGTAGTATATGCAGTATCTGTAGTAATGATACTCAGGCTGAAGGTCGAGGCGTCTGTATAATATGTAGCAGTTAATGGAGTATTATACATAGTTTATGGAGTAGTTAATGGAGTAGTATTTATAGTTGATGGGGTAGTTCATGAAGTAGTATATGCAGTATCTGTAGTAATGATACTCAGGCTGAAGGTCGGGGTGTCTCAGGTCACATTACAGTCAGACTGAAGGACACTGCAGCATCCAGCTCTGATCTTTGGTACCAATGATAGTGTTCATGTACATATCGGATGTATATGGTGTATATACCTTTCACATGGTATGTATACATGGTAACAATATATATACATCTCTCCATGTGAATGTTTCACTTCAACAGAACATAGGATCATTGTATGAATATTCAGACTCCTGACTCTCGCACCTTTTTCTGATGAATCTATTGTTTTATAAGCAGAAACTTTTATGTCAACATAATGTAAAAAGACAACGTTACACCCTTTGGTAACCACTCTGCTGGCAGTGATGATGCAGCATAATGATCAATAAGTTAACCGAAATGTCATTTCAGTGTCAACATAAAAAGTATTACATATAGTACATATAGTAACAGAATGTAAAACATACATATTAAAATATCACAAAATATTTTTTGTAATTAAATATTAGAACTGTAAAAATCACGATATTGAGAAACAGCTGTAAAAATGGCAGAACGGCCCTTTTAAAATGATGTTATCTCTGTAACAAAGCTGTAATTAATACCATAACAGAATGTCCCTGCAGTGGTCATGTCGTACACCCTGTTTACTACTCAATTATTTGAATCATTTCTGTTATAGGACTTGAACATATTCTACATCTTTTACGTTGTTCATTCTGTACACATGAGTTTATTTGGGACAGACAATGTTGCGTGTGTACAGACTGTAAAAGCGTCTGAGGCAAATTTGTGCTATGCGATTTTGGTCTCTACAAACTAAAATGAATTGAATTATAACCATGGTAACGCTCTTGTTTCCTCAGTGGCGGACCGGCAGGGCTGTGACCCCGGCACCCGTTTCCTGGTCCCTCCTCGGAACGCCCACTGGGTGGCGCTGCTGCAGAGAGGAAACTGCACCTTTAGGGAGAAGATTCTGAAGGCAGCCGCCTACAACGCCACAGCAGTCCTCATTTACAACAACTCCACCGACAAGACGGTCAAGATGGGACACGAAGGTCCGAGAGTTTGACTGTCAGAGTACCTGAGCAGGCAGAGAACAGAGTACCTGACTATGTAGAGAACAGAGTACCTGACTATGTGGAGAACAGAGTACCTGACTATGTAGAGAACAGAGTACCTGACTATGTAGAGAACAGAGTACCTGAGCAGGCAGAGAACAGAGTACCTGACTATGTAGAGAACAGAGTACCTGACTATGTAGAGAACAGAGTACCTGAGCAGGCAGAGAACAGAGTACCTGACTATGTAGAGAACAGAGTACCTGACTATGTAGAGAACAGAGTACCTGGGTATGTAGAGAACAGAGTACCTGACTATGTAGAGAACAGAGTACCTGAGCAGGCAGAGAACAGAGTACCTGACTATGTAGAGAACAGAGTACCTGAGCAGGTGGAGAATCGAGTACCTGAGCAGGTAGAGAACCGAGTACCTGAGCAGGTAGAGAACCGAGTACCTGAGCAGGCAGAGAACAGAGTACCTGAGCCTGCAGAGAACAGAGTACCTGACTATGTAGAGAACAGAGTACCTGAGCAGGCAGAGAACAGAGTACCTGACTAGGTAGAGAACAGAGTACCTGACTAGGCAGAGAAGAGAGTACCTGAGGAGGTAGAGAACACAGTACCTACATCGCAGTACAGTGTATTACTGTTATACCACAGTACAGTGTACTGTATTATTCAGTCTTTACTGGTTCTGTTACTGGTTCTGTCCGTACAGGTACTGGTGACACAGTGGCCGTGATGATCACAGAGGCGTATGGTAAAGAAATCCTGGCACACCTGGAGAGGAACCTGACGGTCGTGGTCTCTGTGGTGGTGGGTCAACGTGGTCCCACCAAAAACATCAACCGAGGATCTCTGGTGTTCGTCTCCATCTCCTTCATCGTCCTGATGATAATTTCCTCAGCCTGGCTCATTTTCTATTTCATCCAGAAGATCCGCTACACCAGTGCCCGTGACCGCAGCCAGGTAACACACTAACATACCGCTAACATAATGTTTACAAGCTAACACACCGCTAACAAACTCAAAACAGCCATAATGTGCTATAACAACTATAATAAACACCGAGCTAACGTAATATAACACCGCTAACAAGTTTAAAACATGGCTAACATGTAAAACACGTCTGATGAGCTTAAAACAGCGCTAACGTAGTATAACGCCGCTAACAAGCTGAAAACTGAGCTGAAATACTAGACGAGGATTTAAAAAGAGCTAACATGTACAATACCTCTAACGGGCTTAATACAGCTAATGTAGCTTTGCACCGCAAAATATCTTAACATGCTATAACACCTCTATTAAGCTTAAAACATAGCCAACATGCTATAACACCCCTATTAAGCTTAAAACATAGCCAACATGCTATAACACCTCTATTAAGCTTAAAACATAGCCAACATGCTATAACACCCCTATTAAGCTTAAAACATAGCCAACATGCTATAACACCTCTATTAAGCTTAAAACATAGCCAACATGCTATAACACCGCTATACCTCCATCACCGTTGATGTAGGAGCTACAGCCAGGACTTGTTTGCCTCCAGTACTCTGAGGCGGGCAAGAAAGATTGTAGCCGACCCCTCTCACCCCGGGCACAAACCTTTTGAGCCCCTTCCCTCTGACAGGAGGCTGCGGTCCATCAGGACCAAGACTTCTCGCCACAGAAACAGTTTCTTCCGGTCATCAGTTGGTGTCATGAACCATGTCTGAGTCCCCCATTGAACCAGACACTACATCTCCAGGACATTTGCACAGTGGTCACCATGGAAACATATGTACATACATACGTGTTTTAACGAACTTATGTTTATATTTTTTTAATGTTGCTTGTATATTTTACTTTATCTTATTTGATTCTATTTTACATCACACCAATCATCAAGAAAATTCCTCTATGCTCAACATATTTGGCAATAAATGGCTTCTGATTATAATTCTGAAAACAGAGCTAACATGCTATAACACCCTCCTCTGTTTCTACCTCCTTTTGCTCAGATGAATCCTAAATATTTTATGAGATTTATCTCCCCACCTCCCCGAGTAATATTACCTCTCAGGACCCCCTCCTCCTCGCCATCTGCTGCAAAACAACCTTCACCTCACCTCCTGCTTTCTGTCGAGAGTCAGAGTACTATAGTACAGTGGACCTACAGACTGTACTAGTATTCAGAGTACTGTAGTACTGTGGACCTACAGACTGTCGTAGTATTGAGACTGGTGTAGTACATGTTATACACTTACATGTATGTACTGCATGTTCTGTTGGACACACGTGTCCTCGCTCTCTGTCTTTCAGCGTCGTCTTGGTGATGCAGCGAAGAAAGCCATTGGGAAATTGACAACTAGGACGGTCAAGAAAGGAGACAAGGTAAAGACATCTGTCCCTTCCATTCTTCTTCTGGGTGCTGAATGAATGTCTTCACTCTTAATCAGAAAGGGATCAGTCGAGAGACAAAGCGATCTCAACATCACGCTACATAGCAGCATTCAAGGGATGGGACCCGGGTTGGATACATGGTGGACAGTAGGACACAGATTGTTTTCTTGACCCCCCGCTGGCAGAGACAACAGAAAGGTCAGAAGTCACAGGGTGGTAAGGGGAAATCAAGGGAGAGATGAATCAGAACTGACAAGGAAACAGCTGTTAGCAGACAGACAAATCATGTTTCAGTTAACAGTTGTAGTAATAACGCAGCTAGTTTAAACTCCAACTAGTAAATCAATTAAGCAGTCAAAACAGACTCTACATGTCAGTGACTTTACACCACCACAGAGGGGGTCACAGTTTACAAGCTGAGAAAAGGGTGAGCACCCCTGCTCTACACCACCACAGTGACTCTAAAGCATGACGTAGGCTGGATTTTTAAAAACTGACCTTTTAACCTCTATTCCTAACCACAATTACTTGACCTCTGTGGAGAAAGTGTATGACTCAGTCATACACGTGTCCCAAGGAATCTGCCTCCTCTTCCACTGAGCTACGCAGTTGTGATGGACGGAGACGCATGTTGGTGACGTCAGTCTGCAGCGGCTACAAAGAAGCATCTCAGATGCTTCATGTTTACAGTGCGAGTCATGCAGACGACACAGACAACCAGTTTCAAAATATGACTTTATTAACAAGGCTGCAACGAACATGAGTTATGTTAACGGTTACTCACATGATACAAATGATATGTCACTATTTAAATATTGTCGCTGCAAGGAATTGTGGGACAAATTTCCTTACCTTTAGTAAAGGATGCAAGTGGTTTATATGCTAATGGGGCTAAGTACGGAAGCATTGTAGCTCCTTTCCTTAGCATTGGAGAATTCCTGCTCTGATCATGGGGGCTACTTTACTTCTGGGTCATTTCACACAATGAGAAACCTTCCTAAGCAAATTTGACAATTTGAATCCAGCCAGAGACAACCAGCCATCATTTTTTGAAAAGCCTGAGGATGTTGATGTGACGTCAGATGGTCATGTGAGTTTCTCTGTGTCTGTTGCAGGAAACCGATCCGGACTTCAACCACTGTGCGGTGTGCATTGAAGCGTACCAGCTAAACGATGTGGTTCGCATTCTGCCCTGCAAGTGAGTCTGAAAACACTCTGGAGCTCACCTTGTGCTGCCAGTTTCCCATGCATTTTTAATATGTTTGAGATCCACTCAGTCCTGGTAATTCTGATGCTTTGATGAACCGTGTCTACAGACATGTCTTCCATAAGGTGTGTGTGGACCCCTGGCTGAACGAACACTGCACCTGTCCCATGTGCAAACTCAACATCCTTAAAGCTCTTGGCATCATGGTGAGTCATTACGGACATAAACATACCAGTGACATTAATCGTTGTCTCCTCTGTATCCTCTCCTTTTCTATTTCCTCACCTTTGTCTCCTCTGTTCTCAGACCACCCTCCCATGCGTGGACAGCGTGGTGTTGGATGTGGAGCGCCTGGGTGTCGGTCAGGCGTCTGGAGGCCAAAGGGTGTCGCTGGGCGAAAGCAACCAGCCGTCCATTAGCCTAGAGCCGCTCAGCCTCCCCCACTCTGAGGCCACTCCCAGAACACCTGCAGACATCACCATCGCTGTGACCAGTAAGACACAGGACCACTTACACAATAACCATAAAAAGTGCTTACTGTTGAGCGACAAATCAAATTGAATGATGCATTTACACTGACATCCATACTTTACTTTTGCTGCACTCTTTTCTCTTTTTAGAGAGCGTCATTTGTTCCTCATTTTTCTCACCCGTGCCTTTCTCCCACTTTCTCCGTCTCACTCGTCTTTTTTCCTTCTACAGTCTTTTTATTTGTAATTTGCCGCTAACTCTCTCATCTGTCCGCAGTATTAAGACGATATCATCCTGCCTGGAATGCAAAGAATCGATTGGTCGAGTAGTATCACGTGGGATGGTTTAGGTTGAATGCCATCGTTGTGTGCTTTAAGCCACTACCGCAAAGAGGACCAAAGCTGCGCTAGTCGAAAAGTGCGCTTAAATCATAGCCGTCTTTGTTTTTGCTTTTGGTCCGGATGGGACGGCTTCTGGGTCCGGATCCGGACCGCGGTCCGCTAGTTAGACCTCTGTTGTAGAGCAACCTTAAATTGATGTAGAGCGGCTTTATACTTTACTATGTTGTTAAACAGCTTTACAATGTTATAGAAGAGTTTTACACTGTCATCTAGCAACTTTACACTTAATTTACCAACTTCACTGTGTAATACTGTCAGTGTCTTTACTCTGGTAAAGAGAAACTCTTCGCTTAGTAATTTAACAATATTATAAAGCACTTCTCACTCTTACCATACAGGAAATGTATGCTGTCAGAAACAACTGTATTAATATGATCACCATAATACATGTTTTGACCAGTAAAAAGAACATTTTCTGCACTAGGTGTTTTTTAGGTCTTTGCCTGAAATTATTTATAAAAAACTAAAGGTTTATCTTGAATATTATTGGGGTCATGATAAAAGGGAACACCTGTGAGTGTGCTTAGATATATATCAGTGTGTGTGTGTGTGTATATATGTATGTATGTATGTATGTATATATACGAAATTTTCTAGGGATCATTATTGGCTCAATGGCATCCCAATATTATTAACATTAGAACTTGTTGGCCTGTCCTCACCAAATGTCTAGCATGTTCCAACAGGACATTCCTGAATATTTACACACTGCGGCAGTTAATCACTAAATATTTTCACTTTTTGCCAATTTTTAAGTGTAGGGCTTTTGGTTTTATGAATGAACAAACTCCTGCGAAAATCTATACCAGTTCAATTTCAAATTTGGGCCGTATGAACCTGACCCCTTGGCGGTCAAAAGTTATTAAAATGAAGAGTTTTCGTGCATCCACCTGGGCGTGGCGTTTTGGCCATTTTGGTTGAATTTCTGGAAAATTGAAAATGTTATCACTCCAAGGTACATTCTGAAATCTGGCCTAGTCTTATTCAGGATTCTAGGCTAGTCCTTTCAGTGTTAACACGCACTGCTTTTCAAAAAATGATACCCCCACTTATTGGCAAATTTTAAAAATCACACTGTGATGTGCTACCACTAGGCAATCAATCAGATCGATCTCAAATCGGTGAAGGAAAGTCTCAAGACTTTGATTGTAGTTCACCATGAATATTGCATTGTTGCAGTGACGACACGGTCTTAGCATGAAGGATCAAGCATTTCTGTGTCTCTGTGGCAAACTCAAACTCATGAAATCTGATGTGGAGTTTTGGCTTGTGGTAAATTGCCTCCATAGCCGTCCTTACCCATCGGACATCCATATAATATATTTCTATACTAGTCATCACGCCACTTAGTGGCAACAGGAGTTTAAATGTTTGTAGCAGTCCAGCCAGTGCCCCGGTGTGCGCGAAAGAGCGAGGACCCGTCCATTGCTGCTCGCAGCTTAAATTCTGGCTTTGTAACCCAGAGTTTAAGCTTTCCAGCGGTGCATGGCATTCTTATATTAGTTCATAAGTGCCTGCGACAGGGTTCGTAATAGGAGCGTTTATAACTAAAAACAAATTAGCACAGATTTAAAGAACACAAACTAACAATCTGCTTCATTGGTGGTTATTAAAAGAAAATTATAAATTGTGATGATTGATGGCTATAGCTGTTTGTTTAGAACAGGTTTTTAACACATTGTCTGTGACTTCTGTCATAATGGTGTTATTAGAACATCAATCATTTTTCATCTTTCTTTTTCTCTCTTCAGGTGGTGGTCACTTTTTCAACAGGAACTCAATGTCCCCTCGCAGTTTGGTCTGCGAGATGGAGTTACCAGACATCCAGGCCTCGCTAGACCTCTGTGATGATAACAAGTCCTGAGGCCCATCCTAATTGTTACCACCTCCCTCCACTACCCCTCCACCTGCTGATGGACGGACAGCCTTTCATGGGCACAGGTTGTGGGTTTCGCGTGAGGGACGGCGGGGGTATTGTGTGGAGGGAGAGAGGACGCGTTCCGATATAGACTACCTGGACGCACTTTATACCATCAATAATCACATTTTCTTTCCAAGTCACCATGGACTCTAGACTTTCAAGGACACTTCATCAAAGTGCTTTTCTGTTTAACCTTGAAAGGTTTCTGAGCAAACCTGAAAGTTTGATGGTCCCTAGAAAACTCACATGAATCTGAAAGAAGGTATTGCGTTCTTAAAAATGATCTTCTCTATCTCTGGAAAAGTCCCTAAAAGGTTTGTCTAAGAACTTTTTTACTTCTTGAAATGGTCCAGAGGCCCCAAAAAGGTTTCTTAAAGTTCCCATGCTCCCGGAAACAAATCGTTCTTAGTTTTATTTGGTTCCTGGAAAGGTTTGTATGCACAGTCCTCAGTTCTCAGTCCTTTCCTGTACAAGTTCCCTATGCACCTAAAAATGAAGATCCCAAAAAATTCATTGGATTTAAATACTATTCTTGGAAAGGTTATTTCAGATTCTAAGGAGCTTGTTTGGTTCCCTTGAGTGCTCAAAAGGTTCATGAGGTCTTAAACATGTATTTTAGAACAAGGTTCTGTAGGTTCCTGGAAATGTTCCTCAGATCTTAAATAAGTTTAAAATGTTTCTTATTTTCTTAAGTTAAAAAAAGATACTGGCTGAGCTGATTCTTCCTGTTCATTATCAGATTGGAACCAGGACCAGTGGATGACCTGGATCCTTAACAGTGTTATCTCCCCTGTAGCATTCTAACACATGCTCCTCTGTAGAACAAAGAGCCTTAGATTTAGAGAAACGGTCCAACATCTCACCTGAGTTCCTCAGGGAGCAAACCTGGGGTCCTCTCTTCTACTGTTTGAAGCTTCCGGAGATTTGAAACTTCCCCATGTATTAAATTCTCCTGTCCTTCAGAGTCACATGAGAAGATCAGCAGCCTAGATTCGCACAAATTCTGGACCCATGGAGAAACTTCTCTATGTCAAAATAGAAAATTTACTTCCAACCACCTGAACTTTGATTTTCAGTCCACTCATATAGACCTTTAGAATATCTGGATTCCTCAAGTCTGTGGGCCAATGAGTAGAGAGTCCGATGTGGGTCACTTCCTGTACTGCCACAAGCTGTAAGCAAAACACATCTCACCTTTTAAAATATTTTAACTCCTTCCCATTCAATAATCTACTTTTCATTCAAAATACTTTTCATAGTGTGCGTGTGTGTGTGTATATATGTATGTATGTATGTATGTATGTATGTATGTATATATATATATATAATGTATGTATGTATGTATGTATATATATATATATATATGTGTGTGTGTGTGTGTGTGTGTGTATATATATATATATATATATATAGTCTATATATATGAGAATGAGAGTGTCCAAACCATTGACTGGTAATGTGTATGGAGATTATTATTCTCTAGTTGATGCTAGTTGAGTCTTTTTTTCTCGTTGGGTCTCCTGGATTCATCATCAGTGTCTCATGTTAGCTGCACTTATTTAGCTTTCAGCTCTCACAACTAATACACTACGGGAAATGATAATGGACAATGTCATTGATCCGCTAACTACCCCTAAACAACATGAAGGATCTTAAAGCTGCTAACGTGAATGTGGTCCTGCCGTGTACCTATTTGCAGACAGATGTGACATCCTCAGCTGTACCGCTGCGATCCCCACTGCTGTGTTTGTGTCACCCAGAGAATCAGAGTGTCTTCGGAAGTGACGACAGCTCCTATAAGGTGTATTAAACTGCTTTTGAATTACTCAGCGTGTAATAAACTCCACTGAAGGAGCTCCATATATAAAAAGCATTATACAATCTATAACCTGACTGATCGATCAATATTATCTTCTAAGACTTTTCTGTGTCACATGGTGGTGATGATAGGGAGGATGTATGTGATACTTTCAGTTCACTGTGTCTCTTACTGCCTCAGCATTAAAGTGTCATTATTGCCTTTAACATGTCTGAATTTATTGATCCGTGTATTCAACCCAGATACAGATGTATAGATTATTTATGTGACTAAAATATAAGACAAAAAACATACTCAAGTCAACTAACCTCAGTATATTATTATAATGTACTAAATATATATTTATTGAACTTGTATGTTTTAAATGCTTATTTAATTAAAAGTTTTTTTTAGAAAAAAAATGAGAGGTGCCGTATTTATTCTCACGTCGGTGACGTAATGACGCACCGTGCGAAGAGGGCGGGTCCTCTTGCGTCAGACCCGGAAGTGATGTTAAGTCAGCAGACTCAGTAAAAACAACAACATCGCCGCGCTGTCCGTTGATAACGGTTATTTTACCCGAAAAACCCTGACTAGGGAGAGGGTAGAGATGTGGATCCAACCGGAGGAGGTTCTACTGGCCGGAGCTCTGTGGGTGTCTGAGCGGGCAAACCCGTTCTTTATCCTGCAGAGGAGGAAGGGACACGGCCGCGGGGGGGGGCTGTCTGGTGAGTCACTCTGCGAACCAGTCCGCTATAGCTAACGTCCACTTCGGTCCACTAGACTACACTATAGTCCTCTACAGTCCGCTACGGGTTTTATTATTCTATTATATATATTATTTAATGGGTTTAAATGTAGTTTTATTGAGGTATTTATTATTTAAATTGCCTTGTTGTTGTGCAATACAACTGAACTTGTCTAGAGACACTATAGAACACTACAGTCTGCTAAAGCGGTTTTTCAACAGCTAAACTACTTGGCCGTAAATAACAGTTTTGATGTCTTCCAGTCAGGCTTTCGTCAGCGCCACAGTACTGAAACTGCTCTTGTTAAGATCCACTTAAACAGACATTGCCAGACTTTCAGTCTCAGTATTACTGGATCTCAGCGGGGCATTTGACACAGTTGACCATGACATACTGGACAGAATAATCAACTGGGTGGGACTCTGGCACAGCACTTAACTGGTCTGAATCCTACTTGAAATACTCAGAATGCTTTGTCTGTAGCTAATTACACATCTGAGCTGAAGAAAATTGCATGTGGTGTTCCCCAAGGTTCAATACTGGGGCCCCTTCCTGTTTAACATCTACATTGGCTCAGATTATGGGAAAAATATTCTCTTATGCAGATGACAGATCAATGTACATAACTATATCACCAGGGGACTACAATACAAAGGCTGAGTAAATGTAATTTGAACAAATCGATTGTGCTTTGGCAGGCGCCAGGATTTAATTTATTCAGGGCGGAGGCGGGTAATCCGACAGCGCAGAAGAGTTCACCTTTAAATGTAAACGTTAAGTACGATAATTGACTCGAATATCTAACGATAAAAGTGTTATCAGTTAAGTTACGTGACGTTTGTAACCGATGTTAACTCCGTCATGCTGCCACCCCACATACTTTATACATTTTGGGGGTTTTGAGGTTTTCAGACCGGTTTTGCCAGACCGTCCCATTTCAGAGACCGTTCGGTTCAGCCTATGCAGTTGTTGGAGCACCCAGCCCAGGTCTACCGCGAAGACTGCTGAAGGCTGGAGGCTCCCAACCACTAGGTGGAGGCACCTTTGGTTGGTGCATACTTAGAGCATGTAGGATCGGGTGAGAGAAAGACAGAAAAACTACAAGAATGCTATTACATCTTCGAAGTGTGGACCACGGTGAAATTGAAACAAAAGTACTTGTACAACAAGTTAGTTACATTACACTCTAAACTAAACTATTAGTTTACCTCTTTCCCTGTCTCTATTTCGCTCTGTTTTACTTGTTTACCTCTTTCCCTGTCCGTCTGTGTTCAGGTCTACTGGGTCTCTTTGTTCAGGTTTACCTATATACCTGTCTGGTTCTCGGCGGTCAGGTCTACTGGTTTACCTCTGGTGTGTTGTGTTTAGATCTCTTGGTTTACCTACGTCCTTGTTTCTTTATGTGTTCAGGTTTACTGGTTGGGACTCTGGATGTGGTGCTGGACTCCAGCGCCAGAGTGGCTCCTTACAGGATCCTGCTGCAGACTGCAGACTCTCAGATCTACTGGAACGTGGCTTGTGGTTAGTCCGGTCGACCAAGAGTGCTTGGATTGTTCTAAGTGTTTGAGTGGCGTTTATTGACCCTCAGTTATGTATTTTAGGCTCATCCAGGAAGGAGATCACTGAGCACTGGGATTGGCTGGAGTCCAACCTACTCCAGACAATCTCCATCTTTGACAACGATGAAGACGTTACCACGTTTGTCAAAGGAAAAATCTCTGTATGTAACTTCTGGTTTGACCCGTCAGGTTGTCTTTTTTTGTGTATGATCATTTCAGTGAAGGATTTCCCTTCCTGTAGGGCATCATTGCGGAGGAGAACCGGCTGAAGCAGGGTGAGGAGCAGGAAGAGGATTGTGGAAAGTTTCAAGAGGCAGAGCTGAAGATGAGGAGGCTGTTTGCGATGCCTGAAGAGGAGAAGCTGGTGAATTATTATTCCTGCAGCTACTGGAAGGGCCGAGTGCCGCGCCAGGGCTGGCTCTACCTGTCCGTCAACCACCTGTGTTTCTACTCTTTCCTATTGGGCAAGGAGGGTACGAGCGGCCAATCACAGCACAGTTTAATAATGTAATCTAATTATTCTCTGCAGGACCAAATAGGAGACATTTTATTTCCGAGTTACTAAGGGTAGTATGGAGCCAAATTCAGGTCAAAAGTTCTGATCATTTGAAAAACAAATGTTAACCTGAAAGATTAAGTTTTAGTCTTGAACATTAAGCTGTCACTCATGTTTACATGCCCCTCTGAGTTGATGCCCCACCCCTTACGCCACTCAAAAGTGAAAAAAAGGATTTGAAACTAGAAAATATAAGATTTAAATCTGAAAATATGACATGTGCCACCAAAAAATATAGTACAGCAAAAAGTATACATAAGTGAAGAATGAAAAAAGATATTTCCAAAATATTATCGAACTGAGTCAAAACTATATTCAACCCCAAAACATTTTTTATCCACTTATTTTTAATTTGAATAGATTGTTGTCTTTTTCAATGTTCAAGATCAATACTTTCAGGTTCACTTTTTTTTTTTTTAAACATCAAAACTTTGGACCTGGATTTGGCTCCATAGGGTAGTACCAGGGGTTACAAGAGTTAGTACTAGGGTTTACAGGGGGAAGTAGCGGTTGTTACAAGGGGTAGTATTATGGGTTACTAATGGCGCGTTCCCACCGAGCGGTATGGTACGGTACGGGTCGGGTCTGTTAACCATGATTTGGCGAGCGTTTCCACCGCCAACAGTACCCTTACTTGATAGGCGTGGTGTATTCCAGAAAGTAGTGATAACGTCACGTGATAGGCGTGGTGTATTCCAGAAAGTAGTGATAACGTCACTTGATGGGCGTGGTATATGACGGAAAGTAGATTGACGTCATTCGATCGCGCAAAAACTGAAAGCTAACCGCAAACAACAATGGAGGACATACAGCCGATCCTGTTCCTGCTTCTCGAAATGTGGCTGTTTGTCACAAGGAGACGACCATCTTTGTTTGAGCAAGGGTACATGCTGCAAGGAAAAACACACTTGCGGCACGCGCAAATGACGACACTCTTTCAACCAATCAACGTTCTGCAGTGAGTCTAGCTCCACCCTTTAGTACCAAACAACTGTGCCAGGTACCCCAACGGAAGGGTACCCAAAAAGTGGTACGGTACGGTTCGGATTTTTGGTACCATTCTCAACTTTTGGCAGTGGAGACACAAATAAAAGGGTACCGACCCGACCCGTACCGTACCGCTCGGTGGAAACGCGCCATAAGTGTAGAACTCAGGGTTACTAGGAGTAGTACCAGAGCTTATAAGGGGTAGTAGCGGTTATTACAGGGGGTAGTACCAGGGTTCAATAGAAGTGGTAATAGGGATTACAAGGTGTAGTACTAGAGGTAGTACATGGGGTTACTAAGTGTAGTACTAGGGGTTACTTGGGGTAGGACCAGGGGTTACTAGGGGGTTGGTAGTAGTAGGGATTACTAACACAAGGAATCCTTCAGTATTATGTTACTCTTAAATACTTCTTTGTAATCAAGCCAATAATACCATATATATTTACTTTTTCATGTTCATGGATAAGACATTTCTCCTGATGTTGATGATTTCATTTTCATATAAAGAACGCATCTCCTCTTTCTCTCAGTGACCCTGGTGGTGCAGTGGACGGAGGTGACCCAGCTGGAGAAGAACGCCAATTTGGTGTTTCCAGAGAGTGTTCGTGTCAGCACGCGTCACACTGAGCATTTCTTCTCCATGTTCCTGAACATCAACGACACCTTCAAGCTGATGGAGCAGCTCGCCAACATTGCCATGCGCCAGCTGCTCGACAACGAGGCCTTTGCTGCCGACCTGACGCTGCCCAAACCCTGCAAGACACTGAAGAATGTCTCCATACTCAAGAGGTATTAGTATCTGTGTGAAGAGGTATCACTTCTTATGTGTGAATCTGCATCACTCTGTTCATTATTTGTACCCAGAGCTATCACTCTATTCACCATCTGGGAAGTATTACTCTGCTCATTATCTATGTCAACAGGAATCCCTCTGTTTATTGTTTGGCACTCTGCAGTTTATGATGCAGCCTCCATGTTGTGCCCCTGAAGTAGTCTGGACCAATCTGATAGTTGATCTTTGACCTCACGTGTTCTTCTCCTCGCTGCAGGGATCTGGACGCGAGGGCGAAGAACGAGCGCTATCGGACAATGTTCCGTCTGACGCAGGACGAGCGCCTGGACGGACACACGGACTGCACGCTGTGGACGCCGTTTGCTAAGATGCATGTGGTGGGACAGCTCTTCATCTCCAACAACTACATCTGTTTCAACAGCAGAGAAGAAGGCTTGTGTCAGCTCATCATCCCTCTCAGAGAGGTAAGCCAGGGGTTAACGAGGAATCTCGTCATGGTAACGGGATTAACAAGACAACTTGTTCAATCAAGAGTCCTTAATGGGAAAACTACGGCTGCACACTATGGCCAAAAATCCATATCATGGTATTAAGAAAAATTCTGACGGTATTGCTTTTTCAAATAAACACATGAAATCATTGACCCAGAAAACGACCGCGTATACTGATTGAACCCTACGGAAAACACAGCTCTCATGGCCATAGCACGTGACAATTAAACCCAAAGTCCATAAGTAACAGACATGATATAAACAAAGTAACAAGACATGGTACGTCTTGGCCACCATGCTCGTTAATCATTACCCATCATCCTCTGCTCCTCAGGTGTCCATTGCGGAGAAGGCGGACAGCAGCAGTGTGCTACCGTGTCCCGTCTCCATCAGCACTAAGAACAAGATGAATTTCCTGTTTGCCAACCTCAAAGACAGAGACTTCCTGGTCCAGCGCATCTCTGACTTCCTGCAGCGCACGCCGGACAGCTCGCGAGGCGACACGAGCCCGCTGTGTCTCGTCGGCCCCTCTGTAAGTCGCTCATTGTTCATGTTGAGGACACAAAACACATCAAAGCTATAATATACAGTGCCTTATATAAGTATTCATCCCCTTGGACTTTTCTACACTTTGTCATGAGTAAAATGTTCATTGGGATTTGGACAAACACAAATTAGTCCTTCATCCAGAAATCTCAGGATAAATACACATTGTTCTGTGGAGACCATTACTGAACAAAGAGCATCATGAAGACCAAGGAGCTCACCAACAGCTCAGGGATAACTTGTAAGTATGAAGAGGGGTTAGCTTATAAAAAAAAATCCTACACTTTGACTTTTTCACGGAGAACCAAGTCCATCATCAAAAAATTGAAAGAACATGGGACAGCCGCATACCTACCAAGAGATGGCTGAAACGGGGCAGCCAGAAAAGGAGGAGATGTGTCAAAGGAGCAACCAAAAGGTAAGGTAGAAAACTAGTCGCAATGAGGGAAAGACAGATGGAGCAAAATGCAGTGCAATTTTTGAAGAAAACACGATGCAGTCTGTAAAAGACTTGAGACTGGGGCTGAGGTTCATCTAACATACAGCCAGAGCTACAATGAAAATGGTTTACATCAAAGCATGTTCATGCTTTAAAATGGCCCAGTCAAAGCCCACACCTCAATTTAAATCAATGGAAAGATTTGAAAAGTGCTGATCATAGACGGTCTCCATCCAACCTGGGCTTCAAGATTAATGGAGGAGCATTTCCATCTGTAGATGTGCAGGTATGGTGGAGACATACCCCAAAAGTCTTTTTTTTTATTGGGCATCCCTGCTGTAATATACCAAGCTCAGCCATCCGTGAGGAGCCGCTGCTCCTTTGTGTTGAAAGGAGCCAGTTGAGGGGGTTTGGACATCTGGTAAGGATGCCCCCTGGGTGCATCCCTAGATAGGTGTTCCAGGCACGGCCGGCTGGGAAGATCCAGGACTAGGTGGGGAGATTATATCTCTGCACTGGCCTGGGAACGCCTTGGATTCCCCAGTCAGAGCTGGTAGATGTGGACCGGGAAAGGAAAGTTTGGGGTCACCTGCTGGAGCTGTTTGTGTTCTAGTTCTAATGTGTTTTGTGTCCTCAGGCCTCATCCATGTCCTCAGGGTCAGAGGCTGTCCACGAGACTCCTCACTACCACCCTGGTCTGTCCACAGCCAGCCAGGGTTTACTGCAGCTCTACCACCAAGACGCCCGGGAGGACCTGGGGCCCAAAGCTGTGAGTTCAAGTCCCAATACCTGTAGACGCTGAGGAGTACTGTTATGTATTAAGGAGTAGCGCTGGTTGCTGAGGAGTACTGTCGGGTACTGAGGCGTTCTGACACTGATTCAGTTTTGCTATGTTTAGGTCTGACATTTAAGTTATTGATACAGACTGATATGTGAATGTGTGAATTGAAGCTACAGTTTAATGGTCCATCTTCTCTCTTCCTCCTCCTCTCCTGCCCACTTGTAGATGAGGGAGAAGATGAAGGAGGAGGCGTGGAACATACATTTCTCGGAGTTCGGTCGAGGTGTCTGCATGTACCGAACCTCGAGAACCAGAGAGCTGGTCCTCAACGGGATCCCAGAGAGCCTAAGAGGAGAGCTGTGGCTGCTGTTCTCAGGTCAGCGTTCATATCCATATCACAGGTACCCATACTTGTACTTGTATTCACCCGTCCCCTTGTTTGTACAGGAGCACAGAACGAGATGGCCACCCACTCTGGCTACTACGGTGACCTGGTGGAGCAGGCCATGGGGCTGTGTTCATTGGCCACCGAGGAGATTGAGCGTGACCTTCACCGCTCAATGCCAGAGCACCGTGCATTCCAGAACGAGACGGGCATCGCGGCACTGCGCCGCGTCCTCACCGCCTATGCCCACCGCAACCCCGGGATCGGGTACTGTCAGGTACAACGTAATCAATACTGTCAGTCCAACATGATCAATAGTGGTGGAGGGAGGGTGTGGGGAGGGCAGAGGCATTCAGGGAGGGACAAAGGGGGAGAGGGGGTTCAAGATGTCTGTCTAAGAGGACTGAATAGCTCCAACTCAAGTGTCAGAGGGACACAAGTGAGTGCTTGTGTGTTTCTGGTTGTCATGGTGATGGACGACAGCTGCACCATCTGTCGTGTTTCACGCGCTAATCAAAGGGTGAGAACTATAAACTACACATCAAGCGCCCCTAGACGCCAAACCAAAGCAATTCACCGCCAGAACACTACGTGGAGTTTTTGTCGAAGACGATCTAGAGAATGTCGTCTTTGTGTGTGGGAGTCGTTGGTTTGTTTATTTACTCCGACATTTGCAGAGATCTCCCTCCACGCTCGTCCTTCTAGTCCACCAATGACGGGTTGTATAGATGGTCATATTTCCGTATTTCTTCCAACAAAAGCTCTTCAATCTGATTCATTCTCTCTTCAAAAATCTTCCTTTTTAAAAAAGCGGTATTGTGCTATGAAACCGGAAATGTGAGACTCCGGAAAGGATGTACTTAGCAGGCCGATCACAGTCTTGTGGGCTGCGTGAGGCTTGCCTAGCTTTTGACGCTAGTCTAGAAAAATTGGTCGACGCGCACAAGAAGGGGTGAAAAAAGGGCTCTTGCCTGCGTATCCCTGTGTTTTTCTGAAAACGCACAACCATAAACTAGAAGAAGGATTTGAAAGTTGAAGAAGTTGAACAGAATTTGAGAATGTACTTGTACAGAAAAATAATAATATTGCTGAATATTTTAAAAAGTATATAATAAAAAATAAAAAAATTAAGTAAATATAGTGTGATGATATCAATATATTCAAAAGAATTTCTCCTGGTTCCTCCTTCAGGCGATGAACATTGTCACTTCCGTCCTGTTGCTCTACTGCCCAGAGGAGGAAGCCTTCTGGCTGCTGGTGGCTCTGTGTGAGAGGATGCTGCCCGACTACTACAACACCAGGGTTGTGGGTCAGTACTAACACCGTGGTCTGTAGTAGTAGATCAGAGTTTACTTCTTTAAAGAACACATGGTCTTCCTTAAATCATGAAACATTTTACTGATGCTGATATCTGCTGTGCTGGAGAACAAATTGTGAAAAAAAGAAAAGCCAGAGTCATCAGCGGCGGTGAGGTGTAGCCTCAGGAAACACTGCAATATTCTCCTATGGTTTCTGTCCCTGCAGGTGCTCTGGTGGATCAGGGAGTGTTTGAGGAGTTGACTCGAGCCTTCCTCCCTCTTCTGTATGAACACATGCAGGAGCTGGGTGTGATTTCCACCATCAGCCTGTCCTGGTTCCTCACACTCTTTCTGTCTGTGATGCCCTTCGACAGCGCTGTCCTATTAGTCGATTGCTTCTTCTACGAAGGAATCAAGGTCACCTTCCAGGTAAGAATTCATTGGGCTGACTGATCATGTATTGATCACTGATTGATTAGCTGTTACGGTGTAACTGTCTATGTGCAGGTGGCGCTGGCTGTGCTCTATGACAACATGGATGCCCTGCTGTCCTGCAGCGATGAGGGAGAAGCCATGACCATCCTGGGCAGGTATCAGTCCAGACAGGTGTATGCATAAATTAAAAAATACAAATAATCCAAGCAAGCATCAAAGGCGCTGTTCTGTGTGTGAGTTTAGGTACCTGGATAATGTTGTAAACAAACAGACTGTGGCTCCTCCCATTCCTCACCTGCATGCCCTACTGACAAGTGGAGACGATCCTCCACCTGAGGTTGACATCTTTGATCTCATCAAGTCTTCCTATGAGGTCAGAATTGCTCATGTGTGTTGCTCGTATGCAGTCAGATCTCTCACTAACTCCTGCGGCTTCAGTGTCAGATTAATTCTATGCTTTTTTAAGGTAGTTTTTGTTTTTCTTCTTTGAGCAGAAGTTTGGCAGCTTGCACTCTGATGTCATTGAACAGATGAGGTTTAAACAGAGGTTAAAGGTCATCCAGTCACTGGAGGACACGGCCAAGAGGAGTGTGGTGGGTGATGTTTGAGTTCTGCGGGCTAAATGCTAACATGCTAAAGTAGACAAAGGGTTTACATTGTGTGTGTGTGTGCGTGCGCAGGTTAGGGCGATGATGACGGAGTCCGCCTTCAGTATTGAGGAGCTGGAGGAGCTCTACTGTCTCTTTAAGGTCAGAAGTCTTCAGATCTATAAACCTTTCTGTCTTTTAAACATGGATTTCTGATCCATGAGATTTCAAATAATTTGATCCCATTTCTACTTTGGCCTTGACTTTGGTTTCTACACCTCTCATGATTACACCATCAAACAGATGGAGATCTAGTGTTGGACATCCTTTGGAAAAATCCACTTTGACACAGAACGCTCCGTCTGACGAAGTTGTTGCTCTTCCTCTACAAAGGCCAACTAGGCATGACAATGCCTTCCAAAATATCACTCACTAAAAAACATGTGTCTTTATGTTGGGTGATTCAAAATGAGCCAACTATCAACTATCCAATGATTCCAACTATCATCCATCCCCCAGTGCAGGTAGACTGCTTCATGGATACATCACATCAACTTGGGAAGTAGGACTTATGCCTTTCCACCCGGAATATTATATTCTCCATTGACCTTAATAATTGCCTCAGAAATAATCAGCTGCTTACTGCTTAGAGCTCTTTGTAACATTTTCAACACAGCGTTCTCCAAATATACAACTCCTAATAGATGAAACCAACATCTTTCTTGAAGAAACCATTTTGTGTTGGTGGAGTTGAAGAGAGCCTGTTTAAGGTACAGCTTCAGGGTCTTGAACACTGGACTACAATTGCTGCTTTGCATATTTTTGAGTGCTGGATGAAGCAGTTAAATCAATTTACAGGTTAGGGGACTGAGATTATTCACCTCGTTACAATTCAATATCCTTGATACTCGAGTTAAAACAATCTCAATTGGAAAAGGGACTTTCAAGACTTGAATCTGGGGGGGAGTAGGGGGGGGGGGGGGGGGCAGAGCTTAGAGGTAGGTGAGAAACACTGAATCAAAAAATAGGGAAACAATATTGTACTTGCGGTTTGAAGAATGCTTCGTAGAGGTAGTTTTATAGAAAACGTGTAAAATAGTTCTTAATAAAGTTTTTAATAAACTAATTTATTTTTAATAAATATAGTTCTTGGTTCTAAGCAAAATGAGGAACTGAACCATCCCTAAATATTACATTATAAATAAATATAAACCTGAGCCAGCCATAACTATAAACCTGAATGGATTAGTTATCAAAAAGGAAAGTCGTTAACTGCCTCTTAGTAAGATGCGATTGTGTTTGCCCTCTGAAATCAAGATAACGATGTATCAATACTTTTCTAATTATTCATCATAGGTTTATTGTGATGATGGTGATTAAACATTGTCTGTGTCGCCACACTAGACTTGAATTGTGTGTAGTTGTTTTAATCTGAGTGCCAATGATTTTAAAACGTGTTTTTTACAACTTTGGCTTCAGTCCAAACACATGACGAGCTGTTACTGGGGCTCCAGCAGCTCTGCAGCCGAGCGCCACGATCCCAGCCTTCCTTACTTGGAGCAGTACCGCATTGACCCAGCTCAGTTCACCCAGCTGTTCACGGCACTGGGTCCCTGGGTCTGTGGAGGCCACACCTCCACCCTGTCGACCCGCCTCTTCAGACTGTTGGACCAGAACAAGGACGGACTGGTCAACTTCAAAGAGTTCATCACTGGACTCAGTGAGTCCACAAACGGGAAGCTTTGCTCCTGACAATCTAAAGTCTGAATATCAGCAGATTTAAATATTACTCTGTATCTGTGTTTGTGTGTCTGCAGGTGGGATGTACCACGGAGATATGACGGAGAAACTCAAGCTGCTGTACAAGCTTCACCTCCCTCCAGGTAACAGTCACACAACTCAGATGTGTGTGTGTGTGTGTGTGTGTGTGTCTGTGTGTATGTGGAGCTGTGTCTCATTTGGGTTAGGGTTAGGCTTCCTCCTCCCGATGCTGCTCATCATTCATCGGCCGCATGCGTCACACGCTGCGACTCAGCTGTCCCGTTCCGTCAGCTCCTTCAACGAGGTCCAAGGACGCAGACCTCCAGCGGACGATTTGGAGGACACACCTGACCTATTCTATACAGCCCAGCTTATCCCATCATGCATCATGAATTTAATCCATTTTGGAATAAGGCTGTAACATAACAAAATGTGGAAAAAGTGAAGCGCTGTGAATACTTTCCGGATGCACTGTAAATGAAATAAGAAGATTATCTTCTCGATGTGTACTTTATACCTTTGGGGTTTTAGGCGTTTACTGTGCAGCAGGTTGCTAGGCAACATGAGTGGTGGAGAAAAAGCTGATGATGCGAACAAGAAGTTCCCCGTAGGCCAGAGCGTCTCCTTTCAGAGACAGCTTGGTTCATGTGGTCGTTGGAGGAGCCGGCCCACGTAGACCAGAAGTACGGGTCCTCATCAGGATGCAGCCCTCCAAATGAGTGTGTGTGTGTGTGTAAAACCTTCTGTTTAAATGAGGCTTCTGTGTTCAATTAGGACAGTTTGTAAAATGTTTCACTATAAATCAAAGTATTTAGAGTTTTCAGGGGCTTTTCAATTTCAATTCAATTCATTTTATTTTGTATAGCCCAAAATCGCAAATTACAAATTTGCCTCAGAGGGCTTTACAGTCTGTACACATACAACATCCTCTGTCCCGAAACCCACCATCGGCACAGGAAAAACTCCCCAAACAATGAAAAAAACCCTTCCAAGAGGGAAAAAAGGGAAGAAACCTCAGTGAGAACGTCAGAGGAGGATCCGTCTCCTGATGGACAGACTACAATGATGTCATGTGTACAGAATGAACAATGTATAATACATGAGACTATATGACAGAAATGATTCAAGCAATTGTGAGTAGTAAACCAGGCGCACAGCAGGACCACTGCAGGGACCACCACCATCAGATAGAACCACCATCAGATAGAACCACCATCACATAGAACCACCATCACATAGAACCACCATCAGACAGAACCACCATCAGATAGAACCACCATCAGATAGAACCACCATCAGATAGAACCACCATCCACAGAAGCCCGTGGGGAGGGAGAGAACAGAGACTTTAGGAGAGGGTAATGTTGGTTTATGAGTACAGTAATATGATTCATATCTAAAATGATGATGATGATGATGGCAGCAGCAGGCGTCAGCAGGGCCACGGCAGGTGTCAGGACCAGGTTCCAGAAGGAACTACGATCTACGGAGACCTGCTAGGGGAGAAAGCACAAAAAACTCCCGGAAAGAAGCTGAATTAGTCATGTGCATTAATAAAACGTGAATTATGGTAGAACAAGAGCATGAGAGAGGAGCTTGGTGTGTCCTAAGAAGTCCCCCGGCATTCTAAGCCTATAGCAGCTTAACTAAGGGCTGGTCCGGGCTGACCTGAGCCAGCCCTAACTATAGGCAGAATCAAAGAGGAAAGTTTTACTTTAAAAGAGCTGACAGAATCTGCCCCCCGGACTGAAAGTGGAACCTGGTTCCACAAAAGAGGAGCTTGATAACTGAAGGCTCTGGCCCTCATCCTACATCTATGGAGCGCAGCTGCCTTGTAGGGCAATAAGGTGTTACAAGCTTTTTAAGATACGACGATGCCTCACCACCAAGTGCCTTGAAGGTGAGGAGAAGTACCTTAAAATCTATTCTTGATTTAAGAGGGAGCCAGTGCAGAGAAGTTGATACAGGAGTGATATGATCCCTTTTCTTAGTTCTTGTTAATACACGTGCTGCAGCATTCTGAATCAACTGGGGAGGCTTAAGAGATTTACAAGAGCAGCCCGATAACAGATAATTACAGTAGTCCAGTCTGGAAGTGACAAACGCATGAACACATTTTTCTGCATCACTTTGAGACAGGAAGTTCCTGATTTTTTATATGTTACGTAGATGAAAATAGGCGGTCCTTGAAGTCTTCTTTATATGCGAGTTGAAGGTCATATCCTAGTCGAAGAGAACTCCCAGATTCCTGACGGTGCTGCTGGGTACCAGAGCAATTCCATCTATAAAAATTGTATCACGTGACAGCTGGCTTCGAAGGCGCTCTGGGCCTATCAGGATAACTTCCGTTTTTTCTGAGTTTATCATCAGGAAGTTGCCGGTCATCCAAGTTGGATTTCTCGAAGACATTCTTGAAGTCTAACTAGCTGGTCCGTCTCTTCTGGTTTGATCGACAGATACAGTTAGGTATCGTCTGCAAAACAATGGAAGTTTATGCGGTGTTTCCTGATAAGATCGCCCAAAGGAAGCATATAGAGGGTAAATAAAATCGGTCCAAGTAAAGAACCTTGTGGGACTCCGTGACCAACATTGGTGGTCTTTGAGGATTCACCGTCTACAGGCACAAACTGGGATCGATCCGATAAGTAAGATTTAAACCAGCTGAGTGCAGTTCCTTTGATACCAATTAAATGTTCTAGTCTCTGCAACAGGATACAATGGTCTATGGTATCAAATGCGGCACTGAGGTCCAGCAAGACAAGAAAAGAGATGAGTCCTTGGTCCGATGCAAGTAGAAGATCATTAGTAATTTTCACCAGTGCTGTTTCTGTACTGTGATGCGCTCGAAATCCTGACTGGAAATCCTGGAACAAAGCATTGTTTTGTAGAAAGTCACATAATTGATTTGCGACGGATTTCTCAAGGATCTTAGAGAGGAAGGGAAGATTAGAGATAGGTCTGTAGTTAGCCAACACCTCTGGAGCAAGAGTAGGTTTCTTAAGAAGAGGTTTAATTACAGCTACCTTGAAGGACTGTGGTACATGTCCTGTCAACAAAGACAGATTCATAATATCTAATAAGGATGTGCTAACTAAAGGAAAAACTTCCTTAAGCAGCTTGGTTGGAATCGGATCCAAGAGACAAGTAGAAGATTTAGACTTTGAAAATAAAGAAGTCAGTTGATCAAGGTTGATGGAAGAGAAGGCATCCAAACAGGCATCAGGGCCCACTGCTGCATCCAAGGTTCCTACATCGGAGGACAGGTCGGCACTGGTTGAAGGCAGGAGACCATCAATTTTCTCTTTGATAGTCAGAATCTTATCATTGAAGAAGTTCATGAAGTCGTTACTAGTGAGGTCCAAAGGAATACACGGCTCAACAGAGCTGTGACTCTCTGTCAGTCGGGCTACAGCGCTGAAGAGAAACCTGGAGTTGTTTTTATTTTTCTCTATTAATGATGAGTAATAAGATGCTCTTGCGTTACGGAGAGCCTTCTTATACGTTTTAAGGCTGTCTTGCCAAACTAGCCTAGATCCTTCTGATTTGGTGGAACGCCATAATCGTTCAAGTTTCTGCACAGTTTGCTTTAAGTTCCGTGTTTGAGGGTTATACCACGGAGCAGACTTCCTTCTTGTTGCTATTCTTCTTTCCAGAGGAGCAATAGCGTCCAGCGCCACTCTCAAAGAGCCTGTAGCAGTATCGACAAAATGATCGATCTGGGACGGACTGAGGTTCTCACAGGAGTCTTCTTGTATCTTGAGGCAGGGCACTGAACTTTTTCTACCTTTCGGCAGCAGTCTGTAATGTTTGGTGGTATTTATTCATATTTGGGCTGGGCAAGTTAACACGTTATTCTCACATTCAAAATTTCAATAGTTTATATGTCCAATTGTGAGAGAGAGATATATTTATCTCTCTGTATTTATTTACTGGTTTGTGTTGCAGCGCTGTGTCCTGAAGTGGCGGAGTCTGCTCTGGAGGCAACACACTTCTTCACTGAGGAGGAGCCACAAGGTAAACACGGATGAATACTACTGAAACTATAGCATTATTGATACTACTGCTACTTTAGTAGTATTATTACTACTATAGTAGCACACTGTAGTCCTCTATGTCCGTCTTGTTTGCAAATCAAAGAGGAATCAGTTGTTTGAAGGACAAATTAACTCAATTGAATACGAGAATATGAACTGATTAGATTTAAAACAATCCAATGTTATCTCATCAATCTTTTAGTATTCTAACTCATATGTTGCTTCATTTTTTTCTCTTCCTTCTTCTTCTCATTCTTCTTTTTCTCCTTCTCCTCCTCCAGAATCTTCCCTCTTATGTGATGTGGAGATGTTGGGGCAACCGGAAGTGACACCAGGTTTGTGATCTTCAGATGGTTCAGTATTTTCCTGAATGAATAACGAGTCCAGATGAGAAACCACGACTGCAGCTCATAAGGTCCACACACTCATACACACACAGTCGGCACCTGATAAACTATCACGTGACTCAATATCACATTATCCAGAACAAACTGATACGTCGTCCATAGTGTAAGAAAACACCAAAACGTAGTGCAATATGTAATATGCACCATGATGTAAAATCAAGATCAATTTCTATCACTTGGCTTCTACTGTTTTCATTCTTTCTCTTAATTGTTATTAACATTTTGCTCACTGGGACCCTTCAGTCCCTTTATGTGATGAAGATGATGGTTGTGATGATGAAGATCCTCCTGTGTACAGGTGAGGGGAAGGATGGAGGCAGAGATAGCGAAGAGAAGAAAGGTAAATGCTGTCAGCTGAGTTGTCATCTGAGTTAAGTTAGAACTTACCACCTACTGCAGGCGTGTGTTGTGGTGCACCGCCCCCCTGCAGGTAGTCCTTGATCTGTGACCTCTGACCTGTGTGTTGTTTCAGAGGAGAAGGTGAAGGACTATCGGTACTACCTGAGAATGTGGGCTACAGAGAAGGAACCCAAGGCCGAGACTATCAAAGACCTGCCCAGGATGAACCAGGTGAGAAGAGGATCCAGATGAGGTTCTTGTTGAGCTTGTAGTGCACAGCTGAGTGTGTGTGTGTGTGTGTGTGTGTGTGCAGGAGCAGTTCATCGACCTGTGCAAAACGCTGTACAACATGTTCAGTGAGGAGCCTCTGGAGCAGGAGCTGTATCACTCCATCGCCACCGTGGCCAGCCTGCTGCTGCGTATAGGGGAGGTCGGCAAGAGGTTCAACAACAACAACGGCGGCGGCAGGAAGGCCGACAACCCTGCCGCTCAGGGTCTGCCCACTGAACCTCAGAGGGAGGAGGCTCATGGCGAGGGGGGGTTAAGGGAGTCCCAGGTGTGCCTGGCTTTGGCCGACGCTCAGCTGGAGCCAGCAACTCTGGACGAGGAATCCAAAGACGACGTGTCGCTATCGTCGTATTCAGTGGTTAGCTCTGGCTCGTTGCCGTGTGATGACATCACTGACAACACTCTGCTTATTGGTGGCGGGAGGCGGAGGCGGGGAAGCGTGCTAGATGTCGATTGGTCAATCACCTTTGAGCAGGTGCTGGCATCGCTGCTGACGGAGCCACCACTGGTGGACTACTTTGAGAAGAAGAGGGACTTTAAGAACAAGATGGCAGCCTGTAAGGCGCAGAGGGCGGTTGAGCGTCAGACAAGCTCCACCTCCGACCACGAACTCACTCAGCATTCCATCTGACTCCCCTCTACTGGCCTCTCCTCCACCTGACCCCCCTACACCTGGCTCTCCTCCACCCGTCCACCTCCACCTGACTTCCCTCGACCCGTCGACCTTCATCTGGGACTCCTTCACTTGACTCCCCTCCACCTAATAATCCCAAATCCTTCCTGTTTAAACTCAAGAACAAATCATGAGTTTGAATGACACAAGTCACAAGTTAAAAAACTAAAAAAAAATCTCAAAATCTGTGAAGAAACTGATGAAAGATTGAAAGTTATAGTTTGGAGGATACAAGTTGTCTGATGAGCAGGTTAGCAGGTTATATGATAAAGTTTAAGAATTGTAAATAACAAATTATTCAGTTTTTCATTGATTTTAAGAAAATAAATCAAAGTAAATAGTTTTCCTGAGAGAACAAAATTATCTGTAATGGAAAAATGCTTTAGTTCCTTTACCGATATATATTAACTAAATAATATCAGCTTTTTTACTTTTACTATATTTACGTTACTAAATCCTTGTTTGTTTGTGCTGGTTGTTTCTGATGACATCATTCCTGTTTACTTCCTGCTGAAACAATGATTTCAAAGGGTGTTTTTAATTCAGCTATTTTGCTGTATTTATTTTTCTTTTAAAATGTATCAAGTGAATTGAGTTATTTATCAGTATTATGTTGTCTAATAAATGAAGTAAATTCCTTTTTCTCGAGATATGGTCTCATGTTTGTTAATTTATGAATCAAAAGGTCAAGGTTCAGACTTTTAGGGCTTTTCTTGCTAAGATCTGTTTGTAATGGAGCAAATTGACCTGGAAGTATTAAAAAAGGTGGAATGTTCTAAATGCTTCCTGATCCTTTAGCATAAGGAAAACTAGACCCTCTTTTACCAAAGGAAAGGACTGTCCCACGATTCTTTAATTTAGCCCGGGTATAGGATTAATGTAGCCTGGGTGTAGCTTGAATTATGTATGGTTTTTGTATTTTATGGCTTGTGTTAGAAAAACATCTGAACAGGTTTATTGGTTATTTAACCTTTTGTTAAAATGCACACAGGTTATCTTCTTTTATTGTGTAACCTGTGCTGTGGTACTCCGGCCGGTGGGTGGCGCTCGGGGGGGAAACACGTACTGTTTCCGCTGCAATGTTTTTCCTCCGGTGTCGTCGCGGTCTGAACGGTTCAAAAGCGCCCGGGAACACCGACCCGTAGAATCAGAACCGGGACCGGAGCGTTGACCCTCCGTCATGGTTCAGGAGTTTCACGTCCTCAGGTGTTATTCATGTGAAAGCTTCCAAGTCCAACAGGTAACAATTAACGTTTCACTTAAACACAGATTCTGAAGCTAAAGGCTATTAGCATTAGGCTATAAAGTCAAGGATTTCCGTGTAGCCGCCAACAAAAGCGCGATGATACGTAAGGTAAGGAGCGTTCATGACCGAACGTGCCAACTGTTATTCAGAAAATTCACCCGTCTGAAGGCAGAATAAAGAATTTAGGCTAAAATATATCAGTGGACGTGAGGGTAAAAGTAATTTGTTACCCAAAACCCCGTAGAAACTCTGTTAGAGAGTTGTTTTAATGGTGCATTTCCAAAGGTAGATAATAGGGCATCGAAATATACTAAAATTAGTATACGGGAGTTCTATATTGTTTTAATGACCTATTGACATATTCATGCGTCGTCCCTGTGCTTTGTCGGTCAGGTGAAGAAGGTGAACAAGTGGATTTGTAAGCTTTGTGGAGAGAAGCAGTCGCAGCTGAAGGTCAGAATCTCTCCAGTTCTCTCACTCATCATTTCTTATTCCAGTATTCTAACCTTTCCACCTGATGTTTTTGCAACAGACTCTATTCAGAAACTCACTGAATTAGAGCCCAAGCCGTTGTGTGATTGTGACATTGTTTCCCTTGCAGTACGATGCCACAGCTGCTTCATAACCACGTGTTCACAGGTGTCACTTCTTGTGTGCTGATTGGTTGACAGGAGTTTGGGCGGGGCTCCGGAGCTGAATGCAGACGCCATGTTCAGAAACTTAACGCCATGAGAGGAGCAATGATGGAGGAGCACAACAGCTGCTCTCTACGGTAAGCAGCCATGTTCTGTCCAGATGTCCTCACCTGGTGCTGCCTCTTTAATGTAACGGATTGTGTTAACAGGAAGCAAGTGGAGGCAGAGAGAGAGGATGTACCTGAGGAAGACGACCAGGTGACTGCACACACTGGTCTTCACCCTCGTAATGTCCTCCTGTTTGCTATACACCTCTTGTACTCTGGGTTCTTTTTGAATGATTTTAATTTTTTAATTAAATGGCAGCACATAATTACGGCTGCTGTCCTCTGGAATTAAATGTGACCGTGTCTGGTTTGGCTGTTAAAGAACATAAAGTGGATTCTTCATCCCATCTGTGTTAAACATTTAATAACAACCTCATCAAGGTAGTTATTGAATACATTACATACAGAAAATGTATTGCATCTGAAATGTAAGGCCCATAATATCTAATTTACATAAACATTTACCTTGTTTTTGAGTTAAAAAAAAAATATATATATATATATATGATAGTCTGGTCCTGCCTCCTTATCTAACTCTCATCATATTAAGTGCAGTCCTCTTCTGACATTTCCGATTCTACCTTAACATGATGTTCATAATTTTCCTTCACTTCTGTTCCTGCAGTGGGTAATACGGCTTCTTCGGTAAGACTTGGCATGTGGTCTGTATGTTGGATCCATCACCTTATAATTATTTCCCTTCTGACCCTGAATCCTCATTATCATTTATAACAAGACCAATAACATGGCAATGGCATGTTGAATTTACAATTTTTAACTTTACAGTATAAAATAAAAGGCTATGAGCTATTGTTAAAATAAAAAGAAAAGATCAAAAAAAAAATTGCACTGGCAAACCAATAACTACACAACTATGTTGTGAGTGTTTGAAATGTGTGTATTGTGACAGGAGTGATCGGTGGAAAAAAATGTCAGATTCAGTCAGTGGGGGACCGGCTCTGTTGATGAGCCCGACTGCCGGCGGGAAGCAACCGTTTGTGTGGCGGGAGGTCTTAGTCCTGATGGACCTCAGCCTCCTGCCAGATGGAAGGGGCACAAACAGGTTTTGTCCGGGGTGAGAAGGGTCGGCTACCATCTTTTTAGCTTTAGGGTTCTGGAAGCGCCAAGCTCCCACTTGAGGTCCTGGGTGATGATGGAGCCCAGGAAACGGAAGGAATCCACAATAGTGACGGGGGAGTCACACAGGGTGATGGGGGAGGGTGGGGCTCTGTTCCGCCGGAAATCCACAACCATCTCCACTGTCTTCAGAGCGTTGAGCTCCAGGTTGTTCTGGCTGCACCAGGACACCAGGTGGTCAGACTCCACCTGTAGGCGGACTCGTCTTCACCAGAGATCAGTCCAATGAGGGTGGTGTCATCCACAAACCTCAGGAGCTTGACGGACTGGTGGCTGGAGGTGCAGCTGTTGGTGTACAGGGAGAAGAGCAGAGGAGGCTGAGACATGTTTCACGCGCTGCTTCCTGTCAGACAGGAAGTCTGTGATCCACTTGCAGGTGGAGTCGGGCGGTGCAGCTGGGAGAGTTTGTCCTGCAGTAGAGACGGGATGATGGTGTTGAAGGCAGAGCTGAAGTCCACAAACAGGATCCTGGCGTAGGTTCCTGGGGAGTCCAGATGCTGGAGGATGTAGTGGAGGGCCATGTTGACAGCATCGTCCACAGACCTGTTGGCGAACTGCAGGGGGTCCAGGAGGGTCTTCAAGTGGGTCAGGACTAGCCATTGAAAAGACTTCATGACTACAGAGGTCAGGGCGACGGGCCTGTAGTCATTGAGTCCTGTGATCCTGGGCTTCTTGGGAACAGGGATGATGGTGGAGGCCTTGAAGCAGGCTGGTACGTGGCATGTCGGTGGAGCTGTGGGGGATGACCGTGAACACCGCAGACAGCTGATGCTTCAGGGTATGGGGGGGAAACTGAGTCCGGTCCCGCTGCTTTGCGAGGGTTTTGTTTTTTAAAGAGTAAAAAGTTTTTAAGAGATGTAATGATCGGGGAAACCCTCTATGCTGTGTTCCAGATGAAGGAGACTGGATCGAGCCGTTGGCGCAAATACCTGGACACACCTGAGGCTGAGCCAGAGGATGAGGAAGAGGATAATGTCTCTCTGGACAGGCAGCAGCTCCGTGACAACCACATGACTGACAGGTATGACTGTTAAACCTACCTAATCAATATGTCACAGTACCTGAGGTCTTTTACAAAGATGTGATTCATGGTGCTGACTAGAGAAACCTAGTTTATAAAGACTGATTCTCAGAAGTTAATTCATGAATGAATGTTTATTTGATTTTAATCTGATAATTGACAGAAAGAGAGCGAGAATAAAAGGAAGACCAGACGGATGCACACCTGAACAGGTAAAATGGTCACATCACCATTTATTCACTGAATGATGGAATATTTTTTCTTCTAACTCCGAAATTTAATTTAAACTGTTTAGTTTCATGTTACTGTGGGTGTAGGTTTCCTAGTTGTATTTTCTCAATAAGTCATTGTTTGCTATTGAAGCATGATGACGTCTTTTCTCTGCAGGCAAACTACGCCAGTCCTCCCAGAAAGAGACTCATTAATCCTCTCAGTGAGAGTCCTGCTCCAGTCTCCAGGTGGGAGGAGTCAGTCAGTGATGACATCATCAGTCTGCCCCTCACCAGGTCATTACTTCCTGTTTCGTCAATGTTTGAGAGCGGAGAAGATTTCAGCTTTTAAGGGATTTTGAACAAAATGTTATTGTTAAACCACAAAAAAATCCAATCAGTGCGACTGTTCATGGTGAAATACGATAATTATATACATTTTTTAAAGTTCAACAACGTCTCATTAGTATGTCTCCGGGTTCGGCCTTAGATGTAGAGATGCTGTCCTGTTATCCAAAGAGGCCTCGGTAGAACCGACCAGTTAGCTCGTCGGGGTTCATCAGGAATAACTGACGTTTTAGTTTCCATCTTTAGTGAGGATGTATATTTGACTCAAGACGACAGATTCAGTTCATGTTTTTATTGTTGAGATTTACATAAAACTGCAGTACAGTAATGAGTAACTACTGACTAAACAAAGTACTGATTATAACATTTCTTAGATTGAAACTAATTGATTAAATGAAACGAGCATTAGTAGTATAAATCATCTCCTGGTTAGATGTTTGGAAGTAAAGGTGGTGGCATCACGGCTGGTGTGAGCGGGGCGGTTTGGCGTACTGGATGGCGTCGAGCGCTGCACCGATATCAAAGTTTTTGGCCTGAAGGAGACGAGTCAACCAACCTCCTTCATCCGTGAAACCCATCGACAGCATGAGAGACAGAGACTCCACCAGGCGGGGGTCCGCCTCTGTGGGGGACATCAGCGGTCACAAGGGAGCTCTCACAATAGTTCTACAGAGTAGTGGCGAAGATGTGGTCTTACCTTGAGGCAGGTGGGGGTACAGAGCCGCCTCCTTCAGACCGGTCTGTCCCAAGGGGGGACCCTGGTTCAGGTCCTGGGGCTGCAGGGACTGCAGCTCTCCGGTGGAGGGGTCGACCTCTTTGGGGCTCAGGTGAGTCCACTCCTCATCAGAGTCTCTGCTTACCTGAAGCGCACCGATGAGGTGAAGTGTACATATTACAGAGCTGTCATGTCTGAAATCCGATTCATTAGGGACGGGTTTTGCATATGTGCTGGCACCTTTTTTTGAAACATTTCATTTCATTTATTTTAATGGGAGATCCGACACATTTGCCAAGTACGTTGGACATTTGCGGAAATTGTCATGATGGGTGGCTTATACATGGAACAACTAAATCAACAATATAAAATGCAATTAAAAAAAAAAGTACACAGCAAACTGATAACTATACACAAGTGTATTTGTATTTAAAACACATACGGACGCTTCCAGTCAATGGGGACCTGCACAAGCTCACCACAATGGACAATAGAAGATTGGACAAATGTTTCTGGTCTGATGAGTCTGAGTCCAGCTGAACATTCAGATGGTCGCTCAGAATGTGGAGTAAGCATGAAAGCCTGGATCCATCCTGCCTTGTACCAGCGGTTCAGGCTGCTGGTGTGGTGGTGGGGGGGTATTTTATTTGCACACTTTGGGCCCCTTAGTACCCATCGAGCATGGTTTAGCTGGCGCAGCCTGCCTGAGTACCACAGTGTAGCATCTTGTGATGATGCAGTGTCAAAGCTCATCTCACACTGGTTTCTTGAACATGACAATGCGCTCACTGTACTCCAATGGCCTCTGAGCCACCACATCTCAATCCAATAAATGGAAGATTCGTATCGTAGTGTTTCCCCAACCATTGTAACAGCGCGCGTAATACAGTGTAATTAACACTAATATTAAATGTAATATTACATTTAATATTATGTAATATTAAATGTTTTGTTATTTCACTGCGCACGGCTGTTATTGACATGAATATAGCACCAAAGTGACTTCCCTCCCCCAGTCGGCCGAACTGTTTTTCTGACTACTACACCCCAGCCCCCCCTAAAGTTTTAAACACTGTCATAGATGTGCAGCCGACAGATATGCAGCAACTGCTTGATGCCGTCACGTCAATATGGAAAGTACAACACCAAAGATTAATGCAGTTCTAAAGAAGGGGGGTCCAACACAACATGCGTGGGTGTACACACGCACACACACACACACACACACACACACACAGACTAAACTGACCTTTGACCCCTCAGTGCGGGCTTCGTCCACCTTGTCCTCCACCTTACCACTCTGGGTAGGGGGGTTTGCACTCGGAGGAGGGGTCACCTTCGACCTCTGGCCCTCGTGCTCCACATCGATGTCCACGTCAATACCTGCACACAACGGCATCACTTCCTGTTTAAAGGTCACTCATTCACAGCAGCAAACAACCTTTGACCCACACAGTTCGCAAGGTCACCATCGAAGCAAACCTCCTGTTTGCAAAGACCTGACGCTACAAAAAGTAAAAAGCTAGTTTTCTTACAATGAAAGTATTAATGCTACCGATAGGAATATTGATATTTCTCTGTGTACTTGGTTCACATCGGTTCTGGGACGAGCGACCCAAATCTGGCTCTGGTGGTTCTGCCTGAGGTGAAGCGGAAGATGACCAAGAGCGGTGGTGTTGAGTTTCTTCTGCTCCACTACTCTTGAACGAATCTTCTTTATATTGTTTCTGTCATGTGTAACGTTTCACCACTGAGTGTCAGTCCAAAGACTGACTCGGACCAGACAAACCAGTATGCAATAAATTCACAAGCAGCGCCAAACTTATTCATTTTTTACAAATGTGCCTCAGAGGGCTTTACACTCTGTACACGTGGGGCATCCTCTGTCGCACATCGGCACAGGAAAAACTCCCCAAAAACTGAAAACCATTCCATGGCCTTAGTGAGGACGTCAGAGGAGGATCAGTCTCCATGTATAATACATTCAATCCATAGAACAGAAATTATTCAAATAATTGCGAGTATTAAGCCATGTGTACAGCAGGACCACTGCATAGATAACTTAGATAAAATGATTCGTGGTGTCTAACACCTATTAAGCATGACACACAAGTGAATTCATTATGATTTGAAATATTGTCGTCTGAAGTAAGCATGTAACCTGTTTTTACCGCTCAAAGAACCAACACAAACTACCCTCTAATAGTGTTTTATTAAATATTACATCTAGGTTTTCTATTTGATAAAGTCATATCTATTTTATGTCCTAGTATTACAACTCACCCAGTGGGTTCAACAAGGCCGCTACCCCCTCGCCAATGTTCATCAGGTAGTCCACGTTGGCCTGTGAGGCTGCAAACAGAGGTCAGAGGTCACCCATGCTATCCCTAATGGAAGAAGTTAGGTTATTGATTATTAATTAGATTATCGGTTAATCAAACACTGACCAGAGGGGGCGCTGCTGTCAGAAGGTTTGGAGGTCCCCGTCTTGTCCTGATCCTGAGCAGGGTTCAGGTTCAGGTTCTGGTTCCACATGCAGTGTCTCATCCTCTTCATCCACTTCCCTCGAGGGAACCACTGCGCAGTAAAGGAACAGCGAATATATTGAGCAATATACATTGATGGACAAATGGTCATCACAATAATACAACATTTGTAAATACTTAGTTGGGATTAAACGGCACAATTGTTTTAAACTAAAATTTGAAGCAGTTTATTAATAAATATTATTTAAATATTAGCGTGCAGACTTCTTGTGACAGTGATGTCACCCAGAACCCCAAGTGACATCATAGTGGCTCTTTTTCCCATGATGCCCCTCACCTGCAGTGGGTGCCAGATGGGCAGCAGAGGGTGCTCGGTGTGAGTCCCTTGAGCCTGGCAGGATGAGCACAGGTCGTAGTTGGGACACACGGAGCACTTAAAACGGGTTCCCACCACGGGACCCTCGCAGCCGTCACAGGTGACGTCACAGTGCAGGGGGGGTGGAGTCATGTGATGTGGCACAGCCTGAGGAGCTCCATGTGGTGGAGGAGGAGGAGGAGGAGGGTGGCCGAACGTGAAGGGAGGGAAGGCGTGGAGAGGGAAGTCTCGACGGTTCTCCTTCTTCTCTGAAAGTTCAATAAAACGTTACTAGCATCAAACAGTTTACCAATTAAAGCGGTCGACCCCAACCACCGGGCAGCGGACCGGTACCGGGGTCACACAGAAAAAATGAATACATTTTTTTTCATTTGACTTTTTTCTAAAAACATGTTGAACACGCTTTCACGTGATAATAACCGCAAAACTTTAGAGTGTAGTTTGTGTTGGTTCTTTGAGCGGTAAAAACAGGTTACATGCTTACTTCAGACAACAATATTTCAAATCATAATGAATTCACTTGTGTGTCATGCTTAATAGGTGTTAGACACCACGAATCATTTTATCTAAGTTATCTATGCAGTGGTCCTGCTGTACACATGGCATCCATTGTAGTCTGTCCATCCCGGGAGTGGGGTTTTCTTCCCTTTTTTCCCTCTTGGAAGGTTTTTTTTCATTGTTTGGGGAGTTTTTTCTGTGCCGATGGAGGGTTTCGGGACAGAGGATGTCGTATGTGTACAGACTGTAAAGCCCTCTGAGGCAAATATGTAATTTGCGATTTTAGGCTCTACAAAATAAAATGAATTGAAAACTTAATTCTACAAGCTAGCGAAAATGAGCAAAAAACAAACTTGTTTGGAGAGCTTCTTTGTACAGGGGAAGCCCCCAGAGAATACAACGAAGAGCCGACAACGAAAAGAAAGAGCTTCATTTAACAGGAAGTATCAGGAGTCATACTGGAAGTGCGTGTTTATCGTGTCAGGTGATTCTCATGAGCCGAGTCCGCTCTGCTTTATATGGTCGGATGTTTTCATGCCGATCATATCTTTTTATTTTGTTGTGTTTATCCGACAAACCTTGAAGACCGGTATGCCAAATATCGTCTAACATGAAACTGGTCCGGAAGGCACCACTGAGTTAACGGGTTTGATTTTTTTTATTGGCTATTATTTGGATGAGATTAAATTTAGCTTTGGGTTAGCTTGTGTGTACCTTTGATGAAGAGGCGGAAGGTGGAATCCTTCATACAGGTCAGACCCATCATCAGTTCATCATCAGAGGAAAACGCCACCAGGTCTTCATCCTCATCTGAAATATACAAACAACACACTCATGATCTATCAATGATTTTTACCTCTGTGGTACGTGTTGGTGGTCTTTGGATGATTTATACACCCATATAGATATATTCTACACACAAACATATATGTCTGTATGCATATAGATATATGTGTGTGTGTGTGTGTACCTCTATAGTACGTGTTGATGGCCTTCAGGTTGCTGAACACGCTCGTGGTTTTCCGGAGAAGATACTCGTAGCTGGAGGAAACATCGTGATCGACCGTAAACCTCCGGACCTCCTTCACGGACTCGTCTTTCCCCAGAAGGTAAGCCTTCACCGTCACCGACATAATGCTGCGTTCACCGGACACTCTGACGACTTTAACCCGACACCAACTCAGACGGACTCAAAACACAGACTTTTAGACCAGAGAACTAAGTGACGCAGCTTTAAAACGTCTCGGGCTCTTTTATGTTTACTTCCGTAATCAACGTCACTGTCGTCAGGAGAAGTAAATATTGACGCGGCCTCCCATTGGTCCACCGGCGGTGTCCGGTTTAACGAACCAATGAGAGGCCAACAAATGACTAAGCACTTTCCAATCAGGGTATTTCCCCCGAGTTTACCTTTAACAACATTTCGCTGTGTCATCATTATGAAACGCTTTAAACAGTATATATTGTTCATGAAGAGAAATGTTTTCATGTCATTTTCTTTAATAAAAAATAATAAAAATATTAACATTTCAGAACATCATGTAAGTTGATTGAATTTCCCTTTGAAATGTTTAATCAACTTTATTTTATTATACTTTCATTAGAATTCACTTTGATTTCATTCTCTGATATTTTGAATAACCAAATAAAGAAAATAAATAACCTGGCTGAGATTAATGAATTAACATCTGAACGTTATACAAATTAAATTAACATCTAAATTTGGTGCTATATATATGACATCATCCTGTGTATATTCTACTGCAGCCAATAGTCTGCTGAGTTCGAGTCACGTGACAGTGAATCACAGCTCAAAGTCTGAAGCGTCGAGTCACAAGACCTGGGCCCTGTTCCTCGTACGTGGCTAACTGAGTTCATTTTCAGGATGAGATGACGTAGTTCAGGCTTTTCGGTTCCCCAAAGCAGGTTTGTCTAAATCACCATAGCAACACATCGAAAAACCTGAACCTGCTCTGGCGCAGACGTTCATTTGAGCTGCTGGATTAGTTCATCACTCCCCGGAAAAAAAGGGCAGCTCACTTCTTCATTGATGAAGGAGCGATATCAGTTAGATTAACGTTCTCCGAGATCACAAAGACCCGTTTAGCCGCGATGACGTCCCGTACGAGCGCTGCAGATGCTGAGGACCAGAATCATTTATTTACAAGAAGACTTCCCCGTTACGTTACGTGATGATCACCACACACTGCAGCCGAACATCCACTGTACCGCAGACTGTCTCCCACTGTCTCTCATACACACTCTCTCATGTCTCACACATTGTCTCTCAATGTGGGGGCGCTGTCAGTTTTTGCCATGATTATATGATTCATTTTATTTTATTTTGAACTAACAAGTTCATGGGGCGGCACGGTGGCGTGGTGGTTAGCACTGTTGCCTCACAGCAAGAAGGTCCTGGGTTCGATTCCGCCCAGTGGCCTTTCTGTGTGGAGTCTGCATGTTCTCCCCGTGTCTGCGTGGGTTCTCTCCGGGTTCTCCGGCTTCCTCCCACAGTCCAAAGACATGCTCTGGGGATCAGGTTAATTGGGGACTTTAAATTGCCCGTAGTTGTGTGAATGGTTGTGTGTCTCTGTGCAGCCCTGCGATTGGCTGGCGACCAATCCAGGATGTACCCTGTCTATCGCCCGAAGTTGGCTGGGATGGACTCCAGCCCCCCCGCGACCCTGTGTGCAGGATAAGCGGTTTGACGATGGATGGATGGATAGCAAGTTCATGTTCGATGGCCAAGAGAGAAAATGCAGCGAGCCGTGTCTGTGACATCGTGGTCCTCCGCTCATGTTAGACTCTCACCCTCACAGTTAGACACAGGCAAGGTTTAAAACGTTCTTACCCGAGCCCTGCAAACTGTTCTCGTAGAGTGCCAACATATGAATGCAGTGACCACAGAAGGCCAAGAGCAGTAGCTAAATCCATATGGCTTCTTTCGAGTTGGTCACTTGTTGCCTTAAATCTATGCAGTACACGGTCCCACAACATAGTCATTATTACTCTCTCAAGTTTTGTGACCAATGCAGCAGCTTCGAGTTTGGTTTGTGTTTTCTCATCCCAGTGTGAAGCTATTTTGGCTAATATATCTCTGATTGCCTTGTACTTTTCATTGAGAGCTTGTGTGCAACTCCATCGAGTGCTGCTGAGGGATTTTAGAGTGTCTAATGTAATATTCGCTGTTATGGAAAACTGTATTCCAGCGATGTGTTGATGTGCTGCAAAACGTATAAAGGGACTGTACAGTTCAAAAAAGGAGTTAATCTCCTCACAGCCATTATCAACGCAGTTAACGGGCAGCACACGGTGTGTAATGAATGGTTTTGTTTATTCAAGTGCGCCTGGAGCCCTCTGTATTTGCCAGACATATTGCTAGCATTATGAAAACTTTGACCACGACACTTTGACCACAAGTCTAACCCCAAGCGTCGATTCAACCAGCTTGCACCTGTGTGGCTGTGGACGGGCTCAAACCCAACGAATCTTTCCACCACTCTGCACTGACAAAACGAAAAACAAATGTGAGCTGATCCATGTGTGCTAAATCTGCTGTTGAATCGATGAACAGAGAAATATTTCGCGTGTCTGATTTCCTCTGCTATCACTTTTAATTGTTAGGGACCTTTGACCCACAGCTCAGGGACACAGTCGCAGGCAGCCGTGGGCAGAGATTCTATGCAGCGCAACGGCTTATAATTTATAAGCCAGTGATAACCAGATTCTTTTGCTTGTGCCGTCACTGGCCAGGGGCCCTTTAGCGGTCGAGGGCCCCTGGCCAATTGCCCAATTGCCCATATGGTTAATCCGGGTTTGAGGACGATCCTTCCTAGGACAGAGAGACTGCGATGGACGTACAAAATGAACAACGTAAGATATGTACAATACGTTCAATTCATCCGACAGAAATGGTTCAAATTAACATATTATCTCATCATATGTGTTCATGATCATTTCCTGCTCGTCAGCAGAGAAAAAAGACGCTCTTCCTTTAAGTTTATTTGCCGTTATACTGTTAAAAAATCCTGGTTTTGGTGATCGACTCTTCCGCCTTCTAACATAAGACGCACACGTGAGATTATCTTGATGATTGACATCTGGTTCAAACTAACGAGATGGTTTGAGCGCCGATCCGCCTTTGAGGAACTGAGATAGTCTGGTGTCAATCATCTCGGTAATTTGAGCTGGATAATCGGACATTTGATCGACTTAGTTGAACCACGTACGAGGCAGGGCCCTGCTCTGCATTGCTCTGCAACACGCGCAAGAATAAAGACGCAGACGCATACGCAGACGCATGCGTCAGCCTTAAGAGAAGCTAAAGAAGCCATTTTCTTCTTCTTTTTTCGTTCTTTTCTTCAAGGAGGGTTTGTTCTGTCATCTTTGTTTGGATTGTTTGGCCCGGCCACACCTGTCCATTCCTCCCGCACTCGCTGTAAAGATTCTCACATGGAATGTATATGAGTGAATGTATGAGATAATTAAAGCTTGTTTATCGCTATCCTCCGTGTTAAGTGTTTGTTTATAGTTTGGGTTTTGTTTTAGTCCCTAAGCCTCCCCTCCCCTAGACCAGTAAGAAAAAGGGATGTAACACACACTCACTCATTCACTCACACACACTCGCACACATATTCAAAGCAAAAGAGCAGAGGACTCAGTCGGTCCCAGTTTGATTCATATGTATGTATGTATTTATGTATGTATGTATGTATGTGTATATATATGTGTGTGTATATATATATATATATATATATATATATATATATATAAATAATATTATTTATGTCAGCTGATTTACCCAGGTGCAGTGTCGTGGCCCAGACTGAGGAGGGCAGCAGGGCGCAATGTCCGCAGCCATCTCCATTAAAGAAGAAGAATGTGACCGGAAGAGATTTACAACTTCTGGTGCGCGCTGTTTGCTGTAAAGTCGTGTTGGAGTTGCGCGTTGGTTTTTGTTTAACAATCACTTGGAGATAAAAACATGTACGACCAGGACGAAGGTGAGATGTTTGACACTTACTCACACACATATGCTAATGTCAGTTAGCCTTTCACTCAGCGACAATCTAATAGCAGTAAACGCTATGTGTGGCGCTTTGTTTCAGCTGAAGCTAACAGGCTAACGGAGACTGTTGGGATTATACTTGTATAGTATCTGAATTAATTCAAGTATTCACTTACTCTCTTGCTCACATAATTTACTTCTGTAAAAGAATCAAAGCTACGGTTACCATAGTTAAAATACCGAATCAAGTCTTACTGAAATACAACCGGTACATAATCGTTACTAATAATGTAAGTTATAGATTTATAATATATATTAGTTCGTTTTTAAAAAATATATACGCATTGCGTGTGCTCGCAATATTTAATATATATATGTAAATATGACCGACACACGTACGTATAGACACACACGCATATATTGAAGGCCCCCACATTATGTGATCAGACAGATGATATTGACATGTGATCTATATTATTATTATTGTGTTTATCAGATCCTCAGTACGAGGAGGACGATGATGAAATCACTCCGGATTTGTGGCAGGAAGCTTGCTGGATCGTCATTAGGTAAACTCACCTGTGTCGAATGAATTACCTGTTTGCTGACATTCACAAGGTTTACTGAAGTCGTCAAACTTTTTTTTAATGTCTATTACATTTATTTTAAATAAAAGCAAAAGATGTAAAAATGCATGAAGTTTCATGCAGTTGAAGAGACTTATTGAACTGACCCATTTATGGTCATTTATCACTATATTTAACAAAATCTGCGACGTTTCGATCGAATAAACTTTCCGATGGCTCTCACCTCTTTGTTTTAAATGGGCGTCCATCAACTTTTATCTTGACTAGTTTGTCAGTTCTCTTCAGCTTTTATTTTGACGAGTGTGTTTGTTCTTTTCCAGCTTTTAATGAGTGTGTCTGTCCTTGTTCTGCTCTTATTTTGAATAGTGTGTCTGTCCTCTTCAAGCTCTAATCTTGACATGTCTGTCCTCTTCCAGCTCTTACTTTGATGAGAAGGGTCTGGTAAGACAGCAGCTGGACTCTTTTGATGAGTTCATCCAGATGTCGGTTCAGAGGATTGTGGAGGACGCACCACCAATCGACCTGCAGGCTGAAGCGCAGCACACCTCAGGAGAGGTGGAGGAGCCGGTGAGTAAAAACACGCGGATCTGGTCTGGCCTAATTTAGAGGTCAAGAGATGTTCACAGCGAGCTCCTTTTAGATGCAGTCCTACAGGGTTCTGGAGGAGGGTCGTGGTTTAAGCATTTGTGTTGCACATCTGTTGACATCGCTCGTCTGTTTCAGCCTCGTTACCTGCTGAAGTTTGAGCAGATTTACCTGTCAAAGCCCACCCACTGGGAGAGAGACGGAGCTCCGTCTCCCATGATGCCCAATGAAGCCCGACTGAGAAACCTTACGTAAGTATCACTTCGTTTCACCTGATATCACCTCGTCATACCTGGTCTCACATAGTCTGTGCAAAATCCCTCCCCCCTTCAGGTACTCTGCCCCGCTTTATGTTGACATCACAAAGACTATCATAAAGGAGGGCGAGGACCAGCTACTAACTCAGCACCAGAAGACCTTCATTGGTAAAATTCCCATCATGCTTCGCTCCACCTACTGTTTGCTGAGCGGCCTAACGGACCGAGACCTGTGTGAGCTTAACGAGTGTCCGCTTGACCCCGGAGGTTATTTCATCATCAACGGCTCTGAAAAGGTTAGTGTGACATCATTGTGTGTTTATACGCAACACTAACTGTCTCCATCCTTATGCCGAGCTTACCAACAGCTATAGCTTCACATTTAGCATACCAAAGCTCTGCCGGTAGTGAGCAGTGGCCTAAATTAAAGTATTGTTCCGCACTACAATACACAAACAGCAGTTTGATAAGATGCTATTTTTGTAAACACTTTGAAGTGCAATAGTGTTTTATTGAAGATGTGCTAACCCCTTTTTTTACTATTATAGATGTGCCCAAAAAGCACACTTCTTTACTTTGTAAAATTACATTCTGTGAAAAGTTTTAAATTGTCTTATTCATCCACTTCTAAAAAAAATAGTTTGCTAAAAATAATAGAAATAATAATGACAAGATTCTCCAGAAGAGCAGCAGTCCTAACCCTCTATGTTCCAGTCCAAATTATTTTTTTTCCACGTCTAAAATTGTCCAATCCTCGCTGTAATGTTGCACTGTGTATCTGTACTAAAAAGGTACCGCGGTACCCGTGCGTTAAAAACCATGCGATTTTGCATATTTTTAGTATCAATACTTCATTGAAATGGCAGCATGAGAGGGAATGACTGCAAGGAGGCGGGTAAAAAGTAAACCATACAGATGTTTTATTTATTATGATTATAGATAAATATACCAGTATTGGGTTGAATTCTGCTATCATATTGTAAGTATTGGGTATTGTATCGTGGTCAGAATTTTGTTTTTGCAACAATGTTTAAAAAAAAAAAACTATTTTAACTGTTCTTGTCCACTTTGTTTAGGGAAACAACTGAGAAATTGTACAATTTGCTAATAAGCCTAATATACAGTTGTGGTTGAATAATCTTGATTGCAACTGTACATGCTGCAGCATTCTGGATCAACTGGCGAGACTTATTAGAGCAGCCTGATATTAAATCATTGAATCTAGTTTTGACTGGCTGATTTATAGAAATGTCACGTCGGTGATTAGAGGCACTGATCTGTTAACTGCTATGTTGCTGGTTGTTCGGATCTGTTAACTGGTTCCTCTGTTGCTGTTCAGGTGTTGATTGCTCAGGAAAAGATGGCCACCAACACGGTGTATGTGTTTGCCAAGAAAGACTCAAAGTACGCCTACACGGGCGAGTGTCGGTCCTGTTTGGAGAACTCGTCCCGTCCCACCAGCACCATCTGGGTCAGCATGATGGCCCGAGGAGGACAGGTAAGTCCGGAATACATGTAATGAACTCCATTTCCATCATTTTGGTGATGGATTCACTCATTAATTGTGTATTGATTGACTCTCAGGGAGTGAAGAAGAGCGCCATCGGTCAGAGAATTGTCTCCACGCTGCCGTACATCAGACAGGAAGTTCCCATCATCATCGTATTTCGAGCGCTGGGGTTCGTGTCGGACAGAGACATCCTGGAACACATCATCTACGACTTTGACGACCCAGAGATGATGGAGATGGTCAGTCTGATTATCATGTACTGATCAGCGAGTGATTATTAGATCACCATTAACCAGGCAGACACTGAACACACACCTGACAGTTAAAGCTGGTCGCATTCGCCACTAGCTTTATATTCTTTTATTTAGTTAACCATTGAAATGGTAAATTAAAGATATGAGCCAGCTCATTCTAACTAACCTAAGTAATAGTCCACATCAGTAGGAGCCCAAAACTGTATTTCTGAAGGAAGCAAAATGAGTAAAAGTAGCTGTGCTTTGTAGTTGAGTCTGTAGTGAATACAATATGACACAAATAATGTGTATGCGATGCTATCACACATTAATTATGAGTATTGCAATTTATTTTAAAGGACTGTGATAGTACATTCAGTGGTCTAGGTCAAATCAATAACTACAATCGAGTAAATATGTACTTCATCTATAAAAGATCTTCAGACTGCATGCCCCTATAATAGACTACTGTAGAACATAAAACATTTAAGGGTTTAAGATTCTGCTCTTGCATAAGAACAAATAAACGGGGGAAAACCTCACAAATTCATTCAAGACAAAATACTTCAGAGCACATTGACGTCCTGCCAACTAGGATGTGATGTCATGTGTGACGTCACTGTGCTTCTAGGTGAAGCCATCTTTGGACGAAGCGTTTGTGATCCAGGAGCAGAATGTTGCTTTAAACTTCATCGGTTCCAGAGGAGCGAAACCCGGTGTGACGAAAGAAAGAAGAATAAAATATGCAAAAGAAGTTCTGCAGAAGGAAATGCTGCCACACGTCGGAGTCAGCGACTTCTGCGAGACCAAGAAGGCCTACTTCCTAGGGTGCGTCCTAGCTGAGAGGCACTTGTCCAGCTGATTATCAGTGTGTATCTAAAGTGTGTGTTTCTGCCTCCTCAGGTATATGGTCCACAGGCTGCTGCTGGCTGCTCTTGGCAGAAGAGAGCTGGACGACCGAGATCACTACGGCAACAAGAGATTGGACCTGGCGGGGCCGCTGCTGGCCTTCCTGTTTAGAGGGTGAGGCTTCTTTCATGACTGAAAAAACCTCAATACTGCTCTACTTTGCATAGAATATGACATTAAAGTTTATATTTGTGATTTTGACGTAAATTGACTCCCGATCTCCATGTTCAGCATGTTTAAGAACCTGTTGAAGGAGATCAGGATTTACGCTCAGAAGTTCATCGACAGAGGAAAAGACTTCAATCTGGAGTTGGCCATTAAAACCAGAATCATCTCAGACGGCCTGAAGTACTCACTTGCCACTGGGAACTGGGGCGATGTGAAGAAAGCTCACCAGGCCCGAGCCGGAGTGTCACAGGTGAGAACCCCTGGTGGTCCTTCATCACACGGATGAGAAGGTTGAACATGTAATCAGCCCTGAGGAGTAAATGTACTCAGGTGATTCTCATCCTGTTCTCCTTCTTTGCTGGTAGGTGTTGAACCGTCTGACCTTCGCCTCCACTCTGTCTCACCTCCGCCGACTCAACTCTCCCATCGGCAGAGACGGAAAACTGGCAAAACCCCGACAGCTCCACAACACGCTGTGGGGGATGGTGTGTCCGGCCGAGACGCCCGAGGTAAAGAACTCAGGAGCCTAAAATATGTGGAAAGACCAACTGTGAATATGGTTGGATGGTGGGGACGATGAAGTGAGTCTGTTGGTCCGTGTCATTGATGAGTGAAGTCATTCATTTCAGGGTCACGCCGTGGGACTGGTGAAGAACTTGGCCCTCATGGCCTACATCTCTGTGGGCTCTCAGCCGTCTCCCATCCTGGAGTTTCTGGAGGAGTGGAGTATGGAGAACTTGGAGGAAATCTCACCCGCTGCCATTGCAGAGTCAGTCATTTCATATTTTCACTTAATTGTTTTGGTTTCTGTGACATCTCACTGAGATGTTTTACTGCAGTAATGCGTAAAGTTAGTTCATTTTTTAATTCATTCTTTTGTTACCACTGCATATCAGTCAGAATGAGGGTAGTTGGCTGAAATAAAACGATTAACTACTACAGTGTTTCATGGATTATCAAACATTCAAAGTGCCACTGAACCTTAAAAGTGGCTAAATGACCATTTATGTGTCTTTACTGTTTTAGTGCCACTAAGATATTTGTGAACGGATGCTGGGTCGGAATTCACAAAGATCCTGAACAGCTGATGAACACACTGAGGAAACTCCGTCGACAGATGGACATCATCGTATCCGAGGTATGCAAACAGAACGCTAACCACACAGAGCCCCAAGCTCACACAGAATGAGACGGACTCACCCATAGCCATACTGATTTGGGGTCTTGTGCCCATTCTGATATGTTTCAGTTGTATAGACAAATGCTAGTATTTAAGATTTGGTGCTGCTAGGCCCCTGTTTACCTCTGGCAGTTGATCCGCTCTCATTTTAGGACGTTTGCTTTTCCAGTTGAACTTGGATATAACCCTGTTCAGATCTTTGAAGAAGCTACTTGGAATGTCAATAGGTATCATTTGCAAAGAATATAAAATTCTAGTATTTTTTCATTTTAATAACTATTTGTCCCAGCCATGAAATTGGAAGTGGCATCCATCTTAATAAATGCATTATAACCTGTTTAAGGATAGGAAACCAATTCATTTTCATCAGATCTTCCAGTTTGTAGGAGATATGTATTCCTAGATATTTGAAGCCATTGTAAGACGAATTAGATGGCGCTTGTATACTGCTGTGTGGGTCCTTACTGTCTCCTAGTAGGGCAGTAGAATTGCTTGCATTGGTCTTATAAACCAGAGATGCTACTATATATATTTTTTTTCTAGCACTGTTCACTGTTGTTCACACCCTGTTGTTTTTAATCATTCATTTATATTTCTATGTATTTCTGATGTTTAAAGTTCTTCAACACAGTTACTGCCAGTATGGTTACTTATGAGTTTAGAGAGTAAACAGGTTTGTTTCCATATTCATGCAACCTTTTGTGTAGAAAATAACATTTGCAGCATCCCCGGCTGAATACTCGTCTGGAGTCTTAAACTGGTCCATAAGTCTTGTTGTTTTTAGGTGAGATTTTAGCGTCGTTGTGTTGCCTGTTTTTAAACAAAGTGGACGTACCGGCTCGTTCGTGTTATCGGCTCTCTTCTCTCGTTCGGCTTAAAGCCAAAATGTTCCCACACCGGAGCTGAAGATTGCGGCTTCGTAACCAAGTCCATTTGGACTTTTTTTATCCGACTTGTCTGTAGATGTCACGAAAATAAGTAGTTCTAATTAACACACACAACTGTTGTTCATGTGGCACCAGTCCTTCACGGAGATGAACATGCTGATTGTGAACCTTTCAGGTATCGATGATCAGAGACATCAGGGAACGTGAGATCAGAATCTACACGGACGCAGGAAGGATATGTCGACCTCTTCTGATCGTAGAGAAGCAGAAACTACTGCTGAAGAGGCGCCACATTGACCAGCTAAAGGAGCGGGAGTACAACAACTACAGGTGAGACGGACTGTGACCTTGATCTTCTTGCGGTGAAGATAAGAACACACACACCGAGGCCACATACATTACATGTCATTAAGCTGACGCTTTTATCCAAAGCGACGTACAATAAGTGCATTCAACCATAGGGTACAAACTCGGAGGAACAAGAAACAAGAAAGTGCAATTTCCTCAAATAAGCCAATTTACAATTTGCTATAGATGAGTGACGTTACAAGTACAATTTAAGTGCTACAATTTGTTAGTCTTTAGTCGAGGTAGAGTCTGAAGAGGTGTGTCTTTAGTTTGCGGCAGAAGATGTGAAGGCTCTCTGCGGTCCTGGTGTCTTCAGAGAGCTCATACTTAGGCTGCAGCGTAGGGGTGCGTCTTTAATCGGAAAGATACGTTGGGCGCCAGACAGGCAAATAATCTACATTATTCCCGGTCTTATTTATTTATTTATATATATTTTTTTAATAAAGTTTATCCTCTGACCAAGGCGCAGTAACTTAAATCAAATACTAAACAATTACAAACAAGGAAGCTGATCGACGACGATCCGGGGCGGTCCAAAGGGGTCTCCAGCTGGTTCCCTCCCTCCGGCTGTCGAGCAGGTCCTTTTGTGTAGAACTATCGTCCTCTCAACTCGGCCATGCAGCCTCTGTCAGTTGATTGCTTCTCCTACAGGTGAAGACTACAGGTGTGTCCAAACTCATAGCCTTTTCTTTGCCCCCCCTTTTATTTTTGTCAGGTGGGAAAAAAACAAGTCTGCAGGTTTGCTACAAGTCCAAATCCACGTCTGATTGTTCTTCTTCAAAGGGGAGAGGTGCTCTGGGTTTCTTCAGACCGTGGAACTTTCACACTTAGTCTCATGATGAACTTTAGACATTATGGCATCATTATATTTTGCCATTAAAGGACTGCAGGTTGCCCAGCAGTTTCTTGTGTGTCTGTTCCTACAGACCTTCTGTCGTCACTAGACGACCGGTCTGAAGTTAATTCTTATGTTCTAACCAAGAACAGACTATCTACATTCTTTCCATGGTTAAAAACAGAGTTGATTATTGATGAGCTAAAGAGACAAAACTAAACTCTTTAGTGTGAACAAATCCACCCACATCTCAATTTAAGTCAAAGAAAGGCCAATGAATTAACGAGTAATAACTCTACAAAGCGTGTATTTTAGGAGCCGGTTTTGAGGACACATCTGACCTATCCTTTGCGAATGAAATGTGTACCTTAGTTAGCAAAGATTGCTAATTAGCACTACCAAGTTTTACGTTAGCTTCCGCACAGCACTGCAGGCGAGTTTCCGGCACTGCCTTGGTGATCGACCAGTCGGTCGCCCTATTGGGCACCCGTGATGTACAGCTCGCTGTATAACATAGTGAAGGCTGTTACTCTTCCCTGGTCAGCTGGCAGGACCTGGTGGCGAGCGGTGTGGTGGAGTACATCGACACTCTAGAGGAGGAGACAGTGATGCTCGCTATGACCCCTGATGACCTCCAGGAGAAGGGCGTGGCCTACTGCTCCACTTATACGCACTGTGAGATCCACCCGTCCATGATCCTGGGAGTCTGTGCTTCCATCATCCCCTTCCCCGATCACAACCAGGTAAGAACCCTCACTGGGCGATGAAGTATTGATGACCCCCCTCAGAGGCGCGTTACAGAGCTTCTCTCTGGTATCCAGTCCCCCAGGAACACATACCAGTCTGCTATGGGAAAACAGGCCATGGGAGTCTACATCACCAACTTCCATGTCCGGATGGACACGTTGGCTCACGTGTTGTACTACCCTCAGAAACCACTAGTCACCACCCGGTCGATGGAGTACCTGCGCTTCAGAGAGCTGCCTGCAGGTAAGTGACCTGCGCATTCCGACTGATGACAACTCACCCAACCTGAAGAAAGGTGAGTTATGTTGTTCTTTGTGTGCATGTGTCTAACTAAAGCTTTGCGCTTCTGATTTAGGGATCAACTCCATTGTGGCGATCGCTTCGTACACAGGATACAACCAGGAAGACTCGGTGATCATGAACCGGTCTGCCGTCGACCGAGGCTTCTTCAGGTCAGTGACCCACACCTGAGTTAGCGGTAGCTGGTAGTTTCATCATTTTATTCTTTGTCTTTAAAGTCTTTTTTCCTTCTTCAGGTCAGTTTTCTATCGATCCTACAAAGAGCAGGAGTCTAAGAAGGGTTTTGATCAGGAGGAGATCTTTGAGAAGCCGACACGTGAAACATGTCAAGGTGAAAACTGATCAATTGTCTGAAATTTACAATAATATGGTTTGATTAATTGTGGTGTAATAGATCGCTCAATAAAAAGTAGTTATTGTGACAGACCTAGCTAGGGGGTCTTAAATCATGAATTCAAATTGCCCTCAGGTATGAGACACGCCATCTACGAAAAGCTTGATGATGACGGCCTCATCGCTCCCGGCGTGCGTGTCTCCGGCGAGGACGTGATCATCGGTAAGACCGTCACCCTGCCGGAGACCGACGACGAGCTGGACAGCACCAACCGCCGCTACACCAAGAGGGACTGCAGCACCTTCCTGAGAACAAGTGAGACTGGCATTGTGGACCAGGTGATGGTGACTCTGAACCAGGAGGGCTACAAGTTCTGCAAGATCAGGGTGAGAGTCCATCACATCAGAAATCTGACACTTGAGACTCACCTGACCGCTAACGTCGCTTATTTTGTGCAGGTTCGCTCAGTGCGGATTCCTCAGATTGGAGACAAGTTCGCCAGCCGCCACGGACAAAAAGGAACCTGTGGAATTCAGTACAGACAGGAGGTAAGCAGGCGGTAAACCTTGAGTTAACTCAATGCTGGTATGCAGGAAGTTAATTGAAGGGTGGTAAGTAGGAAGTAACCAGGATGTGAACTGACAGGAAGTTAATGACACGGTGGTGGTATCTGACAGAAGATACAGTTAGGGCGTGGTCCTATCATGGCATATTTGATATTCTCTGATGTTTTGCATTGAAGGACATGCCGTTCACCTGTGAGGGAATCACACCAGATATCATCATCAACCCTCATGCCATCCCGTCCAGAATGACAGTTGGCCATCTGATTGAGTGTCTGCAAGGCAAGGTAAGAACCCGAACCCTAATCAAATGCAGAGTTTCTGACAAATGAATGTCATATTGAAAATGAATAACCATTAGTAATTATCAGGCATAACACTTCGATGGGGGAAGAGGAGGATTCTCTCCGACAGACTGTAATGGATGTCATGTGTACAGAATGAATATTATAAAAGATGTACAGTAAAATCTACAATACATTAACAGTAATTCGAGTATGGACCAAAATAAATGGGACTTAATTTCAGCTGAACACAATAAAAGCTTTTATTTGAATCCATACATTGCCTACGGCTTACAGGTTCTCCTACATTTCCACAATTTTCTATAAAGCTGCCATGTACGTGTTTAGAAATTGATTTTTGTTTCAGGTTTCCGCAAACAAAGGTGAGATTGGTGATGCAACGCCGTTTAATGACGCTGTCAATGTGCAGAAAGTATCCAACCTGCTGTCTGAGTATGGATACCACCTGAGAGGAAATGAGGTAACTCACACCGTTTACATCCCGATCAAGAATCAATTCTCAGTCATGATCAACATCATCCTTGCAATCATTTCTTGAGCTGTAATGTTTGTTTTAAAGCGTTAAGTTGTATTTGTGGTTATGTGAGGTACTTATCCATACTGATGGTATTACCTACAGTAGATGAAAAGATTACCAGCAAAGTGGTTTATTTAACTGGAACATGGAAGCAGGTAAAATAACCGTGTTCACATCCGTCAGAGACCGTGACTCAGATGAACTTGTATTGTATTCGTATAACTCAGAACATTTTAGATTATCTGATATAAACCGCTCCATCTATGTTGTAGTAACTTTATTTTGACAAAGACATGTTTAACTCTGTCTTCTAGTAGTAGATAACTACTACAGTCGGATAACTTCCGTTGTGGATAGAATTGTTCTATGATGAACAGGTTTTCAGGGAGGAACTGATGTCTCTTTATTGATTATTGCTTGTCGATTTATGACTAGGTTCTGTATAATGGGTTCACGGGGAGGAAGCTGACGTCTCAGATCTTCATCGGTCCGACTTATTATCAACGCCTGAAACACATGGTGGATGATAAAATCCACTCGAGGGCCCGTGGACCGGTTCAGATCCTCAACAGACAACCCATGGAGGGCCGGTCACGGTGAGTAGGACGCGTCTGGCCTGTCCGTATGTCTGGCCTGTCCGTATGTCTGGCCTGTCCGTACATCGCACCAATCTAACGCGTCTTACCGGTCTGCCTTTCAGTGATGGTGGCCTGCGCTTCGGGGAGATGGAGCGTGACTGTCAGATTGCACACGGAGCGGCTCAGTTCCTGAAGGAGCGTCTGTTTGAAGCTTCTGATCCGTATCAGGTTCATGTGTGTAACCTGTGTGGACTGATGGCCATCGCCAACACGAGGACACACACATATGAGTGTCGAGGCTGCCGCAACAAGACCCAGGTACAGACACACTGCTGAGGAGGAAGCTCTGCCTCAACTCATTTCAACTTGATAATACAGACGAATATCAGAAGAAAAATTCAAAGGGTTTTCATAATCTGTACCTTTTATACAAGTGGTCCCCAACGCGCGTGTGTGACTGAGACGGAGGGAGAGCAGGGAAAGGAAATGCAGCTCAACAAATACGCTGCGTGATTTAAATAGCATTAAAAAAAAAAATGGGCACCCCTGATCTAGCATGAAAACGAGCCGTGAGGCAAAAAAGGTTGGGGACCACTGCCCTATACGACATGGCCTTCACATCACAGAAAATTACGTTAAAACAAGACTCTTATCCAGTTGTTTTTTTTTTTGTTACTCTTTAGTTTGTAATGTAATAAATAACAAGGAAATCTGTTTTTGATGTGTTACTCACCCGTCTCCCTCTACCTGATCGTGTCCAACAGATCTCTCTCGTTCGGATGCCGTACGCCTGTAAGCTTCTTTTCCAGGAGTTGATGTCGATGAGCATTGCTCCTCGTATGATGACGTCATAGAGCTGCTCCTCCAATGGGACGCCTCCCTGCATACCTTAAATCAGCTGTAGTTTCATGTTTTTACAATTTCTTGTCATTATACTTTGTTTCTGTAAAAGTAGAATAAATCTGTTTCTTATATTTCTGTTTCCTGAGTCCTCATTGGTTTACTGTCATCATGTGGGCCGGTAAACTAACTTTTTTTTAATGAAAACATTCTGTTGGGTGTTAAACTCAATTGAAGCAGTGAAACATGGAACATCCAGAAGTTTCTTCTGCACCAAATGACTTTGAGGAGCCCAACATGCAGCGGCTTTCCTGATGTTCTCCGCTTTGCAACACTGTATAAAACCCATTCTGTGTGACAGCGTCTTTGACGTGTGGTGTGTTCACCATGTACGGCTCTAAAAAGTCTTCTTGTAAATAAATGATTGCTTGTCAGCAGCATTGATAGAGCTCATACAGGAAGTGCTGTCCGACTCCTTATAAAAGGTAGCGGTGTCTCAACCTGAAAGACTTATAATGAACTTTTATCAGGAATCAGGAACATTTCACATGTCGACTTTCAAAGTTAAAGTCTCTCAATGTTGTTCGTGAGCCATTTTTTTTGGTAAATTTCAGATTTCATTTAAAACGAAGCAATCAATAGTTGCATAATAATTCCACTTCAGATTGATAGTATACCACCTAAAGGTGTGACTCTGGGATAATCAGAGTATGATGTACCATTTCAAAATTAAAGCCTGTCAAAATGTCATACTTTACCACACTTTCTCTAAATAATAGTCCTTTACAATAAATAGTCCTTCATTGTTAACCACAAAATTGCCAGGTATATGATTTATACCTAACAAGTAGATTATGACCACTCTTCAACCTGGCCACGGGTTAACAGGCAGTTTCCCTAAAACTGAAACACAAAAGACTTTTTCATCCCCCCACTCCTTTGAATGTTCACTTTGTTTCATTGCTTCCATTTGATAAAATCAAAAAGTGTAATTTAATGTCTCATTAATTTATAAAAATAAAAAAAAACATGAAATATCACATGGTCATTAGTATTCAGACCCTTTGCTCAGCATTGAGTTGAAGCACCCTATTGAGCAAGTCATGAGTCTACCTGAAAATGTCAAGTTTTTCACACCTGTATTTGGGGATCCTCTGCCATTCTCCTTGCAGATCCTTTCCAGTTCCGTCAGGTTGGATGGTGAACGTTGGTGGAGAGCCATTTTCAGGTCTCTCCAGAGATGCTCAATTGGGTTTAGGCCAGGGCTCTGGCTGGGCCAGTCAAGAATGGTCACAGAGTTGTTCCAAAGCCACTCCTTTGTTATTTTAGCTGTGTGCTTAGGGTCATTATTCAATTCAATTCATTTTATTTTGTATAGCCCAAAATCGCAAATTACAAATTTGCCTCAGAGGGCTTTACAGTCTGTACACATACAACGTCCTCTGTCCCGAAACCCTCCATCGGCACAGGAAAAACTCCCCAAAAAATTAAAAAACCCTTCCAAGAGGGAAAAAAGGGAAGAAACCTCAGTGAGAACGTCAGAGGAGGGATCCCGTCTCCTGATGGACAGACTACAAATGGATGCCATGTGTACAGAATGAACAATGTATAATACATGCAATTCCTATGACAGAAATAATTCAAGTAATTGTGAGTAGTAAACCAGGCGCACAGCAGGACCACTGCAGGGGAACCCACCATCACATAGAACCACCATCAGATAGAACTGATGGGATTAAACATTTAACAATTTTTGCACAGAACCCTCTCCTGTCGGACCATTGTCTGATAACCTTTGAATTTCTACTATCAGAACCACCTCCTCCTGCCAAGGGTTTCTACAGTCGACGCTTATCGGATACCGCTGTAGCCTCATTTAAAGAAGCCATTCCTTCTGCTCGAAGTTCAGTGCCCTGCCTCAAGATACAAGACTCCTGTGAGAACTTCTTAAGAAACCTACTCTTGCTCCAGAGGTGTTGGCTAACTACAGACCTATCTCTAATCTTCCCTTCCTCTCGAAGATCCTTGAGAAATCCGTCGCAAATCAATTATGTGACTTTCTACAAAACAATGCTTTGTTCGAGGATTTCCAGTCAGGATTTCGAGTGCACAGAAACAGCACTGGTGAAAATTACCAATGATCTACTTGCATCGGACCAAGGACTCATCTCTTTTCTTGTCTTGCTGGACCTCAGTGCCACATTTTTATACTGTAAAGACCGTTTTTGCTTATCAAAAGTTAGGTCCTCTTGGTTGGTGTTTTGAGTTCGTTTTGATGCGTTAAAATATTCCTTGAGACATTTCCACTTCTTTGATTGTCCTTTATTTTGTTCTTTAATGACACCATCCAATTATCTTCTTACATGCCTCTTCCACCCTGTCACGCTCTCGTTCCACACTTCACCTTGCACCTTCCACGGTCACGTCCACACTTCACGATCACGATCATGCTCTGCTCACAGGGTTTACGCTCACCTCACGGGCAAAAACCTATTTCGCTTCTCACCAACACCTGTACCAGGTAACCCACCCGATTATATTGACCTTGCGGCCTAACTGAAACAACCTCCCACCACCTAAGGGGGTGGAGCTAACAATCAAAACTACAAAACAAAAATGGCTCTTACAGATACCATAGACCAGCGGTTCCCAAACTCAAGAACGCCGCGGCCCACTTTGAAATCTGAAAATCTTTTGTGGCCCACCCAAACCTTTAATCACAACTCTGATCAAAACATAAACTAGGAATGATTAAATTACCTTAAGAATTTAACCGAAAAAAAATGTATTAACCGATAATGTATGTTTTGTAAACCATTTTCTCCGGAGCTCATGTGCCGTGTTTTCCGCACAATAAGGCGCATAAGATACTGCAGTCTATCAGCGCTAATCACTGTCAAAATTCGAGAGCGCAAATCAGGTTGATGCGAGCACGTAAATCAAACATCCGCCAGCAAAGGTCTGTCTCGCGCGAGCAAAAATTTGTCTCGAGCGAGTTATTTGCTCGCTTGCGAAACGTGAACTTCCTCGCTCGCGAGGAGAATCTCTGCTCGCGATCGAAGGAGTTTTCTACGTGCTCGCTGTTGTTCTTTCTGACAGTAAGGGGGCGGAGCCAGTCACATGATCTCTACATCTGATTGGTTACAAACCCATATCACTCATATCACTCCTGTATTAACTTCTCTGCACTGGCTCCCTGTTGAATCAAGAATAGATTTTAAGGTACGTCTCCTCACCGTCGTATCTTAAAGAGCTTGTAACACCTTATTGCCCTACAAGGCAGCTGCGCTCCATAGATGCTGGTTACTTGTTGTTCCTATGGTTTTAAGAAGTAGGATGAGGGCCAGAGCCTTCAGTTATCAAGCTCCTCTTTGGTGGAACCAGCTTCCACTTTCACACTTTCAGTCCGGGGGGCAGATTCTGTCAGCTCTTTTAAAGTAAAACTTAAAACGTTCCTCTGTGATTCTGCCTATAGTTAGGGCTGGCTCAGGTCAGCCCGGACCAGCCCTTAGTTAAGCTGCTATAGGCTTAGACTGCCGGGGGACTTCTTAGGACACACAAGCTCCTCTCTCACGCTCTCGTTCTACCATAATACACGTTTTATTAATGCACATGACTAATTCAGCTTCTTTCCGGGAGTTTTTTGTGCTTTCTCCCCTATCAGGTCTCCGTAGATTGTAGTTCCTTCTGGACCCTGGTCCTGACACCTGCCGTGGCCCTGCTGACGCCTGCTGCTGCTATCATCATCATCATCATTATTATTTTAGATTATTAATCATATTACTGTACTCATAAACCAACATTACCCTCTCCTAAATTGTCTCTGTGCTCTCCCTCCCCACAGGCTTCTGTGGATGGTGGTTCTATCTGGTGGTGGTTCTATCTGATGGTGGTTCTATGTGATGGTGGTTCTATGTGATGGTGGTTCTATGTGATGGTGGTTCTATGTGATAGTGGTTCTATGTGACGGTGGTTCTATGTGATGGTGGTCCCTGCAGTGGTCCTGCTGTGCGTCTGGTTTACTACTCACAATTACTTGAATCATTTCTGTCATATAGTCTCATGTATTATACATTTTTCATTCTGTACACATGACATCATTGTAGTCTGTCCATCCCGGGAGTGGGATCCTCCTCTGACGTTCTCACTGAGGTTTCTTCCCTTTTTTCCCTCTTGGAAGGGTTTTTTCATTTTTTGGGGAGTGTTTCCTGTGCCGATGGTGGGTTTCGGGACAGAGGATGTTGTATGTGTACAGATTGTAAAGCCCTCTGAGGCAAATTTGTAATTTGCGATTTTGGGCTATACAAAATAAAATGAATTGAATATATGTTTCCTGTAATTATCTACGAATAATGTACACCCATGTTTTAGTTCTTTAGGAATACAAAAACCAAGGTATCCCTTCTGTCCGTGTCCTGACTAATTGACCTTTTAATTAACTATTTCTAAACATTTCGATACTTAATATTTCGGATAGATTTTTATACAAGAACTTGATTCAATAAAATGAATTATTGTTTTATAATTACAGGTTTAATGGAAACTAACTCCCACCAAATGTAATCTAAAGTAAATTGTGAAATTGGAATTCCACATTTATGAAGGTTCAGAGTTCCATTAATTAAGGCAGTTTTTTATTTGTAATATTTAATACAAATTGTTTGTTTTGTTCTTCAGTTCATTTACAAATTCACATTCTACAGAAATATCTGAAAAATGTGGAAACGTGAAGTCGTCGGTTTATTCAGAATTGAAACATGAAATATTGATTATAGATCTGTCACACAAGGAATGATACAAATCATTGAAGACAAAAAGTGTTTTTATCAACCAAATTTGAAGCTCAGAGAGAGAAAAGATAAGACTTGTGAGGAGAAGAAATTTGAACTTTTATATGATCTGAGAACAGATCTCTTTATGAAACTTTTTATTTAATTTAATTTGCATCAGTATTATTCCTAGGGTGATCTGAGTTGCTACAGTTGCTATGGTCAACAACGATAAATATCTGGCTCTGATCAGATTAATATCTGTGTATGTTAAAAACCTGAAAATGATTTCAAAAATACAAACTGTTAAAATAGAAAAAGTACGACTATGAATGCAGAAATAAAGTATTGTCATAATTTTAAATAACTGCTGTTTGGACTATCATTTAAGTGGCTGTAATTAAATCATTAAACTAAATCAACCCAAATGAAGACTTAAAAATCAAATGATTCAGTTATTTATGAACTACATAAAAAGTAAGACACAAAGAGGAAGAATCATATAACCTCACTAGCACTTTGTCAAAAATCATCTCGTTCCTGTGATCCAGGAACCACATCATCTTCACTGATTGGTGATCAGCTTATCACAGCTCATCTTCCTGAGTCACTGTAAGGAAATTAGATCAGTCATGGAAGGAAGATTTTTATCAAATTAAAAAATGAATATTGTATTAGTATTTATTTTCTCTATCAGTATATAATTTATCGATATTAGTGTTTTATTTTAAACACAGAAATGCAGGTTTATTTTAACTCATATGTTTTTACTGTTTGGAGTTTAGTGAAGTCGTGAAAGGTGGAAAGGTTAATGTTTTGTTGAAATATTGACAGAAAATCAACAAAACAAAAAGAACATAATTTAAAATCCTTCTCCTCACCAACAAGGGACTAACTTTTCACCGTCATATCTTAAGGAGATTGTAGTACTATAGTACCCCACTAGAGTAGTAAAGGTTACTGGTGGTTCCCAGAGTCCTACAACATAGGATGACAGCCTCCAGTTATCAAGCAGACAGTCACCTTATTTAAGAGTAGGCTTAAGACTTTTCTCTTTGATAATGCTTATAGTTCGAGCTGTTTTGGGTTAATACAGCCTTTTCAGGTATATAGTTCAGGCTGTGCTCAGTTGTATAGTTAGGACTGATTCAGGTTTATAGTTGGGGCTGGATCAGGTTCATGGTTACAGTTCAGGGGTCCAATTTGTTATCTCCTTTATGTTTCATCGCTTCTATTACTGTTTTATATCTATATATGTTATATATACACGTTATGTTTATTTTCACATTTTTTGCCTTGATGTTTCATATCTGATATATTTGTATCCCCTTTGGGTAGTCATTTCTATGTTTAATATGATACTATGTTTGGTCAGTATCACTAAATTATTCATATATATTTTATGTATGTTTATTTTTATTGCTACCTCTCTCAATAAGTTTTGCTTTGCTTTATTTGTTTGTGTGTGTCGTTGCCTTTCTTGACGATGTCATTACTGGACTCGACCAAGTGAATGGCTCCAATAGCTGAGGCTTCTCCTTTGGCGTTGGTTGCGTGACACTCGTACAATCCTTCCTCTTCTTCGGTCAAAGGGGAAATCTGTAAATATTAATGATATTACGAACAGTTCATCCGTTCAACAGCAACAGCAGTCATAACGTCATCAATGTTTTTTGTCATATATATACACACACACATATATATATATATATATATATATATATATATATATATATATATATACGCGGTCAAGCCAGCCTCCATTTTGAAACAGTCAAGCCGAGCTCAGCTGAGACATGCAGACAGGCGGAGAGGACGTGCAGGAAAAGCATACATTTCGCACAGATATCTTAATTTACAAATATCACTGGGTAGATTGCGAAATATTGACTATTTTCAAAATGTATTTTTAATATAATAAAATATAATAAGTATTTTTTTGGCTCAAGGTGGGGCCACGCCCCATGAACCAGCCGCTACATATACATATGTATACACATATACATCTGAATGTGTATGACTAACCAGCACCCAGCCGGTCACTTCATGTTTCTCTGGTCCTCCCCTGGTTTGAATCGCCAGATTGTCTCTGTCTCCAGGAAGAAGCTCCATCCTCTTCTTTCCACTGAGGACCTGGAGGAAGACATCAATCATCACTTTTAACTGCAATATCTTCTGACAGGTCTACTACTACGCCCTCGCTTTCCTCTTTCACCCCGCTATCTCCTATCCAAATTCTTAACCTAGTAACCTCTGGCCGTCCGACCACCTGCCCTCTTGACCCCATTCCATCACATCTTCTACAATCTATCGCTCCTGACCTTCTTCCTTTCCACACCTATCTCCTCAACAATGCTCTGTTGTCACTGTTTTCCCAATTCTCTGAAGAAGGCAAGAGTTAACCCACGCCTGAAGAAATCTACCCTCAACCCTTCTGAAGAAAACAGCTTCCCTTTTTGTCCAAAACTCTTGAACGTGCGATCTTTAACCAACTCTCCTCCTATCTCCACCGTAACAACCTCCTTGACCCCCACCAGTTAGGCCTTAAGGCCGTTCCACAGAGACTGCTCTCTTTGCTGTCTCGAAGCTCCACACTCCACACTGCTAGAGCTCGTCTCTCTCCTCTGTCCTCATCCTTCTGGACCTCTCTGCTGCATTCGACACAGTCAACCACCAGATCCTTATTTCCTCCCTTCAGGAACTTGGTGTCTCAGCCTCTGCTCTCTCCCTTCTCTTGCCCTACCTCGACGGCCGCACCTACCGGGTAACCTGGCAAGGATCTGTGTCGGAACCTTGTCCTCTTACTTCTGGAGTTCCTCAGGGTTCCGTCCTGGGTCCCCTCCTCTTCTCGCTCTACACAAACCCTCTCGGCACTGTCAATCGCTCACATGGCTACTTCTACCACAGCTATGCTAATGACACCCAACTAATTCTCTCCTTCCCTCCCTCGGACACTCAGGTGACGGCACGAATCTCTGCCTGTCTGACTGACATCTCTCAGTGGATCCGCTCACCATCTGAAAATCAACCCTGACAAGACTGAACTACTTCTCTTTCCAGGAAAAGACTCTCCGACCCAGGACTTGATGGTCAACTTTGGCAACTCCGTGTTAACGCCCACTTTGACTGCAGGAACCTCGGCGTGACACTTGACAGCCGACTCTCCCTGACTCCCAACATCACTGCGACAACACGATCCTGTAGATACACGCTCTACAACATCAGGAGAATACGTCCTCTTCTCACTCAGAAGGCTGCACAGGCTCTTCTCCCTCCTGGACTACTGCAACTCTCTCCTGCAGGTCTCCTGCTACCACCATTCCACCTCTGCAGCTCATCCAGAATGCAGCAGCTCCACTGGTCTTTAACCTTCCTAAGTTCTCCCACACTACTCCACTCCTACGCTCTCTTCACTGGTACCAGTGGCTCATCCAGTTCAAAACATTGGTGCTCACGTACCATGCTGTGAATGGATGGGGTCCAGCTTCCATCCAGGACCTGGTCCAACCCGACATCCCGACCCGCACTCTCCGCTCTGCATGTGATAAACTGCTTGTTCCTCCTCACTGAGAGCAAAACACTCGACTAGATCTCCACTCTTTGCTGTCCTGCTCCTAAATGGTGGAAGGAGGTCTCTGAAGACATCAGGACCGCAGAGAGCCTTCACATCTTCCGCCGCAAACTAAAGGCACACCTCCTCAGACTCTACCTCGACTAAAAGACTTACAAATTGTAGCACTGAAATTGTACCTGTAATCTGTAGAAAATTTGTTTCTTGCTCTTCTGAGTTTGTATCCTTATGGTTGAATGCACTTATTGTAAGTACGCTTTGGATAAAAGTGTCAGCTAAATGTAATGTAATGATTGGTGTTTGACGTGAATGAAATATATTCAAATTTATATATTAAAACAAAGACTACCAAATGTCACTGGTTGCTGTGGTGATAAACATTTGTTTGTTTTTAGTAAACATGTGTATGTTTTCAGTAAATATTTTGTTTTGTGCATTCTACGTTGATGAGCCTGCAGAGGCTAGGTACATTTTTTTCTGATTGAGCAGAAGATTCTGCTGCAGCTTGTTCTTTACTCGATCTGATCTGAAGTTCACAAACATGAAGTGACAAAGTCCGAACCTGCAGAGAACACACCTGAATACCTGAGGGTGCCAGTGAGCTCAGCCTTTTTAACCCATGACGTCTTCAACAATTATATTTTATTCAACAATTCAACAATTATATTTTATCCATGTTCAAGGAAATCCATAAATCAGTGACAGAAACCTCTTCATTGTTCTATATATAGATTTCCTTTAGTCTATACAGGACCGTGCATATTAAAAAATGTGCATTGTGAGTCACTTCTGGACTTGAAGTTTTTATTTTACATTTCATACTGCCATACTATACATTTTGGAGATAATATTCATTTCTCATTCATTTTACTTAAGGTGAATCCATGATTCTCTTCTCTAAACCAATTGATGAGCTGCTCAGTGTCACAGAGAAACTCACCCTCTTCCAGGTGAGGACAGGTGTGGGCACCCCCATCGCCTCACAGCTCAGATACACCTGAGAGCCGCTCACGTTGTAGACCTCAGCTGGAGCAGTGACGATGACTGGGGCTTCAGACAGGTCAGTGACAACATGAAGGACAATCATCGTGAGCTTTGTGATGTTTAAACAGGATGAAACTGGTTTCAGTAATCAATCGGTGAGATCAGAACTAATCAGCATGAAGGTGGGGTGACAGAAACAGGATGTAACATGTTGCAGGAATCCACCAGAGACAAATGACCGCGGAGGAATTCAGTGTTTTCAGAGGGATGAAGTTGGATTATCATCACCGTCTATTATCTATTCCTGTCGGAGGGAGGGGGGCGACGCAGCTTCACTGCCACCGACCACTGGAACCGGCCGTCCTGAAAAGGCAACCTTTCACCGACCTACTGCATCAGATTGTTCTCTCTGGCTCCTAAATTCAGATGACCTCAAGACACACTCACCTGTACCTCAGAGGGACTTATATTGGCTTTCACCTGTGTGTGTGTTTATGCGTGTGTGTCTCACCTGTGGAACAGCGGCCCTTGTTCTGCACGCTGATTGGTTCTTTGCCCTCCTTCTCGGCGGTCAGGCTTGCGCTTTTCAGTGCGCAGCCGCTGCTGTGGGTCACTCCGTCAGTGCCGCAGACCTCGTAGTTGCTTTTACACACGCACACACCAAGTTTGTTCTTCTTGTGCGCGTCGCCCTTTACGCACTCCATCCCGGCGCCGCAGCGGCGGGCATCCGCGCGGCGGCCGCCGCACGTCTGCCCTTCCGAGGCGGCGCACACCGAGCAGCAGGCGCATGAGTCCAGAAGAGAGCCGGAAGGACAGCCCTCCACCGGGAGAGAAGCACACTGAGACGGGTCACAAGAGGCACAGCCCGGGCCAGCTAAGACCCGGACCGAGAGCACCGGGGCCGCCGAAAGGATCCAGAGAAAGAGGATGAAAGACGTCATGGTGATCTTACGGAGATCTGCCACAAACTGTGCTGGTCTCAACAGAGTCCCGATCTGAACACACTTAGATCAGATGTGCAGACTGGGGTCTGTTATAAGCTGCTGACTCCGCCTCACACAAGATCCCAGACCTCCTCTTAGTCGGAAAAACGAATCATGAAAATGTAATAAATAAATAAAAACAGATGATAATTCAGCTATACTTTTACTTAAACATCTGCTTTTATAAAGTTTCCTGCTGATCAATAAACTCATAAAAGTTTATCTTTACAACTGTTTCACTTCTGTCTGATAACTGCATTAAATAATATAATGTGCCAACAAATGATAAAAGATAATTGAATTCATTTGTTCTAGTCGAACAACAATAATAAATTCAACAATGTGCGTACTTCATGCTAATTTACTGATAATGTTGGTCTTCCTAACAAGAATGACTCAACAAGTCATAAGTCCACCAATCAACAACGACTATCAATAAATATCAGCAAACATCAATAAATATCAGCAACTCAGATTCTGTACGAGACCAGAAACACAGAAACAAAGACTCATCCCTGATATTTAGTTAAAATAAAGCATTTGGCAAATAAACAGGAACTGTTCTCATGTCTGATTTATTTTTCCTGTTTTATTTCCAGTTATTGATTGAACTTTAGTTCTCTTCCCAAAGAGCAGCATGGATCTGTTCAGTCTATAGAGTACATACAGTGTGTACACACACACACACACACACACACACACACACACACACACACACACACACGTTATATCAGAGTACTCCAGCTTTATATAACATTTTATCACATCTTCTCTAAACAGCAAAAACTAAATTAAAATAAAAAGAGACTGGGACAGAAATCCTAGAAGTACTAGGTTATTTGAAGTATTTGCTGATGAAGGCAGACAGAATGTCTCTGTATGGGGATTCCGATTGGACCGTTTGGAGCTTGAGGATTTTGAGGATCGCTGGAGAACGAAGGATGAGGTTGTGACCAAATCCCACCAGACTGGAGGTGAGCCAGTAAAGCGCCATTGACTGTGGGGAAGATATCATATTTCAATTACAATACTGTAACAATCTACAGTTTGTCATATATATTAACATCCGTTAATAGTCTGCAGTCTTAATGAATATATCTGTTTATTAAGACTGCAGCTCTCCTCGGTCCCGAGCCTGACACAACCCAATCACAGATCAATGCAGTTTGGTGAAAAGTAGAGTTCAGAAAGAGAGAACCTCTTTATGAGAGATATTAGGGCTGGCCAATATATCAATATCAAATCTGTATGTTGATTTATCATCCTCTTAGGGTTGCATCAATTAAGTTAAGTAATTTCTGAACTTACCAGTCTGGTCCAGCTGTTCTCTGACTCACTTACTCATTATGTCCACATTACTGATGATTCATTACCATGACTAGGTCACAAGTAAACATTTTGTCAACCCAACAATTTTGTCTCAAGATCGAGGAATTTGGTTAAAAATATTGTGATGTTGACCAGCTTTTCTTATACAAGAGAAACTATATGACTCTAAATGGACCATCATTTACTAAAAGAACATGATGCTATATTGAAGAAGACTTGAAAGTAGAGATTGAGACAAAAACAGTTTACCAGGAGTCCATGGTGGTCACTACGGAGAATGCAGCTTAACACGTAAAGCTTTGACTTCACTTAATGAACCGAATCTTGGTTCCGACCCTGGTCTCAGTTATGTAAAGACTACTATCATGCAGCAGAATCCTGTTTCAGAGTTAAAGCTGCAGGTTCGTATTTAGTCTGAACATGTGATGCAGACAGGAATGAACACGTGATGCAGACGGGAATGTGTGAAAAGCCGCTGAGCACAGTATGTGTATAAATGCTGTGATCACTGTAGCAGAAGGACAGACCAAACTCTTTGAAAACTGATCTCCTTTGTAGAAAATTCCAGGTACGCACTTGGGTATTGTTTTTATATATATATATATATATATATATATATATATATATATATATATATATATATATGTTCAAATATGTTAAGAAGTAGTCATTTCTAATACGTAAAGCTTGGCTGTACCTAATTCTTAACTGAAAGGACATTAATTAATTCATAAGTGGTCTTCTGCTGCTTCCTTCAGGAATTATATAGTAACAGCAGGATTATTAAAAACCACCTCCCACATAATGCACAATCGCATATGTTTTAGTTATTGCATTATTTCTTTTGAATTGTAGTATATAGGCTACTGTTATTCAAAGTAAGGCGGGGGAAGCGAGGAGGGCTACGAGCTAGGCTAAAGCTAACTCCTCACCGGCTTTCTCTACCCAGCATTTTCCTCGCCAATGTTCGGTCTCTGGCGAACAAAATGGATGAACTGCGGCTGCGGATCACCACTCATCAATAGATCATAGACTGCAACGTCATTATTTTCCGGATAGCGCCATCGAGCTAACGGGGCACTACATCCTCTGGGCAGATAGAACAACAGAGGACTCCGGTAAGACCAGAGGCGGTGGACTATGCATCTATGTGAACAATGCTTGGTGTACGGACACTGCTATCATCGAGAGTCACTGCTCTGCTAACCTTGAGTATCTCATAGACCGTAGACCGTTCTATCTGCCCAGGGAGTTTGCATCTACTGTTGTGACTGCAGCTTATATCACCTGCACAGCTTTTATGCACGCTTCGACAGGGACAACCAGGAGGCTGCCATCAAGGCTGCGCTCACTTCAGACCACCAGCCCCTCACACTCTCCTCCACCGACGTGTGTGCTGCACTGTGCAGGATTAATGCACGTAAGGCTCCAACCATCATGAAGTGCTTCGAGAGGCTGGTCCTGGCTCACCTCAAAACCTGCTTACCACCCACACTGGACCCCTTCCAATTCGCCTACCGCAAGAACAGGAGTACGGAGGATGCCATCTCCACGCGCCGTTCACACTCCGCCCTTTCTCACCGTGGACAATAACCACAGCTATGTGAGGATGCGAGTTCATAGACTTCAGTTAAGCTTTCAACACTGTGATCCCCTCCAAACTAATCACGAAACTCAGTCACCTGGGTATCAACACTTCCCTCTGTAACTGGATACTGGACTTCCTATCCAACAGACCCCAGTCTGTTAGGGTAGAGAACCACACCTCCTCAACCCTCATCCTGAACACCGGCGTGCCACAGGGCTGTGTGCTAAGTCCTCTCCTCTCTCTTCACCTACAACTGCACACCTGTACATGGTTCTAATACCATTGTCAAGTTTGCAGACGACACGACGGTGATTGGCCTCATCAGTGACAACGATGAGTCGGCCTACAGAGAGGAGGTCCAGCACCTGGCGGTGTGGTGCGCCGACAACAACCTGGCTCTCAACACCAAGAAGACCAAAGAGCTAATTGTGGACTTCAGGAAGAAAACTGGCACACACATCCCCATCCATATCAACAGGATGGAGGTTGAGCGTGTCGCCAGCTTCAAGTTCCTGGGTGTCCACATCTCTGAGGACCTCTCTTGGACCCTCAACATCTCATCCCTGGTAAAGAAAGCACACCAGTGTCTCTTCTTCCTGAGGAGACTGAAGAAGGCCCATCTGTCTCCTCAGATTCTAGAGAATTTCTACCGCTGTACCATAGAGAGCATCCTTACAAACTGCATCTCAGTATGGTACGGCAGCTGCTCTGTCAGGGACCGTAAATCACTGCAGAGGGTGGTGAAAACTGCCCAACGCATCACCGGTTCCTCACTCCCCACCATTGAGGCGTCCAGAGCAAGAGATGTCTGCGGAGGGCACGCAGCATCGAAAAGGACAGTTCTCACCCCAGCCACAGACTGTTTGCCCTCCTCCCCTCTGGGAGGCGCTACAGGGTGCTCCGTTCCCGGACCAGCAGGTTCAGAAACAGCTTCATCCCTGTGGCTGTCACTCTACTGAACTCTGCCCCCACCCCCACACACATCTCCCTCAGTGACGCTACTTCCCCCCCTCCACCCTGGCTTGACTGCCACACACCCTCCTCCAGCCACTGAACATTTGCACTATTATTGTATATCCATTTCTTACTGTTCATATTGCATATCTATTTCTTACTGTACATATCTATTTATTCACTTATTACACTTTACATATGCACATACTCTGCACTTTTTTGCTACTTTGCACTTCTGGTTGGATGTTAAACTGCATTTCGTTGCCTCAGTACTTGTACCCTGTGCAATGATAATAAAGTTGAATCTAATCTATTCACACAGTTTTTGTTCACTTCCTCTCATCACATTGTAAAACCTTGAGTTTCCTCATTCTGTGTTAATTTTTTGTTGGAGTGAGGTGTTTTGACAAAAGAACGGAGCCATCAAATTCAAAATGTCGAAAGATTAACGTTTATCTTGTGATGATATTTTACCATATTTAGCAGCAAATGTGTCTGTTAGAGAAACAGATTGTTTCTTATTGCATGTCTCACTCCGAGACGTTTTGATAAAATTGCACTTTCTTGTTCTTCTGAGTTTGTATCCTTATGGTTGAAATGTATATATTGTAAGTCGCTTTGGATAAAAGCGTCAGCCAAATGACATGTAATGCAATCTTGAATTGCTCCTACCTATCGTGAGAGTTAGAGAGATGTAAGAGAAATGTTTCATAGGCTTGTTTATCTCTTAGTGGAAAAAATCCTCATGTCTAGAAGAGGTGAATTCACGTTGTGGAATGACATTAAGTGCAGCAGATTATTATAGGTTCAACATATAGGTTCAAACATGGGAAGAATGGATCCAGGTGGAAAATACTGAAGCAACCCTTACTGAAGGAACTGTAGCCGCGATGGGAATCATCAACACCGATACAGCCCTGACGGAGTTTGTCACAATCCTCTGAAACCGAGATGGGCTGACTCTCTGAAGAGAAAACACCTGAAGAAGAAGAGAGAAATGATACCTTAAATGTCACCACCGGGTTAGGTGATTACACACCTGCTGAACAGACGTACCTCTACAATGAGCAGATTAGTGAGTCCAAGACAGATAGGTAGGATCCATGTAGAGTCAGGTGAGGTGAGGTCAGGGAACCAAAGGGCGCCTCCTGATGCCATATCAGTCTGCAGAACTGCAGAAAACACAGGCAGCTGTTATCTCAGGTTACCAGACTGATCCAGCAAGGATGAGGGCCCAGTTTAGATTTAGATTTAGATTCAACTTTATTATCATTGCACAGGGTACAAGTACTGAGGCAACGAAATGCAGTTTAACATCCAACCAGAAGTGCAAAGTAGCAAAAAAGTGCAGAGTATGTGCATATGTAAAGTGTAATAAGTGAATAAATAGATATGTACAGTAAGAAATAGTTGTGCAATATGAACAGTAAGAAATGAATATACAATAACAGTGCAAATGTTCAGTGGCTGGAGGAGGGTGTGTGGCAGTCAAGCCAGGGTGGAGGGGGGAGTACAGTCACTGAGAAAGATGTGTGTGGGGGTGGGGGGCAGAGTTCAGTAGAGTGACAGCCACAGGGATGAAGCTGTTTCTGAACCTGCTGGTCCGGGAACGGAGCACCCTGTAGCGCCTCCCAGAGGGGAGGAGGGCAAACAGTCTGTGGCTGGGGTGAGAACTGTCCTTTTCGATGCTGCGTGCCCTCCGCAGACATCTCTTGCTCTGGACGCCTCGATGGTGGGGAGTGAGGAACCGGTGATGCGTTGGGCAGTTTTCACCACCCTCTGCAGTGATTTACGGTCCCTGACAGAGCAGCTGCCATACCATACTGAGATGCAGTTTGTAAGGATGCTCTCTATGGTACAGCGGTAGAAATTCTCTAGAATCTGAGGAGACAGATGGGCCTTCTTCAGTCTCCTCAGGAAGAAGAGACGCTGGTGTGCTTTCTTTACCAGGGATGAGATGTTGAGGGTCCAAGAGAGGTGCTCAGAGATGTGGACACCCAGGAACTTGAAGCTGGCGACACGCTCAACCTCCGTCCCGTTGATATGGATGGGGATGTGTGTGCCAGTTTTCTTCCGGAAGTCCACAATTAGCTCTTTGGTCTTCTTGGTGTTGAGAGCCAGGTTGTTGTCGGCGCACCACACCGCCAGGTGCTGGACCTCCTCTCTGTAGGCCGACTCATCGTTGTCACTGATGAAGCCAGCTGATGCCGTCGGGCTCAATTTACCCGACTGGTCAACATTAATTTTACAAGACTGACCCAGTCAATTTCGACTGATCCAGCCTTCGTTCACCAGACTCAGTTCTCGCTCTCTATACCAAACTGTTGGTGGTTAAATCTGGATGGTGATTGTTCCTGTTGTGGTCCTCCCTGACTTTCTCTACTGTCATTATTATTAGTATGGTAGTTATATTAGTAATAATTTTCCCATCATTATTCTACTAATTGATTCATATATACATGTAATTTGTTATGTTGTTCATTTTGATCGCATGACATCTATCACACTTATCTAACCCTGATAGAAGATCCTCCTTATTTGCTATCTGAGGTTTATAACTTTTTTTGTAGATGTAAGCTTACCAGACTGATCCAGACTCAGGTTTCGGAGGGCCAGAGACAGGCTAATCCACAAGGGCAGCTGAACCCAGATCAGCAGGCTGGCTTTGAAGGGATGACAGTTGTCTCTGATGTAGAGCTGAGAAACAATACGACGCAGATTTTTCTTGAATTGAAATCTGAAAAGAAACAGCAGAAAATATTCTTCTTCTTCTGACAGAATCAATGAGGTCACATCTCCTGGGTGGAACTTTATGAAAGATTCTAAATTATAAAATATATTCTAATGACGATGACCATGTATACCTGAGAAGGCAATGATGTCACTCTCCCTCCCTTTATTATAAAAACGTTTAGCGCAATAAGCACCGTTAGCTGTGAGAGGCAAATCAAAAAGCTCCAAATCTTTCACCTTTAGGTATTTAAAAACAGTGACAGTTTAACAGCATGTTTGTTTGTGTGGTTTCTTACCGGCTCTGTTTTTCTGTCCAGCCTCTCTCTTTTGCTCTGAATGAAACTTCATATCGAAGTCTCTTTGCCAGCTCCGAGATCTCTGCCTGCAGTGCCTCCACCTTTACACAACCTGGAGGTTACTATGGTTACCATGATGGATAAGAGGGTACTGTCCATGAGAGTTGGAACACACCAAGAAAAATGTGAACAGGATCAAGTCCACGGGCACACGCTGTTGTAAACAAGTACAATATACCAATATATGTATGTGTATATTACTAGAACCAAACCTGGTGCTGGAAACGCTTTCAGTGTTTATCTATCACAAAAAACAGAATCTTTGCTTTTTCAATTCAATTCAATTCATTTTATTTTGTGGAGCCCAAAATCGCAAATTACAAATTTGCCTCAGAGGGCTTTGCAGTCTGTACACATACGACATCCTCCTCGGCACAGGAAAAACTCCCCAAAAAATGAAAAACCCTTCCAAGAGGGAAAAAGGGAAGGACCGATGTATCAATATTGAAAGCAATGGCTGATAGAGGGCACAAAGAGCACAAACCCCTAAACCACTAATCAGTTAATTGAAAAGTAATCAGTACTAGAGTGACAGCTCTACTTAATCCTTTCCTTCCCTCATGTTATCACTCACCTTGGCGATTATGACCATCTGGTAGGTGGCGAGTGGCAGAGTGATGAGCGTCCTGACCGATAGCGTGGCAACAATGATGGCCAGCCACCACGGGAGCCCGCTTACCTGCTGCACGCTCACCAAGAACCGCTCACACAAGTGAACCGGAGCGGAGTCTGAAAGGCTGCTGTACCAGCCTGCTGCACCACCGGAGAGCCTCCTGACTCCTGCCGGCGACCCTAGATCTGAAAGCCTTCTGACTCCTGAGAACATCTCGACTCCTGAAGGCGATCCGAGTCCTGAGAGCCTCCTGAGTCCTGAAGGAAACCCAACTCCTGAGAACGTCCCGAGTACAGAGAGTCGTGCAGGAAGCTGCAAGATGCCGGACCTCACCGCCCTCCCCACACACAACATGGTGACCACCTGCTGAAACATGACGAGTTAAAAAAAGACAAGTGAAAAAGAAGAGCAACTAAAAGCTGTTTGACGTAACGTGAATTGGTTATTTCAACGAACACAACGACATTTCTAACAAAACGGCAACTGAAATAAATAAAGCTCAGACTTACCAGTTTGACGTCAGCCGTCAGGTATCCTGTACCGGCAGCCTGTTGCGTAAACGGTGCGTAAAATAATCACTAAAACTAGGTTTTGTCAAATTCTTTCTTTTTCAGATCACGACAGCGGAGCGTCCCATCGATGTGACGTCACGTTTACCATCGGCTGTCGGTTAAATGTGACGTTTCAGAGGTGCGTTACAAAAGATACATGCGACATGACTTTTTTAATAGGAAAATAGAATAATAAGCTTATATTATGATGTGTTATTTAACAGAAATGTATTATAACTCATGCTTAATAAACCAGTAACTGCATTAAAAGCACACGTGTCCTATTTAATAATAATCTATACAGTAAAGGGACATGCTCAAGGAAAGCACTCGCCCTTTTCAACAGTATTTGAGTAAATGTATTTCGTTTATTTATCTAAAACAGACCGCTTTGATCTTCTGCTCTGTGTCTAACCGGAAGTAGTGTTATGGATGATCACGCTTCCGGGCTGATCGACCCGCCTCCTCCCAGACAGCAGCGGACATGGCGGAGTACAGCCAGGTGGGCCTCCTGGCGGCTCTGCTCCTCTTCACAGCACTCACGGTCCGGGACGTCTATCTCGGCCGTTCGGGCCTGCAGCTGGAACAACAGCCGACCGGAAGCTCTGGCCTCTCCCCGGACACCTTACCGGACAATGGACCCGGAAGAACCGCCAAGCCCTCGCTGTACTCTGGGCCAATGCTGAAGTTCCAGTACTGGTGAGTTAACGTTAGTTAGCACACAGGGTAACTGCTGACAGGCTGCGACAGACAGATAGTAAGATAGTAATCCCCCTGACGAACATGTGAATCTGAGAAAGTGTTTTAAATGGTTCCAGTTAAAACACGAACAAACAAGCGTCTCAGCGGTAAAACGTGTCTAAATGGATAAAACCAGTCTGTCGGTAGAACCCGTCTGGCTCGGGCTAGATTTGTTCAACGCTGAGCTCCAAAACAAGATGCAAATCTGGATTCAAATGGTAACCCGTTCCTTCAACCCTTTAATATCACATCATGTAATGTTTTATATATAAATATTAGTGAACGGTTTTATAAATCGGTTTAATAAATAAAACATTTGAACGTTTTCTGAATCTTTTCTGTTACAGAGTAGTCACAGAATATGGTTACAAGGACAACATTTCTAGTAGAAATATGATCTCTCATCTTGCTAAGAATGTTTAGTCTTTAAGCTGATTTTCTGTATTAATAATTGGTCCAATGGGATTTGCAAAAGATTACCACAGGTAAACGGACCATGGTACCTGACCGTACATACCTAACTGGTCTTCTCTTTATCGTTTCAGTATCTCCTGAGGATACAACAAGGCGTTTCAGGAGTACTCTCGAGCCATCAGCCAGTTGTACCCGGACATGCGCATCGAGGGTGAAAACTTCCCCCCCACCGCCTTCAACAGGTGTGCCCGATGTGATTAAACCCCACCATCTTCAACCGTTTTTTTCTGGCATCACTAAACCTAACCTCCCGCCTGCTCTCTTGTATCTCCTCAGGTGTGCTGGTAACCTCATCTCTTACCTGAAGCTCCTCTCCATCCTGCTGATCGTCAGCGGTCAGAATCCCTTCATATTTCTCGGGATGGACACTCCAAGGGCTTGGAACTGGACTCAGGACAACAAGGTACATGTTCCCTTTAGGGTTGTCACGATACCAAAATTAGGACTTACGATACCTTCCATAAATATCATGAAACCCGATATTTACGATACAATACCAGAATTCTATACAATAGCACAAATAGAACATGTTACCATAAATACAATACTGGTATATTTATCTATAATGGATCCCATTTTACCAGCTGGTTCCTACCCAGCTTTTTGAACACTCAACAAATTATTGAAAACTACATAGAGCCATCATAGCATTGATTATATACGGTTATGTAACGTAGCCATGTCTCCCTAGTGATCTCTCGCTGTGAGCGTGTGCTGGGTAGCGCTGCCTCTTGTCAAGCAATGCGTGCAGGCAGCAGGACATGCAGCGAAGCAGTGACTAAAAATATGGAAATTTGTCTCGTTTTCAACGTACAGGTTCCACGGTAACTTATTAGTATTGATATACCATGTAACATTTGTTACCACAACAACAGAGGATTCAATGGGTTACCACATCAACATATTGACCTCTGTCACTGGTTTTGTTTTTACTCAGATCTTCTCCTGTCTGATGGCCTTCTTCCTCTGTAACATGATGGAGACTCACTTCCTGTCTACAGGAGCCTTCGAGGTCACTCTGAACGGTAAGTTCTGATTGGTCCAAAACATTCTGTATTTCACATAATAAACTCTGTTTTGCAAACTGAATACTGTGGTAGGATGTTTTTGTAACAGTGTCATGTGCCCCCCTAGGGCTGCAGCTTACAATCATTTTAGTAATTGATCTGTATGTTGATTATTTTTTCGATTACTCAATGAATCAAGGAAAAAAGATTGCCATAATACGTCAGACATATAGGGAATTTGACTTGGCGGTTGGTGCGTAACAGCAGACAGTAAGACAATGGATGACAACAGTACACGAGGAATAAAATAAAATATAATGCTATGGGTTAGTAGTATAAGGCTATGGGTTAGTTTAAAATAAAAGAATAAAAGTTAAAGTTAAACATATTTAAAAAGTAAAAAATAAAGTGCACCAGCGAACAGGAAGTGACAAAAGGGACGAGTTAAAAGTGACAAGTGTGCAGTACGAAAGAAAGTGACCGGTGTGATGTCAGAGTCAGACAGTGGGGGACCGGCCCTGTTGATGAGCCCGACTGCCGACGGAAAGAAACTGTTGTGTGGCGGGAGGTCTTAGTCCTGCCAGATGGAACGGGCACAAACAGGTTTTGTCCGGGGTGAGAGGGGTCGGCCACTATCTTTTTAGCTGCTTCAGGGTCCTAGAAGCGAACAAGTCCTGCAGGGACGGCAGATTGCAGCCGATCAGCCTCTCTGCAGAGCGGAGGACACGCTGCAGCCTGCCCTTGTCCTTGGCTGTGGCTGCAGCGTACCAGACGGTGATGGAGGAGCAGAGGATGGACCCCATGATGGCCGTGTAGAAGGTCACCATCATCGTCTTTGGCAGGTTGAATCGGATAAAAAAAAACAAATCATTAATTTCTAAAACTTCATTCAAAAACAGAACGGATTCACATTGCAAAAACATTGCAGAAGGTGCACAAACGGGTAGCTCCTTGAATATCCCTTTAGCCATTAAAGTAATAATTAGAAGATTAAAGCAAAAAAAACCAAAACGTTCACATGTATGCCTTACATCGGACAAGTATATAGACTTTTTTTTTTTAAATAAAGTGCACAAAAAGATGTTTATTTTTGTTTAAAGGGACCTGTCAGAACAATCTCTATATTTTATGAAAACTACAAATCGGAAAACAGGATTTGTTTGAACGTCAGAACTTGTACTCTTCACCAGTGGTCCCCAACTACGGTCCGCACGGCACCTGGTACTGGACCTTTTTTCAGAACATTTCATTTTGAAAAAAACCCTGACCAGATTCTTTCGCAATTACATGCACTTGTCCCTCTTGACACATTTCCCAAGCTTTTTTTTTGTTGCTATATGCAGCGTCCACTACCCCCCCCCTTCCTCCCGGAGGTTGTCATGTCCCCTCTGTCACTGCTACTTCCTGGTGTAACAATGTTTCATGTCCCTCTCTTAGATGTCCCTGTGTGGTCGAAGCTTCAATCGGGTTACGTCCCAAACATCCAGGAGCTCTTCCAGATCCTCGACAACCACCTAAAGATGAACCAGGTGGATCCCATGAGCTTCTCTTCATCTTAGAGCTGCTCAGGTCAACACACTAAGGAACATCAAAGAGGTTTGTTGCCGCCTAGGTTGCCATGGTAACTTATGATGTCCATCCCACCTGGTCCATGTACTATAGATAAACTAGTTTATCACCTAGTTATCTGGTTAAATACAAACCAGATCCTCTAAACCAGTGGTTCTCAAATGGGGATATGTGAAGGCACTGAAGAGGGTAGTTGTGATTTTAACAAAATCATTTTAAATGTAGTTATTTTATACATATTAAGTGTATTTTCATAAACAGAAATGTATATTCCAGGCATGAAAATCCCTCACCTTTCGGCAAAATTCGCCGTTTTGAAACCAAAATAGGTGACCTACGTGAATCGTGTAGATTCGATGAGGTTTTTTTTTGGGGGGGGGGGGTATTCATATTCAGTGAACTGCGAACAGGGTGAGTGATGGTTTTAATATTTTCTGGTCTATCTAAGTTAAGTTACCCAGGAGCTTTGTTGACATAGACTTAGCTAACGTTAGCTACAGCTTGATGAATTGAGTCATTTAACACAGCAGGAGAAAACGCGACGTTGGCCAGCTAGCTAGAGCTCCGGTTCAAACTGTATAAATATAATATCAAAGAAATATAATGTGATACATAATTCAGACAGAAAGCAACAATTTGAACTGACAAATCAACGGAGAAGAGGTGTTAATAAATGACTGCCCGTGTGAATGAGTTTAAATTAATATATCTATCTGTTTCATTCAGGGACCATAGATCCCACCACCTGTGTTTACTATAGTTAACTTATACGTTGCAGGTGTGTTCTAAAGGTGTGTGTGAGATGTTACCTCATTTTTATCTTTTATCTTTTGCGAGCAAAGTATAAAATAAATACCTCCATAAAAATCCAAAACAGCAAGTAGACTTAAGTAGAAGTGTCTGTACTAAATGGTCCATCCATCCACCCATCTTCAGCCGTTTATCCGGGGTCGGGTCGTGGGGGCAACAGCTCCAGCAGGGGACCCCAAACTTCCCTTTCCTGGGCCACATCTACCAGCTCTGACTGGGGGATACGAAGGCGTTCCCAGGCCAGTGCAGAGATATAATCTCTCCACCTAGTCCTGGGTCTTCCCCGGGGCCTCTTCCCAGCTGGCCGTGCTTGGAACACCTCCCTAGGGAGGCGCCCATGGGGCATCCTCACCAGATGCCCAAAACTAAATGGTTCGAAGCTTTATTTATAATTGAAATATAAAGATAATTTGTATTATTCTGTTCAGAGTCTCAGGTTTGCTTTAAGACTTGTGTGATCAAAACTTAATTTAACGCCATCAAATATTTATATTACAAATATAGAACTAAATACGTTTAGATTCTCTTATTTTATATTTGTATCATAGGTTCATTAATGGGTTTCTGCCTCAAGCGTTTTGGCTGAAAAGAAGATATGAAGGAAAGCTCTATATTCATATATTTATTATGCTTCACACGGCTGCAGCTGAAAGAATATCATCCTTGTAGGGCTGCACGGTACACTGGTCCAAAGGATATTCCGGTAAAAGATTTCCATACGGTATTAATTTCTCATGTACCGTTCATACCGGTGTTACGACCGACGTTGCTCTTCGGCAGGCGGCAGAATTTATTTTTACCCGTCATGGAGGAGTCTCCAGCGGTCAGAGCTACTTCTCTTACGTGTGTTGAGATTGAGTCATGGTCACAACTTTATAACAACAATGAATAACCCACAACAAATACTATTTAGATAGATAGATTGATAGATAGATACTTTATTGATCCCTCAAGAGGGAAATGTTGGTATCACAGCAGCATGTACAGGGAAGAAAATAGAATAAAAAGATACACATTATATACAATATAATAAGATAGAAATATTAAATTATTAAATTAAATTAAATAAACTAAAACTGAAACAAAAGAAGAACCTTCCAAAAGAGACAATAATAATAATTTGTAAAAGGAGAAGAGGAAGAGCAGCAGCATCACAGCAGTACAGGGTTGTTATTATTGTCATTATTTAGCCAGGGATGATTTATTGTAAAGTGTTATTGCACTGGGCAGGAATGATCTCCTTAACAGGGTTGTTTTGGAAAATCCAAAAATCTGGTCTATCAAGCCTCTGGTGGCAACACTTGCAGCCACAACAAGCTAACGAGCTAATACACTGGCCAATTGCAAACAGCTGTTCGGGTAGCCGGCGGCCTTTTTCGGGGTCAATGCAATAAAAACAATATCGGGATACCGTCAGAAACTTCCTTAATACCGTGATATGGATTTTTGGCCATAACGCGCAGCCCTACATCCTGATGTTTTTTTATCTAGTTAATGCAGTAGTTGTCAAACTTTCTGTCACAATCCACTTTGGAGGAAGAAAAATGTTCACGTCCCAACCAAATTGTACATGTTGAATTTTTATTGAAATAACATGTTGTGCTTTGTGGAATAATGGAATTAAACAATTGCAATCCCTTTATGGTAAACCAGATTGCTCCATTAGACAAAAACAAATAAAATGTAAAACCATCTTGGTATATCTATGAAGCCATCTCATACTGATAAAACATGTAGTGGCTGCGATGACCCTGATTTCCACTACAAATTTTTTCAAAACATGGTTGCAAACTTGATGCGGCCTTTCAATTCATCCACAATTTTGAGCCTGGATCTGAATCTCGGCAACAGCAGTCTGTGTACTTTGTACTTTTGTAATATGGGAAGTTCTCAATAAAGTTCTTAAAATAAAATCATTCCCAATTTCCCCAATGCGAGCCACCTGTAACACCACTGCGACCCGCAGTTTGAGAACCACTGCGTTAATGTGATACTTCAATGTCCTTAACCTGTCTCACTCACCTGTCTGTCTCTTTCTCTCTTCAGCTGTGCTGCGTTCAGGTGTCCCGGCTTAGTGGTTCGTTCAGCCGCCGGCGTTCATGAAGGCCTGGCCTTAAAGCAGACTCTGCGGGGCCTGGCCGGATGTCTCCCGCCTCAAAGTGAACGTTCCCTCTGTGCTGGGTCACAACAGCACTACAGTACGCATAACGCACCCGTTTCTGTTGGTACGGTTTGATTTTACTTAAGCCTAGTTTATGCTTCTGCGTTTTCAGAGCGACGCAGACGCAAAACCCCCTTGCGTGTCCCTTGCGTGCTTTTTCACACCTCCTTGCGTGCATCGACCCATTTTTCGAAAGTGACGCAAGCCTCCTGCAGCGCACAAGGCTGTGATTGGTCTGCTAACTACGTCCTTTATAGAGTCTCAAATTTCCGCTTTCATAGCCCGATACCGCCATTATTAAAACGAAGAATGTTTACAAGAGAACGGATCAGATTGAAGAGCTTTTGTCGGAAGAAATGCGTAAATATGACCGCTTATACAAGCCGTCATTGGCGAACGGCTTCCCGATTCATGGAGGGAGATCTCCGCAAAAGGTGCACAAAGTTGTGGAGGAAAATACGCGACAAATGTCATCTTCAACAAAACACGTGACTCCACCTGTTGTTCTGGAGGTGAATCGCTCTGCAACACACGCAAGACTTTACAACCAGGAATTAAAACGAGTCGGTCGACGCAACGACGCAGAAGCATGCGCCAGCCTTTAGTTACAAGTTAGAGGTTCAGTTTGTTCAGAATGAAACTGTTAGCTTCATGGTCATTAGCACCAGACAGGAAACAAATAAATGCAAATGCAATCAATAAAATCTGGTTCATGTAACAAACTAAGTTACTTTGTCATCATTGATTCTGTAAAATGTCTGAAACAAGAATAAAACAAGTGTAATTTCCCAACATTTTTATTTAGTATTTTATTAATGACTCATTTAAGGAATTACGACCAATTCTTTCTTTGTTTTCCTCGAACAACACTCTTCAGTTTCCTCGTCTGTTAGTTTAGCTGAGCAGGTAGTTTACCAGTTGTAGTGCTCCCCCATGAAGCAGGAAACCGAAGGCTGAGTTACGGCCTTCGGTTTCCCCACCAGGCGTTGGTACTAACCTCTGCAGGGGATATCTCAATGTAGGTGGTGACTCTGCCATGAGATCTGATTGGTCAAGTCACAGACACCACACGGGTTGCTATGTTCTGGGATGAGATGATGAAAACAGATTTGTCCTGATAATCAAAAGTTCTTTTCATGGGCTTAGTTGGGGGTTTGCTGTCTTGTCTTGATTTAAGAGTTAGGTAAAGGGGGAAGCAGGATCTGCCAACCAGGCAGACACGAGTCTGACAGGATGGGGAGTCGGTTTATGTCCTGGCTGAGGAATGCAAGGTCTGCGGGTCAACTAGAAGATTTACCAGCCAAAGGGGGTTAGAGACACACCAACACTATTCAACATACACACTCTGTTCGCTGATGTTTACGTTAAGTCAGGAGTCTGGACATTGGATGTGACCGGATCTTTAGATGCGGGAGGTGGAAGGTCCTCCTCTACGTCAGTTTAGGGCCAATAGAAATCTTTCCTTCTCTGTCTTTCAAGGGTTATAAAACATGATGTTCTTGCTGATGTTAGTTAGTTGTTCTTCCGGCCTGTGTGCTGCCTGAACTGCTCCTGCCTTTGCAAACGCAGCGCTGATACTTGACCTGTGATCTGACAAATAAATTTCCCAGAACGAGAGAAGTCGTTCGGCTGAATTTTTGATAACCCCGACCAGGCTCCAAATCTGGAACACGTATTCTTACAATTCTCCAAAAATTCTGGTTTGTCTGTCAGGGGAGGCACTGCCCCTGTGGGGGCTAAGCAGTATATGCTCAACGAAAGGACACGACAAGAAACTTCCTCTAACCCCCCCCCCCGCGATCCAGTTCGGGGTTCAGAGGGGCTAGAATTATTTTGTGAATTTTCATTATTGCTGATTTAATAATTATATGTCAATCATATATTTTCAAACTAGCTAATCATCAGTCCTGCTCCTAAACTCATGCCCAATACTGTCCAGGTGAGTGAGTCTCTGTTGGTTTACCTGTGGAAGTAGCTGTAGGTTGGTGTATCAATAATAAAATGAATTGTTTATTTCTTTACTTATATTTTTAATGCAGATTGTTTCTTAAACATCTGGCAGAATATTATTTCTAGCACAATCAAATTGGTTAAAGTGATTAATGATATTTTGAGACATTTTGATGTGGGAAGTTTACGTTTGAATAAATCAATTAAATTATTTGCCAAACATGTTTCTCATCGGTATTTAATCTGCCATTCACAGTGTGAGCCGGCAGGGGGCGACCATGAGCCTCTGACTACACGCTTCCGTACCACAAGTAGAAGAAGGAGACTGAAACACTACGGAGCAGCACTGTTAGCATTGGCTGCTATTCGGGATACTTCCGTCAGATTATTCTTTTATTTTTAAATGTGTGAACGTTAAACCAGCAGCGGAAGTGCACACCAGTTACCGGCTAACGGGAGAGGAAGCCCAGTGACGGTGAGTGAAGGCAGCTAACTGTAATGCTAACTGTTACCGGTGCCTTGTCTGAGAGACTGTGAGTGTTAGCCCCTAACGCTAACACGGGGTAACGATAACATGACGAGTCGGGTGATTGTTACACAACACCTAAACCAATGTGACTGGTCGTATGCCAGTGCTAATGCTGTGATACCGATGGACGAGATCTAACGTTATGGGTGTAAAATATGTAATAGTTTCCTGACCCGGCCAGTTTTTAGCTAACTATCCGGTAAATCTATTGATAAAAATGATTGTGTAATGTTTTCAGGTGATTTAACGGTGTTACAGTAAGTGTTAGCTTCTTACCCGTCGAGCCAAATACTGTATTAATTATGAAAGTTAATATGTTCTTAACCAGAGTCGGTAAAAGGACGCTAACTCCGGTGAATTAGCCGTGCGCTGGTATAGCCATGACCCGGCCAGACGTCCATCGTCATTGTAAACACTGTGTTTCGCGGAGATTAAACTCATTAAAGGGTCGCAAAAGTTACCATCGATGCTTTCAACACATCAGAGCCCCTTGTTCTGGCCTTCACTATAAGATATCCGACTCCAACACCTCCAAGTATTCTAATAAAAGCTTTCATTTCAATTTGAGTGTATAACACCACCTCCTGGACGTTTTATTAAACTCTTCTCACCTGAATGACCAGCAGATGCATGGGTTTAACAATTATGCACACATACATTTTGTTTATGACAAATACTATCATAACACATCGTGTAGAGTAAGAGTTATTACAATTAATACATATTTATTTTAAAACATTAAAAAAACCTTCAAAAATCAGGACAAAAATACATTTAAAAATCATCTTTGTCATCCAGCTCCTCGTCCCCGCCCACACAGTAGCTGTGTCTCAATTGCCCAGGCTGCATTCTTGCAGTCTCCAGCAGCCTTCGCGGTAGACCCGGGCCAGGTCCTCCAACGCCCGCATAGGCTGAACCGAACCGTCTCTGAAATGGCACGGTCTGGCCTACGGGGAGGGACTTCCCGCCTGCGTCATCAGCTTTACCTCCACTGCTCCCGTTGCTGCGCTTGACAGTCAAAGCCTTAAAACCCAAAAGACGTGATAGACTTCTAATTTCAATTACTTTAGGAAGATAACTTTTCCTCCGGAGCATGATATATTTCAGGGAGGAGAACATTTTCCCGTTTTAAATTCAAATTAAAAGCTGAAATTAATTATGCAGTCTTGGGTAAAGAAAATCAATCAATACTGTCGATTTAGAAACAACAACAAACAAATTTACTAACTTGTATGCAAGAAGGTTTTTTTTTTTTTTTCTTGCATAGGATACGAGTTATTTCAACTAACTTACTTACTTACTAACTTTGGTCATGGACTTATTTTTTTTTTTTAAGTCATGGAAATCCATTGGTCAAAATGTGTATCAACCCTGTTTATAGATTGGTAGATTCATAGATTCTTGTTAAGGTTTAGAACACCAACAACCAGACTAGTGGTGGTGTGAAGACGTCTAGTTAACGAGCCAGAGAAAAAGTGGTTGGTTAGGACAGTGAGAGGTTAGTCCGTAGACAAAGGAAGGCTAGAGGAGACCGGAGGTTAGTCTAATATTTGCTTTGCCTCATTTCTTCTGCAGCGTCTCTGACATGAACAGCTATGTAAGTTTTCTACTTCACTCACTTTACGTTTCTCATGTTTAACGACATGCGGATCTCAGATCAGTTCATCAAAACAGTGTGTGTGTGTGTGTGTATATGTGTGTGTTCAGAGGAAGAGGAAGACGTCAGGAAGTCCTCTCATTGCAAGGACCAAGACCAGCAGAGGGGCCAACGCTAGGAGGACGGCTAACCGGCTAACGGCTAACGTCAGCACGTTAGCCGTCCCCTCCACAGAGACAATCGCCATGATGGACAACGCTGATGGCAGTCAGTTCAGATCAATACTTTTATCTTTTGTGGATTAGCACCAGAATGAACCAATCATACATCATAATTCAATTGCATCAATGTTCAACCATATCTTCTGTTCATTGGTCAATAACCAATAATAATAACTGATCTGTGTTCAGCTGTAGAAGAGGTGGTGGATCTGACCTGTGAAGGAACAGAAGCTTCTGTGGTTGATCTGACAAACAACGACTCTGTTCTGGTAACAATACATGATGCAGTTTCTACTCCCCCTTCCAGTCTCCTTCAATAACAAACTGCGTTACATATTTATATCTTCTTTTCATGATTTGTGTTGCTTTTTTTTTTTTTTTTTTGCTGTGTGCTGTTGACGAGAAACTGTTCTTTTTGTTGTTTCTTCTGTTGCTGCTGGTGTCATCAAGCTTGTGGACGAAGGTAAAACATTTTTTATTGACATGTTGACAAAGTTTTAATAAAGTGAAGGTTCAAGAGTTCTCTGCGCGTCGTCCATCAGGTCCACAGAATGAGAGAGTGCCGACAGGTGAGAGCTACGTTGTCAGCAGTGATGAAGATGAAGACGCGCCTCCTATCGCCAATGCTGCAATTATGCCCTCTGTACAGTCAAACAGCTCCTCCAGGTAATTCACGGATCCTTTCTAACATTATGTCTAAATCACAGACTCTTCTAACTTTCATGACAAGGTAGTAGATGGGTTCTATCTAGCATTGACTTTAAATTCCAGCCTTCGAGGAGAATGATACCATTGACCATTATAGCCAGGTTAGTCTGATCTCAGCAGTGGAAACCAGTAGAGTCTGTGTGTTTCAGGTCCACACCGGGTACGATCAGCTGTCCCGTCTGCCTGGACTCGTACTTGGAGGTGAGACTTAAACTGCTTGCTACACACTTGTTACACACCTGGGCCCTGTTCCTCGTACTAGGTTCAACAAAGTTGATCAAATGTTCTGCTAGCCAGCTCATAATAACCAGATTATTAATGTCAGCCTATCTCGGTTCCTCAAAGGCTGATCCGCTCTCAAACTTTCTTGTTAATTTGAACCAGACGTCAGTCATCAGGATAATTGCGCGTCCTACTTCAGAAGGGGGAGGGGTCGATCACCAAAACCATGATCTTCTAACAGTACAACGTGGGGCTGTGCGGTATACCGGTTCAAATGTTATACCGGATAACACAAGATGCACCAACACAACTTGTGCCCAAGAGAGGAGCTGAATCTGTTTGGAGGGGTTTTGGTTTTGGAAAATCCGACATAAGTTAAATCAGAAAAATATTTATTGCAAAGTCTGTCAAGCCGCTGGTATTGCCTCTGGAGGAAACAGTAGCAGCCTCAAAAGCTAACACGCCGGCCAGTTGCGAGCAGCAAACAGCTGTTCGGGGAGCTGGCGGTCCTTTTCGGGGTCAGTGAATTAAGACCCAAAGCAAAACCAAGATACAGCCAGAATACCGCCCAGCTCTAGTACAACAACAAATACTCTACCTTCTATTCAAAGGTAGAGCCTCTTTTTTTCTCTCAGCTGACAAGCAGGAGACGATCATGAACACATGTGAGGACTTCAATCATTTCTTGTTGTAGGAATTGAATGTATTGTACATCTTTTACGTTGTTCATTCTTTACATCTGTCTATCCTGGAAGAGGGATCCTCCTCTGCTCTGGGTTTTTTATTTTGGAGTTTTTCCTGTGACATGTGAGGGTTTCAGGACCGAGGATGTCGCATGTGTACTGTAAAGCCCCCTGAGGCCAATTTGCAATTTCGAGCGATAGAAAATGGGTTACAAGCCCAGCAAAGTTTCGCAGACAGAGGATTAGCAATTTTGGGCTGTACAAAATAAAATGAATTTAACTGAATATGTACTGTATGCACTTATGTCCTCTGTGTATATACATGTCCAGGCACGTGCACAGATAGACCCCTAGTCGTGCTCAAGCACCTGCCCTTTTGCCCTGGATGAGAAAAGTGCCTCTTCTGCTGGAGCCCAAATTTTTTTTCATTCATCAATATTTAAGAATACAATTACTCCTCTTCCCCCCCCCCCCCCAATGTGTTTTAATATCTGACCTGCATTTATTTGAGTTCTTGTGAGAATTTTTCCCCGACATGCTCCGCGCCGCTCACAAGCCCCACCCCCCTCGCCTCCCTCCTGCTCATGCAGTGCAGAGCGCCAAACGGCTGCAGCATCAGACAAACGGGTAACGGTGCAAATCCCCGGAGTTTGGTGATAAAATTAACCACGTCATTAGCGCCGCTGAAAACATTACGTCGCAAATCCGGAATTTCAAAGCCTTGTCCAGCTATTTACTGAGAGGGAAAGGTATATAGACCGATAATTTAAAGGCAGTTTTTATGTTCTACAAATTAGACAAGTTTCCTAGTTTAATCAAATATTGAAATGAAAGGTAGGCCTTAAGTTGAGCTACATGACAGCGAGGTGATTGTGAGATATATTGTTGTATATTATTATTATTGTAATATTGCTTATGCTTCAACTCTGTCAAACAGTAAAAAAAAATGTGTGTGTTTTCATCGTTATAGAGATTATGTAAGTCACTCTTGATTATTATGCAAAACTGTTTATTTATTATTCATATTTTAAATTTCCTGAATCATTTTGGCGATGGATGCCCTATTGTTTTGGTTTGAGCACCTTCCCCCCAAAATGTCTGCACGTGCATGTAAATCTCTATGTAGATCACTACGGAACTCGAGTTTTAATATGTGTGTGCAGATCTGTGTATGGGCGAATCCGTATATATCTATTATTCATAATCAGACATTTGATCAATTGAAGCAGTATGCAATAAGTAAGCAACATGTACCATCAAGAAATTTATTAAGCACAAAATAAAGGAAGAGAACTTTACAAAGAGCACGACGTGCGGGGCGTGTGTGACAGTATGAGACACGGTGTGTGAGACAGAAGGAGAGACAGTGTGTGGGGCAGTGAATGCTCTGCTGTGGCGTGTGGGGCTCACGTAACGAAGGTCCCCCTATAAAATGTTAATCTAACTAATATCGCTCCTTCATCAATGAGGAAGAGAGCTGCCCTTTTTTTTCCAGGGGAGTGGTCATCCACCTAACTTATTAACCTGCAACAGAGCAGGTTCAAGCTTTTAGATGTGTTGCTATGGTGATTTTGCCAGACTCACTTTGTGGTACCGAAAAGCCTGATCAACTTTTTTATCCACGTACGTGGAACGGGGCCCTGGGCCGCGGGTAGAATTCTGTGTTGTGATAAGCCGGTTGTTGTTTTCCATCACAGATTGTGGAGAGCGGACGACTGGTTGTTTCCACTAAATGTGGTCACGTCTTCTGCAGTCAGTGTCTAAGAGACGCTCTGACTTCATCACACACCTGTCCTACCTGCAGGAAGAGACTAACCCATCGCCAGTACCACCCCCTGTACATCTGACATCACTCTTACATCGTCATATGCCTTAGGTACTTTTGGACGTTATGTTTCTAGTGACCTCATCAGTGGCATCATCAGATCAGATGCTTTTGGCTGCCGTGGTTGTTTTGTATCCAAAACAAAAGACTGAGGTGCATTTTAATTAAAGAGTGATTGCAATTGAATGATATTGTATAATTTGATATATTTGATAATCTGTTTTTTTGTTTTGTTTTATTCTTGTTTCTGGACTGTTTTTCTATTGTAAGTACAAAATGTGTTTAAAGTAGAAATAAACTATTCAATTCTGTGAGTGTTATATATATATATATATATATAGATAGATCAGCTTGTTTAGGACTGAAACACGTTTTGAACTTGGGTAACACGTAGCTCTAACAAAGGTAGGGAACCGGTAAGATGTAACACACACAATTAATGTGGGGGTTTTAGCACATTATCTTGGTATAGCGGCCATAGACTCTTACGATGTGACTTTTTCGGCAATTGTCTGTGAGGGGCTGGAAAGGTGTGTGTGGTTTTTTTTTCTCTCTCGTACCATGCCATTTTGGAGGCTAGAGGTGTCCACTTGACATGGCTGCCATAGACTCCCATGTAGAATAATTTGTATGGTGGAGTGGGTAATAACCACGATCGTCATAGTGACGATCACCTATAACGTGGCCGCTCTGGGTCCAGCAGTAGCAGGCCTATGTGTCTGTAACCTCGAAAGTGGGCGAACCGGCAAGGGTCCATTTCTCACGTGCCCTTTTTAAATTGATTTGACCCTAACCCTCAAAAAGGAGGACAAATACTGCGCCGGACGCCGGACAGGGTATTGAAAATCCGGACGTCTGGTCACCCTAGTCACATGACGCAGGCAGAGAAGTCTGTTCGACTGAAGTCTTCCAAGGAGTGCAAGCATTTCACACTAAATAAACTTTAAAATATGCAAACGTCAACAGTAACCTGGCACGGGAGCACCACGTTTTGACACGAGGAATGTAAAGAGACTCGTCATCCTGCTGATCAAGCTAGCGTTAGCTCGCTAAAATCCGCAGTAGAGCAGTTAGCAAGACTAAAGACACAATTTTATTCACTCGCCTTTTTTGGACCATCCATTTTTCAATCTTGTCATGTATATATTTTGTGCTTTGTCCTATATCGGTTATTGTTGACAAATCTATTTGTGTGTGTTGTACTTTTTAAGGCCATTTCAAATTTATCTCATAGCACTTTAGCTGTATTTAAATGTGGTGTATACATTTACTTGCACTGATGGTAATAATTTAATAAGCTTCAAAAGAATTATAGTTTGGGTGATAGTATAATACAGTTCTGTATTATAAATTACACATTGTATATCTTAAGTCATTTAATACTGTCCAATTGAAATCCATAATGTAATGTTCATCGGAGACCGATTCAGTCCTCCTCTGACAGATTTCTTCCTTATTTCATCCCCATTGACGGGCTTTGGGGGCCCACACTTTGAGTTTTTCTTCTGTCAGGTCCAAGTTCAGGGACCAGAGGATGTCGCAGATGTACAGATGAGAAAGCCTTACGAGGCAATTTTTCTTTTGGCTTATAGAAAATAAGTTAAATATTGTTTATGACATGATTAAAGTGTAGGCTGTAAAAAGAATGGACACGCCCCCAGATGCAAAAAGCCTCGGTCGGAGGACAGACAGGCAGAAAATTCAGTGGGAATTGGTGGTAGGGTATATAATTGGGCAATGAAATTATTATTTGAAAGGAAGATACAGGTAAAAGTAGATGCATAATATTCAAATGTATATACATTGGATAATGGAACTCTGCAAGGTAGTGTATGTAGTCCGTTATTATTTACTATAATGATAAATGATGTATTTTCTCAGGTTGAGGAAAGCATAGGAAAGTCTTTGTACAAGGATGACGCAGCTCTTTGGATAAGGGGCCGCAATGTATCATTTGTTAAGAGGAAAATCCAAGCTCCAATAGCTGAGGTGGAGGAATGGGTAAGCAAATGGGGATTCAAGTTGTCAGTAGCAAAAACAAGTTATTTGTTTCTCAAAACGGCGTATAATCACACCTATTTCCCTAAAATGTTATAATCAACATCTGGAGCAAGTCAAAGCTATTTGATTTCTGGGGATTTGGTTTGATGGAACACTCACATGGAACATTTAGATCAAGAGCAAATTATAAAAAAGTCTAATACTTGTTGTTTGACAGGACATGAATGGGGAGCATGTAGAGAATCTTTACAAAATATATACTGAGCACTGGTGAGATCTGTCCTTGGCTTACATGTCAGCAGCAGAACCAAACTTCAAGAAATTGGATGTACTACAAGCTCAGGTGTTGAGAATCATCAGTGGATCATTCACAACATCTCCGGTATCAGCAATGGAAGTGGGAGAAATGCACCTGAGGATTAGAAGAGTAAAATGAATGCTGGCATACTGGGTTAATCTCCAGGGGCATTATGGAACTCATCCTACCAAAAGTGTGTTGACAGGCTGCTGGGAACATAATGAATCAAATTACATACTAATTACTTACTCTTTGGCTGTGTAGGTGATGTAATGGCGGAAGAAATTGGGTTATGTCAATTACAGTATTGCCCTACAGTCTCAATTTCATCCTTTTATTCCCATTTCCAAAGGTAGACTTTAATATACTGCAGGAATTGAAGGAGAAGTCGAAGCATATATCTGCATTGCGCATAGTACAGAATTATTTTGATCAGTACTTTTCAGACTCCATAATGTTATTTACAGACAGCTCCAAAGATCCTGAAGCAGGGTGTGCAGGTGCAGCAGTTTATATCCCGGTGAGTGAGACCTGCAAGAGTATCAGATCATGTGTCAGTATATAGCACAGAGCTATTGGCAATATTATTGGCCCTGCAGTGACTAAGAGGGAAATAAACAACACCGTTATTTCATGAAGGATATCAGTCCTGATAGATGATCTGCTATGCAATAATGATTACATCTGACAGTTTCTCAGCAGATCATCTATCAGGACTGATATCTTTCATGAAATATTCCTCATAATATATAGGATGGAAATTAGAGTCATAGCTACACAATTCATCTGGGTTCCAGCTCATGTTGTTGTGGAGGGGAATGAACAGGTGGATACTCTGGCCAAACAAACACTTTAAGAATTAAGAGTTAAGAATATAGGTTTACAAGTTCCGTTAAGTAAAACTGAGGCTTAGCGATTCATCAGAACATATTCAAATACAGTATGGCAGGATTACCGGGATGATCAGGAAACAAAGGCATCTGTACAAGATACAAAAACATGTTGGGGCAAGGAGAAAGGTGGAATGGAGGGGAAGGGAATGTCATCACTCGACTGATAATTGGACATACAATACAGGTCTTAACCATTCATCATATAGAATAGGCAAGCACCCAACTGGGAAATGCTCATATTGTAATCAACCAGAATCTGTTGAACATCTACTGTTACAACCTAACCCTAACCCACAGGCAGAATCTTCTGGAGATCCATACTTCATTGGTCAACATAGACGGCGGAAAGGAGATTCTCTATTTTGATTCTAAGAATCCTGAGCACAGAATTCGATTTCTGGATGTTTTCCCAGACTTATTGATCGAATTACCCTAATGGTGATACTGCAAGACAAGTGTTTATTGGTTGTGAAGAAGCTCAGTGGATGTTATATTGAACACAATTCTTGTCACATTGAAAATATATATATGTTTCAATGGTGAGGCTATTTTATGTGAAAAGCTTGAATTTTTACCTTGCACCTGCAACACACCCATTGTTACGCACGTACAGCACCCCGTGAGGGGAGGGGAACATACACTCGCCGCTGCCAGAATCCCAGACGTCAGAGACCGGGTGTGGGCGCAAGTAATCATACACACCGATGGTTTGGTTTAAACAGGCTAGCTGCGCTCTATCAGCCCTTGAACATCACTGTTACACTAACCGTACAAACAGAAAGTCTCGGCAAGCTCGGCTGAGATCCATAAGTATGGGTAAACATAGACGCGCGGAAAGGATGTATTCTTATTTTGTTTAGAATCCTGAGCATCCAGGAATTCGATTCTGGAGTTTCACAGACTATTGATCGAATGACCCTAATGGGCTACTGCAAGGACACGTGTTTAGTGGTATGGAAGAAGACTCAGTGGATGTATATTGAAACACAATTCTTGTCACATTTGGAAAATATATAATGTCGTCTTTCAATGGCATGAGGTCCACCTCTTTATTTTTATGTGAAAAGTTGATCATCTTTTTTACTCCCTGGTTGCTACTGCAACACCCACCTACACCTGTTTTTTGTGAGCCTCACTATTAAAGACATCGATCAGAATCAGATCGAATAGTATAGTGGTAAGGCGATTATGACACAAAAGCCTGCCGTGGTGTGTTTTCTTGGGTGTTTCGATCGTCCTTCTGTCTTGCTGATGGATCTTCCTCAGCAAACACTTTTTCATATGTGAATAATCACATAGCAAGCGGATCTGTGGAAAGTCCCTCGCATGAGGTACTGTAGGTTCAAGCAGGCCTTGGTACCTCCTGCGAATTGCCCCCTGGTTCACCACTTAGACAGGGATAAAAGCTGCACATTATGAAGCGCTGTCGTGTTCTTGTCCCTTTCCTGTGTTGGAGTATTGGCGGAGAATCCAGTGAGCTGGTAGGTGCTTTAGTCTCAATTCTTAGGAAAATGGTTTTGGCCGTTGTGAAATTTCTGTTTGTGTCTCTAGCTCGTCAAGAGGCCCAAAACCATGTGTGTGAGATGCTCTGGTTTTGAAGAGGCCTCAAACTCCAGGCGGGATTAGAAGCACCTATTTTGTGTTCTATATCGTTCCTGTCTGGTTGTTTCTTTTCAAGTTGGTAGTGAATTATATTGCTCTTGCCTAAGTTATTTGTAATTTTTTTTTCTTTTCTATTCAGTGATTGGAGGTTTTGAGGCGGCAGCAGAGTGCACCCAGGACGGGCTCTGTACGGGCGGTTACCTGCTCCTCTCATTCGCAGTTGTGTTCATCCAATATTTCTGTCTTTTACGTTGCATGCTTGGATTTTAATATTGTTTGTGTGCAGCATCAAAGCGGTGTGAGAGCCCGGTGCCCTTCTCGCTCCCCTGCGGCCTAGTCAGGAGTAGCACGCAATTGTTGAGAAGCCCATTGGTTATTTTTTTTAAATTGTAAAGATAGAAATTGAAATTGTGTTACTCTGCCGCAGTGTGTTTACTTCAGTCAGCTGTCGATCCGTCGTTGTTCAAGAATTTCTGAGGAAAATAATTCAGACCATGCTACCGGTGGTTACACATTG